CTGACCTCTCCGTCTCTGCCTCTAACCCTAACCCTGATGCTAAATAGATATTATATGTCTCCTCGTCTGCCTTGTAGCTGAACTGGTCTGTCTGCCTGTCTATTACCCGGTTGAGCACTACCTGGCGATACTCCTTGCTGTGGAGAAATGCTGAGTAAGCCGTCTCCCGCTGCCCTTCTCCCTGCACGACCACGACCGACCGGCTGCTGAGCCCGTCCCGCCCGCCACGCCCGCTCTCCTGTATGAATCTGTGTAGCTCCTGCGGCATGTCCGCATGCACCACGAGCTGCACGTCTGGTATGTTGATCCTGAGACTAAGTGCGTTGGTTGCCACTATAATACCCCCGTCCGCTCCATCTCCTTTCCGCTATGTCTTAAGTTGTTTGGCTTTGCCCTGTGCTGTGTTGACGTCGCTATAAAACACTGGATATGCTAGCATTGTCCCTAGCTGTTCTACTTGTCTAATAGAAGTTGTGTATATAATTGCTTTCCCTCTTGCTTTTCTATCTAACTACTCTCTAATTACCTTATATACTTCTTCCTTAATTGCGTCTGCCTCTTCTGGCTGCCCTACTCCCTTGCTTATAACCGCCTGGACCTCATATGTGATGTTCTTCTGTGTAGATACTGCATGAAATATCTGAACTTTGACCCTGTTGATGCCTATAAGCCTAAAGAACGCCGCCTCGTCTACTAGTGCTAACGTTACCGTTAGATAGACCAGCTGTACCCTAAACTTGCTGACTGCTGCCCTAAGCTCTCTTAGCTGCGGCTGGAACGTCTACGTTCCCTCTAGCACTACGTAATACTTATCTATAACGACCCTGTCTAGCGCCTGCCTTGCTTCTAGCTGCGCCATAAAGTCTTAGAAACCCTTACTTATAGTGGATTTAGGCGTTATAAATACTACTGACGCCGCCTGGTTGTTCTTATGGCTCTGCCACACGTGCGATGGGATCCCCGCCTGGGTGCACCTTGCGGCCATGTCTGTACGTAGCGCTACGAGCGGCGTTACTACTACTGTCACCCCGTCTGGCGAGCAGTACGCTGGGAGCATGAACGACAAGCTTTTGCCCCCGCTTGTGCCTATGACCTGGACGATGGGGCTGTGGCTGTTGACGATAGCCTGGAGTACCTGCTCCTGGTTGCTGCGGAACTTGGCTCTGTTGTCTCCCGTTATCTGTTTGAGCTGCCTGGCTATGTTGATGAGCTGTAGCTTTTTGAACCGTCTCAGCTGTGCCTGGAGCTGTAAGTTGTCGTGCGGCTCTGCCTTCTGCTTTATTGTTACTATTGCTGAGTCCTCTACCCTAAAGCCCAGAAACTGATGCTACTGCTGGCTGACCTTGTGGAACCTCTGCTGCTTGGCTGCGAGCCCCGAGCCGAACTGCATCAGCTTGCGCGCGTATACCATTCCCGCCAGCTGCGTCCTGTGCCTAGCCTGTAAGTCCCATATGTTGTCCTCGACCTCGTTGTCCTTGTTGTTAGCTGCCTGGCTCTCTTTGGCTTGCTTCCCAAACGCTTCGTTTAAGTACCTATTAGTAATACCAATAGCAATATGCTGCTATATACTGACGTTGACTTGGTTTCCTAACACCTTAGTGCTATGCTGTTGCATGATCTGCTGTGCCCGGTCCGTTGTCTATACCTGCTCTTCCTTCTACGTCTACTTGCCTATCTTGCTATCCTCGTCTTCCTCTCCGTTATTGTTATTATCCCCTCTACTATGGGACCTTGAGATGGCCCCTTATACCGTCTCATCCGCCTATAAGAACGCGCTATACCGGCTGGCCTCCTAACTGATCCCCTGTACCTCCTGCCAGAATGGGAGTATAAGCTATAGATACCACACTAGCAGCTCGCCCACCTCTCTTGGTAGATACCGGTGGATTACCTTAGCCTAGCCTATTGTCTAGTACCCTTTATGGTACGCCGTCATAAAGTATATTATCTTGTTGTGGGTGAAAATGTTGCGTACCTTGCTATTAGCTATGTTTACCGTCTGTAGCCCCCTAATCTCTATCGCCCGCCTGGGCTATCCTCCTAGCGTGTGCAACAATATCTATAGACGCTCCCTGAACTGCTTGGCTGTGTGGCTGTAGTCCTGCACTGCTTGCTCGTTGAGCCTTGCTGCTGCTGACTCTAAGTTGAGCCCCTACTGTTGCTGTGTCTCTACTAACTCCGTTAACTAGTAGAAGACCTACCTATCTCCCTTCTATACCTATTTATTACGGTTGTCTAAGAGAAATAAGTACCTAACCTTAGTCTCACTATGATCGTCCTTAATGGACGACCACGGGATGGCTGGAAGATGGCCTCTTTCAAGACCGTCTGGCTGCTGCAGCATTGCTAGCTCGTCCAGCAGTTCCCTGCCTTCCCTGGCGAGCTCGTGCAGCGCGTCCGACAGTTGGCCCATAGTGAATCGCATATGGCGGAATGAGACCTGGTTGCCTACCCAGTTGATGACGCCTGCTGCTGGCGTGTTATACTGGATATGCATCCCGTACGTCTGCGTGTTGAAAATCTAATCTATTGGTGTTGGCTCTGCATCTTTATTGCCTGACGTCTGCGTTATAAACCGCTGCACTTTAGACTGTACGTGCTGGAATAAGCTTGTGGCCTTTTCTGCGGCCTCATCCTTCCCCATCTCCTCCTCCAGTCCTAATATCTTATTGCGCTGCTCTATAACGGCCTAGGATATAATGAGCATCCTTACTACCTTAATAACGGCTGAGTACTTTGTTGTGTAGTCTGTGATCTGGATCTAACTTCTATCCTCTGTGATGCCTATTACGGCTAGAGCGCTAATAAGCGCGTTCTTATACTGGCCTCCCTTGAGCTGGTGGTCTAGTATGCTGATGAGCATGTCTAAGCCGGCGCGCTCTAGTTTGTCCTCTTGTGATGGCGTTGTTATGGCTGTTTGTGCTGTCTGCTTGAAGCTGTCCTATAGCTTGCCCTGCTTAGTTGTAAGCTTATATGGCGGTCTCTTATTGTCGTCCATCTCCTGCGTTCAGTGCTAGATATACAGCAAGACCCGCTATACGTCCTTGTACCTCGCCTATGTGTTGTCCTCTATATGGTTGTTGAACGGCCTTACCGGCTTTATGTGGGCTTCTTTGCGCTGCGCCTTGAAGAGTATAGCGTGTCCAACCCTGTTTGGGCTTGACACGGCCCGTGCTGTATCTAGCACTATGTCGATGGCCTTCCACATGGCCCCTAGTACCTCCTCGTCCTCCTGAATTAGGCCTGCTGTTGCTTGTAGCTGACCTATGTTGAGTCCTTGTAGATGGTCTGCCTAGCTGACATGGTGTAGCTATGGGTTGGGTTTAAGCCGTTTGGATGTTACCTAGATAAGCTCCTTGTGGCTGGTCTTTATATACTGCTTTTGGGCTCCCTAGAGCTGATTGATGCGGCTGGCGGCCCGTTGAGCTGCTGTCTGTTTGGGTGATATATCTGCAGCTAGTAGTCCTCGCCTAACCTTAAACTAGTGGCTGCCTATTTGGGATGGGAAGAACTGCTGGTAGAGAACGCCTGTTGTCTATAGTACCTCCTAAAGCTGCTCTGTCTTTTGTTTTATATTGCTACCTTTTACTTAGTTATTCTTCTAGCTATGCTCCTTCTGGTAGTGCTCTTGGATTCTCTGGACTTGCCGGTAGATATAGTGGTAGCTGTGGTACTGAATGCTATTTGTCTGTGGCTTAGCTAGATGCTCGATTGGAGTAGATGCTGGGCTTGGGAACTGGATCTATGATAGCTCGACCTAGCTGTAAGTAACTCCTAGGAGATTTAAGATAGTGCTGATGATTTGAGCCCGCTTCTGGGCTGTAATAGCTGGGTGTTAAGTCTATAAATAGGTTGCTACTTTATTAGTAATAATAGTAAACTTATATATTATATATATATAAAGAGAATACTAGGTATTAAAAGTGAATAGCTCTATCTTCTAGGTAGAAGAGGGCTATAGGGATAAGGGAGGAAAGTGAGTAAATAGAAAGAAGCAATAATGTAATATAATATTAAAAGGAATATCTAATTAGCTAAGCTATGAGGTTAATATGTCTATCTACTAATTAGCTATTTCTATGCTTAGACTAGCCTCATGAGAACTAGGTGTAAAAACAATTATGAGTAGATAATGCTGAAATGAGGTGGTATAGAGAAGATAAATAGATATCTAAATTAGCCTAACTCTTAGCTTTTATTGTATGCTGGTTTGACTGATTTTACTGTAGAAAACCTCAACGGACTCTACCCCCTGTTATTTTAATGGACTCTACCCTATGTCTTTATTGACTCCACTTTTTTTAACGTGTGGTTTTCAATGGACTCTACTAGAGTCCGTTGTGGAAGGTATGTTAGGGTTATCTGCAACTATCCGAGGTTAAAGCTGGACGTTCCCCGCATGCATCCACATAACTTTACGTCCCTTTCAGAAAGATACCAATCATTGCCGTTTATCATTGTCATTGATACCTTTGCCTCTGGTCGAGGTCCCACCTTTAAAAGCATAAAGAATTCTATCGCCATGTCGTTGGAGCAAGACCACGACGTTGTCGGTCAAGAACACCCCTGGGCAACAGTCTCCCGATTCCCGGGTGTCAAAGGCGCGAGCCCGAGCATCAACATATCAGCATGCTTCTCCGATGAGGAAATCATTCTCTTTGACACGCAGATGGAGAGGCACTCGGGTGGTTTTGAAACTTCGATATCCTACGACCGACGGGAGGGAAGATGGGACACGGAAGACGCCAGACGCCAGCTAGGAGCTTCGCGAAGTCCAGGGTCTTTGCAAGATCGTGGCCTCCTAGAGCTCCTTTCCTGGACCAGAATTGACAACCTACCTCCACTGGAGGAGCTCCGGTGGGACCCAGACAGTTTTTCGGGCTTTCCTATGGGCGGAAGCATAGAATATGCCATTCGAGCATGGAGACGAACGATTTGTCCAAATCGCAGCAAGACTTGATACTGATTTGAGCCTGCATAGAACACAGTCCCAGATCTACATGGACACAATGAGGGAAACCGAGAGCGTGGTTCTGGGCCTCCAGGCGTTACTGGCCATGTCTAGTCAGCAGAGGTTCTACATAAGCCTCACCGAGGCTACGTACAACTACACGGCGGTGGCCTCGTTCGCGCGGCCGGCGCTCGTGCCTGAACGGTGGCTCGGGGTGATCCTGGCCGGCTCGCTGGTGGCCGTGCAGATCAGTCTCGCGTGCGCCATCGCGGCGTACTTCCTCGCGCGCACACGCATGTCGGCCGTGGACAACGCCTGGCAGACGCTTGCACAGATGGTCTCTCATAGCACGATGGACATGCTGGAGCAGGCCGATACCATGACGGATGATGAAGTGAAGGCGCTAGCTCGGGAGCAGCTAGGCAAGGAGACGGCAGCGGGGCATGGGCTTTTGAGATATCGAGGCGGGCGGGTTGGCTTCGAGCCCCTTTAAATGTCATGCTGCTCCGGCACATTCGTTGCAGCAATTGTTTCACCTCGAGCAACCCAACTTACACGTAGAGGCTACTGGAGACTGAGAGGGAGTTGAAGCCTTCCTCAATGAGTGACCGCTGATCCCGCAGCCGTATCTCGGTCACGGAGACCGACGCCGTATCGTAGATATGAAATGGAGGAATCGAATATAAAGGAAACATTAGAACCATCGCTTCAGCACAAGGTTGAGAAACTTGGCCCCGTCACCGCCCAACATCGTGAACCCACCACCTTCGCGCCCACATCTCTTTAAGCCCCAAACGTCATCTTTTAACGTACTTAGCACAAAGCGGCGGATTGGCAGGTTTGTCGCCAACTAAGGTAATGATTATATCGCGAATTACGCTTCTACAACTGACTCCCCGAGCTTCCCAAGTCCCCTCCCCTTCACCTTCACCGAAAACTGAAATTTTGCAAGCCTAGAATAACACAATGCAGCCATTTCCACAACGTTACTCTAGTATGTTCCTGGGAATCTGTACAAGGACGCATCCACATACCAAGCCCTCAGCCGCCAGGCTGGATCCCGTCCAACGTCGCTTGTGAATTGCACGCTGACACTATTATGCGTAAGTCCGTCTAATCGCCACCATCCATTTCCAAAGTCCTGCCAGTCCGAAAAGACTTCAAAACCGACAATCACCTTGTTGGGATCGCCAAACGCTGAAGAGTGATGTGACCTCGACGGCCACGATACCGAATCGCGATCTACAATGTCATCGCTAACTTGCAGCTCGCTCTGGATTGCCAGCCCCATGTTTGTGTTCGTCACCTCACCCCATGTCCAAAAGTACGGCGCCTTGCTGATGATGCCGTACTGATCGTCGTCATACGGGATCGGGCAGCCTGGCCCCTGGTCGCCTGTCGCGTCGGTGCACTCCGACTGCGCATTTCCAAAGTTCTGATTGACACGTACCATGAAATCCATCCGCTGCGGTATGGCAGCCACCTCGGTCTTGAGAGCCGCGAACTGGGTGTCCCATTGCGAAAGCTCCGTGGCCTTCGTAGGATCCGCGCTGTCCATCGCAGCAATGGTTACCAACTGTGAGGCAAGGTCTTGCGACATGGCTGTGACTTTCTCAGCCAGCGGCTTGGGAAGGTTGAACATCTGCGCCTGGACGGCGCCAAGAGCAGCCGACTGCGTTGCAGTGCCCTGTGGGCCACAGTCACCTGGGACCGCCGCTTGGGTACTGAGCGAGCGGAAGCTTCGCAGGATGGCAATAGTAGGCACTGGCAGCTGGTTGTCGGGGTCGTTGAAGCTGTCGCATAGACTGTAAAGCTCGTCGATGGAGATGGTGGAGGGCGCATTCTTGAGCCCCAGCGATTCCGCGGTGATGCTCAGCGTGATTTGGTCCTCGACGCTCGACGTTTTGATGTCAAGACTAGCGGACGCGGCCATATTCTTGGCTTGGTCGTTTGTCACGGTGTTGAGGCCCTCAATCGAGTTGTTGCCGGCGATATTGGGCGGGTTGGAAGCACCGCCTGCGCCAGGAATCGGACCAGCATAAGAGATCTTGGCAGTGAAATCAGACATTTCTGCTGCATTTGTGGCACGGAAATCGGCGAGGGCTTGGATGTATCTGCTGCTTATGAAGCCGGCCACGAAATATGAGCCGTACTGGTCGTCAAACTATTCGAATTAGCTAGAAATGGGACACATTTGTGAGTAACAACTCACCTGACAAGGATCATTCTGGAGGAGCGCAGTCGCATCGGCCGTCAGTTGTGGATCAGCAGTAAGCACTGTGGTCTGGTCCATCTGCGAGATACTCAGATACGCCGCCTTGTGAGTATCCGAAAAGTCCGAACTCTGGGTGTAAGACGTTGAAAGATCGACTGTGCCGCCCTCGACAGGGACGCCAGCTGACAAAGAGACAGACATGGCGTGCTTCACGTCCGAGAAGTCATTGATGATGGTGAATTGGAACTTGCTCTGGCCACCGCCGATGATGGGCGGCATGGAGAGCGAGCTCTGCTCAAAGGGACTTTGGTCGGAAACTTTGCCCTCGATGGTATGGTAGCCAATGCCCACCTGGAAGTCAAAGTCCCATTTGACTTGAAGTTCTCGGTTCCATGGATCAACGTCCCTTTTCGTCGATGATTCGACGTAGGGGCGGGCGGTCACAGCCCGCAAAGTAACAGGCAACAGCCAGAGAAATTTTTGGGATAACATTTGGGTTATGGGAAGAGAATCTTTTGTGACCTTCAATGAACTTTCTGCTTGCTGTGATGATGCAGTTGTGCCGTATCATTTTCGAAAGGGCTCGGGAGTCGCAACTCTCTTATCTTGGTTCATAATCTGCGTCTCTTAACAAGCTCATTGTAGTTCAATTTGCTGTTTCGGTCACTCTTCACCACCAAGTCGCCGGATACAAAAAGTTTCGAATGGTTGCGTGAGTTTAAGGGTTTGGGATGCCTGACGGCCGGATTATCGCTGGTAGGCATCCTGGGAGAAATGCGGGTTCATTTTTGGAGATGAAAACTTGAAAGCGGGCCATGTCTCAAGCCACATGCTGCGTACAAGGTTTTGCTCTCGGTTCTGTTAGAAGAAGCCCCTGGGGCTAGACGGCACGAGGCTGATACATCCTTCGTGCCATAGAACCATGCCGTCATGTTAGAACTACCGGAAAGGGAGCCCGGTAGTGATATTCCCTCCTCGTTCGGACTGAAAATTCGTTCTCATGAAAGGCAGCGGGCCGATGAAAGTCACGTCTTCGGGCTGGATGCCTTGAATTCATCCAAACAAAACGAATTCAATATTCCCATTCTCATTATTAACCTCGCTGTTCATGCCTTAGGGGGTCGATCGAAATGTCCTGGAATGTTATCTGGCAATAGCTCTTCAGAAGGATAGCGGTAAGCTTCACAAGGCAACACCACAACCGTCAGCTTTGCCGTCTTAACTGTCAATATCTTATTGGTCACTACAAGGCTTCTCCGCACTCCGTGACAGTTGGGAGGTATCTTCTAGAGCCATTCTAACAGCCGCCACGCATATGGCAGCCATAAACAGCGGGTTTAAGACATGCAACGTGCAAGTCAAGGGATTCCTCCAGTGAACATTGCTATCCCGGCAGGAACACGTCGTTAGAAATTCCTTTAGTTTCAGAGTACCCATGAGAAGCGCAGCCGTCGGCGAAAGCTCTGTTCTAATCGCAAACTCGAGGCTTCCAGAATGTTTCACTTCCGGTACCATTCTAAGCAAAGAGTCCGCATTCGTAATAACACTCATGCAGCATCCGGCGGCTGTGGCTTCCCTGCGGGGCGAGCTGATGCCAAATTTTCAAAGACGTCCATACTTGCATGAACATTGTTGACTCGTTGAGCTTAGTTCTCATTGATGACCAGATTATAAGGGTGGCTGCATTATATTGCGCGGCATGTTGCATTTGTTGGGGTCGGGGATACCAATGAAAACATTGACACAAATGTCGCACTCCAAAACTGCCCGCTCATCTTTTGGCGACGTCCTCCGCAACCGAGCTACATGGGCTGATCAAGGTGTAAAACAGTGAGGATTGCCAGGACGGCTGCTGTTCCACACGTTCCCAAAAGCAAGTGTACCGCAGGGAGCTCTGGTGAACCGACTGCGGTACATTACCTGGTATCCACCGCTTTGGATGCACCTCGTGCCACACATAACCAAGACATCAATTAGACACGCCGCTTTCAGGGGTCGTTCAACCCCGTGCTCATAACACCACGAAACTCATAAATCAATCTGCTGTCTCTTTCTGCCATCCGGAAAGGTTGTTATCACGTACGTCACATCATTTCATCAGTTTCCACAGAAGAGACTGTTATGAATAACACTTGCCACAAAACTGGCTCTTTCAGCCAGTCACGACTTCTCCTCGGAGACCCTGTCGTCAGGAAACTGGAGCGGTGGTGCTCTAGCCACAACAAAGCACGCGACGGTGTCTTCCCCAGACTAGCAGTCTTGTACTTTGATACTGGCGATGATGCCAAGGAATACCTTCACATCAAGGCTGCCGTGGCTGCCAGAGTAAGTTCCTCTCTTGTGTATCAATAACTTGTATCAATGTTCAGAGATCTGAATCAGTCTTAGGCCGGCATCGAGTACACAACGCACAAAGTACTGCCAGACGCATCGATTGAGGAGGTGAACCAAACCATTACTAGGTTAAACCAAGATTCCCGTGTACACGGAATTTTGATCCAGCGGCCAATTCCACAACATCTGTGCGAGGCGCAGATTATGGATATAATCTGGGAAACGAAGCATATCGAGGAATACAGACTTGGAAAACGCAGTAACATTGCTGTTGATGGGCTGAGAAAAGTATTGGCTGTGTATCACAACACCTGGATGCTCGATCTCGACATTGTTCTTTTTGGCGGGACCAACATCATCACACCGGGGTTCAAGGCAGAAATGAGGCGTCGATTTCATCGAATTGATGTGAGAACAACACTGGATGGCAATATTGTTGGACAAGAACGTGACACCATCATCATCACTGAAATGAACAAAGGCGGGGCTATCAAGCCAAGCATGCTCGGTTCAAGGGTTCGGCTGGTTGTCGACGTGGGGTTTGATGTGCAAACCAAAATGGGGGATCTGGATCCTGTAGTACATAAGATGAAATGCATCACGGTGGTTCCTACCCCGGGAGGTGTTTTGCCAGTGTTGCTATGGCTTATGATGGAACGTACAATCAAAGCCAGGACGCATGTCGAGCCGGAAGGAAGCCTGTGCACCACAAGATGTACGGTCCTGTAACACTGCTTTCGTAGGGAGTTCGTCGAAGAGCTCTTCCCATGTCAGCTGCCCTTTTCACCAGTCCTTGTCTACTTGAATAAGCTTTTACCTTCGTAAACTCCTCAGCAGCACTTTTCCATTTGTGCGGTCCGCAATACCGACGTAGATCCAGTAATCTTGACTGCCCTCTACATTAGTCTACAGTGAGGATTGGAATGGAGCAGTGGAACTGGCAAGCAAGGACGCGGATTTCGACTTTAAATCGCACTTATGTCTATCTTGAGGAAAGTTTGACAGGTTTCTTTAGGCTACGCCTGAGATGATTTCTATCCCCCTCAGTGTATAAGCCGCGTCTAAGTAGATTACTGACCTTATTCTCTCAGTATCTCCTTTGAGTCTCTTATGCTTTATTCCCTTGTTCGGGCTGTCATGTTTAGAGTTATAAAGTTGTTTTACGCCAAAACACTTAACCTCATGACGTCGGATGGCGTAATAACGCATTAGAGACGAAGCACAATTTCAGCCAGCGTAAACGCCAGTTCCTGCAACGGCTTACGGTGAGGAATTTCTGAATCTAAACAGTCGGTTAAGGACCAAAGTGGGTACTGTTGCTGCTTGAACGCCATCAATCAAACTCATCTTCAAAGTGAGCAATAGGAACTCACAATAGATTTCTATTGAAACGCAGCCTAATGATACAACGCAGAGGAGAAGAAAAGACATCGAATTTGTAAATCTAAGAACCTCACTCTTCAGCTCTAATCTTTCTCATGAGGTTTGCAAGCTGTTCAACAATGCTATTGTCCTCTATGCCTTTAATACGAGCTAACTGTTTCTCAGGGGTAAAGACGGACTCGTCGTGAATGTTAATCTTCAATCTTACTGATTATATTATTAAATAAACAGGCGGTTCAACGAAGTCATTATATGTTGTGCATTCTGGCGTCTCTGAATTGCTACTTGAGTGATTTTGAGATGACTCTGAAATATTCTTATGAACCTTTCGTAGCCTTTAGAACAGTTGCCCCCATTTAAGGACTTATAACTAGAATGTCGCGCTCGAATGAACACAGCCACGCGTGGGTGACATGATATTCTTGTTGATTCGAGCAACTTAGGCAAATAAACTATCATGGCTCGGTGTGATACGTTAGCCGTCTGTTATCTGTGAAGTATTCTACCATTAGAAATCCCAATGTTTTTGTCTAACCCTCAAGTCACATCCGCATTCAGTCCAGTGGCAGTTAAGTGTGGTTAGTAATTAATCTCTACTGGCTAATTACATATTACGTCCCCAGTCATTCGCTCTCTCATCCTGAATCCGTCTTCCCGAGGTATCTCTTGTCAATTGTCGTGATACAATGGGACTGCCATGCCGAGACCTCCTGCTGTCACCTTCACATGTAGTTGTCGTGTATGAAGGCTTGCGCTTACTGGTAGGAAGCACGGTAGTTGTCCCAGTAGGAGTGAATACGAGTCTCCTGGCCCTCAGTGAAGTGGGTGAAGCAAGAGCTGAGTCCAAATGTCAGCACAAGAACTTTACAAGTAATCGTGGGATTCAGGGTCACTTACTCATCAGAGTAGTCCATGTAGTTGGTGACGGGGTCGGTTCCAGCAAGGGTGGGGCAGGTGTCGCGGCCGATCTCGCAGTTGTACGCCTCCTCGGCCTCGAAGGGTGTGTCAGAGACGTAGTCGCCGTTACCACCGCACTGGTAGCCCTCGAAGGTGTGGTACACTAGATCATGTAAGTCAACAATTTGGGTAAGTCATGTAGATCTCCATGTCACTTACGTCCAAGCCAGTGGCCAACCTCGTGAGTAGCAGTGTGGCCAAGGTTGTACTGGGTCAAGCTACCTCCAGGGACAGCGGCAGAGCGAATGACGACACCGTCGTAGTAGAAGGCAGAAGAGCCGGAGGTGACAGTCTGGGGGAAATAGGCGTACCCGAGGTAGGGGGTGCCGGGGATGAAGTAGACGTTCAGGTCGGCGTAAGTACCCTTGCGGAGCGCACGCTTCATGGCCAGCTCAGCCCTGTCAGCAGCCCAGTTGGAGTTGACGGTCCAGTCAACGCCAGCCTGAGCAAACTGGACATCGTGGGGAGCAAAGGCGTCGTTCATGACGTCCAGCTGCTTGTCCAGGGTGGCTTGGGTAAGGTACCCGCCACTGACAGACTGAGAGGTGGCAACAACGTGCCAGTAGACGTTGACGGTGATGGGAGCCAGGCGAGAGGAGTTGCCAGCGACGCGAGCGTTCTCTTCCTTGAGCTGGAAGCGCTCGGCAACCTCGATCTGCTCCTGGGAAGGAGAGGGGGTACCGCAAGAGCGCTGGGCAAGGGCGCCGGAGGCAACCGCGAGGGCGGAGAAAACGAGAGTCTTGAACTGCATCTTGGAGGAAAGACCGAAAACCTGATTGGAGAGAACCTGACCGAGAAGACTGGGATGAGGATGAGGGTGACAGAACACCTTGATGGCTGGTATTCAAGCAGTTTATATAACTCTGAACTGCCTCCATCACCGACCTCACATGCTCGAGGCCATATCTCAACACCCAAAGCATGTTCACTTTCAACCTTCCTTAAACGGACCAGGCCGAAGGTTTAGCACATTGCGGCGGATAGCTTTGTGGCATGCAAACTGGATCAATTGCAGCGGTCGTTTCCGCGCATGCAATTGCGAGTGGTCCTGTTCTCCATAACTGGGTAGTTGATTCATGGTCATGTTGAATGCACCTGCTCAGTTTGTCAGGTCACATCGAGTTCAATTGACGACACCGGTCAAAAGCTTGACGTGATAAGCCGGTTGGCCGGCATATCTTAAGATGCCAAGAGAAAACGCGGCTTTTGTGATGGTTCAGGAAATGCCAAGACGGTGGCAGTGGCCAAGAAAGGGGCATTTCCATGCTCTCAGTCGTATCTTGCACAACCGTCTGATTAGACCAAGCGACACCTGGTTATCGAGTTGCCTTTTGCGCCAATTCAGGCCAGTTTATTGGCCAGCAACACGCACAGCTGAGCTTACTTGCGCTTGATTCCCACCTACAAGTCTTGGCCAAGGTCTTGGCCTTCGATGTTGACCGCGTCTCTTTGGATGGGGATTGGCTCAATCAAGCTTATATTTATGAGTGTCGGGCATAGCCGGTCACCGAGATGTTACCTTCCTTAATTCGACTTCAGTCCCACTCACGGGATCCAGCAAATACTCCACGCAGGATCGATCCCCTTGCCTCCGACCCCGCGCCGGTCCAACCCACATCCCGGCGGTTGCGAAAAGCCCGCACATTGCATTGCATCTCATCGCCGTCCCTTGCTTTTCCGTGCCTCCCTCTACTTCCCCACATCTCCGGCAAGCGATCTCCATCTACCGCCTCCCGCAGCCGCCTCCTGCACCTGAATCCTTATCTTTGGTGGCGGTTTACCTGTGGGACACTAGCTTGTTCTCTGATCGGCCCAGATTCATTGGTTTGTCACTGACCAAAAAATGAGTCTTCTCAGCGCCGATGTCTTGAATGGCTTATTGCTTTCACAGTGTTCTGCTGAAGCAGCGGAGGGTCCCGGCCGATCGTTCCGGCCGGTCATTACTCCTTGCGAAAGACGGCAGCTTGGACCATCACGGCTGTTCAATCGGCCGTTCTCTCATGTCATAGGTGAACTTCATGACAAGCTCATGCACGCTATTCTTTTTCTCCCGTGCTCGTCATCTGCTTCCAGCGTCATGCACCGTAGAATGGTATGTTTAAAAACAAACGGGCGATTTGGGACCTACGCTTGAAAGAAACTATGCCAGTCAACTGGGAGTTTCCAGCGCCATTGTCTGAATAAAATCCCGTCCACCCATCTTTGAGGTTGAACCCGGGCCCTTGGAGCTGAGGCTCAGTGGCGATCATAAACTTGGCATCGGCGATCTTCTAGGTCGATCACGTAAAAGAGCGAGTATTGAGCGGGGAGATATCCAGGTTTACCACTGCAAGTTGAAGTTATTTCGAAGTTAAGTGCGGCGCGGGATTCAAGGGAACGAAGCACTTTAACTTGGAAGAATGGGAACCCGTTCTCATGAATGGAGGCTACGCGTGGTGGTTCACGCCCAGGAATGCAGTTCTTCGGCGCCACTGGCGTCTCAAGTATGTACGTACTTGCCCCATGGGTCAGAGATGCTATCAATACCTCATATTTTACTGCTTTTTATACTGGGTAGATGCAAGAGCTGCGCGAAGCGTAAGCCACGCAATAAACCAAACGGTACGTACTTGCCCTTTTCAGCCACTCGTGTCATTTGGTGATTCCATGTGTAGGAATCCATTATGATAAACACTGGCATCAGTCAGCTGAGACACCCTGTTCCAGTTTCTCATTATCCGCAATCTCATGCAAGAAACGGGCCAGGTTCCCCTATATGGCGCCCAACAGGTCCGCATTCCAGTCTGAGTGTTTTGACTTATTTTCCAGCACATCAGACACAAAGGGATGTCGGGGAATGTAATGGAGATAGATACATTGTTCTAAGTCCATTTTAGACTGTTGCCCTCGTACCCAGTATATAAGCCTGTATGCTGGCTATCGAGCGAGGCAGCGGTTTGCAGTCCTCTTACGCCGCTGGCACAGAATTTGTGTCAAGATGATCTTCGGAACAACAAACTATCGCTGGATTCCATTCGTTTTGCTGGCAGCCATCTGGCTATTCTTCACTCCACGGAGCTTGCATCACGTCAAGCATCAAACCTCAGCTGCCCAACATGTCGTTGCGGAGGGGCTGGCAGCAAGCCCAAAGGAGTCCGATACTTTTAGACTTTCGTCAATTGCGATAGCCAACACACCTACACCGACATCAGCATCTTTCAACGCAGCGGTCAACAAACAGGTCCATCAAACTCTGGTCGTTTTTTCATATTCTGAATCCGAGGACGCGCGAGAGAATCTCAAATATTTCGTCCAGCACGGGCTGCACAATGCAGCGGATTTCATTTTCGTGCTCAGCGGCCAGACAGATGCCGACAACGAGATTCCAACTGAAGATCATATTACTATCGTTAGGAGATCCATCACGTGCTCCGACTTGGGGGGAATAGGTGAAACTCTCAAGAAGGATGGTCTATGGACCTCTTACAATTACTTTATTCTCCTCAATGCCAGTTCAAGAGGCCCATTTTTACCGCATTGGAGCGATAGCTGTTGGTCTGACAAACTGTTGGCTAAAATCACAGACACGGTGAAGGTACGTGATAGCTGCTGATGGCCTGTTTTTGCTGTCTCCTGGGTCTTCTTGGATAATGCTTTGAGGGCAGGATGCATCTTTCAACGTCTCTACACATCTATGTTCAATGCTGACCTCATTCCTTGGTAGCTCGTTGGAACCACAGTCAAATGTTGGCCACAATTTCACATTCCTTCAATGATGTGGGCAACGGACAAGACCGGAATGAAACTCCTCCTCGACTCGACTCTGGGCCGTGCACACTCCGTCTTTGGCGGTCCTGAGGATCTTGTTGGGCTCAGCGGCTGCTATGATAACTTGCATAAGGCAGCTCACGCCGAGATCGGAGCTACCGCCATGATCACGGCAGGAGGTTACGAGATAGATGTTCTGGTCAAACCCTTCCACGAGCATACTGGTCACGAAGCATTCTGTGGCATGGGGTTCCCTCATCTCATTGACCCAATTCAAGAGACAGAGCACTTTGGCTTCAGCTTTCACCCGTACGAAATGATGTTTTGGAGAACAACTGACGGCGCCACATCGAAATTAATGCAACATCTATCCTTGGGAGCTGATAGCAGTAGATATATGAGCCGCCAAAAGTGTGCAATTTAATAGAATAAAAGCCATGTAGGAGAAACAAGCCCGAAAGCAAGCGCATCAGAGAGCTATCACGTGCTTAGTCTGCGAGTGATGGAAAACATGATGCCCGTCAGCTTCCTCATTGCAGCCTCTCTGTAGTCGTCGGGCTCATCATGGACCAAATCATCGATGTTGACGTCAAAAACAAAGTTCTTCATGTTATTTACCCGGTACGTTGGCCATTTCTGGCAGGTTACTACAACCAATATTCAGTTGATGAAACGGAACTCCAGAGAAAGAAAGGTGATACATACCTGTGCTGTAGTTTGAATCATCATTTATAAAGAAGCTTACCCACATACTTGACATGGTGTCCGCATGCCGTGAAAATTGGCTGAATTTGGGGTGCTCCTTGAACTGGGACACATCGTTGAATACAACCGGAACTTCAGCGAAATGATTGGCGCCCTGTTCAGGGCTTCCGGTAACCACATTCCAGTGGTAGTTATAAACTGTATGGTTATAAGCTGCCAAAGCGCGGGCAAAGAAACGACGCGGCGCGTGCATCATCAAGTCGCCCCCGTAGGCCGCCATGCGCTTATACTGGGCTCCGAGATAAGTAAGGTTGCCGGAAGGGCGGTGCTGGAGCGAGGCGGGAATACCAACATCCGGGTCCTCAGGGTAGACAGCGGCGATCTCCAGAGCAGCGGCTTTGCTTGCCTGGCTTTTCTGAATAGCGTCAAGAAACTGCTCTGTGGTATTGACTCCGATCTGACCAAAGCCGACACCCTCGTCGAAGTTTGTGCCTAGAAGAATTGGGACGCGGGGGACGGCCCCTTGGCTGAGTTGAACCTGAGTAGAGGTCTCGAAGAAATCGCCGTCGACGTAATGACCAAGATCAAAGCTCAAAGCTGCCAAGGACGTTCTGAAAGCCTCACTGAGTTGCTGGACCGGGACATTCCTCAGACAAGCCACAGTGTCAGTGATGTTGCCACACTTGACACTCTCTGCTGCAGTCTGGTAAATGGGTTCCCAGTTATTGGCAGTGAAAGTATGGTCAGGCTCAGCCCAGATAGGAGCGCCGCTTTGCAACACCGCCGCACGAAATAGACCGTCGTCTCGGCCTCCGTGGGCCAAGAGCTGTGCACCGACACTCCATGCACCCGCGCTTTTGCCAAATAGGGTCACCTTTTGGGAGCTTCCGCCAAAAGCACCAATGTTCTCCTGAATCCAGTGCAGGGCGAGACGCTGATCGCGATAGCCAAGGTGGTCGCTTCCTTCTTTAGCCATTGCGTTGCCGTACAAGAATCCCCAAGCAGAAAGGCGGTAGTTCATGCTAGCTGCAATGATCGGGTAACCCATCTCAACCGACTTTTGAACGATGAAAGAGAGGTTGTAGCTAGGTTCACGGGAGCTGCCTTCCACCAGCACACCGCCGTGAATCCAAACGGCCACAGGCAGGCTTGCGTTGGGGAGAATGCCGGCAGGACGAATGACGTTGATGGTCAGACAATCTTCTGACATCTGTTCTTCTGGGACCAGCTCATTCCCTGGGGAACTGTAGCCAATGTATGCCGATGAGTAGGCATCGGCATTCCGTGTTCCAGTCCATGAAGTGTTGAGGGATTGCGGAATACGTAGACGCAAATCGCCGACGGGTGTTTGAGCAAAGGGCATTACTAGGAAGAAGTCTTGCTCAAAATCCAAGTTGAAGACGCCTCGATAGGTGCCATTTCGAATTTGCACGGTGGGAGTTCCGTGGGAGACGGCGACGAAGGCAAAGAAAGCTACTGCAAGACGATGGGCAGCCATGATGGGCGGAACGTTTGGTTGAAGGCGATGTCAAACAGATCGTACGTGGTTGCAAAGAGGGTGAGGCCATTTTCATATTTCATGTTCCTGGCTTGCGATCCATCCGCAGAGAACGTGCAATTTCACTGGACCCCATCCTTTTTCACCAAAATGGAACGGACTTGTCAGCAGGCTGAGCCATCATGAAGCCCAGGTAGGAAAGCTCTATGCGGTAATATCATGTAATTTGCTGTAGATTTAGCGGTACGTGACACAATCCGCAGTGGAGGAGTTTGTGTTCGAGTTAGCAACGGAGGCCTAAGAGAAGCCGGGGCTTCCAGACTGCGGGTAATCTCCTTGCGAACCTGGATGCCCCGTTTAGGCATATCATAATAGCACAGTACACCTCGACATGGGCGGTTTCAGTCACGCGTGATCATGTGATCCGCGGCAGTACTCCTTAAGGACAGAGAAATCGTTTGATAGTAGTAGTAGCAGGTAGAGTGGTCCCGCCACCAAAAGGAACTCAAGTTTTGAAGAAGTCAGCAAATCAGGACACGAACTAAAGGCGCAGCCGCTTCGTAAAAGCACAAACTCGACATCTTTGTCTATCTTCATACCCATTCAGAGAATAAGACACAACTGATTGAGTGATGATTTCCAAGCCGGCATTGACAGGTTTCTTGACGGCCGATAGCAACTTTAATTTCACAAGCCAGATGCCCAACAGATTCAAGGTTCCCAATGCTGAAATCCGTGTTTGTGAAAGTGCCCATTCACTTCAGTTTAATAATTCTTCGCGGCGCCGTACCTAACCACCAACGCTCTGGTGATTGCAGGCTTGGCTTCGCGGCGCACTTGCTTCGATTGGCGCGCATTTCACTGCCTGAATAGGAAATCATAGTCACGCCACACACCTTAAAAACGACGCTGCTTCAAGTCTCCCTACAACTCAATCTTCCAGACTCATCTTCCATATGCCGTTACAAAATGCGCTATATACGGTCGACCGCTACCTTTCTGGTAATATTCTCTATTGAGACCTGGCTAGCACATGCCATTCCCCACGCCTCAGCACAACAGCAACTCATTTTTGGCGGACAACCTGCCGCGCCAGTACGACGAGAAGCCAGAGTCGTAGAGCAAAACGACAGTCTCTGCGATGCAGGATCCAAACAGTGGACCGGGTTTGTTCCTATCAATCCCACGCGAGAAATGTTCTTTTGTTAGTGGTTTTTCCCGTGCTATCGTCATCTATGTGCGTTGACTAACCTGGTCTAGGGTATTTTGAAAGTCGTACTGAACCTGAGAATGCCCCTTTGATTATTTGGGTTAATGGGTGAGCTTTTATCATACGTTCTCCAAATTCTTTTCTCTCAATCCTTGAAGCCCTCCGTCTTAACCTTTCGGTATGTTTGTAGCGGCCCCGGGGGCTCTTCTCTTCTCGGTGCCTTCTTCGAAATCGGGCCATGCAAAGTTGATCGAGCAGGTAACAGCACGTCTAGAAATCTTTGGAGTTGGACAAACTTTGCAAATGTTCTCTTCATTGAGTACGTAATGCAATCCCATGAGCCCTCCTTCTGCTTTTTGGTGTTGACTTCTTGAATTTCCCAGCCAGCCTATTGGCGTTGGATTTTCTTTCACCAATGATTCGAGCCTTTGGGCAAAAACTTTGGATGAGGCAGAAAACGACATTTCCAAGTTCTTCGACATATTCCTGGAAGAGCTTTTCCCAAATCTACTGGGTAGACCTATGCACTTCGCGGGCGAGTCTTTTGGAGGTCAATACGTGCCTCACTACGTCAGCAAGATGAGAAGAAGTTTCAGTTCTATCATACTTGCAAACGCTCTCATCAGCTTTCCGAAGTCTATGATGGGCTTCTACGAGCATTTCTGCACTTCGGACAGGGATTCCAAACCTGACACGCCAGCTACACTGAAGCATTTCAACGAAACCGATTGCACAGCTATGGCCGCCGCGTACCCAAACTGCTACCGCTCCAGCCGCTTGTGCGACACTACATATCAAAGTGAGGCATGCATTGCTGCATACGACGCATGTAGGCCCATTCAGGATGTTGTTATGGAGAAGGTTATTCCTGGCGGCCTCAACCCATACGACGATCGAAAGGACTGTGTGGAACCTCCTCTTTGCGGACATCTGGGTAAGCAGCCTTGAAATTTCCTGGTCGAAGGATGCATCATTGATCAAAACCAGGAATGGAAGAGATCACGTCGTTTCTTAATTTGAATAATGTGCAAAGAGCAATCGGGCTCGAGAACAAAATCGACTACGAAACAGTGAATATGGATTTGAACGAGCAGTGGTCAAATGGGGCCGATATGTTCATTCCTTCCAGCCGTGAGATAACTGCCGTTTTAGACATCAAGCATACTCGAGTTTTAGTCATCAACGGCAACAACGACATTATTGTGTAAGTTCCATTTCGAATCTGATGCCTGCGGTTTGGTTACGTTCTGCCTGTGGGAGTGTTATTAGCTAACACTTGAACTAGAAACACTGAAGGCATTAAGAGAACTTACGATGATATAATATGGACAGGACAAGCACAGTTTCTGACCGGATCATATACGCCAATCTACAAACAGCGCACAGAGAAACTCAAAGTTCATATAGGAGAGTTCAAGAGGAGTGGCAACTTGACAGTTGTTAGTATTGATGAGGCAGGCCACATTGCACCTCACGATCAGCCCCAGACAATAGTGCAGGTCGTTCATCAGTGGACTTCACATATAAAGTCTGCTGACTGATGTTCGAAGTCTCGATTTCGAGCATGTCTTTGGGCGGTTGCCGTAGTTACTTGAATCTCATCCAATTTAGATTAACAGCACAATGCCTTGCTTGTTGCCAAATGGCTGCTGGCAATGCTGACCTTTTACCGAAAATTGCTCCCTCGACTGAGTCTTGGACAGCTTTCGTAGCGTGGAAGAAGGAACCGCCTTCTGATATCTAACGTTTCGGAATACACATTCCAACCTTTAGGTGTTGATAGAGACGAGACATAGCACATTATCAACAATCAAAAACAGGCAAAAACCTCAGGCACTCAGTTGCCTAGTACTCAGAGTAGAAAGGGTTCATGTCTCATTGTATTCAATCTCTAACGCCCAACCTATTTGCCGCTTTGCACACCAGTGTGTCTAAGCATTCAACCTCATCCCCAGAAAATTCAAAACCAGTGAATCAACTATCTTTACATCTAGAAACGGACGCGCACAAACTTGCCCGCCGGAGGTGGAGGTGCAGCGGCGGGAGGGGCAGCAGGCTTCGGGGGAGAAGCAGGGGGAGCCGCGGCAGGTTGTCCGGCGGGGGGAGCAGCAGGGGCGGGTGCTGGGGCTGCGGCCGGAGGCGGTGCCGGCTTACCAGCGGCCGGGGCCGGAGGAGGGGCAGCAGCAGGCGGTGTGGCGGGCTTAGGGGCACCGTTCGGGGGAGGGGCCGGCTTGCTGGCAGCGGGAGCTGGCGGTGGGGCAGCAGGCTGAGGAGCAGGTACCGCAGGCTTAGGAGCTGCGTTCGGGGGAGGAGCAGGCTTGCTAGCAGCGGGAGCCGGAGGAGGAGCTGCAGCAGGAGGAGCCGCAGGCTTAGGGGCAGGTACCGCTGGCTTTGGGGCCGCATTTGGGGGAGGAGCAGGGCTGCCAGCTGCGGGTGCCTTGGGCGCAGCAGCAGGAGGGTTGGCCGGAGGAGCGGCAGCCGGGGGCTTTGGAGCCGCGGGCGGGGCGGCAGCAGGCTTTGATCCAGCGGGAGCGGCCGGGGCGGCGGGTGCAGGCTTGGCCGGGGATGCGGCGGGCGGGGCCGGGGCGGCCGCAGGTGGTGGGGCTGCAGCACCGGCGGCCGGAGCGGCAGCATTAGGAGTAGCCGCTCCCTTCTTCTTAAGGACACCTGCAGCTGCGCCGAGAACAGTGTTCAGAGGGGCGGCCAGAGGGTTGGCAGCGGCATTACCAGCGGGAGCAGCAGCATTAGCAGGTTGTCCCTTGCCCTTAAGCACTCCGGCGGCGGTGCCCAAAACAGCTCCGATAGGATCTGCGGCTTGGCTGCCAGCAGGAGCAGCGGCACCAGCCGGCTGGCCACCCTTCCCCTTAAGAACACCAGCAGCAGTTCCGAGGACAGTGCCAATAGGGTCAGCGGCTTGGCTACCGGCCGGGGCAGCCCCACCAGCAGGCTGGCCATTGGTCTTGCCGGTCAGAGTTCCAAGAACTGAGCCGATTGGGTCCGCAGCCGGTGCAGCTGCGGGTGCCGGTGCGGCGGCGGGAGGAGGGGCAGCAGCGGGGGGAGGGGCAGCAGCGGGGGGAGGGGCAGCAGCGGGGGGAGGAGCTGCTGCCGGTGCAGCTCCAGCTGCCGGTGCCGTAGCAGCTTGTCTGGCACCGAGGGCTGGAGACTTTGCCTTCTTGCCCTTGGCAGTCGCCGGAGCAGCAGCCGGAGCGGCGGCACCGGCTGTCTTGCCCTTGGCCTTGGCTCCCGTGAGACCACCAAGGAGCGCTCCAATAGGATCGGCGGCAGCGGCGTTTTTGCCCTTGCCCTTGGCCGGGGCAGCACCGGCTGCTCCTGCAGCCGGTGCACCAGCAGCTGTGCCGCCAGCGCAGTTGCTACTCTCATCATTAGACTTGAAATGCATGATGGACGCAAAAGAGGGTGATGCTCATGAATCAGGTCGGATGTCAAGTGAAGTAGCTTACCCAGTCAGCCCTCCGGCCTGTGCTCTCACACACTTCGCATTTTGCCCTCCCTGTAATGAATGGTAAGTGACTTGTTTTTGATTCCCTATGAGGGAGGTTGGAACATACCGATAGTAGGCAGTCCAGGTCGTCGAAGCATACAGCTCCTTGCGCGGAGACATAGCTAACGCACAAGGCGGAAGCGACGATGGCGAGTCCACGCATGATGATGGCAGTACTGTGATCGAATGATTGAGGTGGATCGGTTCTTTGTTCAAACTCGATATGTGTACGAGTGATGATGATTCGAATCACGAACACCAACTAGTCGTATTGGGAGCTCCCGTCATTTATAGAGGTGGAGCAACTGAACAAAAGCTAGTTTCTGCAGGCCAGCTTGATCTGTAGCCAGTAGTTCAAGTGAATACTCGCTCCGTTCTTGAAAGCCGAGGCTGTCTTTCGTGTACACGTGGATGCAGCTTCTCTCAAATACAACAGGAATGCCTTCCAAACGTCTCGAGATTTGTTTGACCGGAATCGCTGCCGACGTCCTCTGAAGATCCCCGTCTGTGCACTGCATCATGGCAAGGATCCTCCGAGCTGACGATCGAGGCGGAGGCTCAGCAGAGGAAGCGGGAGCTAAGGGTGTAGCACTGACTTTGATAGGAATGTCAGTCGATTCTGTCAGTACCTTAGAGAGGCGGGTTCATCTGATCTAATTGACAAATTTGCTTGCCGCGGAAAGGCTCGTGCATGCAGCCGAATGCGCATCTCTAAACACAGCACTTTGAAATAGACATGGGCCCTGCGTTGGTGTCTCAGCTTACTGACGACGTGTCAGTGCCTGTCACACCATCAGTAGCAATGACGATATTTGTCAAGACCAACAGACAATGTTCGCAAATGGAGTTGTCCCAGAACGCAACCTCAATCAGACGCCGTGTGTCCTTTCGCTCGGTGGCTTCGGTTCCGGACGACTGTCGTCAACTACCGATTGACGGCAACGTCGAGTCCAGGCAAGTTTTGATTTGAATTTGGCTCGGGTACATCTGCTTCTCAGACTCCTGCGAGTCCTCCGCACGAGACGTAGCGGGTAATCAACTTTGATGACCAAAAAAGCTCCATTGAAATGCTGTTGCTACTCTGAGAATCTCCAAACACACTTCCTGCTGGAGATCAGTTTGAATCAGGTCTCCTGACTTTACATTAATACATTTGGTTTCTTTTGCAGTACACGATAGCAGCTGAATCAAGCTCTTCTATAACGTGCGCATTATGCCGTCTATTTGTAGCTGGTCCTTACCAATACGCGTAGCACACTGTGTGAACATTCCGTTTCCAGTCCTCTGGTCCATCTGCGTCGCATTAACTCGTACCCAAACTATGAGTGGTCAAGTGCCTTCAAGATCTGACAAATCAGGATGATTTACAATTGTGCGTCTGATAGATACCACGGGGAAGCTTTATTTGACCTTAACCCCCAAATTTTGGTTCGGCCTCATAGATTTCACTAAGGAGAGGTATCTGATGTTCAACTTTAGCTTTAAAGTTCCTCTAGACCCTGAATATATCACGTCTATGTTTATGTAAATTCATTCTCATTATCGGCTTAAATTTGATCCTCGATGCGCATGCTTCTAGATTCCAGATTTCTGCTTCGGAATTTTCTTGCTTCGGGTAGCCCTCATGATTGGGTCCTCGGGTGCACGTGTAAGTTGGAGCCCAGAGCGTGCACATTTTACCGCTTAGTACATTGAATACGCGTCTTTTCTGCTCGAAATGAGAATACGTCAACGAAAGCTCCTTCATGTGCGAGAGTTACGTATTACTCATACCGGATGCCCGTGGAGCATTTTCATCCCGGTGGCTGGCCTAAAATTCCCGGCCGGGCCAAACTCGCCGGCGCTTTGCCGGGACGGCGCCCCACTTGGCGCCGCCCAAATTCGCCGGTGCTCAGTGCAATGATCGAAGCCTTCACGGCGAAGTTGGCCTAAACTTCCACGTTGGCCGCAACTCATTTATAATCTGTAAGCTATTGGTCTTGTCATTTGTAATCTTACACGTCGAGGACAAAGAATAAAACACTGAGTGTATTCCAATCATTGAGCAGGCTTCTTGCCCTCATCATCAACGCAAAGCAAATTCATCGCCTTAACCAAGTTTAAATCTCCAGTGCAACTACTGCTACTTTTTCTTTCGATTACGCCCCAACATTCAAAATGACCGTTGCTCTTATCACCGGAGGAAACGCTGGCATTGGCGAGGCTGTCGTCCGCCAGTTGGCCAAAATCCCCAATTTCCATGTCATCATCGGGTCGCGCAGTCTCGAATCCGGTGCTAAGGTCGCCGACTCTCTCAATCAGGAGGGTCACTCCGTCACTGCCATCCAGCTCGACATTACCTCCGATGACTCAGTCGTAAAAGCTATGGCTGAAATAACTGAAAGTCACGGCAGGCTTGACGTCCTCGTCAACAACGCCGGCATTCTCATCGACACTTCCGAAGATGCCTACACCTCCATCCGCGATCTTTTCTCGAAGACATTCAACACCAACGTCTTTGGCACCGTAGCCCTGACCGAGGCAGCTCTACCCCTTCTGCAGAAGAGCGACCACCCCCGTGTTGTCTTCGTTTCTTCCACCATGGGATCTCTGGAGTTCGCGGGCAATCCGAACACCCCCTTCTACAACATCGACTACAAGGCGTACGATGCTAGTAAGGCCGCCGTCAACATGCTCGCCGTCAACTACGCGCGCATTTTAAAGCCATTTGGTGGGGTCTCTAATGCCATCTGCCCTGGCCTGGTCCGAACCAAAATGAACGGGTTCATTGAAGCCGGTACCCCAGTCGAGATAGGAGCTGAGCGAATTGTCCAACTTGCGACTGCAGCTCCAGGTGGTGTCACCGGAACCTTTTCGAACAGGGAGGGTGGTATTGCTTGGTAAGTGGAGGTGAAGGACTCGCTTTGACACTGCGCATGTACTCTCGTCAAAGCTCTAAGGGGAAGAACAGAACAGAATGTAGCTTATCAATACACACTTGTTCAAAATTGCCTTTCATGTGAATAACCATACACAAGCAAGTAAAGTTCCTCTAAATTACATATCCTCGCAAATATAGGCGATTTATAGGTGTCACCGCAAGACTACGTGCCGCACCCGAAACGTAGCCCCCCTCCCTTCTCATAAAAATGTAAAACAAACTACAACATTTGGGTTGCTACGTTCAACAACATACCAACATTATCCACTCCTGCATTCCAGGTATTGAGCCTGTCCGTGATATCCTTCGGGTGCGAACTCTTGTGCAAATGGTAGAGTTCGCCAAAAGTAACGGGTCTGTTTACTCGATGTTGTTGCCTTTGAAACGCCTCAGCTTCCTCCTTCCAGGTCTCTGGTGTTGTGGCGGTCCATAATGATTTGTGACATGGAAGCTGAAGAGTATTCCAGGAATCTAGGATACAACAAGTCATGCCCATCCTGACGGAACTTACTTGAGCAACAAGGAACCAAACACATGCAATCCTAAGAAAGGGTTAGAGACTTCGTGACAGAAGCTGGTACTTGACAAACCTTGTGAGGGACTCTCCCAGAACCCAGTCTTGCCATTCAAGGCTATCGACTTCCGGGCTCGCACTGCAGGAAGCCACGTCCATCATTACCAGTTGTGACCGAAATAGCTGTCCCGAATTAGCAGTCAAACTCGCACATGGCTTGTGTTCTCCAAACCTTATATGCCATCAGCAAGTCAGTATTGTACTCGCGATCTTGTGCAGTCTTCCCGCAGCCATCTACGACACGCATAGTGATGTAAATCAACTGGGCTTGCATGGCTGCAAACACATCATATTTCGGCCAGCTTGTCATCTTTGTCATATCGTTAACGTTTAACTCGCATTTGTAATGGAGATGGGATTGTTTACCTTTTGAATACATCTCTGTTGCTCTTCTCTAATAGATTTCCACAGGAAAGGCCGCGTATCGTCATTTCTCGACGCAAATAGCACCGCAATTGCCATACAGTTCGCCAATGGCTCTGGGAGTCGGCTCTTGTCCTGATGAGGATGTATGAATGGCGGAAAGGTCGATCGGCGAAGCATCATTTCTGGGTACGCCGATAGTGACTGTCTGATGAGACTCGCGCTGCTTTCTGCAACCGGGCTGAGGTCTCGGATTCGGCTGAGTGGGAATGAAAGCTGACAGATCGATGATATTGTGGTATCATTGAAGATACCCGAAAGCGCAACCTCTTGAAAGCTCCCCTTTGGAATCGGATTCATGTTCACCCCGATGGTATTTGGAATGCAGAAGCCAGTGCTGCTTTTGAGGGCCAGATCGTTGGGAGTTTCCAATGCTTGCGAACCCGTGCTTGTCCAGAACTGATCATCGTTTCCGATAGATTCAAACACCTCAATCGGAACATGTTGCAAGCTGCCTGTGGATAATACGTCGGGTGTAACTGTAAGGGGGGTTCTTGTCAAGGCTCTTGAACTGGAGCTGGATTCCGCACGAGGATTATCAGGATAAATGCAGTCGAGTCCCTTTTGAGTGCAACGAGTGCAGCCTTTTTGGAGGCTACACTTGCTCTTGGCTGCCTTGCACTCTGTGCAAGGCTTTGGCCGGATACGGGGGCGATTACGTGCCTTCCGGCAGTATGCAACATGTCTTTTGAATGCAACTTCTGTCAAACAGTCGGTAAGTACTGAGTTCTTTCAGAGTCTCGAATACCAGGTGCAAACCTTGACTGAAGGGTTTGTTGCAGATGCTACAAAACGAAACCAATGAACCGGACTGCTCTAAACTGAAGTTCAGGAGGTCTGATGCAGTATCAAGATCCATGGCTAGAGCGCAATGTGCAAGTTAGATACAGTCGGGAGTAAAGCGCGGTTAGGCAACTTCAACGACGTTAGCCAGCACTGCAGTCTACAAAGTCGATAGAATTGTTCACAATCGGAGAGATGACGAAGACGCTAAATTAGTAAGACGACCTCAAGCACAGCAGCCAAAATCTCACGTGGGTGAGATGCTAACCGCGAACGGTGCTTCGCAGGATTTCAGGTTTGTCAGCACATATTGGCAGGAACGGCAGAGCGGAGATAAAGCCACAAGGCCCGATCATTCCTGCAGCTGTAAAACAACAATTCAGACATCGATTGAAGTGAGTCCTCATACGCGCGACGGCGATCATCATTGAAGGCAAAGGTCCGAATGACAACAGCAAGCCCTCCAGAAGCGGGAGAATAATTGAAGGCACACGCGCGTTCTTTTAGAAAAGCAACCGCAAAAGGTCGCGGCATTGGCGCCTGAGATATTAATGGAAGTGCCAGATGGAAGCGGGACGATGGCGCAGTGACATGAGCCTGTCAATTATCATCTTCCAAACCAGTCACGGGACCCAGCTCCAAGGCGTGAGGCTGGTCGCAGTATGGGCGGTTAGCGGGGATATGCATAGCTCAACCAACCGCGCAACAGACAGAGAGACTTCTCCCGATGTGTGTTAACATCAATATGGAGGGCTCCTCCTCTTGGCCCACGGGGATCCAATATGGTGAAGCGGTTGCTAAGAGGACAGAGGACCGACAGTACCACATTTCGCGAAGAGCCCGGCCAAGTACTTTTGCAGTCTACCAACAGCATCCGTCGGAGGCTTTCTGCATCGCTCACAGGCTTGACTCCCGAACGCAGCGGAAAGCCGGTTTTGAGTTCGACTGTGCGCGCGAGGTGATACTTGCCACCTGCTGTCGTGTCGCGCTCTCAGCTGCTGCGAGAACGGGCAAACAGGAACATGCGACGGCGGACAGGTGATCTACCAGGACCGAGACCACGGGCGGCGGGTGAAGCTGTGAAGTTGGGGGTGTCGCGGGTGCATAGCAGCCCAATGGAGAGTATGGGAGAGCCCGATGGTGGTGTGGCAGGATCGGCGGCTGCAGTTGATGGGTTTGGTGATGAGTATGCGGATTGACAGGGGAACTTGAACCCAATGGGAAGAGCCGCGGTGGGAGGATAGATTGGCGTTTAATGGTGATAGGCGAGTGAGGGGAATGGTTTGGCTTTTTTGTCCGTATTGCTGGGTATGAACTGGTGGGTTGAAGTGAGCTGGGAGCCCGACTATGAGGTGAGCTGTTTGATGAGTGAGATGGAGGAGACACGTTTGTGTTAGTGAGAAGATGCCGAGAGGAGCATTCGGGCGTTTCCTCCGCCCCGCAGTTGCCCGCCCGCTCGCCCACGTTCTCGCTGTCAGTTCATCGTCAATGGCAAGTCAATCCACCATGACGATTTTCGACGGTTAACGGCTCGCGGCCAAGCTGTCGGTGTTGTACACACGCGACGTCAGGAACGCAGCATTGGGTGCTAGGTTGCAATGGTGAGCAGTACCTTGCTGGACGCGGTTGGAAGGGCTATCTGATTTCAGATTGGAATGAAGCTGTACGACCTCATCGACCTCATCGTGCGTGGTGCGTCATGCAGCAGGAGACAGCGCACCACAATATCGAAGGTCAGGAGAAGGGAAAGGAAGACCCCAAAAGCGGAAACCGCGACGGGACAGCAGGGACAGGCAGGATCCATCGGGGATTAACAAGCCAAGCCAAGCCCAACCGGCAACGACACGCAGTTGAGAAAAGAAACGCGTGAGTTGTGCCATGTCAGCCCCTGAGCTGAGCTGCTGGCGCTGGAAGATGTCGCGATGCGGTGAGGAGGGCTGGAAAGCGGGTGAATGGGGGGCGGCAAAGGCACGAGACAAGCGCGGCCGAGGCAGCAAATTGCCAAAATGATGGTGAAGGGGTGCCAGGTGGAAGGCGGGAAGCTGTTGGTCGGAATGGGCGGGAAGAAGCCGGAGACAAGATGGACAAGGACCGGGACTGAAGGCGAGGTGAGCGCGGAGTGAGGTGAGTGGTGAGCTGGCTGAGAAGTGAGTGGGCCTGGCCCATCTCATGTGAGAAGCTCATTGATTGAGTGAGTGACAAGTGAGTGAGCCAACCGCGACTGGAGCGAGAACAGACTCCAGTCGACTCTGAGGTGTTCTCCGGCGGTGGCCAGCTTCCCAGCTGCCAACTTCCAGCTGCAACGGCGCCCAAACATTGCAAAGGGGCGTCGCGGGTTTCCACCACGGCCAATCGCTGGCATCTCGCCTCGCCTTGAACGGTCTGGCCTGGTCTTGTCGCCGCCAGGGGCCGGCGTCTCCTCAGGGGAGGGGGAGTGAGAGTGAGGGGTGTTTTCAGAGAATTGGAGGTGACTGTGACTGTGATTGCGACTGCGCGGCTGCGGTTGGAAATCCACGGCACGATTTTCAAAGTTTCGCTCTGATTGCTGGAAGTTATTCACTCAAAGTTGATATACGGAATGGCATCGATTGGGCGTAAGAGGTTTCTCTTTCACTGGTGATTCTCACTGGCTCGCATCTAGTGATAACATAATGAATGTCCAATTGCCAGGTATTTCATCGAAAAAGCCCCCCCGTTCATTACCCCCCTCCTCCGCGTCTCTTTTTTTTCACTTTCCTCCCCGCTCTTTTGCTCCCATCTCAACCAACACATCGAGGCGGTCATCGGGGGGCGCATACGGAACATACACGTACCTTACCTTACCTTACGATACCCTCACATATCCATATCCATACCCATACTCATATGCTCACACCGTTATTCCGTCATCTGCCCATTTGGTCATTTGTCTACTTGTCGGTGTCGTAAACGACATCTCCATCTCCAACCTCTCTGACCTCCACATCTCGGGACGGCCTCACCGTCCGGCTAGCTTCCGTCGCCGTCGTCCACTTTAGCATCGGCTTTAGCTTCATCTCCAACATCCCGGAGCCTTTGATCTGAAGATCCTTCCACTGGCTTGAGAGAAGAGGTGGAGACGATTTGCAACGCCCGTCCCTCCTCTGGGCTCTTCCGTTCCGCTGCCGCCGCCCCTGTCACCCAAGTCGGTATTCGCTTCCGTTTGAACCTTTGACGGTGGAGTTGTTTTAGGGGCCTCCTTTCCTTCACCGCATCGTCGACAGCGAGGAACCCTGCCTTGAACGGCGCCCAGAACCGCCAACTGCCCCGAGTGCCCCCAAGTGGCACCTCGATCACCGCGTGAAGAGACTTTTGGCGGTGGACGGGCTCCCTCTTGGACCAACCTCCCGCCCTGGGTTCCCTGTCGTCACTTGAAGGAACGGGAGCTTCAAAAATCGGCTAGTGCCACCTCTAAGACAAGACCAACACCACCACACTGGGTCACCGCCTGTGTGAGTGCATCACACCTTTGCTCTCTTCGACATCACACACACTCTACACATACAAGTCTCTGTCAAGTCTGTCACCGGACGAGTGACAGATACTCAAACATCATGGCACCGCAGGCCCTCACGCAGACGGTCACAATCATCAACAACTCGGGAAAGATTATAAGTACCGTAAGTCTCTCTCTCTGGCTCACACCCGTTGCATTTCCCCCCACCGCCCCTCTCAAATTCCAAGTTCAGCCCTCGCCTGGCCGCGTGTTTTGCAACATTCGACCTGCAACATGCAAACGCACTACAACTCCAAGATGACCGTTGAGGCCCAAAGCTGACGTATCACCTTTTGTGATTTTGCAGGGCAAACAGCTCGCTGGCATCTTTAAAGAAGCCAAAGCACACTACCAGGACAAAAAGGCCTCTATCAGGGCCGACCGCGAACTCAAGCGAGCCCAAACCTTCGACACATCCCGCGATCTTCCTCCCGAGGCCTTCGAGCGCAGACTCTCCTACGATGATGGCCAATCCGTCGCCAGCTCCCGCAGGAGTTACCGCTCCAGGCGGTCCCATTACCCGGACCAGGAGTATTATCCTCCCGCGAGGCCAGCCCTGACCGAGAACAATCTCAAGACACATTCCGAGGTGTCGAGCGTCACTCCCTCGAGGGCGCCTCCCGCCGTATACCGCTCCCCCTATGCCGAGACAGCTCCTCGCGATATGGCCATGAGCCGCCCGACGATGCACCACTACACAACCGCCCCACCATGCAGTGACAGTCTCGCCGATTCCGCCACGATTCGCGGCGCCAACATCCCCCGCACAATGTCTTCGCCCGCGGTACCGACGGGCGGCAAGAAGAAGAAGGAAATAGACATGGACCTCGCATACGGCAACATCCCCCCGGATCTGGCCGAGCGCACCGACCTGGACCCCAAGGAGGACCAGGCGAAGAGCCTGATTTCCCGTGTCGAGGGACTCCTCGAGGAAGCCCACTGCATCCAGCACACAGCGACGGCCACCATCGCCCACCTGCAGAAGAACCCCGATGCCGCTGCCGCCGTGGCTCTTACTCTCGCCGAGTTGTCCACTCTGTTGAAGGGCATGTCCCCCGCCTTCCTTTCCGTTATCAAGGGAGGTTCGCCCGCCGTCTTCGCCCTCCTCGCCTCGCCTCAGTTTCTCATCGCGGCCGGTGCAACTCTCGGCATGACGGTTGTCATGTTCGGTGGCTGGAAGATTGTGCAGCAGATCAAGGACGCCAAGGCCCAAAGGGAGGCCATCATGGCGAATGCCATCGCCATGGAAGCCCAGCCCGCGCCGCTGCCGCCTCCTACCGAATACGCCTACGAGCAATACGACCCGTACGCACAGCCGCGTGAGGGCAGCGTGGTTTATGAAGAGGCCGTCGTTCTCGATGAGCGTCTGGAGGAGGAGCTAAGCTCCATCGAGTCCTGGCGCCGCGGGATCGCTCCCATGGGCGAGGACGAGAGCGTCGACATGGAACTCATCAGCCCCGAGGCTGCGCGGTCCATCCGTGGCGACCCGGACACCCGCTCGGAGCGAAGCTTCCGTACAACCCGCACTGCCAAGACGCACCGCAGCTCAAGGACCGAGAGGTCGCACCACTCGACTCAATCACACAGGTCGCACCGCAGCAGTGCCAGCATGCGGGAGTCGGAGATCCCGGAGCGGAAGAGCAGCATCGCGCGATCGGAGCGGGGTGACGCTGAGAGCGTTGCCAGCAGCCACCGCAGTCACCGAAGCTCGGCGTCGAAGCGGACCGGCCGCGTGTCGATGTTGACCATTGAGGAAGGCAAGAGTGTGAAGGACGACGAGATCATCGAGCTTGCATCGCGCCCCAAGAAGAACAACATGCTCAGGTCATTGTTCAAGAAGAAGGAGAAGGAACACAGGGAAAGAGATGAGAGAGTCTCCGCTCTCGTGTTCTAAGATGACGAGACTATGAAAGACGACCAACTAAACGACAGAAAAGACGATATAGATGACGACGAAGAGAGAGAACGATGCATTCGGCTAGGGCGGTGACCCAGCCTGGACGGAGTTGGGATTGTAATGGATATGGACAAGCACAGGGTATGACTGGACTAACTCGCCCTCGTGCTCTCGTTTTTGGGCTTTTTTTTCCTCGGTTTCTTTTGCATTATTTGGGGGAACATCATCAGAAAGGTCACACGTACCTACAAACAATTGTTACATCAACTAGAGCGATCACACATCAATTTCATTTTGGTAGATATTATCGCAGCATACATAAGATTTATTGTCTTTCTACCACCGGCTACGTCCATCTGTCAGAGCATGCTTGAAATCATCTGGGGAGAACTCGAGATCAGCAAGCTGATGATGTTCAACCTGTCAGTCAACCTGTCAGTCAACCTGCATTTGAACGCCAGGGTGGCAGTGCTTTAAGGCCACCTCGGTTGAATGCGACACATCGTCAGCTTGAGAGAGCGGCGTAGGGCTGGATGAGGATGAAGACGGTTCGGGCGGGTTGAATCATGCAGTCGATGCCGAGCCCCGCCGCCGTTGCTCAACTAATCCTCGCAGCACACGCCCTCCTCTACGAGAGGAAAGACAAAAAAGGGCTCTACTGGCATCAGATTACGAATATGGCACACAAGATGCATGTCAGCTCCTCCCGCTCTCATCCTGTCTTTGTACTGGCTACCGACGCCGACAGCCATCTAGCAAAGTCACTAATTCTCGGCAGTGTAGCCACACCATGCATTCTACACCAAACTATTTGCCAAACCTGCCCAGCCTGCCTTGGGCCGGTTCCCTCCATGTCAAACAATTCTTTGTTTCTCATCGACTGTCTCATCTATCTTGTTCGGCTGGCTACATCCCTCTCCGCATCACCCGGTCCCAAGAACCGCGATGTTGGGATCAGCTCAGACTTTATTTAATTGGTCTCAAACTTGCCGCATCCACGACGAACTCATGTTTCTGTTATTCGAACAGGCCAGACCTCGCAGCCGCAGGAGTTGTGGACATCCCATCACTGCTACATTGGGATGGATTCTTCAACCTTCGATGCCGACACGATGGAGAAAGGCGTCGCAGCCCTTCAGTCTTACAGCTGGACCCCTTCGCCGCAAATCTCTTTTCCGTCATCTCACCTCATCACAAACCCTGCATTGCATCTGAACAACCCTGGCCACGTACTCAGTCTTACCCATCCTTCTCCCTCGGCCCCACGAGGAGCAAAAGAAACCCGGCCATCCTTCCTACCGCAACGGGATGCTTGGGATGATGTCCCGAGTCCGAGGCCCATGTCATATCGTAGCTTCACAGCCGAGAAGCCCACCCCATCAATGGTCGCAATTGCTACGAAGGCAGCAAGAATTGTCCCTGTGTCAAAGACGACCAGAGAAGGCTCTGGCCCTCGACCGCAGACCAGGCCCCCGAATTACCATGTATCGAGATGCATACCCAGCCGCCACACCCATGCGACGCCAATCACACGAGGCATTCAAACCCTCGGCCAACCCAGAACGATGGTGACGGCCGACGCCAGGCCTGCGCCATCACCTCCAGCTGAGCCAACTTGGCTGCAGATGCCGGTGACAGCCCCGAGCATACGGCCCCCGGGCAAGGTATAGCAGGATCGCACCAACACAAGTGAAGACGAAGAGACGCCGGGGAGAACGCACAGCTGTGGACATGTACCACCCCTCCGGAAATCAATGTTGGTCGTCTTTCCCGTCCAGCGCCGTTGGCGGGAGGGAGCGCAAAATTGTCATCTTATTAGTTTCACTGTTTCCTTCCTTCCCACTTTTCTGCTGCCCTTTTCTGATCATTGCTGGTTGAAGCCCTGTCTCTCGCTGAAGTATTCACATTCCCGCAAACCGACGTCCACATACTGCATCCTCAATCCGCAAGGCGTCTGTCTGTTTCAGATGCCATAATAGCCGCCTCATTCGTTCAGTTTTGCATAGTCTTCGCCGTCCTTACGGTATTCATCCATCGCCTCCGATATCCTAATTGATGCGTTGCGACGCCCACAGCGTCCGTCCTCTTCGCCGAACATACATGTAGCATCACGCTACCGAGTGGACAAACCACCAGCCTGAATCTATTACCCAGCTGATAATACCTAATTTTCCAAATGGATAATCAACCAAAAGACCAAGGCCTCGGTCTACGGCAGGAATACTCCGAGATACCATTAATATCATCCACAGAATGGCACCCAGCTCGTCAACTACCCCGAAAACCGGTCCCCCAAACACCGACGACGCCGGCACCGATCGGCAGCCCGTTCGCGCCGCTCCACGGACACTCGCGAACCCCCTCGACGCCCTCCGTCAAATCCCCCCAACCCTCATTCTCAGACCGGGCGGCCGGCGCCGCCGCGTACTTCCCGGCCCCGACCTCCAGCCCGTACGTCGACCACACTCGGCCGCGGCCCGTGCCGTTACAATTAGATTCGTACGAGTACTCGAATTACACACCGTCGCAATCGGGCTTCAGCTCGCCGTACACCGGAGGCCTGCCGCCGAAAAAGCAAGTCCGCATCGACTCGCACTCGGCCCTTCTGGGATCCCCTCCATGGCAGCCGCCACCGCCGACGAACCGACAGGCGTCGTATACATACCACCCGCCGGGCCACATCGCCTTCTACAACAAGTACTGGCATCCATCATGGAACATGTACTTCTTCCTCTTCGCGGGCGTCGCCTTCGCCCTCGGCCACCACTTCTTCTACCAAGGCCTCCACGGCATTGAAGCCAAAGAACAACTCCGCATGCTCCGGTACGGCGCCGCGCTCGCATTCCTCAGCAAAGCCAGTCTCGCATCGGCCGTGATCCTTGCCTTCCGCCAGCGCGTCTGGATGACGGTGCGCCGAAAGATGTTGACGCTAGCCGCCGTCGACTCCCTCTTCGCCGCGGCGGAAGACATGTCGGCCATCTTCAATTTTGAAGTCTTCAAACAGGCCCGGGTGGCCATGGTTCTGGCTCTCTACGTCTGGTGCACACCCCTCGTCGTGATCCTCACCTCTGATACCCTCGCCGTGCAGCCCGAGAAGATGACGAAGAACACGACGTGCCCCTCTGTTCGCACTCTTAACTTCGCCAAGGAAGACAACAACAACTGGCGAACGCCGACCAAGATCAAAGGTCTCAGTGAGCTCTCCCTGTCGATATGGAACAAGACTAGAGAGGAGGTGTCGGATCCCAACTATTTCGATTATTACGCCGCATCCAGCGACCAGTTCGACGAGGTTGCCACCACCGCTCTCTTGCTCAAGAAACCAGTCGAACGCTCCAACGCGGCTTCGCAGATCTGCGGCCTGGGCTTCAATTGCACTTTCACGATCAACTTCACGGCGCCGGGATACAAGTGTCAGGAGGTGGCAAACGGCCTCGGCACAGACCTCAAAGAAGTGAATGGCGAGGTGCCCCCCTTCAACACAAGTTCGATCGTCCCATACGGCAACTTCTCGTACAGGGTCGATGCCACTCGTGGTGAATACCTCAACCCTCAGATCAATGAAACTCTGTCCGGCGGAGTACCGAAAAGGCCTGGACCGTGGCACAGAAGCTTTGGTGCCCTTCGTACGGAACCTGTTCTATGGGTTGGCTACGCCCATGTCGACAACACCTCAGAGCCGCAGCCCGAGAACTCTTCCGTGCCGGGCTGGGACACAGCCTATACTCCCAAGATATTTACTTGCGTGCTTTACGAGACGAAATATGAAGTTGAATTCAACTACATCAATCTCGTCCAAGCCACAACTATCAAGAACCGCACATATCTGGATCCAGTCATCGACACCCAATACGTCTTTGGCCCTGATGATGGAACCCAGGACAACACAACAGCCACCCCCGAATCCAACTATATCCTGCCAACGCAAGTACAGCGTTACCGCAGAGCGATGGCTTATCACTCGAGCGCCTACCGATTCCGTCAATTTATCAACGGTACAATTATCAAGGTCAACAATATAGCCAACACGAAAGCACTCCAAACCAGGTTGATCGATCAACATAACTACCTGGGCGTCAATGATCTCATGACCCAGATGATGTCCGTCTACGAGGATGTGATCCTGTCTATGTTCAGCAACCCTCGATTCCTTGCTGTCGTCTGGGCTGGGAATACAAGCTCAGTCACAGGACACAACCTCGGTGACGATACCGCCCACCCCTGCACCCTTGAACGGACCGATAACCGGTACCATTATCGCGTCGGAGATCTGTGGGCAGTATACTCTGTTGCCATTCTCCTAGCAATCGTCGGTGTAGGCTTTGGTGTCACAGCTGTGTGGGAAGAGGGGCTGGTCCGGAACACGCGCTTCAGTAGCATCGTCGCGGCAACGCGCGGACCCGGACTCGAGAAACTGCCTTGGAACCAAACGGTGCCCGGCTCCGACCAACGGCCGGTGACCGGCGCCAGGGTGGGGTATGGTCTTGTGCCGACGGACATCAACCCCGGCAGCACCGAAAGATACGGGTTCGGAGTCGAGGGGGATGTCAAGCAGCGTGCCGAGACTCCATCGAGAACGCCGACCGGGTTAGGCAGTCCGTTCAACAGAGCGAGCAGGAGATGGTCGAAAATCGCTCAGCCACCACCTAATATTTGACGATTTAGTTTTGTCGTGCATAATTTCTACTGCATTCTATTCCACGCCGTTTTTTTCTTCCGGTTCGCTGAGTTGTCGTGACTGCTACGAAGCATCACGGCCTCGAGTTTCGCAAACATCACGCCTGCTTCAAGTGTGGAGAAAGTTGTATGTGCAACGACCAGTCTCTACATACTACGCCGTGTAAGACAAAAAGCCTCCCTCTTTTCCTTTTTTTCCGGAGATAAAAACGCGTGAAAAGCATACCATAAGCCTGTCCAGTCGACGACCGCCTCACCCGATATTTACATTAAACCATACAAGGACGTGGTATATGCGCTCTGCGCAGACAAAAGATAACGCCCCCTATTTTTTCGTGTCCCACCTGACGCAACTCAGAACGCCGCGAACCTGATGATGAATGTTCCCATCCAAACCCTCCCTACCAATGTCATTATGCACTCGTGAGGTTTGCCCTTGTAATGCTGTGGTTTTCTCGTCGTGATATACTGTTTCGTAAAAGCTCCCGTTGTGCCTTCCATATAACTCCCTCGTTGCTCGTTACGCGTCTTCGGCTAACAGCGCGCGGACCTCTGGTTCGTTGAGAAGTTTGCGCTGGCCAAGCTCTTCGGGTGGCTTGCCATCGCGGACAGCACCAAAGTCAAGGATCTGGAATCGGGCAGTTAGCGTGATGTTTACTCGTTCGACGACGCGGAAATACATACCTCGACGTAGGTCAGACTGTCTCTTTGGACAGCAGCCACACACCGTCGCTCATCAAACTTGACCTGCCAGACTCCACTGAGGTCTGTCAAAAGGTCCTGCACGCATTCGCCAGTACGAATGTCCCACATCTTGACCGTCTTCTCGCTGCCCGAGATGACCTTGCGGCCGTCGTGCTGGAAACATGTGATGGCGCCCGTATGAGCCGTCAGCACATTTTTGCACTTGCCATTCTCAGGGTCCCATATGCGCAGGGTGCTGTCGGCGGCCGCCGACACAAGCCTCTCGTCGCGAAGATCGAGCAGGCCGACAAGAAGGCTATGTCCCTCGAGGGTGTGAAGGCATGCACCGGTGTTGAGGTCCCAGATCTTGACCAGCGAGTCCATGGAACCGGAGATGCAGCGGTTACGTTCATGGTCCAGGACGACGCTGTACACCTTCTGAGAGTGGCCGTGGAGGACATGAAGAGACTCGCCAGTGCTGATGCGCCAGACTCGGACGGTGCTGTCATAGCTTCCGCTGACAAGAGTGTCGCCGTGGGCAGAAATGGCGCGAACAGAATGAGTGTGACCAGAGAGGGTCCGGATGAAGTACGGGCAGTCCGTGTCATTGGCTGGAGGACCGGTCTGGATGTACCTCCTGGAGCCAACCTCGGGCAAGCGCCAGACGCGGAGCTGGCTGTCGCGAGATCCGGTAATGATCAAGGGCTTCTGGGGCGCCACGATAGCCTTACCGTCGTGTGTCTTCCCGGTTTCGGTGGGCATGAGGATTTGCAGGCAGCGCACAGTACTAGTGTGGCCGTAGAAGACCTGGGTGCAGAAGCCCTTCTCGATGTCCCAAACACGGACGGATCGATCGGTGGAACCAGAAACCAGCATGTTTCCCTCGTATTGCAGGGCCCAGACCCCGCCCTCATGTCCCTCAAGCTTCTTACGGAGCTTACCGGTCTTGGTGTCGTAGACGTGGATGAGAGTGTCGTCGCTACCGGTGATGATTTTGTCTTCGTCGAACTGCAAGCAGGTAATGACATGACGAGGATGGGCCGCAAAGGCGACGTGTCCAGGCTTGACCTTGCCGCTGGTCCAACTTTGACGGATCATGTAGTGACGTCGGTAGAGGGACTTGAAAAGGTGAAGTTTTTGCAAACTGGGCATGCCCAGCTGCGGGTTGGGCACGGCAGCCGCTGCGGCATTAGCAGCCGAGAGTGGCCCCTCTGACTTGTGCTGCTTGACTTCCGCCTGCATCGCTTCGTTTCGGGCCGCGTCCTGGCCGCTGACTCTGCGCTTCGATCGGTCACTGCCAGGAATGTTAATACCCCGCTTGCGCTTCGAGCTGCGGAGCTTGATCGTGGGGTCTGGCTTGACGACAGCCTTGGTCAACTCGCTATCCGCGGAATTCAACCGGCTCGTACGGCTCAGGTCAACCTCAGCACCCATGACACCGACAGGATCTTGCCATCCCCAGCCATGACAAATGGCCTTCATGAGTTCACCCGGAGGAAGCGTGAAGCCATCGCGGTCGAACAACTCCTTCCAGCCCGTCTCGTTGGTGTCTACAATGTTACGCCAGTGTTTCGATACCTGGGCAGCTCGGCAAAGGTCGCGGTGGTCGAGGAAAGACAGCACGTGGAAACTCAGTTCGAGGGGGAGCTGCTTGAGGAAGTCGCACTTCAAGGCCGGAGTAACAACATCGGAGACGAGGCGAAGTGTCTTTCTGGGGCAGCGGCGAAGAAAGTTGTACATGATGAAACTCTTCATCTCGACAGGCATGGCGTCGAATCTTTCCATCATGGTGCGTGCGTCGAGCATGGCGGTGTGAGCGTCAAGGTTGTCGAGTTGGGACGTGCTGTCGTCGGCCACCATGGAAAGATCGGAGGCATAGCCGCCGTCGTCGGTGATCTGGGACTCGTGGAGCCATGACTGGTTCCTGAAGCTGGGGTTTCGTCTGGTGAGAGCACTGCTTTGGGTCGAGTCCTCCTCTTCGTCGTCGGAGTCCCTGGAGTGCAGCTGGGCGGCGGCGAGTGTGGGCGAAAGTCTCGGACTAGGCAGGCTTGCATCCTGAGCAGCCACGGCGTCGATGGATGGCCGGTGGCCAACGGCACGGATGGATTGTTGCAGGGACTCGTCGGCATCAGCAAAGGGCTCGGCATCGGCATCGGTGATGGGAGGAGTCGCTACGTTGCTGCTGAAGGCGGTGAGTGCATCGCTGCCTATGGGGCTCGGTGCGTCGTGTAGGTTCGTCTGGCTGGGACCAGACTCCGGGGTGTGGCTCTGGCGGGAGATTTGAAGACGGGGACGGGCGAGCCGTTGCTCGGAGCCTGTTGCCGCAATCTCGGAGGTATCTGGGGTGGCGAGGCAGCCGGTTTGTTTGCCTCTGGAGAGGTGGCGTCGAAGTCTTTGTGATGTATCCTCGGTGAAGGACAGGGCGGCTGACCTTGGGTTTCTGGACGGCCTTGAGGGAAGGGGGGACGCGGTGTGGGAGGTAGGCGAAGTGTCTCGAGGAGCAGAGCGACGAGATCTCCTCTGGCTCGCGTCTGAGGGGGACTTTTCGGTGCGTCTCGGGGACTCTTGACTCGACTCGTCTTCTTTCAGGAGGCCGGCGGATTGCCTGTCGGCGGCGAGGGGGGTCTTGCGCTGCAAAAGACGAAACGTCAGCATTCAGGGAGGCGAGGCGAGGCAAAAAGGAGAGACAAAGACGGCAAATACCTTTGTGGGGACGAAAAGGTCGTCGTTGGTGGCATCGGAGGAGGAAGGGGCGGAGAATCTGAAGGAGAAGTTTGCGAGTTCGGGAGGAAGAGGTTTCGAGGCGAGAGGGTACTCTTTGGAGTCGAGTTCGTGGAGCGGTCTCACATCGCGAAGGTAGACGGGAGGGAAAGTGCGCTTGGTGGTGGTGGTTGTTGTGGTCGTGGTGGTCTCGATACACTCGGAGACGTGGTACTGAAGGCTTGACGAGTCGGAGGCGGTCATGTTGTTCTTCTCGTCGACGGAGAAGGAAACGGTCTGGCTGGATCGAGGCCGATGAACCTCGACGGCGTTGGACGGCGGACCCGGCGAGGGCGTCATGGCGGGTGACACGGTCGAGAGGTTGTTGCGAATGTTAGATGGAGAGGAATAGCAGGGAGAGTATTACGGCGATGTCGAAGTGTCGGGAGGGGAGGCGGAACGAAGGGTTCGGCTCAGGTGGATGGAGAAGACGGGAGGTGGTGGTGGTGGTGGTGGTGGTGGTGGTTGTGTTCTGTGAGTGTCCCAGGTTTGAGAGTGGGTGGACTTTCCAGATGGGTGGAAGAAGGTGGCGGGCGGGATTACGGGCAAGGCACCACTTTCCTTGTCGCGAGAGCGGTGCGGGAGCGGTTGCGTGCAGCGTAGGTCGGGTACGGATACAGCGCGGACGGGGATGGGTAAGGTACCGGTAGTGTACGGGCAGCCCTGACCTGACACTGAACAGCGCGACAAGGTGAGGAAGGGCGAACACGACTCGCAATTTTTTTCAGTGAGGTAGACGCGCAGGCGACTGTGAAAAGTGCTGTAACTGAGGTGAGGTGTGTGTCACTGCCGCGAATAAGGACCCAGTTAGCGGACGTATTCTCAGGCGCGACGCAATCCAGCAGCACACCGCAACGCAGCAACGGGTTAAAGGGCTTAGGTATTAAATTTCGAGCAATGTAGCCGCAGACGTAAGTGGAAGGGGGAAAGCGTAACAAGAGGTGAAAATGGCGGCGAGGAGAGACAGACGGGGTCCAAATCAGTTCGGTTCAGGTTCAGTTCAGTTCACTCCATCTCAGTCAAGTCAAGTCTCAAGGTCGAGAACGAGGTCTAGGGTAAGGTAGGTAGGGCTAGAATGCCGGGGACGGAGGAATGTCGAGTCGAGTCCAAGTCGAAAGGGATGAAGAATGCAGGTTGAAGAGCTTGATACGTATTTCGTACTCAGTATCTCATTGTAGTTTGCGTGTTGGCAGTGAGAGAGTCGGGAATGCCAGTGACAGCGGCGGTGGGTGGAATGGCTGTGACGGAAGACCAAATGGAAGCAGTGCGGTGCCCGCAGTGCAGTGGCAGGCTGGAAGTCTGAGGCAGGTACCTAAGGTACCTGAATAACAGGGCTTCCTGCTTACATCAGCCCGGGCAGATCGAAAAACACGAAATAAAAACAAAAGAAACAAACCTACCCACCCAAGTACTACCACGCCTAATTTGTATGGAAAAGTACATACTACTCGTGATTGCACTTATCAACATGGTAGCCAAACAAAGTTCTCGTCCTTCTTTCACGTCCGAGTCAAGATAGTTTGTCATCGACATCAAGTTCCCTGCCTTTTGAAGCGAGTGATGTAACTGGATGGTGCTTGCTTTCGAATGTGAGGATACAGCTGAATGTTCCCTTCTATCCTCCAAGGTATTCTCTTAAAATCCCCGCTGCTTGGCCGCGCTTGCCCTGGGCGATGCACCGAAGTCTGAGGCGTGAGGTCGTGGTGCCCGTTTGATGGAAGTGGGGATCGAGGTGGAGCAGTCGAGGTCTGTGCCTTCCGCCGTGGTTCGTCACCTTCCGCTCGCCGCTCCAGCGTCCCTTCCACCTTCCAGGTTGCTTCCAGGTTCCTTCCACCATCGCCGCGATCAGTGCGTTCCTGTCATTGGCTCTTTCTTCCCGAGCCCCTCGCCATAGGACCGAGGCCAATGATAGAGTAAAAGGTATTTTTCAAGCCATTTCACGCCTGAAAATACCTCAGCCTCCAACATGTACACCGGCTAGTCCAGTCCATTCTTTCTCTCAGTGGCAGGCGTCTGCTCGCGTGGACTACCTTACCGCACTGAAAATCGAAGACGACGATGACCTGGAACGCGGGTGGCCTTGTTACATGAAGTCACTGAACAATTCTTCTTCTTCTTCTTCTTCTTCTTCTTCTTCTTCTGTTTCCCCCATACCTCATCCTCTGCCGTCAGTCTCGTCATTCGGTCTGACTGGAAGTCGGTAGGGTCCCTTTGTCTCCTCATATCCCCACGAATTCAGCCAACCTGGAATTCTCCAGGCGCCGCCACTCCCCCTATTATTCGTCGTCTCGAGTTGTTTTCTGCACAATGGAGATTCTCAAACACGCGAACCCATAACCTGCCCCATTCCAACAACACATCCAAGAGTCCAGGGGTCCCCCAATTGTGCCCCTTGTTCTCCGTCACTCACCCAGCCCCTCGGCCCGCTCCCCTTCCATGCTCCAGTCCGATCCATCCTCTGTAAAGTCCTCGTCTCGCGTCAAGACACCATACTGGTCCTTCTGCACTGCCTTTGACATGCTTGACGGATGACGCCCCGTGGCTGGCGCCCCGCGTAGCTGAGCTAGGTAGGTACCTGGACTTGGTTGAAAAGATTCTTACCGCGAAGCCCGCACCACTCGTATGCCTCCCTTCAAACCACCACATCTGACATTGCAGCAGAGACATCGCGTCTGCCTGGCGAATGCTTACATTATACAACTTGTCTCCCGCGTTTTATCGACCTCCTGAACGGGTTTCAAGCAATGCATCCCCGTTTTCAATCGTCTCACACAGCTATCTCTATCTAGCACATTGACGGCTTTTCACTCTTACTTATCCTGATCGGTGAAAATAAATGTCTGCCGGCATCTTCATCGCTGGAGGGACACAGTCGCGAGACAACTCGGCAACGTTGACGCTGTATCAATGAGACCTCTAAAGGCATGGCAACTGGACAATCATTCAATAACTTGGTTTTCATTGCATCTATACACATTCTTGACCTGCGAAGATGCACCATTGGGGTCTCGGGTATTGGGAATCATCTCTGCCCCTCCACACCTATGTTGTCAAGATCACTTTGCAAGTCTGTACGCTGATGGAAATTGAGTTGCACTATGCATCCAACTATCGGCACTGCCTGCACACCAGTAAACCCCCAAATACGGATGGGTTCAGACACTTTTTTCCACGTTGGAGAAGGGTTCCATCGCGTGACATTCATGTCCATCAACGTCACAGCGCTGCGTCTCAATCACGGCGCTCAAAAGACTCTCCACGTACGTACGTACCATAATCTCTGCTGACAAACCACTTGCTCGACAGTTCAAACACATTACCAGAATTCTGACGCCATCAAACTATCAAGGACAAGAAAAGACTTCGTAAGCAACTTCAACCCGGCCGCACTCGCATCCTTTGCCTCAGATCTCGCGGCACGGATGAATAGCTTCAAACTCTTACGGATGCGCCTTCTTTGGCTCCCTCCTTGCCCTTTGTCGCTTTCACTGGCTCGGTGCTCCGCCCGCCCGCCCCCTCTTTGTCACCGCCGCCCCGATCCTGCCTAGCGGCGCGGAAAAGCGCCGCTCACCGATCCCGGAGGCCGCACGCCGAAAACAAGGAACCAAAAATCGGGTCTCTGCAAACCACAATCCTGCCCCAACGATAGACTCAACGACCAGAGACTCCGGCCGTCATGCTCATCGCTCAGTGATCACAGGTAAAACTTCATGGCTCATACTTGCTGAACTGAATCGGTCAGCGATGTCTCAAAGATCTCATGGAGACGCCTTCGCCGTGACCCGTAAAGGTCTACTTCACTTGCATCTCATTTGGAGAATTGGCGGACCTGCCGCCTGACAGTGTTCGTAATGTGATTATCGAACTATCAAAAAGAGAAAATTGTAAGAGAGTCCGTCATGTCTTGAGTTGTAGAAGACCCCGAAGCACTTCTTTCACCCTCGGAGTTGGAGTGCCAACATAACCCTCTGCAAATTGCAACAAATTGCCCTTCATCCTTTCTCCATGAACAGCCAACGGCTCCGCCTTCTTGAGGAGCCGCACATAATAGTCCCTCAACTCCATGTTGGTCAGTGTGTCGAGCCGCTCGGAAAACCCGTATTCTCGCGCCGCTGAGGCAGCGACGGGCACGACAGACTCGATTGAATGCTCCATGGCAAGAAAGTGGCGCAGCCTCCAGATGGACGGACGGGGTGCATCTGCCTTGAGGAAGACATGCAACCGGGCAAGGAGGTCGTATTCACTCTCCATGAACCATGTGTTTGCTGAGGCTGGCCAGCATTTGTCGAATAAGGCCATGAGCTTACCTCGTTCCCACGCCCCCCAGAACTCGTCGAAACTGCACGCCGGTAGTTTCTTTCTCGTCGTTTCCATCCTGGCCGGGGATCCGAGACTTGCCATGTAATCCTCGTGAGCAAGGCTTCCGAATAGCATGGTCGCGTACATTGATCCCAGCTGTCTTTCTTCATACTCATCGCGGGTGACAACGAACCCAAAGTCGAACCAATGACAATGTTCCCAGTTCATAAGTGGCGGGTAGCTATTCACTACCGCCATCGAATAAAAGATGAAGCAATGCCTCTTTGCAAAAGGATCCAGGTCCTCGACGTTCTTAAGTTGATCCTCTGGGGCCAAGTATTTCCGTGCTTTGGTCTCCATGTTCCGCATCTGAGTCGTAGGGCTCGGGGCTCGAGGAATCAGCTCATGTGCATCTGATAGCTCAAAACGGGCACGGTGTTTGAGAAACCAAGGAAAGTATTTTTCCCTGCCAGTGGTGGGTAACTCCTCGTACTTCTCGATTATCTTGGCCACAAGGTAAGGATTGCCGCCTGTGTTCAATCGCCACTGATGTAGCTCTTCGCGTGTAATACGGTTGGGGTGTTGGACGAAAAGTCCAATAAAAACCCCAAATAGGTGCGACGCTTCCTTATGGTTTTCACATCGGTCGAACCAATAGTCCTGTTGTACTCGTGGATCTGTCGGAATGTCATCCATGCAAACGTCCTCGTGAAGATAGTCGGCAGAAGTGACCTGCCGCACATTGCATTTGAGGAGGTCTGCCAGCGACATTTGTTGTCCACAGGCTCTGTTACAGGACCAGCCTCCTCCGCATTGAGAGCATTGTTGAGTCGTTTCTTCGGGGCAGCCGGCGCAAAGTTCCACGGTGTCTTCTCTGGGCATTCCATTATGAGGTTGACTTTCCGAGGCTTCCTCGTGCTCAACGGGGTGAATAGCACTGTACACAATAACATCAGCATGACTTCTGTAGATTTTGAGAATAGTGATAACCGCTTCGCCGAGAACTCAAGAAGCCCACCTTTCGTTCTTGTGCTGTGCCTGAGCATTTTGAGCCCGTTGTCGATGAAGGTGCTCATATATGGCATGACTTTGGTAGAAATGTTCTTGGCCCCTTCTTGCGATGATCGTAGAGTTGTGGCCAACTGTTGACTCCTTAACCTCCGTTTTCCTTGGCTCGGGCTCTGGCAAAACTTTGCTCGTAGTCAACTCCCTTTGCATCCATGAGACAACCTTCATCACAGCTGATAACAGCATATGCTGCTCATCTTTCCCTAGGTCGTCTCCTATCGGAACAGTCCAGCTGTGGCTGTAAAGCTTGCCATGACAGCCACGCGTTCTCAGATCTTGGAAGAAGTGAAGAAATTTCGAACACAACAGACAGCTGTATCTGCTACAGCCAATGTAATCAAATCTTTTCCCGTTGGCAACCTCCCCAGGATGGCCGAGAATAAACAGGATAAGCTGGATTTCAGCGTGTATTTCCCAGGTTGGGGACTTCAATCGAGAAAAGTCGGTGAGCAATTTGTTCTTCGTCCACTTCGCTCGAGATCTCGATGACTCCATGAGTTTACCAATCTCTACATCGTTGAGCTGAAGGTTGAGTTCCTGGAAAGTCTTTGCCAGACTCCATTCCCCGCTGAGTGGGCTCTTACGAGTCTTCAGTCCAACCATGGGGACCAGTACCAGGTTATTGAACTCGGATATTTGTCTCGAAGCGGCCACAAGGATGCGAAAGCACGTTCGAAGGCGGCCCAAGAAGCCGATTGCTTTATGGAGCTTGCCACCCCCCTCGACCGAGAGCATGGAAGTGCTCAACTTGAAATGTTCGGTATAAATCGTAGCTAAAGTCCACCAGATTATGGTGTCTTTCCGAGTCCGAGTAGCCATCACTGAAAAGCAACACAGCTAATAGTTCCAGGCTTTCTTCAAAGTCAAGCACAAATAATTCCACGTCTGGAATCACACCGTCACTCTTCAAGTCCTGAAGACAGTGGTGTTGTGGAAGAAAGTGCTGGAAGCTGTTCTTCATTATTTGGCGCAACTCGGCAACATTGTCGTTCAGTCTTGGGAGCTGGTGGCGGAGTATTGAATCCCAGAGCGCGGCCTCGTACTTTTCGGTTTGATTTTCTGTTGAAACTGTGTTAACTATGGGTAATTTCCAAGTGTGTTGTTTGTCCAGTTCAGACCTGGAGCCGAAGCAATATTCTTCAGCGCGGTACATAAGTTGCCCATGAACCTGGACAGTTCATCACCTTCAACGAACCCCGAGTTTATCGCAATAAACACTTTGGCCTGATCGCGCCAGTAGAACATATGGCTGGCAACCACATAACGGCCCCCCTTCGCCGAGGAAATCGTCTCAGACAGCCTGTCCAGAAATTCGCGACGCAAGGTGTCCAAGTCAAGATCACCAAGGGGAAAGTTCTGGGAGGACCCGGGCCCCGGATCCATCCGCGGATTGCTCGTCTTCGGGCTCTCGATAGGAGGTCTTGTCTTCGAATTGGCGACCGCTTCGTAGGGAAAGCAACTTAGCAAACGCGTGAAGCTCCTTCCGTGCGGTTTGGGCCGCAGTCTGTCCCGTTTCAGTCTTCATGACCGCGAAATGCAATCAGAACTCAGAATAGACTTTTCAGTAAACGTACGAAAGTCGGAACTACTTGGTCTTGATAAGGAATGCCATGTTGGGCTGGTTAGGCACCTGTCCCCATGCACGCTTCGAGCCAACCAATGATCTATCAACAGAACGCTGCCCGCAGACAGTTCCTTCAGGCAATGCAGCTGCAGAAGATTTGTCCTATCAAATATGACACACCCCTCACGGCCTCAAACATTCCCTACATATGAAATCCGGCTCATGTAAGGTCTTGGCTTTGTTTCTCCTTGATAGGATCTTCAGATGGCTAATCCTCCCGGTCCAGCTTATTCAACTCGCGATCCAGCCTGTCATACTTGCGAAACTTCCACCAGAAAAGTGCTGAGCATATCGCCATAGCACCCGCAATTGAGGCGTAAACGATGACTAAATTAGGATCCCTTGCTGCAGGACTGAGGGCCATGGCCATCAGAGACCCAAGACAGGCGCTTAGCTGCACCATGGCTTGCACAATACTCCTCATATCCTTGGGCGCCTTGGAGTATGCGTACTCGCTTGCAGTGACCAGCCCGAAGATCTCAGCAACTGCTAGAGCCACGTAGACCGGTAATTGGGCCCAGACGTTCACCTCGTTGGGCAACCGGCCACCATTGGAGGCGGCACAGGCGCGAGGAGTTTCGTAGCAGGGGCCCGCGTTATAGATGATCTGTTGGAGGCCGGCGGCGTAGGCCATGCCGCCCCCACACACCAGAAAAGCGGTCGTTATACGGGCCATGGGCCTGAAAGAGATGCGTCGCTTGGCGAGGAAGTTGTATAAGACTTGGATAACGGGGCCGAAGACAACGCAAGCCACGCCGGCCATGGCCTGAAGCATGTCATTCGGCACACCGTGGAGCTGCATCTGACCAGCCTGTGAGATGAGGTTATTGAACATCTGAGTGATCGCGAGATAGAAAAAGGCGAAGGAGAAGCTGGTAAAATGTCGGTATCAGAACAGAACGAGGGCTAGAGTTGAGGATGACAACGAACATGACACGGCAAGCGAGAAGGCCACGCTTCAACTCGTCTATGAACTTATCGTCCCATTCGACAGACTTGCCGCGCGACTCCAATTGATATGCCTGTTTCGCATGGTCGAGGTCGAAACCGTTTCGAACTGCGATAGTCATGGCTTTAATGGCTTTAGGGAGGTTATTTACCCCCGGTCGGGCCTTGACTGAAATTCACTTGGTCAGCGGCATTCCCTCCTAACATCGACATAGTTCGCATACCGAGGCGCGATTTGAAAAGAATCAGGAGACTCGTGGCAATCATTAAGGAAATAGCTGCCATAAGGTAGGCTGTCCAGAAATCAAATTTCTTTTCCAAGAACGTCGCTGGGATGGATGAGAGTGAAGCGATGTTGGTGAACCTGCTGGTGGTCAGATATTTAGGTCAATAATGAAAGCAATTTGGAAACAAAATCACCAGTAGAACGCGTTGTACAGAAACTGTAGCGTTCTGGTGCCATCGACCACAACAAGGTTCCCATCCTTTTGCCTAACAAGCTGGGGGCTCTTTTGATGGTACTGATCGCCTGATAGAATGAAATTAGACATCAGACAAGTTGTCACCCTCAACTTCATTCTCGTGAGGGTCCCTCTCACCGATAAACGGCGAAACCGATGCTTTAGTTGCCCCGACGCCCAGCCCTACCAGGACCATCGCGATGATGAGGCCAGGGAAACCGCCGCCCTTGTCTAGAGAAGAGGGTAACGCTGTCGCAAACATCACAAGCGAGCCGCAAAGAGACAGTCTAGACTCTGTTAGTATATTTCCTCAACTGAATATCTAGTTGGAGGACATATCCTTACACAAGTCCCAACAAGAGAGTTTTGTAGCGTCCAAGCCATATGTCAGAGATAACGGCGAAGCAACTCGGCATTAGGAATAAGAAGACGAAGAAGCCATTGGATATTGCTGTGGCCGTCGCCTGACCAAGCCCGAGGGCTCCTGGCACAGCATGAGAACCTCTCTCATTCTGCATATAATTTTCTGAGATGAACACCAATGTCAGCTTTTGATACCGCAACCAGACTTGTGTTGTAAAGGTCAAGTTGCTTAGGAAAGAACTTACGCCAGATAGACACAAAACAGTAGTAGCTAAATCTTTCCGAAGCCCCTATCAATGCGGCCGCCCATGCCGCAGAAGGGAGTTTATCAACAACATGCGGGAGCCTCTCTATCTCGTCGTCGGTTGCATCTCGAGGGGAGACATCGATGGCCTCTGCTTCAAGCGGTGAGCTCACTTTCTCTATGACACCCATTCTGTCAAATCCGAAGCGTTTGATTCTGTTGTTCTACACAAAGCCGAAGATCCAAGCCCCTATTCGTGCAAACAGGTGAACGCAGATGATCACTCATTGCACCATCGAATGCCCATGATATGTAAGCAGCTGGCTTTCGAGTACCTTAAACGAAATATTCATTGGTCTGAATTCCATCCCCAAACATTCACAGTGCGAATCAATGTGAGCAAGTATTCGGAATGCTGTGGCCAAGACTGGGGATGCCATCTCTGGCCAGGGGTGTATCTTGGCGTACAGGATTGGCGCATATGCCAAGCACTTTAAAGTGAGAAAAGCTCTCAAATGTGCTCGCGATGTCTCAGCGGCCCCGAAAAGAATCACCACATGGCAAAAAGTCACGGAAGCATGGAACCCAACGAGAAGACATTGAACCGAAGAAGGGAGGCGGGGGATGGTTTCCGTGCCGCGTATTTGCGCACCATCACCAGTCGGAGCCATGATTTCTTCTCCGCTCCTACTCACGAGGACTACTACGCAGAGTACTTATTCATAGAAAGCTGGGCTAAGACCGTGAGTGATGGCATGCTCTGCGGCAATCTCGACGGTCTTCACCACATCACATCAGCCATGTCATCCAACAACGAATCCAGTTATCACATTGGGTTCAAAAAGGGGACTATCAAACTGTTTGAGCTACGTAATGTCTCGACGTGTTTACAGTACCTCCTTCCAACTCTCAAGTCGCAGCCACCAACTTTCTCACTCTTGGATGTCGGCTGCGGCCCAGGCAGCATCACGTTAGACCTGGCGCGCCGCTTCCCTCAGGCCAAAATCATCGGCGTTGACCAGAGCGCCGAGGTGACAGATCGTAACCGTGCCAGTGTTGAAGCACTCGCTCCTAATACTCGCGTTGAGTTTCGCCAAGGCGATGTTCTCAAGCCGGAGACGTTTCTCACTCCAGAAGAGATGCAGACCAAGTTCGACGTGGTCCACGAGCATACGACGCTCATCTGCATTCCCGAGAATGCGCCGGTACTCAAGAAGATGCGAACGCTGGCTAAGCCCAACGGCGGCATCGTCGCCTGCCGCGACGGTGACACCCAGTCACAGGTGCTATGGCCGCCGTGTCCGGAGAACGCGGAGCTTCAAGAACGCATCTACCGGATGAACGGGCTTGAGACGCAGACCGGCCGCCAGCTGATTCATAAGGCCTTGGCTGCTGGCTTTCGGAGGGACCAAATCACGGCATCAGCCAGCGTGTTGTCAAACATCACGCCGGAGGAGAGGTTCGCGTACGCAGGTTCGATGCTCGATATTCTCGCGGATGAGAATTCTGAGTATCGTCAGGCTGCCGCCAAGTTCGGATACACAGCGGAACAGATCGATGTGCTGCGCGCTAACATGCAGCGATTCATAAATGCCGAGGACGGCTGGAGACTTCTAATATGTACGGAAATCATCTGTCGGCTGGATGAAGTATGAGGGCAAACACTTCGTTATCCCGAGTTTGGTAAAGCGGTACCACCAAGCATTGCTTGGACTTCTCTGGTCATAAAGACAGGTTAGAGGAATATCAAATGCAAAATCTTTGGTTGGCCATGACTGAATCGAGGCGAGCTGCTTTCCCACTACCAGCGGGGAATGACAGACATGGGGGTACGTTACTTTCCTAACCCTTTCTGATGCTCTTGGGTGAAAGCCACATCAACCAACCGCAGCGGCAGGCATGTTTTTCTTTAGGTGTACAGTATGAGAAGCCAATCGCTCTCTGATAGCTGAGAAAACTTGCTCTCGGTGGCGTGTTGGCCAAGCCATTCGAAGCCCTCACCTTCATTTTTCCGGGACACTTTCATGACAGTCATAGTTGTCAGGTTTGACTTCTGATAACAGTGTGCAAGGCTCTATCCATGTAAGAGTACATATATGTCCATCGTTCCTTCCGCTCCAATCTCCAACCCCCCTTGTTCGCGAACCCTTTCTGCTTTTGTTCAACACTACTTGCATCTCTGCCACCAACACCACCAACCCCACAAACCTGGAGAGATGGTTCAGACATCCCATCTGCTCTCGTTAAGCCTTGCCGTGGCCCTGTATGCCACTGGCGTCCAAGGCGATGGCATCGGCCTCATAGGCTGGGGCAAGACACTCTACGATCCGACCTGTCCCTTCGCCTGTCGCAGCGTCATTAGAAAACAACAGCTTTCTTGTACTCCTGTTGACTCGACTGAGAACCACGGCACAGCACATAACCCTGTCACCACACCACCTGACTGCTTCGTCAAAGACCACGCCTTCCTTCTCACCATGGCCCTCTGCATCGACACATATTGCCCTCTAAGCGACAACCCACCGATGAGCAAGCTGGAAGATTACTGGGCCTCTCATCTGGCAACAGGAACACTCGGGAACTATAAATATGTCCCCGTCATGTCGTATCAAGAGGCACTTGCCGCCGCCCGGAAGGACGAGTCCCGCGCCGCTCAGAACGGCAACTCCTCGTCTTCTGGAGGAGAAGAGCACACTACTCATCAGAGGCAGGCGAGGGCAAAAAGTCTCAAGATCCGTCAACACAGTTCCGGCACGCACTCCGAGGTTCCTGATGGCCTGGTCACTTACAACGTCTCCAGCCCCTTGCCCAAGGCAGCCGGCGGCTCGAAACCGCTCAACGTGACCAGCTTTGTCGGTCCCTCTGAGTGGCAGTTGCAATGGAACTACCTACACGACTTCGAAGTAAACGAAGCGGGTCATTCTACCGTGACCATTGTCATCACCATTGTCGCCGTCTTTCTCCCGGTTGCACTTTCCCTGCTACGTTTCATTCCCGGATTCACAAAGAGCTATGCTTGGGCATTCTGGCAGTCCTTGCTGATTCATCCAGCTGTCTTCGGTCGTCGTCACCGAGAGCCCGCCGCTGGCATTGGCAATATCCCAACGCGCGGGCAGGCCTTGTATATTTGCCTGATCAGCATCCTCAATATCCTCCTCTGGCTTGGCCCTTACACGATACACCAGCCTCAAGCCAGCTTTACCTCCCTGAAGATGCAGAGCATCAGCATCATTGGGAACCGTGCTGGTGTGATGGCTATGGGAAACGCCGTGGCTCTCTTTCTTTTCGCCGCCCGCAACAGCGTTTTACTTCATGTCACAGACTGGAGCTACAGCACTTACCTCCTCCTTCACCGTTGGTTGGGATATTGGACTATTTTTCACACCATCGTACACTCTTCCATGCTACTGGCCAACTATATCTTGCAGGGAACCTACGAAGATGAGCTACTTCGCAAGTACTGGATCTGGGGGATTGTTGGCACCGTCGCCGCAAGCGCGATCCTTCCGTTCTCTCTGTTGTGGGTGCGACAGCGCTTCTACGAGTTCTTCCTCGCTTCTCACATCGTTCTCTCTCTACTTTTCATCATTGGCTACTACTATCACATCTGGTACGTCTACGAGTACAACTGGGGTTACGAGATTTGGATTTTCATCGCCGGCGGTATCTGGGGCGCCGACCGTCTTTTTCGCCTTGTCCGTACCTTTTTGCAAGGTCTTCAATGGGCTACTGTAACCATGGTTGATGACGCCGATGGCGAATACATCCGTATCCTAGTGGAGGGTAAGTCTTTCGACAGCGGCGTCTTCTATCTTGGCTTCCCGACCCTCACTTGGAAATTCTGGGAGACTCATCCCTTCTCCGTCGCCCACTCCGGGTCAGGCATCATCAATACCCGGCCCCAGGCTCAGTCTCTTGCAGTCTCAACTCCTAACCGGGATGACAAATTGACCTCAACGCCACTGGCTACGGAAACCGATCCGGAAAAGGCTACCAGCGCCTCCCAGAATTCAGATGGCAGCGATGCACCGGAAAACATCAATGCCACAGTCTTCTACTCCCGAACTCGCAGCGGCATCACTAAAGCTCTAGCCACAAAGGCATCGCCTTCTGTCCGGGTCCGCGTACTTCTGGAAGGTCCCTACCATCACTCAGGTCACACAACTCCCCAGCTCGCCCACTGCAAAGATATGATATGCATCGCTGGCGGCGTCGGAATCACAGCTTGCCTACCTTTTGTTCGCCATAGCTCAGTCTCTGGCAGGGTCAAACTATTTTGGTCCAGCCGGCAGCAAGGTCTCGTCACAGCTCTCGCGCCTGTGCTCAATGGCCTTCCCAGCAGTGTCCTTGTCGAGACTGTTGTGGGGGAGAGGCTGAAGTTGGAAACTATACTCGCCAAGGAGATGATTCCAGCATCCGGTGGTCCTCTGGCTATCATCGTCTGCGGACCACCGAGCATGGCGGATGATGTGCGCAAGACGGTTGTTGATTTGGCGAGGGCAGATTCCATCAGCAGGCCGTATGTTCTGGTGGACGAGGCGTTTGCATGGTGATTAGATCGTCGATATACACGTTTAATCTTTAATACCGGTATCATGGTTCATACTTCAGCTTCTCATCTGATCCCAACCAATACTTTCCATGGTCTCAATACGCAGCTGCAGCACATGCACGCTGCCTAACCACCCACTAGTCAGAGAAACCGATCTTTGCAGCAGGCGCCGCGGGAGGCATTTGATTAACGTATCTTCGCCTAATTCGAGTTAAGAAATACTTTTGGTACGATTTCAGATTTTCTAATCATCTACTAGGTTGTAATCGAATCGCCTTCTGACCTCCCGATCCAGCTTGAGGCAGTCCCTACGCCCCTGTTTGCTGGCAACGATGACATACCCGACGCACCATAATTCACTCGAGTCCGGTCCCTGTACTACATCACCCTTTTCCTTGACCGTCTGGAAATGGACAACGTGGCGCGTGAGATCAGGGTTCGCTTCAAGGAAGTCTTGAACGGCATCATCTGACCCCATGATACCTGAACGTGTAGGAGCCAGAACAGAGATTCCCAGTACGTATTGTGGTTTTCCGTGGAGAAAAGGCTGTGAAAGAGCTCGTACGCGAGCGTCTTCTTTGGATCCAAGACTGAGAAGCAACCGTACGGCGTAGTAGTCGACGCCGTGGGCAAGCAAGGCCGCCACACAATTTATGTACCCCGGCGGGCGGGCGTTGATCTCGTGCAGGAAGCAAGATGGAGCTTCAGCTTGGGCCGTTTCCCGAATATGCAAGTCGAGAATTCCGTCGGTAGCATCGAGATCATAGTAAGCGCGAGATCCACGCACTCTAGCCTCGCAATGAAAGACGCCAGACTGGAAACCGAACCGCGAAATGCTTCTAGCAAGAGAGTTCCGCATCATGGTCTTCTCCTCGTTCGGTAGTGCAGACGGCACGTCCATGAGAGTCTCCATGAAGTTGGCTGCGTTGTTTCTCTCTGTTCCTGGAAGGTCACCCGAGCAAGGGAAGTCGTCGGTAATATCGCAGAAGAGCACCTCTCCATTTAGCACAATGAAGTTGGCATCTACTTCAGGCCCATCGACGTACGGCTCGACCACCACACCGGTGCTTCTTGCTGCCGAAGCTGCGTGTCTCTCTGACGCACGAAGCACGCCGGCACGCAGTTCCTCCTCGTTGCGCACTTTGATTACGCAATCACTGTTCCAACCGGTACAAGGCTTCACGATGAGCGGGTAACTCAGCTTGCTGCCCTTTTGCGCCAATGTCTCGTCAAGATCCTGCACCGACTGGATGACGAACCCGTCTTCATCCCCTATTGCAGCAGACTCAATCTCTCTTGAGGCACCTTTGTTACCAGCTCTTGCGTATGCCGCAGAGAGTGAAGTAGGAAGTCCCAAGATCTCACAGGCCTTTGCAACCAGCGGCAGTCTCACATCGCTAATGCACACAATACCATCAACAGGATATTGGTATGCACGCACGGCATCTACGACGCGCTGAGTGAGACCATCATCTCCCGCGATGCTGACAGGAATAAACGCCTCGCGATAGTGAGCGTAAGGACCGCTGTCATCCTCTAGCCAGTGGCCAGGCTCGTCGAGTACAACAAGCGCGATGCCTAGAGCCTGTGCCGCTTTGTAGAACTGTTGACTTGCCTCGATATTGGCGCGGCCTTGAACCCAGAACACGCGTTTTCGAGTAAGTGTTTGGGGAACGGTCCATGGAATGGAGAGACGTTTGGTCAACTCGTCGTCCAAACGAGTGCGGAGAGCTTGGGTGGCGTCTTCAGGAGATATTGCCCGAGCGATAACACCGCCAACTGCAGTCTCTAATAGAGAGAGAAAATCGTTGCCCGTCTTGACATTCTTTGCTTGAGCTGGAGCTGCCGCTTCCACACGAGACATAGGGCCAAGAAAACTCATTAAGAGACAGATTTCTTCGTAGCCTTGAAGCCTGTATGAGAGGAAATCTGGCCTGATAACAGTACCTGCCTCTTCTGAGAAAGCAAGCCGGGCGATGGTGGCATGCCCCACACTTTGGTGAATGAGATCTTTCAGCAAAGTGATAACCGAGGTTTTGCAGGTTGACGCGAGGGTACTATCGTCCAAATCGATGACGAAAGTCGAGTCTCCAGAAAACACAGCTGTTGCCTGCTGTTCAAGGTCTAGATACCAATGGCGCTGCTCATCCTCGGTGTTGGCAAGCATTGCGGCTGTTTGAGAAGCCCGCATGGACACTATGTTTTCAAGGTCAGTCTGGATACTAACCAATGTCAATCATGATATATCATAATTACCGTGCTTCTCGTCTGCCTTGAGGACTAGATTCCAATCCAAGCCGATCATTTCGTATGTCTTCGCTGCTTGATGAATAGCAAAATCAAGACGGCAAGTTGATACTGAACGAGAATCTGTTATTCAAAGTGCGTAATTAGGGCTTGATTGTGACGTTGTGTGCTTATCACGTCTGTCAAAGATGATATAAACAGATCTGATTCTGCTCACGATGCACTATCAAAAGACGGGCGGAGCTTCTCGTCGGGCACCCATGGAACTTCCTCAAGTCTAGGCTAGGGTTCGGTATGCCCCGATGCCAAGGACATCAAGTGAGCAAGTTATTCTCCTCGTCCCTGCAGGATGGTGCAACACGCGCACCATTGAGCAAGTTAATATTAGCCGCGGAACACCATTCTAAAAAAGTCCCTCGGAGGGTTGCTTTCTTACTCTTGGCATCGTGCACTGTGCTGCAACATCCCTACAAACGGAGAAAAGGTTCACACATCACTCGTGACATATGTGGCTAATCCGAGCAAGCAAACAAGATCCTCGCTGAAGAACTTAACGTGATGATACTGGACACTGCTTGTACACAGATACTCAGCCTGGGGCCGTCATCAAATAGTATATGGGTTCTTCGGAGCCCGCAACCAGACGTCCTGGGCCCAGGCAAGCAGCGCTCTAGCATCATATTCGTATTATTCTCAGTCTTTGGCCGCAGCCAATGCAGGTCCTGGTCATCATTCTTTTGTAATCATGTCAGATCATAACAACGTCTTCAGCGGCCCCCGATCGGTTGCCGACTACTTCGACCCCGACAAAACCCCCCCTCTGCCTTTGGTTGAGATTCCGGATCGCTTAAACCCCTTTAGAGAAGATGGTGTGAGAATATACGCAAAGATGCTTACCTGTCTGCCGGCCCAAAATGTCAAGTCTCTGCCCGGTACGTGCAGTTCTTCAAACCGAACCACAACTAAAACGTTGACAAGCAACTCTACTAGCCCTCAAGATGTTGCGCAACGAGTCCGATGCTCACAGCAAAAAGATCGTTGAAGCAAGCTCAGGTTCCACGGTTCTGTCACTCGGCATTATCGCCCGGGTTCTCTGGGGCAATGAAGACGTTGATGCCTATGTGACAAATAAGAAGTCCCCAGAGTCGTTGAACCTGCTTCGATTCTTCGGTATCCGACCGTACGACTCTCTGGGAGCATCTGCGGATTTCATTCTTCGTTTTCAGTATCTAACGTCTTTATTTCACCAGGTGTCTTTACGGTGGTCTCGCTCAACAGGAACCCACAGATCCTACAGGCATCATGTGCAGACTGCGGCGGAGAGCTGCTCAGAGTGAGGAAGTAGTGTACCCTGGGCAGTACGACAATCCAAATGTAGGTTTCCTTACCTTTCACATGAGGTTTCGTCGCTGATACTTTGACAAGAACTGGAAAGCTCACGAGGAATGGACTGGGCCTCAAGTATTTCATCAGCTTCCCCAGATCAACGTCTTTTGCTCGACGGTTGGCACTGGAGGTGTGACCGATTGTCATCTTCTTTTCCTTTTACCTAGCTAACCACGGAAACCAGGTGCAATCACAGGTACAGGCGTGTATCTAAAATCTCGCAAGCCAGAGGTAAAGATTGTCGGGTAAGCTTGTTATATTCCGTTTACATCTTTCATTCTCTCACCTTGGATTAGTGTTTTCAACAAGTTCGGAGATCCCACTCCTGGGCCTAGACATTTCCACGGCTTCTACACATCCGGATTTCCATGGCAAGGCACAGTCGACAGCCGTATCGAGGTGTCCTCTGTTGACTCATACCGCATGTCCATGCAACTTTCTCGAGAGGGACTCATTGCCGGTCCATCATCCGGAGAGGCTCTTCATGGTTTGCTTGAGTACATCTTGCAACTCATCAAGCTTGAGGATATAGCTCAACTAAGAGATAAAACGACGGGAGAGATCTCATGCGTTTTCACATGCAGCGATCTACCATACCAATATTTACCCACATACTTCCAGAAGCTCGAAGCAAACGAATTCCCTCGAATCGAAAATGAGGTGAGTCGCAATTCGAAGAGTTGCGAGTTCATACTGAATGCGTTCAAACTCAGATACTGCTGCATTGTGACCAGACCAGGCATGATGAGACCTGGGTACTAGACGTACAGACGGTCGCCGCAATGCTCTTTGGTCCAATTGACATTGGCTCAACGCAGAAGTCAACGACCCAAATCGTCGAGGAAAAGATCGAATTGAGCGAACCCGTTCCAGCTCAAAACTTATCGACAAGTCGTTCCTGGCTGTCACGTCTCCTCACCATGCTCTTTCCAGAAAATCCTCGATTAAGACTTAGGTGTTGCCCAGGTCACTCAGATAACACCTTTTCCCCGTCAGTCTTGACCTTTGACCTTCGCAGCGAGGCTTCTTTCAGAACTCAACACCTCCCAGGCTCATATTCGATGCCTTTAGAAGGATTGTCGTCTAGTCTGGCAGGCGGCGACCTCTTCGGGGATGCGGAGTCTGTTCATATGATCTGGACACAGATACAAAGGGCGTTCGACAAGCCAAATGCGTCAAAACTGATGCAGAGTGCGCGGGAAAACCGGCATACCATCATCTTTCTGTGCTACAACGGTGATGCCAGCAAGCTTGCATCATCCACTCTCCGGGCTAAAGGCTATGAAGCTTATAGTGTAGGAGCAGGTTTCAAGGGACTTTGGGATAATCTGGAAGCCTTCAAGCTTGTGTAAATATGGGGACAGAGTGATAGCTATAAGATATCCTCAGGTCCAATGTGAAGAAGACTGCCAATCATCAAAGCTCCCCATCATTGCCTCCCGGGCGTTATTCTCAAATCATGACGGCTTCAGTGACAGCTTTTGACGAATGCTGCCGAAAGCGGCCACAATAGTGTAGTTACTGGAAACGCCCTGGGTGGGCCGTCCTCAACACATGTCACGGTGTTGACAAGGTTCCTGTCTGGGGCCAGTGTGCCATCAGCTCATAGAGCATCGGTGCTATCATATGCAATCATCATTCATTCATAACTAGGACTGAAATCTATGTGAGATGCAACCGTACGTGATCATGCCGAGAGTCGCTGAACACTATCATGCGGAGAGAATGGTACCCTCAACCTCGATCGTTGCCAACTTCCAAAGGCTTACCACCTGGCACACGGCGAAGGAGGAGTCCGCCGATGGCCTCCGAGTATCAATGTCATCTTATCAATGCCACCTAAGCAACATACACCGGCAATCGGCTACCAAACAGTTCGCTCTTCGGCAATTGAACGTCGTTCTTGTGGAAATCATGAAGCATAAGCCAGCAGATCATCCGGAACACCAGCGTGCACCAGATGTCCTCATGAGTGGTGTCATAGAAATAATCCTCATCCAACAAGTCGATCGGTTCATCATCATCGTCAATCTCAGGCAAACGCTCCAATGGTATGTCCTGCTCTGAGTCTCCACCCGACGACTCGGGCGCGACGGGACTGCGAATAGTTTTCCCTGTCTGTGCGCGCTTCAGAGCAAATCCCTCTTCTGGTGCCGGCGGCGCAGACTTGGGGTTCGTGAGCTCTTCGTCTCGCCGTTCTGTCGACTTTTGTGACTCGTCAATGACCTTCTGCCGGACCGTTCGGAAATAAACTTCCATGAGCTTGGCTTGCTTGACCTCGGGAGGCGCCGAATCGATATCCTCGAAGCGGAATTTGGGCTTGGACGGCGGTGTCGTGGTTTTCTGGCCGGTGGCTTCTGGCGTTGTCTTTCCAGGTCTGGGGTTGAAGCCGGACAAGACCTCCTGAATGTGACTACGAAGCACAAAGCGGACCGTTTCCCGCCGGTCGCTTTCAAGCTCCGTTTCCTGATGTTCTCCTGCAACATTTCCTGTTTTCTCGGAAACCTGTCGCAGAAGCTTCGACTTAGTTGTGTACTCTCTGTGAATGACCGGCCGATTTTCCTTTCTTCTGAAAGTCAGGATCTCATCCGTATCATCCAGAGCAGTGTGCAAGGCATCCATTAGCGACAAGCTCAACTCGCTGCGGCGGTCTGTCGGCAGCGAAGCTTGCTTGAAAAGTTCTTTTTGTAGAATCTTGATGTGTCTCGAGATCTGCCTCGTCACGTTGCTGGTGATTGGAACGTTGTTGCGGGCATCCTTGAATTCGCTGGGCTTCTCCTTCATGTCGTTGGTGTCCTTACGGCCGAAACGCTTCCTCATTTGGTACTCGTATGCCGTTAGCAGTCTAGGCAGGCTGAAGTTTTTCGTGTCCCATCGGAAAAGAGTTGGGTTCGGGAGCAAACGAAATGCACTCTTCTCAATGTGCAGTGTTTGTCCCAACATTCCCACAATCTCAAAAGCAACTGAGGTACCCCCTGTCAGCCTCTATTCAGCGCCATTTCTGTCCAGGGCGGAACTTACCAGGAAACACGTGGCTGACCGTCGTGGTCGTCTTGTTGTCGGAAAAATATCTGACAGTGTTGGTGTTGCACCCGATTAACACTAACGTTTCCGCAATTTCGTTCATGGTCGCAAAATTCAACGTTGATAGGTCCCTTGACTCGTCGATGGGAAGCTTCAGTCGCCGTTCGTCTGACTTGGACTTGTAAATCGTCGGAACAAAGCCAAAACACAACTCCTTGACTTCGTCAACTGGAACAACGCGATTGGGCCCAAATCGATTCCGTCCATGGACTTGGAAGGTGAACATTATCCCAAGCTCGCTGACCTTGGACCCAGTTACTGTGTACCCGTTTCCTTCGGCGCGGTACCTGTCGTTAGTTCTATCGAATTCGACCCAGTATATACCAAGCAAGGCCAGCATTTCGACAATATGACACCAGGTTGTAGTGGCATAAGGCTTCTTCACGCTGGAAGGCATTGTGTCCCAGCTCTTGACCTTCTTCTGCAAGGCTACGGCCAAGCTGTACTTTCCAGCCACCTTAGCGAGAGTTCCTTTGGTGTCCTCTGGAGAGTTGATCTGGGTGTTGTCTTTTGGAGGCTCCCTTGGTCTCAGGTCTACATCGTACTTCTTCTGCTGCCATTCCCTGGATTCGTGTTCCATTTGTTGGAGGGCGGACAAAAGCGTCACCCACGATGCCAACTCATTATCGGCCGTGTGAACTGCTCGTTTGATTTCCTTTTCGGTGGCTTGACTTGATTGACTTGAATCCTTGGAAGGGGCTTGCGGCAGAGCCGTCCGCGTCTTTTCTAGGCTTTCTGGGGATCCATCAATGAAGAGAATGTCGGCGTTCTTGACAGGGCCCCTCTCGTTTTTTGGTGGACACAGGAATATGACGGGAGCTTCGAATTGGACTTCGAAGCGGAATTCGTAGGGTTTCAGCACTCGTTGCCTCCCCTCGGACCATTTGCCTATGGCCTTTTCGTCGCAACTTGAGTAGCCAGCAGCAGAGGCGTAGTACTGCTGGGCAACTTGTAGGAGGGACGCGAGGAGAGCGACAACGGAGATGACCAGGGCGGCAATGGCCACCCATAGTTCGTTGTCGTCGTCATTGATGTTGTTGTTGATCAGGTCGAGGGTCTTGTTGAACTGCGCTTCATCCATGCCCGTCGTCATGCTGGCGGTCAGGAGGAACCGCGGGCCAAGAGGTAAGGTTATGCCGCCAATTGCCGTGCCTTTCCTTCTGCAGGGCTCTCTCGAGTATGGTATTACAATCGTGTGTGTTCGTTCGAAGGGTCGACTCGCTCGCGGAGGTCAAGAGGGATCGGGGTCGAGGAGAGATATGGTCGTCGAGCCATAGACGAAGGAGGTGTGAGGGAGCCGATCCTCCTGGCAGATCAATCTGACGTTCTCAGCTCGAGGGGCCCAGGAGGAGACCTGCAGTGTCAGGCGTGTCGTCCAGTCGAAGTTGACGTAGAGCAGGGCAGGGTAGGGCGAGGCGAGGCTGCACGACAAGCTAATGCGCGCAACGGCGGCGCAGCCGCTGGCAGTGGAAGGGTCTGAAGGGAGTGGACGGTCTGGAAAGCGTTGAATGGACAGGACGAGTACGATGGGCTGACTCCAGCTGCGCTACGGAGAGCGTCGAGGGAGGAGAACGCATACCTACTCGTAGAAGCGACTTTCGACGCTTCATGTCAGCCTGTCTGCCCAGCCATCCTGTTTCTCCAGAAAGGGACGCCGAGCCCCATCACCAACAGACAACGTCCCCCTGCCGCCGGCATGGTACCCCCATGTCTTGCCCAATAGCCAGCCCTATCTGTCGCTAGCCCGTGGCTCATTTGGCGCTATTTTGCAGTGTTGCCGGGTCTTGTTTGTGGAACAGCAGCAGGCAGCGGCATTCATTGAGGAGAACGACGAGTTGTCAAGACGAGCCCGGAGTTGGCGATGCAGAGGTGCATCGCAGCGCAGCGCAGCATGTACGTTGACGTGGAAGAAGGCAAGATGTTAACGTCCCGCAGTGGCAGTGCAGAAAAGGCAGCTTGAACCGCTCGTCCAAACATACCTATCCGTACCTACACATGGAATGGATGCCAGGCGGGAACTGGTTCGCCAGGGCAGAACTAGGAGCGGCCCGCCGTTCGAACCGTACGTCAGTGCAAAATAAGTAGATTTATTACGGAGGGCCTCCCGGAGCGGGAGGGCAGTGCAGGGCAAGCCGTGGCAGTTCCGGACGAAAGCTTCATTGCTGGATCCCGATGGCTAAGCTTCCCATCTGATCGTTAGTTCCCCGTCTTAGCGCTCTCTTATCCACTGTTTGAAGTCCACCTCGCTGCCGATTTCCGTTCGCAGCCACTCCGGGCCAGAGGTTTTGGACGCCTGTTTCAATTGAAAACGTGTTCAACCACAAAATCATCACTCATTAATCTCCTCGGCTTAATTCCTTTCTTGATGAGTTTGAGTTCATGTAATGGCTAAGGGTAGAGTTGAGAGCTGACAGCCGGCGCTCGGTCACACGTCAACACCCAAATATTTTTCACCAGTACACCAACAGTGTCTGCCATGAATGATGACCCAATTCATGGTGTTACCAGCTTCTTCATGAAGCTCTTTGTACTACGATGACTTGAATGATGTATCACTATCGAAGCGTTCGAGACGCCTCGCACAAGGTTCCTCTAGTTGTCATGACAGGCAACCCCTCACCTCGGTCTCGCGACGAGCGGCTCGCCCGGACTTGAAGAACGAAGTCTTCTAGAGTCGGCGCTCAATTTTGACATATCTTCCAACACATCGCTTCACCAGCGAACTGAAGTCAGAATGATTTGGCCTTTTGGGGTCACATACCCGCAGTGCCGGGTCACTGATGTCGAGGGCAAGACCTTTGACTACATCCTCGTTGGAGGTGACGAAACCACGTAAGATTTGGATGCAAATGAAATCTAACACTCATTAGGCGGCACGGCTGGATGCGCAGTCGCTTCTCGACTGAGTGAAGACCCTCATGTCAGCGTCCTTCTCATCTGCAACGGCAAGATCGAAGACAGTTGGATACACAGTATTCCTATAGTCGGGAACGCGAGAGAGAATCGTGGCGCTGATATCGATACCATACATTCCGAGCCCGATGAGCAATGGGATGGTGTCAAAGTCAGATGCTTCACTTCTCGGTCACTCGGCGGCGCCTCCAACCTCAACGGGCTGATGTACACGCGTGGTCCGCCGAGCAACTATAACCAGTGGGCGGCTCTTGGAAACGACCAATGGAGCTTTGAAAAGTGCGAGCCGTACTTCAAGAAGCTGGAGAACGCTTCGTCCCAGCCGGGAGCTTCTTATCGTGGTCACAATGGTAAGCGTCGGTGAAGACCTCTCCTCGTTGGTGGAGGCTCTTGCGCTGACTTTGCCAGGGCCAATTCATCTAAGGCAAGATCCGCCGGTGACTTCGATCGATGCATAGTACGAATGCCCTCTTCTTGATGTCTAATGTTGTGGACTAATCAGACAGATAGCATTCAACAAGCAGCAAGGGACATGGATCTTCCTGTTCGTAACGACATGAACAACCCGAAGGCTCCTCCCGAAGGTCTCTATACCATAGAGCATATGATCGATCAGTCCGGATACCGCCACTCGGCCGTCGCTGCATACTTGCCAAAGTCGCTTGTGATTCAGCGTCAAAACAGACTTACAATTTGCAGTGGGGGAATAGCTACTAGGCTCCGTTTTAGCGAAGACGGCAGTGAAGCGGAAGGCGTCTATGTTTTGGATCACCTCAATAAGAAGTCGGGAAAAGAATGCTTGGTCCACGCCAGACGAGAAGTCATCATTTGCTGCGGCTCCCTCTTCACTCCTCAACTCCTCATGTTAAGGCATGTGCCCCCCCCCCTCATAATAGACCGTGAACTAATGACATACCCAGCGGCATTGGTCCAAAACAACACCTCGAAGATCTCAAGATCCCGTTAATTCGAAACCTTCCCGGAGTTGGCGCAAACCTACATGACCATGTCTCTTTCGGCATCTCCTTCCAGGTCCGCTTCTCGGACTCCTATCTCTGCCTCCAGAACCCCCTCGTGGCAATATGGATGCTCTTCCTCTTCGTCTTCTACAGGATAGGAATTCTCTCAACGTGTGGTGGGAGACTTTGCGCCTTCGTACAGAGCAAGAATATCGACGACTCAACTATGAGGGTGAAGTCATGTGAAAGTGGTACGGACCCCTCCCTGCCAGAGAACCTACCAGACGTCGAAGTCCTTTTCGTCAACGCAGCACATAACCCTGAGATATGGAAAGGATACTGCGCATTCCTGGCCACGCTTGTCCAGCCGTGTTCCAGAGGCCGCATCGAATTAGCTTCTTCGGATCCTCTAGCCCTGCCCAGATTTCACTTCCAGCATTTCAAGGACCCGCGGGACATGGTCGTTGCACGAAAAGCAGCCCGTTTTGCCATGAACTATGTCGACACCTTCCGCAAGACCAAGTATCCTTACAGTTCTGCATGGCATCTGGCCCCGGGAGTCACCAAAGGGACAGGGGAAGGCAGCTGGAGGGACGTGACCGATGACCAGATTGATGATTACTTGAAAAGGCAAACGGTCAATTTCTATCATCCAACTTCGACATGTCGTATGGCGCTAGAGGGTGATGGAGGTGTCGTGGGACAAGACATGAAGGTTCACGGCGTCAAGAATCTGCGGATTGCGGACGCTAGTGTGTTCCCAACAAACACGAGTGCGCACCCGGTGGCGGCTGTCTATATGGTTGCAGAAAGGTGCGCCGATTTTGTGAAGTCTGGGTGGGCAGAAAAGGCTTGAGACGTCTCACTTGGCCGTGACTTCAGAGGTTCCACCGCAAAATGATCTGTCATGGCAATGGGCCCTTGTCCAGTGATGCGTTAAGGTCATGATTTGGTATTATATTCGTTACCGGCTGCATTCGTGAGCCCGCAGCTCAGCATTATTTACAGCTTCAGACAGTCCCCCATTTCGTTTTCACTGAGTCACAAAAGGTGCTCGTCGAACCAAGAAATAGCCTGGTAGAAAGCCTGCTCCTTGGCATACTTCTGAACCTTTTTGCTAATGTCGCAACGCACAGCGAAGCCATGCTCGACGCCAGAGTAGAGGTTGATCTGGTAAGGCTGTCCGGTCTTTTGCAGAATCTCCTCGGACCTGTGACGCAGAGGGGCAGGGAAGATGCTGTCGGTCTCGGCGGCGGCGATGGAGAGGGGGCCAGAGATGGCAGCGAGCTCCTCGTCGTCGACGAAGCTGGGGTGGGCAGTGAAGCCGACCTTGATGCCGTCCTTGTAGTGGCGGACGACGTACTACCCCAAAATGATTAGCATTACTCCGTACTACGGCTTCCAGAAAGACTTACTTTGGCGCCAAAGCAGTAGCCGACGGCACCGAGGTTGGTGATGTTGTGCTCCTTCTTGAGGTAGTTGATAGAGTCGACGATGATGGGGTCGACGCTCTCCTTGCCGTGGGGGTGCTTGCCGTCGCTGCCCTCGGCGAACCACTTCATGATGTCGAATCCTTCGGGCATGGGGAGGGACAATTGGTCGCCGTGGAACAGGTCGACGATCAGGGTGGTGTAGCCGTTGGCGGCGAACTGGTCGGCGACGAGCTGGCTGTTGTTCCAGATGCCGAAGACGTCGGCAACGAAGAGGATACCGGTGTTCTTGTGCGCCTTGTCGGCGGGGGCCTCGGCGAGGTAACCCTCATACTTGCCGGCGACGGAGATCTTCTTGCCCTGAGGGGTGCCTCTGCGTGTTCAAGAGTTGATTAGCAAAGAAGCGTAACCGCAACATCGGGATCGCAATGCCTGCATTGAACGGGAGCTTGGATGCCGGACTCGGGGAATCAAGCTTTGTGAAGTGGGGGAGGGGTAAACCGGCGGGGTCATGATTCGGTTCTTACGTACTCGTGCTTGACGCCGACAGTGCAGCACTTTCCGGGAGGGTTGGAGGCCATTTTGATAATATTTGATTGAGATAGGATCAGTTCAGAGTGGAAGAATCAATTGGGCTGTTCTGGAACGAGGAGGGCGTTGGCGTGCTTAAGAGTCGGAGGTTGCAGAGCTATGAGGGGCTCCTAGATCCGCGGATCAAGAAGGCCGAAGCGTTGACGTGAGGCATTACCAAGCAATTGGATTCCCATAGCGACTTGGCCCCTCCTAGACGGGACATTTTTTTGCCTTCTTGGACATTCGACGGGGAAAGGTGTGGGCCGAGATCCGATCCGATCCAATGCAATGATGCCGTAGCACGTCAATTGGTTGAGGAGGTCTGTAACTCGGACTCAACGTCTCCTCCAGCTGCCCCTCTTGATGAGACAATACACCACACGGATGAAGACACAGACTTTCGGAGCCATTCTTCAAGCTCCAATCTCCAATCCCCACTTCACCGAACCTCCCGCGCGTTGCTTCGGCTTCTAGGGTGAAATGAAAACTTGAGACGGCTGGAGCTCCGTTGGCCGACACGACACGACACGGTCCCGAAGCGGCATACAGCGCGGCAGTAGCGGATATAAGGCGGGAGGTGTCCGTCACGGACAGATTTCCACGATCGGCACACGGGGTTAGATTGAAGCCATCTTCAAGTGACCCTGGATTGTGGCTGTCAGTGCCGGTCCAGGTGGAAACTGCCCCGATTTCTGGGATTCTGATTCCGCACGTTCGGAATTTAAAAGTCGATCGTCACCTTCAGATCCAGACATCGGGACTTTTGAATGCTAGTGCAAGGCACAGCTGGCTACACAGGCGGTGACGGACGTCATGATTTCATAATTGCATGAATGGTAGAAGGTCCGGTCTCGGTGAATCATGGAAGGTGACGGGAGCTCACCTGGGGTCACCGGAAGCGGAGAGAAGACCCGCAGTATTTCCGTAAATCCGTGCTGACTCAGACCGCCCTTCTTATCGATAAGATACAGACAGAGACGCACGGACTCTGTTCTTACGTCACTCCTGGCCGTGGCTCCATCCGCATCCGCATCCGCATCCAGTGTCCAGTGTCCAAATCCAAAAAAACACAGGTGCACTCGGTGCAGTTTAGCGTCTCCACTGTGTTCTCTTCTCTCGTGGCCAAGGTTTCCTTGTCCACCAATCCTGTAATTCCACACTCACTGCAGTCGAGCTGGCGCACCCTCTTGGAGATCCCGCCGTCGGACAGTCTTTCCCCCCACCCGCGATTTGCTGCTGCGAAGAACTGCAAACTGCGAGGCTAATTGCTTGGATTCTCTGGCACAACGTTCTTGACCTCGGCTCACCTTCTTATTCGCCCACCCGACCAGCCTTGCTTGCGATCCAACGAATTGCCTACAACAAACAGCGAATGGCGCCGGCGTCTCTCGACTAGGAAAGATAGCGAAGGGCTTGGGAATGTCGGAGAGCGAACAGGATACAGATCGCGGGGCCGACGATAATCATGGATCGAATGGAAACTCTACCACCATGTCTCGTGAGCCGGTCGAGGCCTTCCCGGCCATGCCAGCATTCCCTCCCGAGGGCAAAGCTTTCGACGACAGTGCAATAAACCCGAAAAGCGACATCAAAGTCTCCCACATTCCTATGCCGCCGCTGCCCACCGTTTCCTCGAGCGCACCGCCTACATCGACCCTCCCTACCATCCCCGGCGGTCACTCCGATGAAGAACAATCTTCCGATGGCTCCTCGACGCACAGCAAGCCCGAACGGCAGGAATCATCCAACTCGTCGTCCACATCCGAGCCGGCGACATCTTCGAACACAAAGGAGACCGATCCGAAAGAAGATGCCACACAAAAGACGAGAGCAAGGACTGGATCCAGTTCTGCATCCAAATCTCAGAGCCACGATCATGTTAGGAGGTTATCGGCGGCAGGGATACAGCAACTGCAGGCGCCCGAAGCTCTACCCATCGCCGTTGTCCTGGACGGCGCAGCCAACGACCAAGATCGACCGGTTCAGATTGCGGAGCAGCTGCAAGCTATCCGACAGTCGATTCTCAGCCAGCCGAATTCTCTGCGGTCGAATGGGCCTGTCACAGACGGAGGAAGTAGATCGCGACAACACGATGAATGGCGCCGACCGACCTCTGGAAGAACACTCTCCACGCCGCCGACGAACCGGCGGCAATCTCAGTCTCAAACGACATCGCCCCGCCGGAATTCCTTCTACACCGTTGCCAGGCCACCACCGTTAAATCTCGAGGCCGCCACTCACTTCAACGCCGTGAGCCCCCTGCCGCCGACTCAGAGCAAACTGCCGCAAATCCAAGTGCCGCCGCCGTCGTTGCAGCAGCCGAAAACAACGAGAAATGACCCCATTCCGCCGTCGCCTCTCCCTCCTTCGATACCCCTCCCACCCATGTCCATACCAACGCACCTGCAGCTGGAACTGGCAGCTCAACGGCCGAGTCCTTTGTACATACACCATTCACATACCAACGATATTCCATACGAGTCGTACGCCGTTAAGTGGGAAAGGCTGAAAAACGTCCTCATGCTCCCGACCTTTCTCGAGCGGACACTGTACTTTGGGGCGCTGGCGTGTCTCGATGCCTGGCTTTACAACTTTACCATCTTGCCGATGAGGTTTTGCATTGCGTTGAGCGTGCTGGTCAAATGGTGGGGCTATCTCGCTGCCAAAGAGGCTCGTTGGATGATCGGCTTCGTCTGGTACGGACTGGGTAGAGTATGGGCAAGAGCCCGGCGGCCAAGGTCCAGGGCTATGTCGTCCGCCCAACACGAGAATCCCGACCACCTCGTCAGTCGGGATAGGAGCCAGAGCCGACCTGCGGAAAGGAGAATACCCATGGAAACTGTGGACGTGCGGCCTCCTGGCGATGTCCCTCCCGTACGTGTTGATTCGGACGTCAAGACAAATGGAGGCAACGTGATAGAGCAGGAGGTCAAGATGAATGGTAACGGACACGGAGTCACTTATAAGGTGAATGGCCCTGCCGGTCATCATCCTCCACACATGTCTGGGCATCGAACACATCGTCACAGGCGGACAAAGTCGATACCTTCAAACCTGTCTTCGTTCCACAAGGCCGATTTACTGCAGGGTGCTGTTATCTTGTGCAGCTCGCTGTTTCTCATGAAGTTGGACGCCAGTCGTATGTACCACTTTATTCGAGCTCAGGATGGAATCAAGCTCTATGTTATCTACAACGTTCTCGAGGTAAGTCCGTAGAGCACATTTCATGTGTTCGTTTTACTAACACACTCCTAGGTCGGCGATCGTCTTCTCTCCGCCCTCGGACAGGATATCTTCGAGTGTCTCTTCAGCTCCGAAACTTTGTCTCGAAACAGTTCCGGACGGTCAAAGGTGCTGCTGCCCATGGGCATGTTCGCACTTGCTCTCGCCTACAACGTTATTCATTCCGTCTCCTTGTACTACCAGGTCATCACGCTCAACGTGGCCGTGAACTCGTACTCCAATGCTCTCCTGACTCTGATGATTTCGAATCAGTTCGTCGAGATCAAGAGTACCGTCTTCAAGCGCTTCGAGAAGGACAATCTATTTCAACTGACCTGTGCGGACATTGTCGAGCGTTTTCAGCTATGGATCATGTTGCTGATTATCGGCATGCGTAACATCGTCGAAGTCGGTGGTCTTTCTGTACCTGGCGCCGGATCCGAGAGCGGCAGCGACATGGGCGGTGGCTCTATGCCTCTCCACAGCCCTTCAATCCTGCCTTTCAGTTTCACGGTCCTGCCGTCCTGGGTCTGGTCCGGCGAGGTTTTGTCTCCTTTCCTCATCGTCATCGGTAGCGAGATGCTTGTAGACACCATCAAACATGCCTACGTCAACAAGTTCAACAACATCAAGCCAACATTCTACAGCCGTATCCTTGATATCCTGTGCAAGGACTACTACACAAATGTAAGCATTTCCGTTCCCCAGCTACTTGCTTCCGCTGACATTCTTGCCAGGCATTCGTCACACCATCCTTGACTCGACGACTCGGCCTTGCCGTCATCCCCCTTTCGTGTCTCTTCATCCGCGCTTCAGTGCAGACATACCACATGTTTCTCTCGACTCGTATTCCCACACCGCTCCCGGAATCAACGCAGACGTCTCTTTCCGTCGAGTCTGCCACGCCGTCTTCGCCGGTCATGGTAGCCGCCCTCGACCGCCTCGATACCCTTCTTCGCGATGCGCTCGGCCGCGCAGTCTACGGCTACCCCCACGGGTCCCCTACGTTCAAGGCGCGGTCGTGGTGGTCCTGGACAAGCGACGACGTCATTGCAGCCGTCACGATGATCGTTGTCTTCTTCATCGCCTTCCTCGTCTTGCTCATCATCAAGCTGCTGCTGGGCATGGTCCTTTTGCGGTACTCGCGCAACCGATACGCCAAGATGAAGCGTAAGGAGCACTTGGTGGCGATGGGGCAGGAGGAGCGTGAGTCTTACGACGCCAAGGGGAAGCGTGTTGGCGGGTACGGGCAGATTGAAGTCACGGAGGACAGACGGAGATGGATTCACGCAGACGACAAGGAGGGGCTGAAAGGTGGTAAAGGGCGCGTGCAAAAGCAGGAAAAGCCGCCAGAGGGTGATTACAACGGCGTCTACCGGTATGAAATGGTTGCGAAGAGGATCTGGTAGTTGGCGCATCTGGTCTTGGCTGTACATGATTACTCAGCATCATATCGCATAGCATAGCTTGGGAGAATCGTGGGATTCTTTGTTTCCCGAATGTTGGCCAATGGAATTACATCACGATCTCGAGGACTTGACTGGTGCGACGAGCTAATGACTCCTTGCTGCGGCGGCGGTAGCTCAACCTGTGCATCCGATCAGTCATAACTAAACGAGCGACTGGGTTGCGAAGGAGACGACGTGGTAATTGCAAATTACCTGGTGCGGTCTATTCTGAACAATTCCGAAAAGGTAGGTTCGACAGTGGTGCGGCAAAGAAGCGGCATGGCATAGAAGGGCATCCAGGTCGCTGAAGCGACCAGTTCGCCAGGTTTCCGTCGAACTCTCGCGAGGCAACCTAATCTTGGATCACCTGGATAATTATTAAAAAAACTCAGTTGCACCGAGACATTGCGATAAAAGTCTTCCCATGCACATCATCGCGGCAATCCTTGGCAGACATCAGCACAAAGCGCAGTGAGACCTCCACAACACCCAACTACCGAGACACCAGGCGAGAAACCACGAAAGCCGAGACCATGACGCCCCAGGGCACACATGCCAGCGGTGGCAACGACGCCGAGAGCACCATCAACGCCTGGGAAATTCTGGACAAAATGGTGGAGGCGAGTCTATGCGGCATCTGCTGGAAACTGCTCGACAGAATGTACACGGCGACGTGCGGACACAGCTACTGCATGAAATGCGCCGAGGAGCTCCTCAGCGGCGAGACTCGCAATCTTCAAATCCAGGCAGGACTTGGAAAATGTCCTACGTGCAAGGAACGTATTTCGAGCCCAACGAGACTCTCTGGCGGGGTGATAAAGCCCGCTCTGAAGCATTCAGTAATGGTGAGTTACCACCTTGGTTGAAGCCAACTGGTATGCGTTGTATGTTGACGGTTTAGGAAAGATCAGGCATAACTTCGAACAGCTCAGGACGTGGGCCATCTGGAGAAAGGGGCAAGACGACAGAGCTCGGGCGGCTGGGGAGAGCATAGGGGAGACGAGATGCAACTGGCGTCTCCACGGGTGGGAAATTAACGTCGCTGACGTTCCTGATGAGAACGTTGGCGAGGACGATGACGATGACGACGACGTTGATGCAGATGTTGACGGCATTGGCGAAGACGATTCGGACGACGCCACGCAGGCCTTTTCGCAGGAATCATTCGAAGAACGACGGAGGCAGATGCAACGGAGGTCCCGATCTCCTCCATCCGAAAACCCCCTAGCTTCTTTGGCAAGACACAACAGAGCCATTACTCGGGCGCCTGCTGTTGTTCATACCACTGTCGCTTCTGGATCGTTGTTCCTGCACTCTACTCGACAGCTCGAAGCGCACTTCCTGACGGGCCGGAGGCAGGGCGACGAAAGAACGGGTGGGCTTTCGAGAGGAAACAGTGCTCCTCCTACTGGTGGCGATGCCCGTAATATTGATTAGCGTTGAGATGTCCTGATGTAGGCGTCCGATTCCATGGCCTGTACGGATCTCTGGACACCTAGTGATAAGTTTCATGGAATTACCTTCATAGTCGGTAATTAGCTGGTCACTCGGCTAGGGGTGGGCGAGCAGACGGGATGTTCGTTCAGCGGCGAGTGTCAGGGCAGTGGCACGCCGGGCAGCAAACCATAGGTTAAACCGGGGGTGTCTGAGTTGTCTGAGAATTACCGTAAGTAGCATGGATAGTTGAGACAGTCCTACATGAAAGTGATCAAAGTAATTAGATTCCCATATGGTGATACATTTCACACGCCAGTGGCCTTCAACGAGTCGGCTGTTGGCGGGAGTGTCTTTCATACCCAGCGATTGTGATTCTTGCAATGGAAGGTACAGACAGGTAGGCAGTATTCAAGGTGAAGGGAATTTAGGCTTTCCAATGTCCCAGCACTCGCAGCTGTTAATGCCCGCGAGGTGGAAAGGACACCGGCCGTTCATTCCATCCCAATCGCATGTCTCGAGGTGCCTACCTTGGTACGCTATCTTAAGTAAGGTAGGTAGAAGTCAAATGGAAGGAGTTAACGGGCATTTGGGCAAGAGCGATGAATCAAGTGTCTTTAGGAAGGCCCTGGGTAAAACAATTGGGAAGTTGTTCTGATTTGGGGAAGAGCTTCCCATGCGACTGCTGCTTCAGGGGCTGCCCGAGTGCCCGGTGCCTTCCGACCTAAGCTTGTATGCCTATCTAGGTCGGCAGGTACTCTGCGAAGGACATCAAAAGGAAGGCATCACCAATTTGAAGGAAGCTACCACGTCTCTGTGCATGATTCCTTCCTTGACTCCCCGCCCGTCCCTTTCCATGTCGTCAATAACACCCCCAAGAATGCCCACCATCGTCCTCCCAACTTCGATCAAACACCTCCATTCCCATTTCTGTCCATCCAACAACTACTACATACAAGACAATATCAGAAGTTTGGCTTCAGAGTTATCAACAGCAAGCCACCGTCTTCACCTCTTTACGTCCACGATCCTCTACTGTCGTTTGCAAAATTATCTTCTCCCTCCCTCGCTCAACGCCTTCTCTGGACCCTCACAGAGCGACGACGCGCAACATTCGACACATCCGAGAACGGGAGACCTAGATTCACGATGAGCAACGTCGCCCTCGCTGGTTCACCGCCCAAGTCGACCCGCGGCGACAGAGACCTGTCTACCGTCGCCGAGCAGAGGACGGAGCCGAGCACCCCGGCGAGGTCTGCCTCACCCAAGAGCACCGCTGCTGCACCTGCATCTGCACCTGCACATGAAGATATGCCAGACCACAGCCACCAGTGCAGAGAGTGCCGGGCATCCTTCTGCCAGCCTCTCAGCTGTGGTCACATGTACTGCGATGAGGTTAGTCTCTCTTGCACCCCACGAACGGGAATATCGACCAAGCTGACGTGCTGCCAGTGTCTTCCACCACCCCGCCTGTCCGGCTGTCCTGAGTGCAGACGCCAATCGATTGCAAATCGGCCACCTGTCCAGCCATCCCAGCCATCCCAGCCTGTACCTGTAAGTCTCAAAGTACATCTTTTACTCTACCCATTTCCCATACTGACGCTCTCGTCCTCCGCTTTAGCAACCCGAACCAAAGTCCAATCACGATATCGAACGCGACACGACGTTCAATCCTCCAGGCGACAAACGTCACCACAACACCCTCAAATACATTGCGGCGATTTTGACGATATGGTTACTTCTTGAGGTGGTGGTGTTGACTCTTGCAATCTTCGTGCTGCGTGGACGCATCACGAACTCAGCGGCCCCCTGGAACAGGGACTAAGGTAGTAAATACGGGAAGGCAACATGCACGATTAGACACAATTACAAGTAGTTTTAGAACACCCTAATACCAGTAATACGCCTGCAGACTTCTGAATTGTTCCATTCGGACCATATCGAGCCTTGTTGACGTTCGTGAGCTATGGTGCAGCTGGTAATCTACCAAGACCTGCACCCTTGGGGTTTCCAGGCAATGACGTTCAGTTCATCATAGCACATGTTCTCATTTACATATCATACCAGGTCAGTACCTTGCGCCATCCAGCCCGCTCACAGAGCGGAGCGTCAAAGCCGAGCATTCGCAACCCCATAAATCGTATACATCGTCCCATCCCTCTCGCCCGTGCCGTCGCCTACCGGAAGCCGACACCGTCCCCTCTCGAGACCCTCTCCCAGAATCGCCTCAGCCGCCAGACCCTCCCGACGCCCTTGCTCTCCTCCCACTTCCTGACGCCCTGTTCCCTCTGGCGGACCTCGCCCTTCCAGACCCCCTCAACCCACTTCCTCAGCCCGTCCTTGACCTTTTCCTTTTCGATGGCCCGCCTCTTGGCCACGAGAGAGGGCGCCACCTGCACCATGCTCATGCCCGGGACGCACTCCGGGGGGAGCACGGCCCGCTCGACGAGGGCTTCGGCCGAGGGCCTGGCGGCGAGGCGGCGAGACAGCCGGATGGACACGAGGGACCGGGCCAGGCGGCGGGAGACGACGGAGGTGTGAGTCAGGAAGATGGAGCGGGCGATCAGCTCCGCCAGAGAAGGACGGGAGGGGGAGGCGAGGAGCGGCGACAGGATGGCGCGCGTGTGCCGGAGCCGATAATGGTGGAGGATGGGCGACAGGGACAGGTGACGCAGGTGGTGATTGGTCTGTGCCATCAGCAGAGTTCTTCAACAAGCTACGGACCACACTGCGGCGATACTGGACAAAACCCTGACGGAAAATTCAGGCTGGTGGGAGAGACAAAACATGGTAAACGTAGGAACAAAGATCAAGGTCCGTCACTGGTGCGATGCTACGCGATACGTGGGGGAAGGAAGCCTACCCTCGAAGTGGACAATAGATCGTTCACATCCAGGTAGCCGAGGATGTGAAGTAAAAGCTCGTTGGGTAGTTCCGAGAGAACCACGTTGGCAGCAGCCGCGGGGCGTTGCGGCCGCTGAAAGAACGTCAAATACGACGAGGACGAAGCAGTCACGAGAGTCTGCTGCTGCTGCGGTTGCTCGTCACAAACTCCACGGTGCGCTGGTGGTGGTGGTGGTGGTGGTGGACATGGTCGGGCATCAGTGGCCGCTGAGGACGTGGGCTCGATCGGCGGGTGAAGCGCAGGGCCAAGGTCACGATGGCCGACGTGTACTGGAGCGGAGTGATGCGGATGTGATATGGCAAGCTGGCGGGTCGGGGAGAGGAGCTGGTCTGGGGCGGCCATCTCGTCGTGCATTGCGTCCATGGGGCTGACTCGGTCGCCTGCAAGACGAGATGGTTTGACGAAGAGGGTATAGAAGCGCCGAGAAGGTTTTCTGATTTCCCTCGCTTGCCTGCTATGCTAGCGACAGCTACAGCGACAATAGTAGCGAGGGGCGCATTGAAGTCGTCACGAAAGGTCGATGGGCGTCAAAGGTTGACCGGTGATACCCGCAGCCTCTTCCGGGGTCCTGCCAAGCGGATACCTGGGTTGCGTAACAGGTCGCGTGCGGAGGCGCTGCCGCAGAGTCGGCCTGGACAAGAGAGCAGCAGGACGGCGTTTAAGAGAGAGAGAGAGAGAGACGAAGCGGTTGAGCCGATGTAGTCGAGGCGGCATGCGCTGCTGGTTTTCCGCGAAAGATGCGCCGTACGCGACAAGTCCGCTTGTCTCGAAGTGATGGAAGTGGTGGTGAGGAACGTAGAACCGCGCGGTTCTGATTGAAACAGAGAATATTCGAGTGAAAGTGGTGCTTGCTTGCGCGCGCGAAATGAGACGCCGTTGGCCGTCCGAGACCCGGCCGAATTCCAAACGGCTCGGAAACTTGCGACCGTTGAGATGGGTCGATATATGGTAGCGTATCAAGAATATTGCTGGCCAGGAGGCAGGCGGCGACAGAGATGTGAAGTCAAGACCAAGCTAGTGTCGGAAGGTGGTTAGAAAAGCTTCATGATGAGGGGAGATGTACTCCATAGACCCCGCGACAGGGCGAAAGGGAGAGAATCTGATCTAGCCGTAGGCAAGGCGGAAGACGAGACGAGACTAGATGACGGGGACGGCAGTATGAGGTCAATGGTGAAGTCCAAGGCAGAAAAAACCACACTGGACGGCGTTGTTGTTTTCCCCAGATCGCAGGTGCCTTCTGCCCGAGCTCGGTGGGAGATGACGACGGTGACCTGAGAGCGTGACGATGCGTATGAGGTGTGGGGGGCAGGGGCGGCTTCGGTGAGGCGCGGGCGTGGTGGATATGGACGTGGTGTGCGTGTCGGGTGCGTGTGCGTGAGTGTAAGATGCATTGCAGCTTGCGCCTCCATCGTTCCAGGCTGCGTCACACGGCACCAGCAGAATATGGACAGTGCGTATCAACAAACGCAGTCTCTTTTTGGGGCAACCGTTGCACCCCGCACTGTCTTATTTCGGTAGGAACGTATCTTTGTATTCGGAGCGGGGCTTGTGCATTTTATGTTTCTGCATATCGGATATCTCAGGATATGCATTAGATATCTCAACTGTACACCGTAAAGTACCTGACAGTTGCCGCCGCATCTTTGCAGCTATTTTTGCAAATGTCCGCTCTCGAAATCTCGAGATGAATTTAGCTCTCGATTGCAGCTAAATCGGCGCCGAGTATCGCTCTGGAAACAAACCAACAATGCTCTATTTCAACAACAAAGGAGCCGGTGCCTCAGAATGCATCAGTGCCGCCACCTCGTGTCCTTCAATCGATAGTCTGGACGACGGGAACTCTAACGCGACCAACTTTCAGGACGCAGCGCAGGATTGGGTGCACTGATTGGACCGGTTACTCTGCCTTTGCACCTTCCACAACTCCAATTCGAAGTTCCCGTCCCTTCTTAGATCGGGCTAGTCGGGTAAATCTAGCCGAGAGTGGTGTGGGTTTAACCGTTTCTCCGGCGGACCCGCCTTTCTACGGACGCGGGTCCAGGGTCTAAGGTATGCTCAACCGCGACTTCAACTTCCGACTTCAATTATTTACCACGATAAATTCGCAGTGAAGCTGCCGGCATCCTCTGTGAAAATTCAAGCTCATCGCCCGAACGAAACCTTTCGCTCACAATACCCATGGCTTTTTCCCAATATAGTGGCGGAAAACACTTCTGCTGCACGTCGCCCCTGACCGCAGGGCGTGGCCGTCGAGTCGGACAGACGCGGTCTCAGAGTAGGCCGTCAACAACCTCATCACATCCATGACCTGGCTTCGCCTGCCCGATCTACGCTGGGCTTTACCGAAACCTACAATATCCTGCTTTACGGTACTTCCTTGGACTGAGCATCGGGCATTCTATTCACTGACAAATGCGCCTGCCTGGCGAAACCGGCCTCGGCGTTCTTGCTGTTTTGTCATGAACTGACCGATTTGGAAGCCTTTGCGAGAGACGCATATCCCACCTTGACCACCAATCGTCGACGGAGTGTGACTCCGCTGACAAGTTCTGACTTGGCCCTCATTGCCGTTCATCCCAAGATCCATGGCGTGTCGTCGGCGACGTCACCTCCCTCTCCGACTCCATCCATGCCTGTCCAGAATGAACAGCGCAGTCTCTGCGCTGTCTGCTGTGCAAAATCCACATTACCAGTCTGCAGACTGACGTTTCAACGGTATCCAGAAGACTTCCAAGCACACCAAGACAAGGCTGCATCCGGTCCGGTACCCGCTGCAATCTCTCCGTTGCATGAACTACACGTTCAAAAACATCGACATGCGTCACCACCGCATCGTCACACGACATGGGATGTACAGACTGACACGGTATCGACGTCGGGCAGGCAGCTCGAGAAGCCCAACTTACCTCTCCGAGACACAGAAACACCAGATTCTGCCAACTCCCGTCAAGCCCCTCACCCTCGTTATGAGTTTCTATCCCATCCACCGTAGCGGCTCTCAAAGACCACGGCGTGTTGTCAATATCTCAGCAACCATGTTATGGTGGTGCGGCCCATTTCTCCGGCCCAACGCCTCGCAGCTACACCCCAACCAATCAGATGTCGATACGGCATCCTTTGCGGCTGCAACAGAAACACGTCTGGCCTCCCCGGCCAACGTCCCTCGTCGCCCTAGTGGGAACGTCATGTTCGTTGTTCGCCTGGAGCCTTTCTTTCCCGTCTTGTTCATGGCTGAATTGTCGCAATTGGCATTCACATCATCGCTTTCACGTAGACGGCGCTTACTCACACCCTTTGGTATGGGATATGATCTGATTTGAATGCTCCGGGACGGCTACGTGCGTGGGGTTAGACCGTTTCCCGGACGCGACTCCGGTCACTCGCTCGCAGCTTCCATGCTGCTGTGCCGTGGCCTCATCAGTGGCCGACTGACGTGCTTTTCTAGCGCCCGCAATTGGCCGTTAATGTCGTCTCTTTTCACTTGCTGTGTCGAATCATGCTTCAGAGAAAGGTGCGTCGATTCTTCAACGCATGATTCGCATAATCCCGACAACTCGGATTGGCTTGTGGAGGTATTCTGGGATCTCGGCAGACCTGATTGGTCTTAAATCTGCAGGAGTCCCTTATACCATCCTACCACCGAACTGCTACTGTCTTGTGTCCAAGTGGCGACATCTTTCTCGTGGGCATACGCCCTGTGACACGACATGACCAGCTTCCTCGCTTCCCACAACTTCCGCCGTATGGTTTTCTTTTCGTTCTTTTCAACGGGAGCTTGCTGGAAATCTTGCCATCGGCAAACGGGACGGCCCGTTTGTCCATCCGGTTCAAGTCAAGGTCACCATTCAGGCGTGGCCGGGCAATGGCCGACCTCACAGGTGACAGTCGCTTCCAACCCCTACACGAGTCGGTCGGCCTGGCACCAGAGCCTGGCCGCTATCTCTGGCCATGTACACGCTCACGGTCTTTCAGACAGAGTTTTCCGTACCCCGCTGGCGGCCTCAAAGGCCGGTTTATCAGTCCACGGATCTTAACGAACTGGTGGTATGAGCACTGCATACCTCCCGACGCCGTTGAACTTCCGGCAGCGTGAAGGGCAGCCTATAGCCTGACAACGCATCAATGGCTTGCACAGGGAACCCTTCACTCAAGAACCCTTCAATGGTCACCGTCGCCAGGGTCGAGCGGATGTCGAGGTGTTCGCGGGGCCGCTTAGCGTGCGCAGACGCCCGTCGTTCCTGTCATTCCACGTGCCAAGACATGGTTGAAGGATCAGATCAAACCCCCGCCTCGGCCTACCTGTGCTAAGAATGTCAGGTCGCCAAAGCAAGAGCCTGACGCGCCCTGAGCCTGTCGTTCCAGCGAGGCATGTAGCTCATGCCAGTCTCATGCGAGGTTATACCTGACGATCAAAGCCCTGTCGCGGCCGCTGATGGTGGCCGTAGATCTGCCGTCCACGTACCTCGTTCTCAATCACAGTGCTCTTTTCGACGTGGGGAGCGGACGTTGTGTTCCCCCAATGAAACCTCCCGCCTGTCAATATGTGAGCTGCGGATGGTGGTGACATGTAGCCCAGTCAATAGGATGCCGCCGGAAGCTGTTGCCCGGTGGAGCGCGGAAAGCCACCTGTTGAATAATTAGCAAGAACGGCTAAAGAGCAGATGAAAACCGCGATCCCGCATGCTTGATCGGCAACTCAGCCATAGAGTACACGACCTTAGGTTTGGCCCGTGGAGGGGAGTGTACGAAGAGGTCCATCCGAAGCATGTAGTCAACGGCTTCGAGTACAGCCGATGTACACACACACACATGTTTATTGATGCAAACCGAATGCAATGCAGTGTGGAACATCCGGCCATGGCCAGCGGCCGGTCGCCACGTTGCCCTGCCCAGGGCCGCGGCCAGCGCCCAAATGGCTTCGTCAAGACCGTTCTCGACTCATCTGCCCACCGTAGCCCAAGACCGGCCCGGTGAGCGAGCGAGGGAGACGGAACGCCCTTATCGGGATAAGCGTAAGCATTCATGTGAGGAGGACGGCCTGCGGTATTTCCTAGTTCCATAAACGGTCTATCTGGATACGCAGTGGTCCGCATGGCGATGATAGCCATCGTTCCGGCCCCGTTCAAAAAGGGGGGTTCATCCCCGGTGAGGCGAGGCCAGAGGAACACCCCCATCCAGGCAAGGACATCATGCATCTGGCATGGATGGCCATCTTCTCCGATCATTCGTCAATGTCCAACTCAGAAAACGGGCTTCCGGCTCTGGTAAGCCTGGTTCTGGGGAGCGAGGCTTCGAGTACCTGGCTCGCTGAGATCGGTGTTGGCTGCATGTTGAGCTGGCGTCGTCTGGGATGGTCACTATTCTGCCCGTCCGTCCGTCTCTGCTGCCCAATGCCCCCCAGGGTAACAAGACTTTGGACTTGCTTGACATTCTCGTTCCTGGTCACTGACTGACCCCGGATTCAATTAGGCTCAAGTTGACCGACGCTGACCTCCATGTACGGTGGCGAGGCCATGTCAACCTTGCAGCCCATGTCACGCAGATGACGTTTCCGGCAGGCAAAACACGCGTGGTGGTGAGATGCCGGTTTGTCCGATTCTTCGACGCCGCCCCGATTCCTCTGAATAGACTTCTTCTCGTTGTTCTCCCGCCCACCATCAGCAAACAAAGGTGAGACACAACCACAACCAACACGGCTATACATCAGGCATAAAATGGTTCATGCCGGCTCGCGTCCTTCTCTCGCCAAGCCCGCTGCCCCTGAGAACAACGACCGAACACCCTTGATCTCCACCATCGCCTCGGCCCTTGACATCCACCCTGGGCTGACAGTTGTCTCCTGCGGGAGGAACCATGAGAATAGTCAAAACGGAAAGACGAAGACCCCACATGGTCCGCGCGCACGCAAGCCTTGCTTCGAAGCGGGAGGCTAATCTGGCCCTGTCGCTGGCCGGGGTCGCAACGGGAGACCTCCAGGCCCTTCTTCCCCGTTTCCAGGGTTGTTCCTGGAATCTCGAGCTGCAAGACTTCTGCAGTGCGCACATACATGTTCGTAAGTAGTGGAGCGCTTCCGTCTTCCGTCCGCCTTACCTGTGCGTTCCCTTGCATGGAAGCATAGCGGCCCAGACGGGTTGGCACAGGGTGAAAAGGAATATCAAGAAACGAAAAGAAATAATACATGGTGAGTGTTTATCTGAAGTAGAGATGAACTAGGTGGCGCGGGTTGCAAAATCGCAGCCCAATGAACGACAGCAACAAAATGGGAGGCACATGTTACCCACCGTATGCATCATCTCGTACCTGAGTTCGAAAGACACAGGCGTAGCATTTCTTCCTAACCCATTTCTTCCATCACAGCCCACACACACACATGCCAACATCGTTGACGATATTTCGTTTGTCCCCCTAGTCTTAAGCTGCAGTCCAACAACCACATGCTTCTGTTCAGGCTGGATGGACCCTTGTAATATTTCTCGAACACGTCTGCGTTCTATGACAACATAAGAGTACTCCTCCCTCTTTGAGAGCCTCTGAAGGTGGAGAAAATGTCGGTACAAGGTCGTCCTCTCCTCCAGACCCCTGAATGAAGTGATCCAAACCTAGCATCGACGTGGCAGGTAGATGGTGTTCGACGGAGGTTGCTGAGGGGAAGAACATGGATGCTAGCCTTGTCCGGGACGGTTTCTGGCATATCTTGTCGTCCGATATCCGTTCTTTGTATCTGCAGGGACACATTTGACGTCTACGGACATCCAGCCAAAGCGGAGCCGTGACCAAACCACCAGTCGCCAATGCAATATCATGTACATCTTTTCCTTTTCTTCTCTTGCTACGATGTGTAATTCGCGGACGACGAGCGGATCGAGAATGGAGTTGTTTCGTTGGCTGCAGCCGGAAAACTGGGAGGGTGCCAGAAAGAATTGGATCTTTCTCTCCCAGGCCTTGAGCAGAAACAGTCGTCGAACAAAACGCCCTGGCGCCCTGGTTCGTGCATCATGTGCGTATGGATGTGTGCGTAAGTGTGTATGTACGAGTGCAGTGTAGAGTGTAGTGCGGTGTAGTGTGTGTCTAGGTATGGAGGCAACGTATGGGATGGGATGGGTTCGACGTTGAGGCGGTCGTGACAACACATCGTGCGGGTCTCCAATGATTGATCATGATCTTTTTTCACAAAGTATAAGTTAGCCCTGAATCCCTCTCCAGTCAGGATGAAGAAAAGAAATTGTAAATAGCCAACGATCTGTGGTGGCGGACACAAACACCGAAAACGCAAAGCCTTCTCTCGACAAAACACCAAAACGGGAATCCAAAGATAGTAGACGAACCGTCCGAGTCCACGAACAACAAAACGGAAACGAAGGAAACGAATCAACCTCACCTCGAGCCGTTCTGGACGAATACACACCCCTTATCCACACACCCAAACGACAGCCTGGGAAAATCGCTGCTGCCGGCTGCTGCTGCCCAACCACCTTCGAGCCAAACACCAAAAAGAGACTTCTCGATCGCGGTTGCGAACGAGTTTTCTACCTCTGCCGAAAAGGGCTGCTGCGCGCTGCCACTTGCTGCCACCACCGCGGCCTGTCACCGCTGTCACTCCTGCTGAGCTGCTGGCCGCTTCCGCTGTTTCCTGCGGCCATTTCTCAATAATACCACCGGACAGTCAATTCAGTCAGTCCAGTCAACTTTCAACAAAACTTTCTGTTTTACACCCCCTCCCCCTCCCATCTCTCTCTCGATTTCCTGGTTGTAGTTTCTTGTCCATCCCGCGTCCAATTCAACCCCCTTGACAACAAAAAAAGAGCTACCCCTGAAAAGGAGGAATCATCATTGGGCACAAGTGTCAAAAGACATCATTGTATCCGCATGGTGTTGCATATTGTAGCCGATGATGAGAGGAGGGGTGGGAGGAGGGCGTGATGATGGGGAATAAACGAGATCGAAAAAGATAAATAAGAAGATGGCTAACAAACCCTTCATTTTTGTCCAGTCCCAGCATCAGTGACTTCATATCGCACCGAGACCCCCGAGACGAACCACTTCTACTCTTCTTAGTTGCTTGCTGCTGCTGCTTCTCCTCCTCATCCTCCTCCTCCTCCATTCCCCCCCTCTCATCTTTAAAACCTCCATCGAGTTCTCCACTACCTGCATCGACGACCTAGTTACCTTGCCCAGCAAGCGAGACGGATCGGCCCGCAAGGAGAATAAAACCTCGCCCCGACAGAAGACAAAGAGGAAAAGAAACGGGATAGAACGAAACGAAACGGAACGACGAGATAAAAGGGGTTTCGAGAAGACGATATAAACCGCCGAAACGGGAAGCCAAAAAGAAAAAAACCAAGAGGGGAAGAAGAAAGAAGAAAACGATGTGCTACTTTTACCAAACACGTTGGGTCTGCGGGTATTGGAGATGGGGCCAGTTCAAGCAGCAGTGCAACAAGGAGTACCGGACAGGCGAGACTTGTGGGCTGAAGCTGGTTTTCGATACTATCCAAGACCCTGACAGGTGCAAGCTGTGCTACGACATGGACAAGAAGTACCGCCGGCTCGACAAGATGCAAAGAGACATTGACCGGTGGTACCGCGAAGGGAATCGCAAGGCAACTATCGAGCGGACGACCGCCGAGATGAGTGAGGTCCAACGCCAGATCGAGGAGATGAGGACATCGCACTATAATAGGGAGATAACGATATGATTGTCGTTTTTGTGGCCGTAGGGTCGACGTCGAAAGACGGGGGTTCCAGAATGGGTAAGTTGAATATTTAACTCCTCCGAATTTTTACCTTTTGCTAGCCTGCCATTTTGCGTTGTTCCTGACGAAATGGAATTTTGCGTCTTTTTCTTCTTCCCCCCTTCCTCTCCAAGTGATTTGGGGGTCTGTGGTGGAAAGCTGCTCAGGGGTAAACCGAGTCGGGTATGGCCATTGCTAATGTGATTATATCAGTGGCCCTTGATATCCGATACGGAATACACAAAAGACGAATGTGGAAAGCGAGCAAGGAGCCAAGAAGCCAGAACGTCGAATGCCGGAATGGGAGGGAAAGGAAAGGACGAGCACTGCAGGATTGGGGAGGATGTTTTCCTGGTAACCCCAGCTTGGGGGTTTTCCGAGTTCAACCACGTAACGGCCGTTCATTCGCTGAGTTTTCACCATGTTTTTATTTTGCTTTTTGGTCTCCTTGTGTGGCTATTCTCGGGACGGTCCTTTCACATTCGAGAGGAAGAGGGTAAAACTTGGGAGGGTTGTTATTGTATCACTTCAATGGATTATGGATCAACAGGACGGGCTATTCTGGAAGGCTAATTTGTGCGCGAGAATCTGGTGGACTCTGTGTGTGCGTGCGCGCAAAAGGCGGAATCAGTGCTCGTCTATGTTATTTTGTCGCGAAGGCCGGCCCGCCGCCCAGATGGTGACAGGGACGAGAGCAGGGTCCTGACCCCTCTTAGGAGTTTGGTAGAACGGAGACAACTCCTATGCCTTCATGCTACGTCCTCCTCCTTCGCCTCATCCCCGTGGTGCTGATGATCTAGCTTGCTCTGATGACGATTACTGCAAACTTACAAGCTTGCCTCCACAAGTATTGCCAGAAACTTGTAAAGTCGAATGAGACCAACAAAGCGGCGAAATAGTTTTGCCTCAGTACGCGACTGAGGGGTCGTGACAAAAAAGTCCTCCCACTTTTTCCTGCACAGCTGCCCATCCAGCAGGTTTTGGCGTGCTTATCAGGCAAGAAAACGTTGCAGAAAGCGGTCACGGCCGACGAATTACAGCGGCATTCCGATGACTAGAGGCGAAGGACAGCAGATGGTTTTGCGGCGATCTGGCCGAGGTATAGAACGAGTCGATATGCCCAAGGGGAAGCCCCTCCTCGACCTCATCCAGGCTCTCAGTCTGCGTTCCTCGAGCCATTGCTCTCACCCCTGCTTCTTAACAGACAGAGGCGGTCTATTAGCGTCAATTGGAAAGAAACGTCATCGCTTCTCACGTGTCACAATGAAAGCATACATTGCGAAGCGGCCCCGGCCCTGGATGAGACACAAGACCTTCTTTTTACCACCCCTTATTCGCATCTTGACTATCCTGAGACGGACTGGCAGGCGTGCCTGTCGTCTGATTCAAGGCCCAAGTGGAGGGAGGAGCAGAAAGGGAGGGCCTACTGTGAGGGAACGGAGACTGCAACGGGCGATAAAAAGGTGTGGTGGGTTGTATCGGGCTTGATGGACTGGGACTGGGAGACCGCCCCATTCGGCCGCAGCATCACCCCTCCTCTTCATGTCGTCCATCCCACTTCACCTCAAGTCACCATTTCCTTGTCCCTTCTCCGCCAATAAGACACGGGAACCGCACAGACTCCCGCACAACCCTGAATGGCGGGCATGAGAGTCGATATATGAGCCTCCAGATACTTCCCTCCTCGACTCAAAAGAGCAACAATCCTACTGTACGGAAGGCCGGTGGAAATCGTTAAAAAGACGTCTCCAACCATGAAGCAGACTAGGATGCAACGTCCCTTGTCAAGGGGTCCACACTAGAAAAGGTAAACATGAGCCGGATGTGCACGTGGCCATATTTCAATGGGCTTAGCTACCCATGGCCTGCTGCTGAAGAATCTTCGAGACGCATTCATTGGCCCGCCATGGTGCGAGGCAGGGGGCCGCCAAAGTGGGATGGAGGGAATTTTCATTGATTAATTCATGGTACTTCGGGCCCATCGTGTCCACCTTTCCTCATAACCTCGTTGTTGCCCAGGCGTTTTATACAGGGGTGGACGACCAAGTACAGGGGATTGACATAGTGAAGAGGAAGCGATATGTGAGAGAGTGTGGGTGCTTATGTGAATGTGTGGATTTGACGCTGTGTGAGTTTCTGGCTGCATAGTGTAGCCTGCTTTCGAGGGGTATCGAGGGGAAAATAGGATGGAAAAAAATGTCGTCACTCCAAGCAGTCTGTCCCTGTTTGCCGTGATACCGACAGGACCCAGGCCCCTGTGTTGACCAATCCGAATTTTGATGGCAATGCAAGGATGAAAAAGAGAAAAACAGAGGGGAACGCATAGCCGCTCTGGCCGTGGAACAAAATCCAAGACCGACAAAACTGACAAGGGAATGATTCATGACCAAAGGTATGTCATGCCATGGCGGCCGCAGCATCTGCAAAGGTGCCAACAAGGGGCTTGTTCGACTCGGCCTTGACCGTAGGGGCGCCGCGTTGCATCTCGATTGTGTCGTCTTCCTGGGGAAGCCAATCCACTTGGACGCCTGCCGGGGCCTCATCCTTGGAAGTCAGTTTCGACAACAAGTGTTGGTACCGCACGATGCGGGCTTCCTGCCCTGCATACGCAAACGTAGTTGGCGCAGGCCGCTGTGCGTGATCCTGCGGGGCAATCTCGAAGATGTCGACCATATTGCTAGGAAGACCGATGTTAGCATTCCCGGAAGGGACATGAAGACAAGCCCGCCGTCCCGGAGCTTGGGTCGGAGGGGAGCGCAGTACGTACTCGGACGTCTTCGCCACGACTCGCTGCAGAGCCTCAGTCTCCCGCTGCACCTCCATCGGGTCATCCTGACCATTCACGCTCTGCTCTGCGAAGCTTCCATAGTGCACATTGTTCGGGTCGTCGTAGAGGAGTCGAGATTCTTCGTCCTAAAGGGGGTGCAAAGAGACAGCCTGTCAGTCGCCGCTGCATGCTACGCTGCGAGTGCGCAAAGGGCTAACACAACCCACCTCGTCATACACGTCCTTGTTTCCCCGCCCGAGACATGACGCACAAACACCCATCGCGATCGAGTGATCCGGCGGCGGCCCGACGTTGTCGAGCTGCGAAACGCTGTCGTCGGCGAAAGAATCGGCCCTCGGAACGTGGGCGGCGGTAGGGAAGCCGTAGCTAAGAAAAAGATCGCATAGAAAAAAAAGAATGGACGAAGCTGTAACACCGGGCCTCGTGCTGCGAAACGATAGGCAGGCGCTAGGCTCAGGTTATGGTTGATGGCGTGTGTTGTGATTGTGATGCTTTCTGGCAGAAATCGTAAGATTGCGACGATGAAATGACGTTCCCATTTTGGCAGGCGGTCGGATGACGGCATCGGAGAATCGCAGATGCCGGACATGGATCCACAGCGGGACGGGTCGGCCAGCGCCGAGCTCCATCGAGTTTGCAGCTTTTGGGACGAATTTCCAGACAGCTGGAAAAAGACCCGGTAGAGTCTTTGGAACCTGGACCTTGCAACCATCCCGAACTGATCCTCACCTGCTCTCGTCATCGGACAGTCGCCGAGCATTGCTGGTACGTACTCGGCCGGAGCTGCGATGCTTGACATAGCAACGGCATCTCCACAGAATAGAACAAAGCTACGACCTACCATCGCCATCGCCATCACTTTTACTTCCATGCTTGGTCATGGCGGATTATCTCATCGGCGAGAGGGCTGATGATGTCTCCCTTGGAACGCAAACTCCAATATCGCCGGACTGATGTCAGTCTTTTTCGCAACATTGATTTTCTCCCTGATCCCTTCAGGCGTTTTGACCTTGTCAGACTATTGATTCGATGAAACCATTTCTTCGCCCCCAGATTATTCTGTATGGCCCTCTTTGGCTAAAGAATGGCATCTAATTGGGTGACCAGCCATGATGCGCGAAAATGTTACGCAATTCTCGCATCCCTCTTGAGATCGTTGTGAGGGTTCTATCTCCTGCTCCTAGAAGATCATAGGAGGCTCTATTGCTGCTCACGGAGCACTAGGACGCCATACAGGGCATCGTCATTCCACCGACCCTGGAAGATCATGAAGATGAGCAAGACCATAGTAGACATGTCTTCCTGGTTTTGCAATACCCTAACTGACAATGTCGGGCTGCATATATGTTGCGACCTTCGCTCATCCAGATGTTTTCCCCTCACTAGCATCGACTTCTCTCATTAAGATATCAGGCCAACCGTCATCACCGCTTCTGCTCACGCTCATAATCGCTCACACAGCCGTCAATCTACTCGCCGCCTCACTACGGTACTTTCGATTCGCATATTCACCATGATCAGCCAAGGTAGCCTGTTGGCTCTGTCCGTTCTCTCCTTCACTACGTTGGTCAGTGCTAGACCTGAGAACTTGAGGGGACGCACTTATCCCGACACCAACACCTGCCCATGCGTGCCCGCACCGGAACCCATCACCGTCACTAGTACTACTACTGCGACGGCTACCAGGACTGAGACGGTTGAGGCAACAGCTCCAGCAATCAGGGAAACCACTACAGAATCTCAGATTCTCACTCTGACCATCGTACGTCCGCCAGTCACCGAGACGGTCCACATCAGCAAGGACCATCCAGGCGAGACGGTCACAGTCACCTGCACCGAGACTGTCAGCGAGAAGCCTGATGGATCAGTTACTACCAAGACACAACCTCCTTCGGATGGAGAGCACACCAGTACCCGCGGACCTGAGAGCAACTCGGAGGTCACTACGAAGACAATCCCTCCATCGGATGACGAGCACACCAAGACTTACGGAACTGACAGCGACTCGGAGACAAAGCCCCCGCATCATGAGACCACCAAGACACCCGACTCTACCTCGACTGAGAGTAGTCCTGCGGTAACCAGCAACGAAAGCACGCCCACAGCACCATCTGGGCCGAGCAGCGACAATACGGCAACCACCACTCCTAGGAGCTCTGCAACAACAGTCCAGTCTGTGAAGCCTACAGCCCCAAGTGCAAAGACCAGCGAAAAGCCAACACAGAGCAGTGTCGGCGACGACAGCAGCTCACCACCCGAGCCCACCACAAGCAAACACCACTGCGATCACTGGGACGGCAACCACTGTGTCAAGCCAACAACCGCCTCTGAGTCTTTTGTCACTGCTACTACGACCCGAGGTGCTCGGCCAACAGGCTCAATTTGCCCTGTTTCCGTGGCCTTCATCACTGTGTATAACACCGTCACTGCGACCGTTTACCAGAGTGGTGCTGGGACGGCATCATCGACGGCACAGGCGAACGTTCCTCGCGCGCCTACTGCGGTGGGCGCATACTGATTCGATTCACTTGGAATACGTCTTGAGTTGGTACCGAGATAATTATTGGGCGGCCCTATTTCTTTCCTCTTATGAGGATAATCTGGCAGAAGTAATGGTTACAAAATCAGAAATAATTTCTATAGTAATACAGTCGAATTCTCGTCGAAATCCCCCAGTGTGGGAGGACCCTCGGATTTTCAGCATCGGCGAATAACATAAACAGGCGAGTATGAATAAATGCAACTTCAACTGACTTCTACCTCATTCACTATGGTCCAAAAGTTGAACCTCTCGAGATACAGAAGTCATTTCCCCTGCCTGGGTGATGTCTTTTACGACCGAGCGAAACAATGGCAGAAAAGTCCGAACTTGTTGCCGTTGGAGGCAGCACAACTAACGACGCAACCCTTCCTAGTGACAGACGAGCTTCTATTAAGGCAGACCTGCAAAGGCTGACCTTGTCAAATTGGCTCGACTTCGTACCAGTCCCGTCAGACCTACGAGCACGAAGACGCGATACACCATAATCGCTAATCCAACAATCACAAGCCATGTCGTTAGGCGAAGTCGTCTGAAAGGAGGAGCATTCCAAAGGCACAAGTTGTTTTCAGGCAAGGTAGCCGGCTTCTACCAAACACGTCTAGAACTCGAGAAATGGTTTCCGGCGAAACTGGTAATGAGCATTGTTGGACGTCCACAGTTTATGAACCTGAAGAGAAGGTGATATACAGTAATATTATACAGAAACAGGACGCCGCCCACCGCCGCTCAAAATCAACCGTTTGCTCCTTTTGAAATGGGCTAGAGACAACTTATCACACTCGGCATGTCATGAACGATACCGGAAGCCCATGAAGTCATCTTCCTCGTCCTCATCCTCGTCGTCGTCGTCGTCATCGCCGCCTTCCTCCCCATTGACATCCGCAACATTCTCCTTTCCAGTCGCCTCGACAGGTTTAGCAGGTGCAGCTGCGCTGGTACCGGCATCACCCTGTTGTCTCAAGGCTTCTCGCTTCTCCTTCAGCCTCCGCACCCTGGCCTCCAGCTCTTCCATGTCCTCGAACTCTTCCTCCAGATGACGCTTTGCCTCTTCTTTCTCATCCTCGAGGTCTTTCTCCGCAGCGAGCCGCCGCTTTTGCTGCTCTTCTTCCTCCGTCTTTGCCGCCGCCGCGTGCTCTTCTGCCGTCATCGCCGGCGCCGAAATCACCGCGTCCTCGGAGAACGGCGCAGTAGTCGCCGCGATATCCGCTTCGAAGGCAGCCCATTCGTCCTCGTCTACCTGCCCGACAGGCGCGGGGGGCGCCGCAGTGCCGTTCTGCTGTGGAGGTGCCTTCGCCCTCGCCAGTGTGGGTGAAGCCTCCCGCGGAATCAACGGCGACGGGCCTACGGGATGATTGAGAGGTGTGGAATTCGAAGACGTGCCATCTTTATGGGCAGGAGTTGCGGGCCGCGAGGGGATTTGAATCTCAACGCCGTGGACCGGTGTGGTCGAGGTCCGACGAGTCAGCGACGGCGGCGTGAGTGTCGCATCTTTCAGGTCTCGGTCCGCTTCGCCGGCGGACAAGCGAGCAGGAGTGCTCATATTGGTCTTGCTCCTCTTCTTCCGCACGGCGTCGGCCATGTCGTCGCCGTCTGCCATATCCTCGTCCGAATCGTGTTTCCTCTTGTTCGATGGAGCGGAATCCGCGGTTACCGGACCATTCGTGGCATTCGGGACAGCTTCCCGCGTGGCCTTGAGCTTCGCCGTGTGGTTTGGTCCTCTGATATGGCCTTCCCAGAGCGATTCGGACTTGATAGCCTCATGGCAGAGGGTGCAGAGGAGCTTGCCCGCATCCGAGTAAGCTGCATGAGGATGCTCGATGCGTCGCGCAGCGCGTTGCTGGCGGAGAAGTGAGCGAACGTCGGCCATGCTGAGAATAAATGCGTCTTTCCGGACGCCAAGGAGCGTAGGGCTAAGTCTCGCGGTCTCAAAGGGTAGTATGGGGTTTCAATGGCTCGTTTGCTGAAGAACTGGAAAGGGGATGAAATCATCGCTCGGCAAGCTAATTATCGCCAGAGCGACGTAGCGCTATTCTTCTGCTGGAGAGGTGGAGGTGACAAGGTGCAGGTGCTAGGTGAGGTGGGACATGCTGCGCTAAGCCTGATCTGGAGTAGGTGGGCTGAAAGGAAAGACCTGCCGACGCTACCCTGGCGCCGCCTGCTGCCGCACCTGCCCGGGTCGCGCATCCGTAAAGGTGCCTGACGAACTGAAAACCATCACCATCCTGCTGAACGTCGACAATCTTGCCCCTCCCTCCAAGGCAGAGACAGACAACCCAGTCTGTAATTCACCTTGGACGTGCGCAAGGGGGACGATGACAACTCCGCCGGGCTGAACTCATTCTACGCTTTCTGCTGACCGGATCCCTCCGTGCCACCTTACGACGCCGTCTACCATGGCCGACAACCCCGACGAGCCGTCGCAGAATGCGCTGGCTTCGACGTTCCCGAACCCGCCCCCGTTCTGGCGGCAATTCACGGCCGAGAACGTGGGACGAATCGAAGAACTGCGCAAGTCCCAGGCCGAGAAGGATGGCGTCGCCGTCAAGGACCTACCTGCTCGCCTGCCGAATATTCCCGAGGAGCTGATGCACCTCCAACCTCCAGCCGAGCCAGCTACTGGGACTTGGAAGGTCCTGGGAGGCAACTACACGGTATAATTGCGTCTGTCCCAGCCCATGTCGATGGCCATTAGCTGACGCTCTGCCTAGCTCGACGACAAACTACCGTCCCTGGAGGAAGGAGAGATCAAACGGCTTGTGCCAGCACATTCCGAAGAAAAGGATGGCAAGCACCTCGACCGTGCATTCGAGCTCAAGAAAATGGCCAAGTCTTTACTCCTCAACTTCCTTGAGCTGGTCAGCGTCATGGCCGTTATGCCAGACGACGTAAGCACCTCCCTGTGCCTCACCAAACCCACCAAATCCATTACTGACGTTTGACAGGCGGCCGCCAAAATCGATGACCTCCGCACCCTATTCATCAACTTCCATCACGTCCTCAACGAATACCGACCCCATCAGGCCCGCGAATCGGCCATTGCGATGATGCAGTCCAAACTCGACCGTACACGAGCCGAGACTGCGGCAATCAGAGCACAAGTGGACAAGGCGAAGCGTGTGCTCGAGGGCCTGGGCAGCTTAGACACCCCCAAGGTCCCACAAGCGACGGCATCGACTCTCGAGGGAGAGCTAACACAGACGGAGCTCAAGAGTTATGGCACGGTACGAGAACACGAAGTTTGGGATGCCGCAGACGCGTTGTTTCTCTAGAACAGGACAGATACGGTGCCGGGCATGGTGCCACGAGGAAGTTGCAGCGTCAGGGTCGGCGAACAGTGCAGCTGGCAATCAAGTGCCAGATAGTCCCTTTAACCGGTTGGATGGAAAGAAATTTCTTGAAGGGACGGAACTACCAAATCATCACTGTTGTTTGGGCAGTAAGGGCGACAGCTGGATTTGATACCCATTTGAAAACGGGGCAGAGGAACATTTGGCATTCACGATCACGTGCATTGGAATGGGAATAGAAGATTTCAAAAGCAACTCATAAACTCATATCAGGCAAGCTGTGGTTGCCGCCAACACCAATAACAAGGCTCTACAACACGGTATCAATATCGAACGAACCGTTCATCAGATCCAAGCACACCCCCCAAAAGATTCATCGGTGACGCTTTACATGACGGTGCAGGGAATGGGGATGCAGCAGCATTCGTAGCCATCGCACTCTATGCATCAAAAGTCGGTTAGCCTCAACCCCTTCCCAGATCTGTGGCATCCAGTATTGAGCTTACCGATGCACTTGGTCTTTCCGCCAGTAGCCTCGGCGGGCTTGACGATGCTGCCGACAATGGAGGTGGCAGCGCTGCCGGGTCCGTTACGGTTGACGAGGCCGGAAGAAGCAGATCCGCAAGCCATTGTGAAGTTTGTGTAAATCGGTTATGGAGTGATTGTTCTGGAGATGTTCGTTAGATCACGACCGTCGAAATAGGGGGGGATCAGTGGAGTGACGTCACGTCAGCAACTCACAATAGGCGTAGAAGGGCAGAACGCGAAAGTTGCCTCTGGATGGAATGGACGTTGAAGTGTGATGGGGAGAAGTTGGAAAAAGCGCTTCTGAGACGGAATAATAAGGTAAATTAAGCACAACACCAATGCTTCCCAAAAGGAACACAAAAAAGCGGTTCCGGGGGGACCAGCCTTAAATAAAATGCTTGTCGCTGCTCGTCTGCTTGAAATCCCCAAGGTCCCGTGTTTCTAAATCCAGGAGTTGTCGTCATGTTGGTGGGTCCTGTACAGCTCAGTTAGCGGCGACCAGTGGGCAGCTCGCTCAGTGTGTGGCTGAACAGCAGCAATTCGTCGTCGTCGAACTGGACCTGGCTGGACTGGACGCTTCTAGCCTCTAGCACAGCCAACCAGTGGCAGTGAAGCTCTATCGTATGCACGAAGTACACAGCCAGGTGGGTAGGGGGAACCGGGAGGTGGGAGTGACGTTCAAGGGTGAGCTGGGCTGTCTGCGCCGTCAGCGTTCTAGCTGACTCGTTGCGACTCCAGTGCTGGAGATGACCGAGATGAGATCTTGGCAGGGTCTTGCGATACCTACCTACGGATAGCATGATCAACTTCAAGTCTTCGACACTCGTGCGGTCACTTCGGCATTGCTACTCAATACTTTGCTCACCGCCATGGTCAAAATCTTAATTGTTTGCGACCAATAGCATACCGGTCGACCAGAGACGATCCAGTTACGCAGGAAAACCCAACTCTAAGTTGAAGCGGCTCGGGCCTGAATCTGAACCAGTTCCCTTGGCACGACACACGTCTCACTGGTTCTCAAGTCTCATTGCGCTGCAAAGGTCCGAAAAGAGAAGCCTGCCTTGGATTGTGACTCTGACACTGCCTGGAAAATAGTATGAACACTCAATGAAACTCTTTGCTTCTCAACGGCCGAGTTTCCCACGACGGGAAGTGGTATCTCCAACCTCAAGAAACTCCAATGTGAATACTCCGACACACAAAATATGTACTCTGGATACCGCAGACTGAAAATGAAGGATAGCTAAACTCAAGCTGGCGGCGCAACCCCCTGAGGCCCCGCAGCTGGCACACCTCCAGTCTTGCCAGCGACTGGAGGCTGCTTTTCAAGCAGCTGGCTCAAATGCTGCAAGTCCTCTCTGGCTTTCGGGTCCCTCTCATATATGCCCTTGATCACCTCCCATTCTGTGCGTGTCATTGCGTGAGCATGTGGCATCAAAAAGGGAACAGTCCTGCTATTGACAAGGGGGCCCAATACCTCATGAGCCAGAGCTTGACCCTCGCGTTGGCGACGTTCCTGATTGGCCTCCGGGCCTCGGTCCGCGGTGTAACCCGCCGGTGGTTGACCCGGGGGCACAGCTTGGTGTGCGCCCTGTGTGGGATGCTGCTGGGGCCCATGGGCGTTGTGTCCGGCAGGAGGCTGACCTGGATGCTGGAACGGTCCCTGAGGAACCGTCGGAGAGAAGGCGGGGCCTGATATCGAAGGATGCCTTGGAAATCCACCCTGTGTTGGCGTTGGGGAATTTGTGACCGGTGACTGGGTGGCACCCACTGGCGGTTGGCTTGGTCTAGAAGGATTCCGATAAACGAACACACCCAAGAGCATAGGCTCAGTTCGCTTTTGCGGTACGAAGTTGTCCGCCAAGTTCAACAAGAACTCGGGTACGTTGCCTTCACCTGCAGGGACCGGGACGAGATATGTGTCGCGTACATTGCCCAAGCCTTTGTCACCGATAACGGCGTAGCGCTTCTTGTTGACAAAGTACTCGAAGAGGGTCTGGAACTCCTGGCGAAACGTGTCAGAGGCTGGTGACAGTGCCACGACGACGATATCGGTCAAGTCAGCATATCGCAAACCGCAGAGGTATTCGATAGCTTTCTGCTCGTCAATGCGCCCGGCCACCGTTAGCTTCTTCGGAATCAAGCTCGTCCAGGGCAAGTTGATCGCTCTCGAGAGGTTGGCCCCCGCAACATACTTGGCAGCGGCCGGGAAGTCGGCGATGGAGCTCATGACAAGATGGCCCCGCCAAACCACATCTGGATCAGTTTCGTCCGTCGGCGAGTACGGAGGGGAGTCTGTCTCGTCCTGAAGCAGTCTGTCAACATCGGGGTCAACGCCAGGCCCGTGAAGCGGTGCCGATGGCCGACGAGTGTGGGACCCCGTAGGTGTCTTCGCAAAGACCTTGTTAATGTCGAAGTCGGGGTGTTTCGGGGACTGTCGAGCTCCTTGTGTGTCGATCTGAAGACCTCCATGCGCAGGCAACTCTACAGAGTTGTCATACCGTTGCTCGCCGTCTGTCTTGTCTGCGCCTCCCTCCCGGCCACTAGGCCTCCTGATGAACGACCGTGCTTCGTCAGACTGCTGGAAAGAGTCGTTCTCGACGATTTCCTCGCCCTTGTGCGTGCGGCGAACTCGGGGACCCTCGTCGGTGATGAGAATAGACTGTTTCTCAGAGATGGCCTTCAACTGCGCGTTGGCATCCTGTCTCTCCTTCGTGGCCAGCTCATCGGCGGTCATCGTGGCCAACATTGGAGGCGACAAGGTGCGCTTCACCAATCGTTTCGTCAAATCAGCATTGATCTTCATGTTGGCGTACAGTGCTCTGGCCTGGGCTGCGTAGTGGCTACGATCGGGATGCGTATCGTGAACCGCACGTTCGATCTCGAGGGCGAGACGCTCTGCCTTAGCCGCGACGGTGGTATCTTTTGGCAGTGTCACACTCTTGTCCTTGACGGCAGCCGTGAGTATAGCACTAAGGGCCTTCTGGAGAAGCTGGGCAGAGCCTTTGCGATCATCCGGGAGGTCCGCGACCTTGGCGGTCAAATCCGCCGGCGCTGTGTACTCAACAATGGGGGCTTCGGGCTCGGCAACCTTGCGAATCTTGGGGGCAGGAATCTGAGTGGTCTAGGGTCAGCAATTTTCTACTCAAGGGCGCGATACTGCCACTTACCTTGGTTTCCTTCTCTTCATCTCGAACCTTACGCTTGCCCGTGGTGGCTTTGGCGCCACTATCCTTCTTGTCCTTCTTCTGGTTGGTCTCTGAAGGCGCGGGGGAGTCTTCGGCCTTGCTACTCCTGGCATCCTGTGACAAGTCTTCCCTGGGGTCGCTGGCGCGCTTCCCAACCCTGCCGCCCTTCTTTTTCTTCTTCTTCTTCTCGGCTTGTTCGTCCTCGTAGGCCTTCCTCCGCGCTTCCCAAGGAAGTTCTCCCTTGGCCATGGCGGACAGAAGCTCCTTGTGATCCTGCGGCGCACATTGCTCGCAGTAATAGTTCTTAGGGAGGTCCTCAGAGAAGACACTCATCCCCATACAAACGTTGTGCTGCCAGGCGCCGCATTTGTCGCAGGCAATCCAGGGCTCCTCGGAGTCGCCATCCTGCTCTGTGGCGCCGCAGACGCAGCGAATGATTTCATCCTCGGGCTCTTCTTCCTGCTTCTTCTTTCTGCCGCGCTTCTTGGGAGGCTCGATCGGTTGGTCGTCGAAGGCCTTGGTATGCTGGCCCTTAGTCGCGCGCACCGAGCGGCGGGGTTCCGGTTCTGCGCGCACCATCTTGGTCAGTCTCTCGTGGTCGACGACGACTTGAAAGTGTAGCAACAGTTTTGTGAATCCTGAGGAACAGGAGGGCGCGAAAGGATTGGCGAGGTAAGGTGGCAGGCGGGGTTGCGCGACGGGAGCTGCGATACTTACCGGACATGTTCGCTTTGTCGTAAGCGGGAAGGGCAGCTGTATTGCGTCTGGCTCCCTTCGCTACCTAGCTAAGGTATGCAGTGGCGCGGGGATGTGGCTTTCAAAATTGGGCTTTAATCTGTATGTCGATTCGGTGCGAGGAAGGGTGGTTCTCTCTTAAGCATGCATTGGTTTTTTCACAACGAGAAAAAGAGCTAAGATATGTGACCCATCCACCACGCGCCGCGAAAGGTCCCAAAGCTGTTGCTCAACGCGAGCGCCGGGAACGCGGTTTCCCTTCCCAGCAGTCCGTCGAAGGCTCGGTGCGTACAAGACGGACAGAGAGTTGTCGCGCAATTGAGTTTGCTACAACCGAATCAGGGTCCAATATGGTTGTTGAGGTGTTCGCGTGCCGCTTTTTTCTGGCTGCGTGAGGTGGATTGCAAGAAGGGAGCTTGCGCAAAGGTGGAGGTGATGCGAGTGGGCTGGCGTGCGATGCGATAAAACGGCGCGAGGTTGGGGGGAAAATGCCGAAGCACCTCCACTTATTGGAGTTACTTATGTAAGCCAGGGCCGCCGGGCCTGCACCTTCAGTTCCTGCCCGGATGCTGGGAATGGCCCGTGCGCCAGCAGGGTGGCGGGGCTGAGTAATGGATGTTGCCTCAGGCGTGAATTACAAGAACACTGACCGTTCGGGCTTGACCGAAAGCTCTCGGTGAAAGGCAGGGCCGCAGTTGCTCTCGGCTAAAGCTCGGCCCAATCACGTCGCAGCTTACCTAGTTCCCGGCCTTACCTCAGCTGGGGTCCAGGCTGGCTGGGCAGGCGCAAGCTAACGCGTGCATCGATTGCCTGGAGCTTCAAGCTGCACCCAAAGTGACAGCCTTCCCTGCAATCGACAAACAATCCATTCCGCCTCGCATCAAATCGTCCGTGTCGTCGACCTCAACCCGAGCTAACTTGCACCACCAACACATCACTCGGAACCAGTTGACGACGATTTGGTCTTTCGCCCGCCATGTCTCGCCGTTACGATTCCCGCGTATGCCCATCCCGTCCCCCGCTCTTCCCTTGCCTGCGTGCCCACTGGGTCTACCATATACCAAGCAATAGCAAGCTCACATACCTTTTTCCCTCTAGACAACCATCTTCTCTCCGGAGGGCCGTCTCTACCAGGTTGAGTATGCGCTCGAGGCCATCTCCCACGCGGGTACCGCCATTGGCATCCTGGCCAAGGACGGCATCGTCCTCGCCGCAGAGCGCAAGGTGACGTCGAAGCTGCTGGAGCAAGACACATCGGCTGAGAAGCTCTACATCGTCAATGAGTAGGTCACGTTCTCGAAAACAACACACCAGTCCAAATCTGACGCTCCTTCCCTCTTTAGCAACATGCTCGCTGCCGTCGCTGGAATGACCGCCGACGCCAACATCCTCATCAACTACGCCCGCCAGGCCGCCCAAAGATACCTCCTCACCTACAACGAAGACATCCCCTGCGAGCAGCTTGTTCGGAGACTGTGCGATCTGAAGCAAGGCTACACACAACACGGTGGTCTCAGACCTTTCGGTGTCTCCTTCATCTATGCCGGCTGGGATCCCCGCAGACAGTTCCAGCTGTACCAGAGCAACCCCTCGGGCAACTACGGTGGATGGAAGGCGACGGCTGTTGGTGCTAACCGAGCGAGCGCCGAGAGCTTGCTGAAGCAAGATTACAAGGAGGATTGCACCCTGAAGGAGGCGTGCGGAATGGCGGTCAAGGTTCTCAGCAAGACAATGGACTCAACGAAGTTGAGCGCCGAGAAGCGTAAGTCATTACTACCCCTGACACTTCATGCATGCTCTGATCACCTGCGACAGTCGAGTTCGCCACGGTTGGACAGACGGAAGACGGCAAGATCTACCACCGCCTCTGGACGGCGGAGGAGATCAAGGCACTGCTCAAGGAGCACGACTTGGCGAAGGACGAGTCCACGGAGGACAAATAATGGCATAACGAGGATCAAAACATAGATAGGGCGTGATGGTTGCCCTTTACCCTGATGTACCAATAGAACTGATGCCCCCAAACCCAGGCAGACCGCTGCCAAGATGCCCATGCGTTGCCGGGGTATCCTTGGTATCCTTATGAGAGAACTGTGACAATTACAGCGATGTATGAAATCATACCAGAACAGACGAAGCAAGCGCAGAATGATAACAGAGGCAGACGAGATAATGGTACAAAACGATGCAAGAAAAGCTTAGATGTGCTGGCTGGCGCTGTTTCGATGCCGGTGCTGATGCTGGTGACGATACTGACGATACCTTATTGTTTCATTCGAACTCTACGGCGGACCCTACTCCCTGTGATTAGCGTCTCTGCCTGTCTAGCTGGGTCATCTCGTAGCCTACGTCGGGTCGTGAATCCCCAGCTTCCTCCTCGTCCCGCAATCGATTCCATCCCGTCTTTGGCTCCGAACCCGGATATGGATGCGGCTCATGGCAGTCCTTGGCATTCAGTCTCGGCCAGTGTCGTCGATAGCTCCAATACGCAACGACCCATCCCAACAGGGACCCAACACATACGTCGTAGACATCATGTCGATAGTCCTCGCACCGACTGATGGCGATCAAAGCGGCTCCAAGGAGAGGCAAGAGGCATACCAGAGCCCTGCTCAGATCGCGGCCACCGCTGTTATGACGGAAGATGTGCAATTGGCCGGCAAGGAAGATGCTGAGGAATCCAAGACCGGCGAAAGAGAAGGATGAATGACCAGACGGGAACGATCTCCAACCGTCGTGCAGTAGATGGTGCGCTTTCTCGGTGCAGACATCAATCGTAACCAAGACGTCGGGCTTGGTGCCAGCTGCTGGCTTGCACCGAGCCAAGAGGTCGGGTCGCGGTCGGCCTACTGCGTTCTTCACAAGGTCCGTGATGAAGGAGGTCATGATGACTGAAATGCCGAGACTCAAGTACGTAACCTCATGCTTATGAGGCGAGGCCTTGGTCATCAAGTTGTAGACAATCAAGACCGCTAACGGAACAAACAGAGCATACACGAAGTTCATGTCTTTTGCCGTCTGTCAGTATCGCTTGATCTCTTGGTTGGTGTTATTGGACGAACTCACAGACTGGCACGCGCTCGACTTCCGCATGAGGGTATGAGATGTGCAGGTCGTTAATGAAGAACATGCGATGAAACGGCTCGAGGAATACCAGCATCTAAATGAAAGGTTCGTGAGTTGTGCGAGGCAAACAGAGGCGTATACAACGTACGGTCATCCAACCACCAACGAGGATGGCGAAGCCCAGGTAATCCGGAGCATGGGTTCTCTAGTATCACAGTCAGATGAGGCGTAAGTCTTCTGTTGTCAATTGAAGGTAAACAAACCTTCCAAAATCTGGAAAAGGCGGATGCAACAGCATTGCCGCTGGACCCAGCACGTCCAGGAGCCATAGGGAACGTTCAAAGTTCACCAAGCAAGTTCGCAACACTTCTATGCATCGACAACTCGTGTATTGATGAATGGAAGTTGGAGATGTGACAGAGAGCTCGGCTGAACCGCCCAATGTGCAGAGCGGGATGGGCAACCTGGACTCTGGCTCCCAGGCGGCAACAGCGACTTGAACTGTCACTTGACCAAATTGCAGAGTCCCTGAACCAATGATCTCTCAAGCTGGAGGAAGCTCAAGGGGGTGTTCAGCGTTGGATTGAGTATGTGGCGTCTTTAGTTGGAAGATACGACAGCTGGTCACTCGACGAGCTGCGACGGCTCGGAGATACAGGGGTCATTGGGCCAGCTGAGCAGCAGCCCAGGCTTCCTGGGCTGGACCTTCCTACCTGAAGATGGGTAGGGATCTTATCTTATCGGCAGCCGAAGTTTTACCGCCTCTGATTCGTCACTGGGGGAAGCTGTCAACCTCCAAAAATCAACAACCAATTTTCTTAGGCATTGACGACAACAGGTTGTTGACGATCGCGTCGTCCGTCTAGCATGCTCCGGTCAACGTACAAGCCCTCCGCGAACGCGCCGGTGGCGCCGCCGCCTCTTCTTCCCGGATGGACGGAGCACACGGCGCCGACAGGGCACAAGTACTACTACAACGCCGAGACGAAAGAATCGACATACACCAGACCCGGCGCGCCTGATGCCGCCGCCGCCGCTCAATCGCCCGCAGTACCGTCGGCCTCAGCCAGCTTCTTCCAATACCAGACGATTCCTCAACTCTCCGATCCGAACGTCGCGAACGCGTACCTGGCGCAGTACAATGCGCAAAATCAGCCACCCGCCGCGCAGCGAGGCGGGTTCGGTCATGGAGGCAGGGGTGGTCGGGACGGTGGTCGTCCACGTCCGGAGCCTATAGACAAGCCCAAGTCAAAGACTGCCATCCCCGGCCATGAGCCATGGATTCTCGTCGAAACCAAATACAGCCGGCGCTTCGTCTACAATCCTGTCAAGAATGCCAGCTACTGGCGCATCCCCGAAAAGCTCATGCCGGGCATTCTGGAGCTCGACAAGGCCAGGATACGGGAAAAGGCAGGCATCCAAGACGGTGCGTCTGAGAGCAAAGACGCGACCCCCACGACGCAGCCGAAGCCTTCCCGTAATGTTAGCGAGGCCGCGCCCCAGGACGACAATGACGACAGCTCGGAGTACGAGGAAGTCGAGGTCACAGACGACGAGGCGGAAGGCGAGGATGGAGAGGACGGTCACCACTCGAAGCGACAACGCACAGAAGATCCGGCCGATGACGCACCGGTGGAGTTCAGCGAGGCTGATATTGCCTTCCAATTACAAGCAATGGGCGAGGCGTACGGACTCGACCCTGGGGAGTATGACGACGGAAATATGGACGAATGGCCCGAGGGTGCAGAGGGCGTGGAGTTCTCCCAGGATGATGCCGTTGCACTTTTCAGGGACCTTCTGGACGACTTCAACATCAACCCATACAACACGTGGGAAAAGCTTATCGAGGACGGGCACATCATCGAGGACCCGAGATACACAATCCTCAACACCATGAAAGCAAGGAAAGAGGCATGGCAGGAGTGGTCCAAGGACAAGATCAGAGAGATCAAAGAGCTGCGGGCAAAGGAAGAGAAGAAGGACCCTCGGATACCGTACATGACGCTACTGCAGGAGAAGGCATCGCCCAAGCTCTACTGGCAGGAGTTCAAGAGGAAATTTCGCAAAGAACCGGCCATGACGGACCCTTACGTCAAGGACAAGGACCGCGAGAAGTGGTACCGGGAGCACATCAATCGTCTCAAGATGCCCCAACAAACTCTCAAGACTGACCTCGCTGCGCTTCTCAAGTCACTGCCACTCCCTGCGCTCAACAACAAGACGAATCTGTCGCGCCTGCCGCCGCAGCTGCTTGTTGACATCAGATACATCTCTTTACCGCCGCAGGTCAGGGATCCTCTGATTGAGGCGTACATCCAGACTCTAGGCCCACCACCGGAAGGCGAAGCGACAGCGGAAGAGGATGAGGCCACGCGAAAGGCTAAGGAAGCCAGGGACAGGAGAGAAAAGGCACTGCAGGAGCATGAGGAAAAGGTCGCAGAGCAGAAGCGCAAGCAGCAACGGAGTCTAGAGATGGGCAAGGCCCGGCTGCGGGAGGAGGAGCGCGAGATTGAACGGGCGATGCAGGTTGGCAAACGTGGTCTACAGAGCCAACTTGCGAGCGTTCAGCGGAACGATGCCGATGCATCATAGTCAGCGTGGGGCTGGGCAGCAATTAATTAACTAGGAATCCAAATAATCTAGACGGCATTTTTGTCTGTCACCACATCGATCCCGCCCGTTCATTGTGACGGCCTGTCGCTAGCAGCCACAGATAAAGCTACTAACATAAGCAGCATTAAAATAATCCGGTCATTCTATCTCTTCGCCGACTGCTGCAGGAACCGTGTTTCATGCACACCCGGGACGGCTTCACCACCCACACCGCCTCTTGATTACATCAAACCAACTCGAGCCTCACCAGACGCGTCATTCACAGCCAGTCCAGAGAACAAGACACGTTCAACGGTCCGATTGCAGTAGGTCAGCGACGGAAACCTACTGTTTCTTCCCTTCGCCAATTATACGCATTACACAATTGTGAATCTCGGCGAAATCATTCCTGTCAGCAACACCGGACGTGCTCAAGAATACGCTTGAACCCTCGGATCCTTCAGCCACAACCGGCATCGCAGTCAGCGTTCCTCACGTCGGACCATGACACTTTCCACGAAAGATTAGAAGAAACAGCATGTTCGGATCGACCACCGCTGCAGTCACCACACGTGCTGTGCATCAGTTCCTGTCATGACACCAATGACACAATCATGCCGCGTTTGCGCGGGCCAAGATCGACTGAACATCGGCGGCCTGGCCATTGGTTCGTTCGTCGGCCACTCGGTCACTCGGTCACCGTTCCATGGCCGTGCTCGCACATCCCCAAGCACAGCTCCGTAGATGCAAGACAGACGCAAGAGACAAGCCCGACAGGAGAGAACGCCATGTCGATGGTTCCGTTAAATGACAGACGCCGCCTGTCATCTTCCCGGCTTTTCTCGATTTCTGAAGTCTAGCCGTTGGCTTACACACAAACTCTTCGATTTTTAAGATCATTGATCCTGCGACAGCCTGAGACACATCATGGGGGCAACAACATTCACATTATTCGGCCTCGTGGCCTTGGGTAAGCTTTCCAATTTTCTCCGACAGTGAGCATTGACTAATATTGCATCAGCCTCAATAGTAATGGCCCAACAGTTCCCAAATTTTCCAGGTAATGGAAATGGAAATGGGAATGGCGATGGAAACGGTTTTGGAAATGGCTTCGGAGGGAACTTCGGCAACTTTGTGGGCTTCAACATCCAGGAGGCGATGCAGATTCGGAGAACACACGGCGTGTTGGGAACCATTGCCTTCGTCATCATCTTCCCCGTCGGCTCGATTGCGATGAGGCTCGTCCCGGGACGCTTCGGTTGGATCGTGCATGCCCTCATCCAGATGGCCGGATTCGTTCTCTACATCGCTGCCGCCGCGCTGGGTATTCAACTCACTCAGATGGTCAGGCTAGGCGGAACAAGTCTGGTGAGTATTACCAGCTTTTTGTATGCGGTTCCAATGACTGACCTGCATTTAGTTCGAGATCAACACTATCAATTTCCACCCCATCATTGGCCTTGTACTTTTGGCTATCTTCTTCTTCCAGCCCATCTTCGGATATATCCACCATGTCCAGTTCAAGAAGTACGGTCGCCGCCAGTTCTGGTCTCACCTGCACCTTGTTATCGGTCGCGTCTTGATCCCCCTTGGCATCATTAACGGAGGTCTCGGTCTGTACATTTCCAACTCACCGAGAGAGTTCAAGATCGCCTATGCTGTCCTAGCGGCCGTTCTTGGCGTGTCGTGGATTTTGATTGCTGCCGTCAGCGAATTCCGTCGCAGTCGCCAGCCGCGCACGGTCGTCGTGGAGGATGACAAGAGAGCGGCAGCTCCCCAAATCCCGCTGGGGCCCATGCCGCCGCAGATCGACACGAGCCGTGGTTCATCGGTCTCGGATCCTTACCGCAAGGTTTAGATGTTTCGATATGTATGATTAATGACAAGCAAGTGTGTCAAAATGACATCTGAAATGTTTTTTCCAACATGGGAACAGAAACACATCGGTTGTTGGATGCGAAAGAGATACATATTTCCAGGGCATGTTGTTTCTTTCACGATGGTAGGGAGTTGGGTTTGGCGTTGAGATATATCCGGCATGTAAGACAGTCAATTAGATGAAGAAGAAACGAACATCTTCCACAAATTCACACTTACCCTGGTGGCATCAACCAACGTACGTATCGCAAAGATGGTGGATTCATTTGATACGGATTGAAAGAAAATTATCAATCCGACTCGGTAGCCGTGGAACGACATACATACCTGCCAACATAGTGGAAAGCAGCTTCAGGAGCATGCGAAGGACTGGACCGGTTGAATTAGACTGGCGCTACTTTGATGGACCCGAGTAAGTAGGAAAAAATCAATGGTTCGTTTGATTGACTACTGGGGAGAGCAGGAGGAGATTTGCATCTTGACCGATTCACTTGAGAAGGTAGAAGTACACCAGAGGGATGCTATCAACATACACCAACGAGAAGCACCAATGTCCAGTATGAAGGATACGGGAAAACGATCATTTGAAGCCTCTCTTTCGGTACAAAAAACATACCTGATACTTATCTCGCGCGATGCGGGCAAAGGAGGAGGAGGGCGGCAAGAGATCAAGCAACAATTTCAGTGCAGAAGAGATGGCGAGAAACGACAAGCTGGAAGCGATGGCACCATGTAGCGAGTGGAGGTCGGGGATGCTGACTTCGATTTCACCAGATAGTGCTGTGTTATCAAGCTATCGGCTTTGAACCGTGTATTGCCTGAACGACATCTTCCACGATCGCAACAACAGCTTCTTGACTATTACATGGTCTTGTGAGGTCGAATTTCTTTGACAGAACGTGTAGATTCTAGTTTCAGTCGTCAGCAAGATAGCTTCGCTGGTTTCCTTGATTGAACACTGCCGTTTACGCCGCATAATCAAATTTCAGTGGGAGTGCTGACCCTAACCTATATTCCGTAGCCCACGAGATTCCAGCAGATCATTAGTAAATACTAACTTGGGCATGTTAAGCGCCCGTTGCATCATTTGACACGTCACTTTGCACAGCAAATTACACGCAGCAGGGCCTGGGTCCCTCTTCCAAACCGACTCATCACATATATCGTACATAGTCTGCTCAGATTCTTGACCACCGTGTTGCCAAGAGACTCCCCTTGGTTCCACACAACGTATGTGCGCTTTCAATCAGCCTGATTGCGTCTTCGAGTTTGCGTTCGCGAGATTCCCGCGACACTAAGGGGCGACAGACTGCTGGTTGAGTCGTGTGTCACGCCATTTACCAATATGGCAGGCGAAGTCGAGTCGTGGAATTGCCAGCTCTGCCATGCGCGTCAGGGATGGAGGCAGTTGGATGCTACCAAAGACTCAGGAGTGCCCTATTGTCGTGCAATATCTTCCATTGAGAAAGCTGACGTATGTCGCGTCGGCAACTTCAGAGTGTCTAAGCTGAGTTCAGACTGAAGGGATATCACGAAATGGTGAATGGAGAGATTCAGACTCGGCGTTGAAATCTAGGCTCCTTCCTACTTTCGACCAAGGGCCATCAGAGACCCGGGTGACGCTTAGCTTCCCGGTTCGGAAGTACTTGATGTGTTTCCGCGATGACCCGTTGGCAGGAAGTTCAGGAATCATGCTCCGAGCTGCGAGACTATCCCGGGGCAGTATACTTGGGATCGTTCTTGAAATCATCGGTTTACCGTAATTAGTCTCCCTGAAAGTGTCCGCAGAACCACTTGATGTAAAGCGCTTTCAAGACGAGAATCCTTTAAGGCAACCCCTATTCACAGCATCCCCGCCGTATCTGCTGCGCTATTTGAGAGAAATTGCGGGGGCTGTGAGGTTGACAGAAGTCACGCACAGGGGAGCTCTTCTCTTCAATCTAGACTTGGCTAAGTCATGCGTAGGGACATACGAAAACCATCACGGGACAAATGTGTGGCCCGGATCGGCCACAAGGTAGACCGTTATCTCCTGTGGATACAGAAGTTCTCGTCAAAACCGTGCCAGCCAGCAGGCATGCCTCTCGGCTCGAGACCCATTGACATCGGCGATACGGAATGAGAGATTAAAGAATCAGACATGACGGTGGCTTCTCCGATATTAGATTGTGTTGTATGTCAGAAGGCGACGAGTCTGAACCCCAATCGATTTAGCTTATACGGACTAGAGGTTTCCCGGCTTCCGCATACCATAGTCAAAGCCGATTGACTGTCATTTTGCCATTGAAAGTTTAGAACAATAACTCTGGGGCTCTATCAATTCTACATTGTTCGGGGAAAATTAGTCCCCTCTGACCGGCGCAGACTGGAAACGAGGACAACACTTAGCACAAGAGACATTCGTGATTCCGGCAGCAATGCACGGCCGGTCAGGAACGGGGCTACCAGGATTTTGCGGGCGGCCGAGAACACGGCGCTCTTCGGCATTGAGAACACCAAGACAGCCAGAAGTAGAAGGACGTGGTGTCGAATCAAGGGCTCGATAGCGGCAGTAGACCGCTCTTTGTGGAACAAGAGGGGCTGGACGTACCAAGAGATAGTTCAGTCGCAGAGACGGCTGTTGATAACCGACCATCAGGTCATCTTCGCATGGTCTGTCTCGGCTACAGAGGAATAACCGGACAGGGATTTTGGTTAAGTAGAACCAGTCAAGTCAAATGCTGGTTCCGAAACCGAATACAGCAGGTTTGAGCGGACGAGAAGCCGATCACTTTGCTTCGAAGTTATGGGAAACTGTGAGTGGCCACAATACTGGGAAGATGTCGGTGTGTTCCTAGGTAGATTGCCAATGCTCTTCACTTGCGGAGTACTGAACTAGGTAGATAGTCATAACTCGTGACAGCTTCCTTCAAGATCAGACATCTTCATCGCCCTCACAAGATACCAGCAACGTTCCCAGCAACACATTAGTGATGCGTTTCTTGCATGGACCGCCCGAAATTAGCTCACCCAGTGGTTGATGTGGAGTTGCGAAGGTGATCATGCGAGACAAGGTAATGTCCTACAACTTCTTTACTTCCAGGCTAAAGCTTCGTCCGTCCGGTTCGAGATTTTGTTGGGTATTTGGAAGAAGGATCGACCAGATGATTTGTTAGAAGTGACAAGACTCTTAGGCTCCTACTACTACGAAGATCCTGACATAAGTTTTCAAATGTTACAAGCAGAGAAACTCAGGATAGAGCGCGAGGGAGCATCGCAAAAATTGCTCGTCAGGCGGAGCTGCCGCCGCATACGCGCCAAGAAAAGAGGAGACCTGCGACCTGGAGCAGCGACCTGGTCCGGAACAGGTGCCCTCGCAGCCCGCGGCAGGCAATGGACCAGTCGCACATCAAGGCCGAGGCCGAAGGCTCGCCGTTTTATTCCCAGGCTCCATTGTATTCAACACTACCGTAACCTCGCAGAGGATCAAGCGCATCGAAGGGCCGGAGGGCAGTCCGCACCGGCGTCAGGATGCGGCAGTGGTGGCACTGCAGACAACAGAAGAGGACAGTAGCGTCGAGCTCGTTGACGTGGCGATCAGTACCGAAAGCGGTGAGGCGGTGGGCGGTATGAATCAGGTGAGTCTGGGTTGATGTGCCAGAGTCTGCCGATGGCAGCCGGTGGTCATTCGAATTCATCGTGATCTGCAGGGCGCTGGACATCGTGCAATGTTCGGAACGGCTTGCTTCTGTGCGTGAAAGGAATAGATTGTGGAGGTTACACGACATCAGGATAGAGCGGTTGGCCTGCTCGGCCTCTGCTGGCTGACACAGAGAGATGAGAAAGACGTGATGTACTTACAGATGGACAGAATGTAACCCCAGATAAGAAGTAGTTCTGCTTTGTTGAGAGAGGGGATGTTTCTGGAGTTGAAGACGCAGATTTGATGTGTCAAAGTCCAACCAACAAGAAATGTTTACGTCTTAAGAACAAGGAAGAAGTGGATGTCGGAGTGGCTCCGACATCGTGTGGGCTCGATCGGCCTGCGCAACATTCACGCGCCCCGAGGTGGGTTAGGTTACACAAGCTCAGTTGACAGAAAACGGTCTGCCGAAGAAGCCCACAAAGACCGGCGTTGGCATGGGAGGATGTCCACAACACCAGCCAATGATCCGATTCAACCGATTGAATAGATAGGGGTCCGGAACAGCGTAGACAGTTGAACAAGCCTGTTCCTCTGAGGACACGTGGGCGAGGTCATTCAAAGATGGGTTGAACTGAATATCGTACCATTTTGCGCGAAAAGAGAACGACAAGGCAGCGACAGCTGGCATACCAATAGCAAATGAAGAAGGTCAAATTGTCAACTCAGCGCGCTGCGACGCTACATATTAAAGACGACATGTTCCCCAGCTAGAACGACGGATCAGTCCGGCTCTTTGACACTACTAATCTCAGGGCTTGCCAGCCACCTTCACGACCCGCGGAGCCGGGCATGATCTCCGGAATTTGAAGGCGCCATCGCGGCTGGGCAAGATCTAAGCTGAACGAGAGTTTCCTTCCACTCCGCACACACCCGTTTTCTCCTCGGTATCTAGTATCAAACTGCGAGGGGTTCACCTTCGGCAGGCAGACCGACCTCCAAAGTATATTCGCTCACAGACCTCTTGCCAAGTTGGGGAGATCTTGTTCATGATCGTGAATCTCGTCTTTCACATTTGGAGGTTTGGCACTTCCAACCTATCAGAGCTAGTCTCACCTCCTCTTGCCATATCGAGTACCCCGTGAATGCACGAGGGGACCGGCACCGAGCGCCCGGGAGATAAGTGAGACATGCGCCGAAGGAAGCACACCCAATCGAAGACCTAGGATCTGGGACTTGTTGTAGTATAGAAAACAGGGCTGATAGTTGCTCCCACATACCGCCTGGTCCACGTCCCAAACCCCCGGCGCCGCCATCAGATCTGACTCTGCATGGGACTTTTTCAAGCTCACGATCTGGGCTGAGCTAGACCGGGCTAGGTTGACCGTCGGGAGGTCGCCTGACCAGTATAATCCTTACCAGCGAACGTGCAAATCGAGGCGTTCGTTCAATCTGAAAACAACAGAGAAATAACTCTCTGCGCGGCACAACTTTCCGAATAAGAAAGCCCCTGTGGCTCAACAGCGGAGGTCTCCTGTTCCCTATTCAATCAATGCTCGTCAAGTCCGGCCGGCCGGCGCCCACAAGCAACTAGCTCACACCCCTCATGACATAGCCAAGATACCAACACAGCCTTTGGATTGGACAACAACAGGTAAACCCCTGATCCATGGACGTCAAATGTCAAGTTGAGTGATGATGCTGCCCACGCCTGCCCACCCCCTCCACTCTGAATTTTGCCTTTCTGCCCATGTTCTTTCGTTCCCCCGTTTCACTAGCCCCAAGTCCGTCCAAAGACTAAAATCTACAACGGTGTGAGAGGCTAATGCCCCCCTTCGGAGCTGGAGGGATGGCGCACACGCCGCCGTGCGAGGGTGACTCTGGCCGGCCGTGGTCCCACACGGATCAAATGCCCCTGGGGGCCAAAAATTGGTGAGGACCCCGTCTCGAGTCCTTGACGCCGAGTCTCCAGTCAGACGAGAAGTACTGTGCAGTAGAACGCCTTCTCGAGAGAAAATGTTTGGAATCATTGACGGAGAGGCCGGGCAAGGTTTTTATTTTTCCTTCCCTTCACCGAATTCCTATCCCCTGTTCCTCGCCGTCGAGGAGGGGGAAAGACGCCATAAAAGTAAGAATGCGTCAACGCGGACTGGTGGAAGACCGGCTCGGCTCTGTACTGCTTACGCGGTACACTCTCTGCTTCGTTTAACCACTCACCCTTCACCTATTCCTTATTTTGGTGCCATCCCAGCCGGCCAGCCTCTCAGGGCCGAGGACAGGAAATCATGACCGCAGCTGCTGCCTTATGACTGTTAGCATGACATCAATTGGTCGAATGGCGAACCACGCAGGCGATTGAGGCTCAAAATCCGTTTTCATGGTACTCGGTCTTCCACCAATACGCGGAGGTGTTCTGGAACACTGTACACCCATGAGTCTATTAGCTATAAAGAGTCATTTCGAAGCAAGGGGTATTGGGGCCCTCTAGAAAGCTACATGCAGTTATCAGACCGATGTCGACGGAACGGAAAAAAGGAAGCAAAATGAGCCGACTATTCAGCAGTCCCGACCCCCAGGAGACCATCTCTTCGTTTCCAAGCGGGAAGGCCATCCAAGTCCAGGAGGTCATCGGTTCTGAACCGGTCAGCGAGCCGGCCATGAATCGACGTATCAACCGGAAGATGGACATAGCGCTACTCCCTCTTCTTTCCCTTCTTTATCTTTTCAATGGCCTTGACAGAGGAAACGTGGGAAATGCTCAGACTCAAGGTGCGTTGAAGCGAGCCTCCGCGACATGAATCTTGAACTAAGTCACATCACTCTTGGAATTGCTAACATACCATCTCTCCTCAGGCTTTACCACGGACATCGGAGCTGTTCCAGATGATCTCAACCTCTCAGTATCTCTATTCTTCATCACTTTTGTTTTGTTTCAGCCCCCTTCCGCAGCTGTTGGTCGATGGCTGGGGGCGAAGCACTGGATCCCCATAATGATGGTTGGTTACACAAGCAGGAACCAAGCCCAAAACCCGAACCCAAATTCCCTAACGAACGAACAGATATGTTGGGGATTCATTACCTTGGTTCAAGCATTCATCAAAGGCCGAGGTATGTCATTTTTGCTATTGACTATGGGGATTGTCTAATCCGCGTGCGTCAACAGGCGCTCTCATTGCCACCCGCCTCCTGATCGGCGCTTTCGAAGCAGGTTTTTATCCTACGGCTGTGGCCTACCTCTCTTTCTTCTACAGTAGATACGATCTTGCTGTCCGAGTCGGTCTTTTCTACGGACAATATGCGGTTGCTGGTGCTTTTTCTGGGGCAATTGGTACGTTGACAAATTTGACAAAATCTCTGTCGCTGTGGTTCCGCAACAGTTTCACGATGCGTTTCGCGGCATTTTCTTCGATGACCACGAAAGGAGAACCATCGCTACAAACCCCAGAAATTTTGACAGAATCACGAGTGTTGAAGTGAAGCCCTGAGAGGTTGGATGTTCGTGCTGACGCAGAATAGCCTACGGAGTCTTCCATCTGCGCGACGGTCCTTTCAAAAACTGGCAATATCTGTTCATAATCGAAGGAACTCTGACAATCTTCTTCGGCCTCTTCGCATGGTTTCTGCTGCCATCTGGTCCCGGATCAGCCTGGTTTTTGACCCTGGAAGAGCGCGAATTCGCAGCGGAGCGGATGAGACAGGAGAACGCATTGTTCGTCGAGCACACATACGGCCAGAACGGAATCGAGAACGATAGACTGAAGAAGCGAGATTTTATCGAAACATTCAGAGACTGGAAATTTTGGTATGTTCTAGTATTTAACATCTGCGCCAGCGTTCCGGGGCAGGCGTTCTCGGTGTTTCTCCCGCTTGTCGTCCAGGGGCTCGGATACTCGTCCATCGAAGCAAATTTGGTATGTTGAAGGAATCGGATCTGCAGGATATCGGAACTGACTGTTCGACAGATGTCTGTTCCACCGTACGTTTGCGGCGCGCTCGGTCTATACTTATTTGCACTGAGCTCAGACTATCAGTTCGTCTTCCAGACCATTCCAGACTTGGCATTTGTCCGTTGACAGTTGGATAGCAAGGAACGTGGCTATCATATCGTGGGCGGCATTGTCATTGCACTTGTTGGCTTAATCGCAACGGTCACCGTCGAGTCACACGCCGGAAAATACGCGGCGCTCTGTGTGCTCCTCCTTGGTAGCTATATTGCTGCGCCTTTGACAGTTGCTTGGTTAAGCGGAAACAATCCAGGTACGCATGGGGTTCACTCCTTTGAAGAATCAAGATCACTTGACTAACCTAGCGTTCAACAGAACCCGGCAAGAGATCCCTCATCCTCGGCGTAAACGGTTTCGGAAACCTTTCTGGCGTTATTGGCGCGCAGCTGTACCGCGATCGTTACAAGCCGAACTACAAATTACCCTTCTACGTGACCTTGGGTTTCGTGGCGGTGGCGCTCGTTGGATATATTTCATTCAGGTTCATCTTGGTGTCTATCAATCGCAAGAAGATTCAGATAATGCGACATAAAACCCAAGAAGACATCGAGAGGGAACGTGTTGACAATACACGATATGCCGACACGAAGTGGACATTCATCTATGGTCTTTGACGAGGGTCTGTCTAAGTGGGGGTTACGTCAATAGCTAAATATCTTCGAAGAAGGCATCTGCTTCGCGCCCAATGTGGCCTGCCAGCTCTGTAATATCCTCTGCATACTTCGGCCCATCCTCGAACATGTAGCCATCAATGAGGTCAGTCGGAACCCATTCAAAGTACACGTTCTTCACGCTCGCCTTCAGACCCTCCTCTTCAGGTAATTCAACTTGAGAATACCTCAGGACAGTTGTTGCGGCTTCTTGCAAGGAGGCCTCTCGCCTCCAAGAAACCACTACCTCGTCAATGTCGTTCTCCTCATGGCCAGGCGGTTCATACGGCAAAATCTTCTCGTTCTCAGCCAGGACAAGAACTTTGGCGTTGGGGGCACAGTATCTAGCCGAGAGGACCGCTGGCAGTGACCCGGTCTTGTTGCTCGTCGAACCATCCTTGCGAATCAAATCGGCGCCAATGAGTACGAGTTTTATGCCATCGCTCGCGATTGCGGCCGAAGCGTCGGTGAATATCGAGACATTAACCTTCTTTCCTTTCTCAGCGCCCGATTCTCGTAGGCGGCTGACAAGTCTCGATGCCATGGAGACGCCCTCGAAGAGGGGCCGCGATTCGAGGATCCGGATGTCGAACTCGGAGTCGAACACAAGGACAGCCCGGTGCAGGCATTCCAAGATGGTTGAACTTGACGACAATGTGAGGATGCGGATCGGGTCGCCTGAATCGTGGTTCTCTCGGAGGAACCCTTCGAAAGACTTCCAGATGCCATCGACGGACTCGACCCTTGACAGCGCGTACTGTTGTAGTTTCCGCGCAACTGTCTCCTGGAATTCCTGAGACACCCTGTCAATCTTCTTCACCTCATCGTCGATAATAGAAAGCGACCTTGTCAGCACGTTCAGAATTGCAGCACCCATGCTCTCCCTTCCGTTTTTCCACAAATGCCACGCCGCAAGCCTCGTGTTCCGCCACCATATCTCCAACGACTCATCTCCTTCTGATATCACGTCAACAAGCACATCGAGTGCCTTTCCCGCCAACTGCCTTGCTCCGCTCTCATGATCTCTTTGGAGCGCAAGCAACCCCTCGCTCAAAACTTTCCCACTTCTCTCGCCTAGTTCAATCTCAAACCAGACCCTTCGAAGACTTTCCGCCAATTTTGGCACTCCCCCGAATTCATCAACGTCACGGACCTCCCTTGGATCAAACCATTGGAATCCCGTATGCTCCCAGTCGATCTGAATCCGTCCCTCATCTTCAGGAGACTTCAACCGAAACGCGAAAGGATGGATGATCCACTCACGACCAATGCTTTCGTCAGAGAAACGGTAGTCTTTGCCTTGGCGGAATAGCGTAAGAGCCGCCGGCGTCAGTCCCGTTTCCTCCTTGATCTCGCGCCATGCTGCGTGCAATGGTGAAGGGTCGTCCTTATCAACGCTGCCAGATACAGGTGCGAGACGGTTCCTGTGGCAGCTAGTCAGCATGAATCGGATGGACCACGAAGGGATGCGGCCTCACTGATAAGTTCTCACTCTGTCGCTGCGCCGGAACAATGCGACCTGAGGCCCTCCATCCGACGGAAACTTGAAGATGAAGGACGACACGACAGTGCGTCGGGTCATGGGTTTGTTCGCTGAATCCATCACGGCTTGTTCAATTCATCTACTCTTGATTCTCGTTCTGATGTCTGTGATTAATGGCCCTAGCGCGGCTGGTGCATGGTTGATGCCGTTGCGTCGCGTGGTCTTCCGGCCGAGGAAACACTGACTATGAGGTCATCATAAAAGTCTCGGCCGGCACGGACGGAAATCATGAATTGGCTGGCCGGGATTGCCAGCTGGCCGCAGCTGCCACATAGCAACAGCTGAACTCTCAACAGGGCTAATAAATACGGGCTCGCAAGATGAACGTTCAGTGGAAAGTCTACATAACACTATTTCATGTATCACGAAGTAACATGAATGCGCAGAAAGAGAGAGAGAAGTTGTTCGATACTGGAAACATCTTTAAACCCTCTTGCCACAAACGTTCAAGAATCAACATAGAGAGGCATAAATATCTCGACAGCTCCCAGTACGCTCCTGAAAATCTTGTTTTATTGAGGGAAGTAGGAAATACAAAAGAATCTTAGTGAAGATCTTCAAGACGCCCAGCTTTTGTTATTACGTATTGAGATCAGTAAACTCAATAAAGAATACTTGTATATAACTGCTAGATTCACAAACTACAGTTGCAGTCAGTGTAAACCTATATGAACTATGAAATAGTAAAGCCGTGAAACATTCGTCGACTGTCAAAAATTTAACTTAAACGACTGCTAGGTTAATGACCTAAAAATACAGCCCATAAGACTGTCCTCGAGTTTGGAGTGTCGAAACCTGAAAGCTGTACACTTGTTATCGGGACTCATGATACTTAATAGGACAAACGCGACAATCAATCACAGTAAAACTACGTTAAACGTGATATGTAACGTCTTGAAAAGCTGCAGACGTTTTGTGCCGTTGAAAAGACTGACTGGCCTTCTAGGAGTTGAGGCTGCCCCAGGGTTATAGAGGCGAGGCAGCGTCCGTAGCGGCTTCCAGATCATAGAGCCACACGGCCCAGTACTCAACGTCATAAACAATGCATCATTGCTACTTCAGAGGAGCATAATATACATACCGCACTAACATTATTATTCCTGGTCAAATGCTTATCTAGTCAGTGACAACGCATAATGAGGGTAATTGGATAGGTAATAAGAAAAGCTAGTTAAAAGGCAGCTCTAAAAGCGGTTTCATACTGGCCCTTGTGCAAAATATTCATATCTCTCCTTCAGCTCTATGTAGATTCCTTCATATACTATGGGGCTTGCTTCCACAACCCTGCTCCAGGCTCCTAGGAGAAGTTCCCAGACAATGAAGTCACATCTGGCAGCTAGGTCAGATGACGATCTACCGACGGGACTGAGAGAGAATAGCGGGCTACCAAAGTTCCAAATAGTCGCCACGGCCAGGCAGAAGCGGAAGCGGAGATGCCAGTAAATCGTGGTCAATGTTGGTTTCTGCTGAAATTGTCTTGGGTTCATCGTCACAGCTACATAACCACATGGAACTCATGGTTCAAGACCTGCATCAATTTATCCAACATGCAGACGGATACACAATTGAACAATTCTCAAGGACCCTTAATAAGTTCACATGGTCTCTAGGGCACCAATAAAATAGCGAAGGTATGAATGCCTGCCATTAACCCTGCAGGATAGGCACTGCCTAAAGAGACGCATTACGCTTCTTGTCTCGACAGACCTGTACTGGCTTACAATAAGGGCAAGTGCATAATACCAAGTAGCCAGCAGGCTACAAGATGCCGACTGAACTCGGGGCTGAAGCCCCCGCGGCGAAGACAGTCACAGAAGACGAACACCAGGCACCAGTATTTCAGACACGCTGACGAGCAGGCATGAACAGACCAGACAAGGTATTGATAAATACAGGGAGGCTTCATATTATTCACCATTCCGCTTCGGAATCTCACATGCTAGGGTTCCCGGGACCTGCGGGATTGCCGGATGGGATCGTTCCGTACATGGAGGTAATATCAAGACTGTGTTCTTTGTGGCTGCATCGGAAAGCAAGGATGGTCTGCCGTCCAGGTTCAATCGGTCATTCCATGCGACGATTTCAGTGATTGCGAACCCATCAGCGTCTATTTATAAACCTCCAATGAGACATAAAATTATTCAAGTCTCTTGACAATGAATGGAAATTGTTCCCAGAGGGAGATCAAGGCTACGAGATCATCGTGACACGGAGGTGCTACGAGTTGAAAAGTAACCCGGCCTCTCTGGCTCTTTGCAAATATGATATCTGAACTCAAGGGAGGTTGACAACTTGCCGAAGTCTGGGAGTCGGGACTCGGACTTTAAACCAATGAGTCTTCAGATGCTGCATGGTAGCGTTCCTGAAGGATCTGCAGGGTAGGCACATACGGCCCGTCTCGCGGATAACTGAGAAGATAACCGTCTTGGCTCTTGGCAATATGTAGACTTGAAGAAGCACACCAAACGTCCACTACACTCTGTACTAGCAAAAATAGCCAATCCTCCCACCGAAAAGCATGACAGGAGTAAGACTAATCATACTATGGTTGCTGGCAAGAGTTGACAAATGTTCAACGAAGGCTTTCCAGGGCTTAGCTTTCTTGGCTTAAGCTTAATGTGAGGAATCCACTACAGGGGTTGGTTACACGTGAAGGATTCGATAACTCTGCTGCCTGGCAGCACTAACTGCAAGGTTATCTAGTTTTCGTCACATCAGATGACAGAAATTTCACATTTTTCACTCTCTTTACTATCGGAGGTTGTCCTGATGGTTGTTGATTTTAGGGTAGATGGATGCAGCCCTGCAGCTGTCGGCCAATACGGATCTGGCAGGTTCAGATGATGTCTCCAATAGTTTCTTCAAATAGAATCTCATCAGCTGATTAAGAAGGAACTTCGATGCTCACGTTACATTGGTGGCTAGATCAAGCTGTGACTACGCAGCTTAATCCGCAAAGGCCAAGTGGAAGCACGACAAGGATGGTGAACACTAAGTGACAGTCGGCCGCCTCCAGCTCGGCTAGTCGTGACATGCCTGCAAAAGTACTTCTGGAATTCGTTCTAGATCGCGTTGTGGATGCACTCAAGTGCAAGCTTGGCGACATGGAATGATCAAGTAGTTTGAGTAAGACAGAAAAGGACATCGGCCTGGTGCCATGGCGGAGAACGCCGCGGTATGTTGAATTACGAGAGCCTCGGAGCAATTACCAGTGGTTCGCGCTGTATTAATATGAATATCTAAACGCCCTCCCACATTGAAACCGTGAGCGCTTCGTCTTTGACTGTTATCTCAAGGCGCGTTCTTTCACTCGTTATCCATACGCCATGTGGCATTCAGCATCAACCATGTATTGTGGTTTATGGCTCTTCCTGCTCCTTGAGTGGGCGGTGGCCTTGCCAGCGCTTCCTGGAGACCTCAACAGAAGATTTCTCGACCATGATTTGCCCCATATCAACATAACCGAACATTACGGTGCTTCCATGTCCCCGCGATCAAGCCTGGAACGTCGAGCCAAGGACTTTTACCTGCGCATCATGCCTCTGGGTGCCTCCATCACAAAAGGAGAGCCCGCTCCGCCGGATGACCAAGAAAAGAACGGATACCGAAAGCCTCTCCGTGATCGACTGAGAGAGGATGGCTGGGAAGTCAACATGGTCGGCTCGGTGGAAGACTGGGGCACAATGAGTGATAGAGTAAGACCAGACCTCATGACTCCCAAACTGACCACAAGATGAGGACCAAGATAGACTGACGGAATCAATCAGCAAAACGAGGGTCACCCAGGCTGGAGAATATCCGAGATTCACTCGCTTGCCCGAGACACTGTCCGCAAGTGGAAGCCCAATCTCATCCTCATCAATGCCGGCACCAACGACGCAACACAGAATCGCGATACTGAGCCCGCGAGCGAGTCACACATCCGGATGGAGAAAATGATCACAGAACTCTTCTCCATTGTGCCTGAGACAACCATCATTCTTTCAACTCTCTTGCCTCACAGCAGCACGCCCGAGGCAGCGGAACGAATCAAGGCCATGAACCAAGAGACGATCAAGCTCGTCAAAAAGCTTGAACAGGTCCCAGGATATCGCATCTCCCTGGCGAACATGGACGACGGTTTCATCACCTTAGGCGACATCTTCGACGGAACTCATCCCACGCTGCTAGGTCGCCGAAAGATGGCGGCCGTGTGGCACGAAGCCATCAACCGAGCTGAGGGGAACATCACCCGGCCAAGCAGCGACGTTGACTTTGACGACGGAGCATCGGATACAACCTGCGACAAGAAGTATGGCAGTGGTAACGCCGGAGGCCGGGCGGGCTGGCAGGTACTCGGCGCCGCCGATCCGTTGATCAGCGATGACGGAACGTACACGCACAAGTCTACTCCTAGGGGGAAACTCGACCATCCCATCTTTTGGCCCGAGACGACCAAGTTCTATTTTACTCAGCTTGTCAACCAAGGTGCTGATCGTGGCGGGGAGTTGGATGAGTTGGTCATTGCTGCGCTGCACGAGAGTGGCTCCAGAACAATTTCCATGGCCATGAACAGGGGAGATGGCACCTTTGACGAAGGTGTTAAGTTGGACATTTCAGATGGATGCATACCCAGAGGTGAGCCATGTCCTGTCAATTCTCTCTGACAGCTGCTGACAAAAGAGCATAGGAATTCGCTGGGGCGACATCGTGAGTCATGGCTATTACTTGCTTTCTTAGTGATATTTGATTGACAAGTATTACAGGATAATGATGGCTTGGATGACTTTATCTGCATCGCCCCCGACGGCGCTATGTTTGTATCAAGGAACATGGGAGGAAACCCGCCCAAGTTTGAGTCATTGGGACAGGTAAGAGTCTACTCAATTCGCTTCCGTGTGGCGATCATTGTCAGATCATACGCTTACAACACCTAATCTCCAGGCAAGAGGTCCTACTCTTGGATACAAGCAAGAACATGTCAGACTCGGAGGTACGTTATGACTCTGAGATCATTCCAGCTCGTAGGCCGAAGAGGGCGGGCTTGGGAGTCGTGGAGAACCCTGAACGCTAATGGATGCATAGATATCGATGGCGACGGCAGACTCGACTACTGTGTTGTTGGCGACGATGGCAACATTCGCTGCTGGCGTAACGGTGGCGTTGGTAAAATGCCCGAGTACTGGCAGGACATGGGATCAGGTCAGCCCGTCTTCCTGGCCAAAGGCATGGGTGACATCAGAGGTGTAAGATTTGTGGACGTCAACGGAGAGTAAGTGTCTTCAGATCAATCTAGCTCTGCAATGTGTTACTGATGTTGACATTGTAGTAACCGCGATGATTGGGTGTGGATCGATACCACTGGCAAGACGCGTATCTTCATCAATCAGAGAGGTGAGGGCAAGGGAATGATTCCTCACTGGGTTGAAGCTGCTGCTGGACACGGCGGTGGCTTTGATGTCAAAGACGACGGCTCTCGAGACCTCATCCAGTTTGGCCGGTTGTATGGCAGCGGCCGTGCTGATGTGAGTGAATTGTCGTCGAGATGTTTGATCCAAACTGACCCAAACGCTCACAGTACGCGTTCATCGACAAGAGTGGATGCAGGAAGTATCTCAATACGCAAATGATCTTCTGCACGTGGGACATCAATGTTTGGGAGAACCAGGGGTCTGGTGGAAAATTCCAGAAGGGTAAGTCTTATGGTTGAACTTCTTGATCGCGACTAACGGGATGAACACAGGAGACGGAGCTTACTGGGGCGACATGAGGGGCAGAGGTGTAGATGACTACATCTGGATCTCCCCCAATGGTGTCGTCAATGTCTTCCCGAACCAGAACACGAAAGAAGACACGACCAAGGACGCCACGCGTGGCATTTGGGGTGTATCTATCCGCGCCCTCGAGACTGGCATGGACCGCCGTGCCCTCCATATCGGCGACTGGGACGGCGATGGCAAAGACGATGTCATTGGCGTTGATAAGGCATCGGGTGCACTCACAGTCTGGTACAGTCGCTGGAACGGCGGCACTGACTTCAAGTTCGATCGCAAATCCATCGAAGGCAGCGACAAGTGCAAGCAACGATGGGGCGTGGGGTACTTTGATAACGGTCACCACTTCGCCGACATCACGTAAGTTCTATGTCCTTGCTGTCTTTTTTGATTCTCGAAAGATTGACGTATTTCTCCTGATCAACAGTGGCGAGGGCAGAGTTGACTATCTTTGCATGGAACCTGACGGTCGAGTCACAGGATGGATGAATGACAAGGATTCGACTCTGCGATCCGTCGGTCAGGTCAAGTTCAGCGAAGAGCTTGACAGAGCCAACTTCCGATTTGCCGATGTCGATGGCGACGGCAGAGCTGACCTCATCTGGACCGATAAGTTTACCGGTGATGGCAAGGTTTGGAAAAACATGAGGGAACTTCCTGAAAATGAGCGGATGAGCGGCAGCAAGTTTCATTGGGATCCGAAGGGAGCTCTTTACCTCGGGTCATCGAGAGGCCCAAACTTGCACTTCCCGAACCTGGGAGGTCAAGGGCGAGCAGACATGGTCGAGGTCAATCCAGTGACGGCTCATGTAAGTCCTCATCTTTCTTCATCAGCTGCATGCTCTCTGTTACTGACGTTGGAATCAGGGCTGGGCATGGTACAACATGTGTACCATCGGCGGAGGCGATGACGCCGAGTCGGACCCTAACCTCCCCGAGTACACGCCTGCACCCCCAGAGGATGATCCCGAAGTACCCGACGATGAGGCTGATGCGTTCTGCGACTCCAACGCCAGTCTCAGGAATCCTGCTCTTTGGAACGAGCTTGGTATGGGCACTTGGCTGGAGCAGAGGTAAGTCGCATGCTGAGAGAACGTTTCGCAGTAAGAGGTTTGGAAGCTGACTGAACAAAAGGACTCGATACTACGCCAACAGCGAGGAAGGATGGCCGCGACTGGCGGAAAATGAAGACGGAGGAGTTCCTCGTGTGATGGCCTGGTTCAATTTGCGAACAGAAGACCGACGGTTGAACTGGCCCGGACAAAAGTGCCAAGAGTGAGTTAGAAGCTGCCTCCCACCGAGAGAAACACCATACTAACCAAAAGCAACCAGTATCACGGGCGAATGTAGCTTGGATTCGTCTGATTACCTGGACAATTGTCATGGCAGAGGGCGTCGTTCATTCGCTCTGTGGACCATGGCCAACTACGCCCATTTCCGCCAACTTCATGCTGAAACCATCACCATAGAAGGGCTCAACACAGCCCTTAAGCTGCCCCTCTTGTCTACCACTTTCATCAATTCCAAGTACGGCAGCGACCTCTCGATGGGTGCTGGAGCATGGCTCACTCTCGCCGCTGGCTTCGCAACCACGATCTCGGCAGTCGCTATACCGGCGACCGGTCCGATCGGCGCCTTTTTCGGGGGTCTTTTGACGGTGGCGAGTGCCATCGCCGGCTCCTCCAGTGATCCGACGTTTGATCCCCGATTCGATACTTGGGCGCAGTTGTCAGCGGACTTTGGCAAGGCGCAGGAAATGGCACGCGATATGTTCGCAGCCCAATACAACAAGCTTCTTCGCGACATGCCCCCGGACCACGACGAGAAGGCGGGCACCGAACTAGCTCTGCTCCTCAAGTCCGGCGCCTTTGCCAGCCAGGACATCGGTACAGGCTCGACCGAGATTGACACGGGCGTGCAGCGGAGAATGCTCACGGCAAGTCTGATCACGGCGATGTGGAACAGTCAGCGGGTTTTTGCTGTCAAGTTCGGCAAGGACAAGGTGAAGTTCAAGGACAATCGCGATAACGACATTCACTACGACCCCTGCTTTGGCAAAGGGATTGACGAAAACGTCGCCAAGCACGAAATCTGCTTCGACGAGAACACGAACTGGTTGATTGTGAGTGGCCGATGACACACATAGATGAGATGGACACATGACTGACCAAGATGACTTGTGCTAGATCGAGCACCCGAAGGAACTGAGGGATGATGGTGACCTCTGGCGGAACTTTGGCCAAGACGCAAAGAGCCTGGATACCTTTGACTTCACGCCAGAACAGGTGATCCGCTCCGCCGAGCGCACGCAACAGCAGACGGGCGGTTTCAAATCGACGGACCCGAACACCATGGCCGACTATCTCCTCAGCATCGGACAGGACCCCAATCGCGAAGGCTTCGATATCCAGGAGCTTGTTCGATTCAACATACCCGTGTGCGACATGGACAAGTTGGACCTCGAGGCGGTCTACTGCACACCCAGCAGCCATGATTGGTGCATCTTCCAAGCGATCATCAGGACATGTGAAGGGATGTATCTTTCAGAGACCGTGGGATGGCCGTACAAATTGGGGGATGATTGAACGGGCTTGTTGACTGGGTCTTTCGCCGTCGGCATGCTATCCAACAGGCGGTAATTGGTATCGTGGTGTAGTCTTTTCTTCTTCCTGTACATAAGATAGCTTTTACATATAGAATTTGAAGACGTGCTGGGGGGAGCATGGGAATACGATAATGTGGCCCCTGAAACTCTGTAGCACCAGCATTTTAGCCGAGCCGAGGAACCCAGCTTGCGTACCTATCCGACCGTAACGAATGGAGGGATAGCCTCTGTCTCGAGAGCAGATATTGTGTTTAGGGAGAATGATCGACAAAACAACATCAATGAATTCAGCAGAAACGGAAGTGAATCACACGAGACGAGAGCCTCCGCACACAGTCGACCACAGCAACACAACTTCTCCACCGACCCGAGCACAACCGGCCGAAGGATTGACTGTGAACTGCCAACTGAATGAGTCTGGATCACCACTAGCGGCCTTCTCCCGCCTAAGCGAATGTTCCTGTCTGGGTAGCGTAGCCGTAGCCGCCGGTCAGGCGTTCCGGGGCGTCCAATTGTTGGCTTTTCTGGCAAGCATTGACCGTCGAGATTGTCAGAAATATGTGGAACATGAGGTGAACATGTTAGCGATTTGCATGTCTGATGTCTCTCGTCTCTCATTCTGAGGCGAAAACCCATGCTGAGGCGGCACGGTGAAGTTCCAGTCTTGGGAAGCCGACGGAGGACAACGTAAGACAGACAGAGCGCCGCCACATACCAATCACTCTTGGGGGGTTTGTTCCGTTTCCCTGAGCCTGGCCGTCGATTTACGGTTGGCCGTTGGCAGTCGCGGTCCTCGGCAAAACAAGACGTTTTGATGGGGTTGAAAGGGTCAGCCATCTCATGAAGAGAAAATCGAATACTACATCGCACCGTTCACAACACATGGTGTCCATGTCCATGTCTTCCTCTAGCCAGGGCTGGCCCGGGTACGTTAGGCATTAGGGACAACCCAATCAGCCCAGTCCCAGGGGTTTGAATCAATGATCAACGGCCCCCGAATCCGCCTTGGGGTATTGGGCCGGGGTCATTGGCTGGCCATTTTTCCACTGACCATGAATGGCCTGTGAATCGTGTTTGGTGTTTGTGTGATTCACCGAGAGGCTTGCAGCTTGCAGGCTGCATGTTGCACCTTTAGAGTAATGAGAGGAGGACGATGAATAGGCAGACGAGGGGAAATGCCTTAGAGACAGAAGAAAAAAGCGACAGAGCATAATACACAGTAGCATTGCGCGTACCTGTAGAGGTATGTAGAGGTATAGCTCTGGCCCCCAAGTCGAGCTCGTGTTAGTGAAATATGTGTATCTCACACCTTGGAGACTAACACGGAGCTTCCTCCGCCCCCAATGAGCAAGCATTCCCTCCCCTCAAGCATTTCCCGCCCATGACCCCCCAGCAGTACCCTTTTTTATTTTTATTTTTGTTTTTTCTTTACCAACGCTACGTTACCTTGCGCTCGCGACGGCAAGCCGACGCTCTCAAAATCTCGATTCTCCACGTCCGACGTCCTCAACCAATCTTCCTCCCTGGAACAGCCCTTTGCGCAAGCGAGCGAATCTGAATCTCGCGTCCACACAGCTAGACGCGGACAGCACGAGGACAATCGACGACAACACGACGCCAACTTCACCAACGACGTCCAGACACCAGAGCCGAGTACCCTGATCTCGAATTCTGCACAGTCAATAGTGGTTGCTACTCAAGGGCGGCTCATACCGGCGTCGACTTTCATACCCCGGCCGCCAACTAGCGAGATAGACCGACCAGACGCCAAAGTCAATCAAGGCCAACTGACGACGCCTTCGGCCACCTACCTAGCGACAGCACCAACAGCCATCACCGACGTCGTCCACCGCCAGAGCTCTCACCCGCATCTCTCACTCATCCAGTCTTACGTCTCATCCTCTTCCCGTGATCGCGGCCCGGCGACGGTGACATGCCGTCTCACTGGTTCGCACCGCCAGGATGCAGCAGCACCAGGAGCAACAGACGGAAACCCCAAACCGTGGAGGCGGCCGTTTGCCTGTCAATCCTCGGCGACACAAGGTAGCCCCGGAGCAGAGAAAGCGCGTCGCCACAGCGTGAGTGATATCATCTCCTATCCCATTCCATTCCGTCTCGTCATCTCATCTACCTCTCATCCCGCTATGGTCTCATATCCTCGCATCTCATTGGTCTAAATCCCATTTCACATGGGCCGACCTGATATCTCACCCACGCTCACTCATCGCCCTGCCTGCCCTACTGCTACCCATGAGCTTATTTACGAACCTCTCCGCAGATGCAATAGCTGCAATGTTCGCCGCATCAAGTGCTCCGGCGAGAAACCATGTCGCCAGTGCCGAAGCTCATCCCGAGACTGCCACTATCCCGCTCCGGTCGAGAAAATCTCAGTCACCCGCGGCGAGCTGGATGACTTGAAGAGACGATGCGAGGCGGCCGAAAGGGTTCTGCAGATCAAGGTACCCGATGCCGCCGAGAGACAGCAACTTTTGCAGCAAGAGGGCGGCGATCCGGTAGGGTCCCGGGCCGGCTCCAGCTCATCCTTCACTCCTCCGCAACAGCAGTCCCAGCAGCAGTCGACGCGCGGCCCGAGCGACGCACCAAACGAGGACGAGGCCGACACCGCCGCCGCCGGCCGTATGTTGCTTGATCCGGACGGCAACTCCCGTTTTCTCGGCGAGACCTCCGGCGCCACCTTCTTAGACTACCTCAAGGAGTTCATGTCCACCGTTTCGCCTCTGGCTTTCAATCGGCCATGGCTGTCGCCCACTCCAAATAACGGCTCTGCCTTCCTGGCGTCTCTCGGCAAGTACCAGACGTACGACTCCCGGCCCATATACGAGGACGCCAACGTCAGCCCCCTAGCCCTGCCGTCTCGCGCCGAGATGTTGGCCAGTCTGAACGACCTGCGGTACTTCATCCAAGACGGCAACGGCACCTTTCCCTGCGGCGGCATCTACTGGTGGGGCGACCTCAGTACCGTCCCCGTCGTCCCGGAATCCATCTCCTTTCCGCCCGGGACTTCACCGCAGAACATCTGGGACAAGTACCGTCACCTCGCCTTCTATCACACCGCTTTCGCCGTCGCCTGCCAGGCCAATACGACTGCCGCTCACATGCCGAACCCTCCGGACCTGAGCCAGACGTTCTTCGCCAGAGCCCGAGTTCTCCTCGGCAACCCGCTCGATATCACGAGATGGACCATCAGCGATGTTGCTGTGCTCGCTCTCATGGGCTTCTATCTCATTGAGATGAACCGCCGCGATGCTGCCTACATGTGTGTCAGCAACGCCATGCACATTTCCATGATGCACGGCGCCCACCGCGGCTGGGTGGATGAACGAGGCAAACGTGTCTTCTGGACGCTCTACATTCTTGACCGATGGCTGAGCTGTCTCATGGGCCGTCCGCCAACCATCTCGGACGACGCAGTCCGTCTGCCCTTACCAAACGATGCTCCGTAAGTCCTACCCGAAACCCCTGCCCCCTCCTCTTCCCGTCCTACACCGACCGGCACGTCTCCGATGACGGCCCATCTTCCAACCAACAAACGAACCTCGTCTGACTTGACGGCCTCCGCGCGCCTCACCCATGCAGTTCCCTTCCCCCTGCAGCCGGCCTCCGAGCCCACGTCGAGTTGGCCCGCATTTCGGGCCACATTGTGTGCAACACGTATAGAGTCGCCCCCTACGACTACCATCCCGGCGGAGCGGCGCGCCATGTAGAGCGAGCTCTGCAGATGCTCCAGGACTGGCTTGCCTCGCTACCCCCTGCCTTGCAGATGCCCGCCGACCTAACAAGTACCGATCCCGCATGCTGTCTCCTGCATATGGGATACAATCAGGTAAGCTTCTTCCTCCCCTACCCCTCGCTTCCCTCGACCCGGGTCCGGCTTGTTCTACGTTCCCTCCCCTTCCATGGCTGTTTTCTACCCCCTCCCCGAACGGGAATACGAAGAAGGGAACGAAAAAAAGCATCCCTTGCTGATCGACTGGGGTTCTGTAGCATCTCATCCTCCTCCTGCGCCCCATATTCTTCATCGCCGTCAAGAAGGCCTTTGCCGAGCGCTACATCACCACCGAACGCCGGTGGAACATCGAGCACCACACCTCCCGAATCCGTTCGTGCTCCGAGGCAGCCCGCCGGAACATCCATCTAGCCCGCTGGCTCATCGACCTCACCAATGGCACCCGAAAACTCCTGCAGGCGGGCCTGCACTACGTCTTCAACGCCGCCATCATACTCATGCTCGAGGAGCTGCTGCCCCCGCAGCAGCAACAGCCGCCGCCGTCTCCGTCACCGGGCCTGGAAGACGTCAACTTCGCCATCGGCGTCTTTGAGGAGGAGGCCAAGACCGGGAGCAACTACGCCATCGATTGCGCCACCGTCCTCAAAGACCTCAACTCGCTCATCCAGCGGCTTCGCCTGGCCCCTCCACAAGCCATCCGCATCCCGGGGGCACCATCCACGCCAGGCCTCGCGGAGGACATGACGCTTTCCAACAGCAGCAGCAGCAGCACGCCCACGAACGTGCCCCCTCGAGATCACCGTCTTCACATCCATCACCAGACGCACCAGCAGCAGACATTCCCGCCGGGGCCGGGTCTACGCCAAGTAACCGAAGGCGACGCCCTCTATCGACAGCTGGCGACGTGGGTTGACAACAATGATTTGCAACTATACAGTAATAATAACTACCTCATTTGACCCAAGACGTCAACAAATACAAGATAAAGTTCAGACATTCGCTCCAAATAAGAGAGAGACAACCCCGACCTTGAACGATCAAAAAGTGTTTTTATTTCTTATTTTTTTCTTCGGATATCAAGAGAGACGAAATGAATTTGAACTCCGCGCCATGTCTTTTTCAACCCGACTCGAAATGATGAGAACACACAATCCAAAATAAAGAGATATGTCGTCAGCACATCATTCCATGATCCCTTTAACAATAATCCCGTTTGAACAAGTCATCCCACTCTCTTCTATGCATCAATGCTTCACATTCTCTAACAAGATGGGGGATAATGAAAATTCAGGAAAAAAACAACAACAACAACAAGCTGCGTCTTCTCTAGTTGGACACAGTCTTGGCCTTGGGAGCCGAGAAGATGGAGTCGACGATCTCGGACGATCTGACGGCGAGAATCGACAAAAGGGTATCACTCAACTGATTTATTGTTAGTCGTCGTGTTCGTCATAATTGTGGGTTTCTCATGTGAAAAAGCAGGGGAGGGGTTTTTTTGAGAACTTACTCCGTGGGTCGCTTCGCAGCATCCCTGCAGGTAAACACCAGCCTCCGGCGCCACGGTGCCGGGGGCGTAACGCACGCGGTAATCGCGGCCGACCTCGAGCTTCCTCGAGCCGGCGGTCGCGTCGCCCTCGGCGATCTCCCAGCCGTCGACGATCTCCCGGTCGCCGGCGTTGGAGGCGGGCGTGACCTGGGGCAGCAGGCTCCAGGTGTCGCGGAGCATGTCGATGTGGGCGTTGCGCTGGTAGCCGGTGGCGGCGACGATGAGGTCGACGTCGAGGATCTCGTCGCCGGGCAGCTGGGAGACGAAGCCGTCCTCGAGGCCGTCGTGCTCGATGCTGCGGACGTGGATCTGCAGGCGCTCCGTCTCCTTGCTCTCGTTGACCTGGACGATGTTGCGGCCGAAGAGCATGCGGTGGGGCCACTTGCGCTCGTCGGTGCCGAGGAGGCGCTTCTGGTGGTACAGCATCTCGTAGAGGTGGTCGATGAGCTGGAGGCGGACGACGCCGTAGTTGGTGGCCTTGGCCTCCTTGATGAGGGCGCGGCGGTAGTTGTGGCTCTTGGGGTGGAGCTCGTCGACGTAGCTGGGGTTGAAGATGGAGTTGACGAAGGGCGAGTCGTCGGCGGGCTTGAGGAAGTTGCTGCGCATGAGCATCCACGTCTTGGAGTTGGGGTAGGCGCGGTGGATGTCGCGGAAGATCTCGGCGGCGGACTGGCCGGCGCCGATGACGGCGACGCGGTACGGCCTCGTGCTGTCGTTGAGGATCTGGGGCACGAGCTGAGCGTACTGGGAAGAGTGGATGATCTTGGGGTGCTTGGCCGGGAGGACCTTGGGGATGTTGGGCTGGCCGCCGTTGGCGATGAGGACGTTGCGCGTCTGGTAGGACGAGACCTGGCCGGTCTTGATGTTGCGCGACTTGACGGTCCACGTCTTGACGCCGCCTTCGGTCTGGGGGTCTGGGGAGATGGAGACGACCTCGCGGCCGTACTCGACGACGTCGTTGAAGTGGGAGGAGCACCAGCGGAGGTAGTCCTCGTACTCGGCGCGGGCGGGGAGGAAGGTGTCGAGGTTGGTGAACTCGACGAGGCGGTTGTTGCTGTGGAGGTAGTTGAGGAAGGTGAACTGGGAGCGCGGGTTGCGCAGCGAGGCCATGTCCTTGATGAAGGAGATCTGCATCTTGGCCCCGGAGAGGAGCATTCCCGGGTGCCAGGCGAAGGCAGGCTGCTTCTCGAGGAAGAGGACCTTGGGGGAGGCCTGGCCAGTGAGCTGGCGGCCGGCCTCCTGAGCATCGTGCATAGAGACGGCGACGGCCAGAGAGGCCGGGCCGAAGCCCACGCCGATGAGGTCGTGGATCTCGCTGTGTTCGCTGGGACGCAGGTAGGGGGATTGTTGGATGTGGGAGGTGTTGGAGTGGCCGTTCACGCCGTTGCCGTTCTGGTAGACGGCTCCGTTTCCGTTGGTGAAGCCATTGGAGCTGCCATTGTACTGAGAGAAGCCGTTGACGGAGTCGGAGGAGCCGTTAGTCGGCGAGTCGCAGTGAGGAGACATGGTGGGGTGTTATTGTGAGGGGTGGAGGGGGATATGTGATGTGATGTGGGTGTGAGTGAGAGTGAGTGTGTGTGTGTGTGTGTGAGTCGGGTCGCAATAAGAGCTCTCTCGCGCGCGGTGCGATTAAGGTAGGCAAAGATTCCGTGCAGATTCTGTGCTAATGCCAAAGCTGCTGGGAGGGCAGATCGGTGGCTTTAAAACGTCAGCTTCATGGCTCTCCATATACCTTCATTGTCGCTTTCCTAGGGGAGTGGGAGCATCAACTGACCTTGATTCCGTTACTTTTTGAGACGGTTCAAAAGAGACGATGCCCGGTGTAAATGCGGGATGCGGGTGCGAAAGTGCGGGGGGTATAATTGGGGTTCTTTTTTTTTTTTCTTGGTGCCGGTTTTTTCCCTTGTGATTGAGGTGAGATGAGAGGTAGATTCAAGCCACACTCTTCGTCATCGACTCGCAAATCGAGTGGCGCTCTGGGTCTGGTCTAGTCCTTGGTGGTGGAGGAGGAGGAGGAGGAGGAGAGGGAGATGCAAGCCGCAGGTTGAATATGCGGATTAAGAGAGAGGGCAAAAGAGGGAAACCGAGTGTGAGTTGAAAGAATCAAGAGAAGCACAGGAACAGGAGCAGATCGGAGGAGGAGGGGCATCGAGGGGCTAATATGTAGAACGGATGGAGGCCGATGGCAACCTCCATCTCTCTTGCGGCGACGTGATCGACCGAAGCAGCACGAAGAGACGAACAGCTGCTGGACCCTCGTCCCTCATCCTCGGAGCTTCGACACGACGACGGACGACGCTGCGGTCTGATGGAGATGGGTAAGGTACAAGAGTAGATAGAGCAAGGTACCTTACCTACGAATACCTACATGTGTGGTGTCGTCGCATCAACAAGTTCCACGTTCCCAAATGGCCACATCCACGCCCTCTCGCCCCAAACCTGGGATCGCGACTGGGGCGCTGCGACTGGAACTACACGCATTTGGAGGAGTCTACTCAAATTGCAACATTCGGTTCTTCGCTCAAATGGGGCAACGTCGATGCCGCGATCCTGTCATTCTGCCGGACGACGCCTGCGGCCCTGCGCTCGAACCCTTGCAAAGCAGCTGGGCAGACTGGGCTTTCTTTGGTGCCCTTTTTGGGGGGGAGTGACTTGAGTGAGGTGATGTATTATTACTACAGCTTTGTATCGCGGTAGCGCCAGCTCGGCTTAAAGCAAGAAGCCATCCACAACGGAAGCCTTTCCACATCCAGGGGTTGGGGCCAGGGACAGAGTCGCAACGGGCTGACTCCAGAGATGGCTCTGGCTAGTAGGGGACGCCCTTGACCTTGAAGGACTGGGTCTGGGTCCCAAGACTGGGAATGGTTTGAGTGAATGGGAATGGGAATGGAAATGGGGACTGGAAACTTGGCGAATGAATTGGTGGATTGGGGGACTTTCGACTGGAACCATACTAAAAGGCCATGTTCATGTACCATTGCCGGCGCCGTCTGTCTGTGGGTGTGCATATGTTCGTTCTGAAGCGTCCGTACGTGTGAACACACAGACTACGGGCGGGAATTCCGCCTCGGTTGACGGAGAAAGAACGCTGCAGCATGCCATCGATGAGGCAAATAGTGCTGAATAGAAAAAATAGAGTGAGTGATTGACATCCAAAAAGGTGGTGGTGTCTGGCAGCATCAACGGCGGCGGGCGGCGGTCGCAGGACTTGGCATCTCGTTTGCATGTGCCGGGCCACAGGAGTGGAGCGGACGGGAGGGATGGACCGGAGGCACAGAAGACAAATTGGACAAGACAAGAGAGAGCAAAAAAAAAAGTTCCTGGGCGGGCGGACTGACGACTTGACGAACAGATTTCCCAACGCGGGGAGATCGAGACTGGACCCTGAAGCTCATTGCCGTGATGATGTGAGGCGCAGCAGCTGGAAGGTATGTCTCCGAGTTTGATTTTAGCTGCAGAGCCCGTGTCTCTGATCTGATTGATGGTGGCTTGAGTGACTTGATAAGATTATCTTTACTCGATAGAACGAGTCCTAGCCCCTTGTCCTTGTCGAGGCCGTTGCCCTTTGTTTTCTACTAGGCTCTTGGCTGATGCCGTCGCCGTCGACGTAGGCATCGACAAGGCGAAACATCAAGGACCGGGTCGTAGTATAGTACATTCTCGGTCAAGTAAACGGACCGCGTCAGGCCCAAACCCGTCGGTTTACGAGGACTTCTCGCCGACACTTGGAAAGAAGATGCAGATCAGCTGCTGGGCAGGCCCACTCCAAATTGGTCGCGATGCAGAAATCGAACGGGACCAGATGCAAGAGAGACGACACGATGTGTGGGAAAAATACAGGGAGGGAGGGGTGAAACGAGAGGCCACAAAAAAAAGAAGCGAAGGAGAAAAAAATTTAAATCGTCAACGATGAACAGTTTGCACGATGAGTGGAGTTGTGACGGAGGGGCCATGGTGCGATTTCGGGGTTATCTTCGGATCTGATAAGATCAAATCTCGTCCTGTCACCAGCGTCTCAGGCATTCACCCAGCAGCCCGGACGAGGAGCGAGAAACCGAACGAGCTTAACTCGGTGTAGGAGCCTAAACGGAAGGTCGCAGATGTGTCAGGTACAAGAACGAGTAAGTATCCATACTCGTACGCTAAACGCGCCGGGTTCAGCTAAGACAAGGGCGATGAGTTGTGTCGAGAGAGGTACCGCGCTGTACCAGTCGACAATACTTGAAGAACCCGAGGATACACAAAACCAAGCGGCAGGTTGCGTCTCAGACTCGCATATGAGAGGAGCACGCAGCACAACGCGGCTTGATGCCGATGGGAAGAACCGGGGCAGTTGCGATCAAAAACTGCATTCTGCAGATGCAGAGCCTTTTGGTGTGGAGGCGGCAGGATCACTAAGAACAACATGAGTCGAGGCGTGCAAAGCTTGCTCCGAGAGCGGGCAAAAGGACCAGGGGTTCACGAAGAGACCTCGGGATTGGGGTTCCAGGGGGGGCGAGCAGGGTGGGTGACATTTGTGCCATCATCGACGCCAGTCATCCACCAGTCTCTATGCAGTACCAGACTTGCCAGCGTCGATTCTCTGAAGAAGAAAAAAATAGAGCACAGCAGACGGGGTCGTATTGTGCGGTTGTCCTTGGTAGACTAGCAGCAGGATTTGCCCCCGCTAAAGAAGTGAGTGGTGAGGATCTAATCTGACAAGATGGATCAGATAATCTTTTGTGTTTTCACATGTACCTCATTTCCACATGGCCCGAGACGAGATACTTCACCCGTCGGGTACCCGATCAGGCCGAACGGAAATCGGAGGTCGACCGGCAGTGAGTGCCGGCTCCGCCGTCTCAAGCCGAGTGAGTGAGTGAGGATATCCGTAATTCACTGCGTATTCGTACGGAGTGAGAGAAGAGATGGCTGGGTACGGAAAGGCTGAGCGGTTAAACGAGACGAAAAAAATCAGCATCGACAAGGACAAAAGAGGCAGACTAAATCCGTCGGAGCTTGCGGAGGTGGGCACTTTTGAGGGAATTTTGATGGTGTTACTCGGGTGTGAACATCACTTTGGACGAGTTATCTGATGATCTGATTATCTAAATCTGATAAGATCCGGGTCTAATTAGGTAAGGCGTTCGTACCTGCTGTATTGGGCCCAGTGACGATGCCACGATGGCCATAGCTGACGCCCCTGTAATGGCCCTTCAACCCTGCTATGGTCCTGTTCTTAGCGCCTGAGCCCACTGACATCCACTGACGATCATCCACCAGCGTGCATTGGGCTGTGTGTAAGTGAGTGGAAGTGAGTGAGAGAGAGGAACTTTGAGTGAGTGAGTGAGTGAATGAGTGAGTCTACCAGTGAGAAACCACGCACATGAAGAAACCTCGACATGTACGGCGGGCATCAGGCACAGTATTCTTTACATGCTGGGTAACTTACATAGTACATTGGATACATAACACAGGAATTAAACGAGGCACACACACAGACGCCGGCCGCTGCACGACAGGGAAGGTGGAAAATTTCTTCACTTCCATTCCCACCCTCCTCCATCCTCTCTCCATCAATCTCTCTCCATCTCCATCCATCTCCTCCATCTCACTCCCTCTGTTGTCACTCTTGTCACTCTGTCTCTGCCTCTGCCTCCCCTCCCCCTCACTAACCGATCCCTGTCCATGTCCATGAGGAATCCCCCTCCTCCGTCACACTCTTCACACCCTTCAACGATTCGGTTCTGTAGCGCCAGAGAAAAAAACACCACATCCAAGGCGTCAAGCCCGCATTTTCCCTCGTTTCTTTGCGTCCCACGCATCTTCTACCCATCCAGTCGATGCTCCAGTTGATCCATCCATCCATCATGGCACATTGGCGGCATCCACCGACATCATCCCAGCGCTCCGTCCCTTGCCTTGTCCTCCACCACTCCCAGCCATGCCACGCCGTCCCTGTGCCTCCCATGGAGGGGGACGGACGATGGATCCCTTGAAAAATGCTTGGAAACCCGAAAAGAACCTCCTGGTCTGCCGGGTCGAGAGGCTTCTCCCAGCACGCCGCGCCGACTCGCCGAGTATCAAAACTACTGACCGCAACATCTCGACCACCTTACCTTGTCTTTATTCAGTCCAGGACGCGCACTCACCGCAGCAAGAAACATTCGAGACCGTCCAGACACCTCTCAAACGGGCTTAAAGAATACAAGAGACATCGTTCATAGACGCCATACACGCAGAAACCACGCGGGATTACGTACTTCGTTCGACTCAGTCACCCCCACATCTGGGCCACTCTCCCACGCCGCCTTGGGTGAATCGACGATACCTCGACTCCGTCAACCCCTACGACGGCATGCCCAGACGGGCCGCAGAGGTGACACGACCGACGACTATGTGACAGGTCCCCACGCTGTTCTGCCTCCCAGCTGCCAGTACCTAGCATTCCTGATGGATGTTTCTCCAATGTCGCCCGCCGCATCCATCAAGAATCCAGAGGCGAACGGTGTCAATCTGCTACGGCCGAGCTCGTCTATATGCGAGCACATGAAAACATCCCTCCTATGTTGCTACATTCCGTGGTCTAGAGCCTTTGGCTTTCAACCATTGAGGCCACTAGACCATCCCACCGGCGCGCAGTTATGGCTGATGCCACATCAGCCAGACCTTTCCATTCCGCAACATCTGGCTCGGGCAGGTGAGATGCATCATGCCCACCATCTCTTGACCCTGATCAACATCTCGAGCCAAGTACCTACCTCCACATGTGATGGCGAGTGGCTCTCCAAAAGAGCCCCGCGTCGAGGTACACTGTACCACATCTTGGATGCCCTCCAGAGGGCAACTCCTCGGAGAGTTTGCCGATTCAAGAAACCGTTACCCGGCAGTCAGACGAGATCGGCCACCCGCCGCGAACAGTGATGAACAAAGATGCGGATCATGGCGTGGCATCTGGGGGAGAGTGGCCTGTTCTGGATGCGCCGTCGGATTCCGCCACGCTGCAGAACCCCAGCAAGTGAGACTTTTTGCTTTGGGCCCTTTTTCCGACGTTGGAGATTCGGAACTCAATTGTGATCACCTATGGAGACCCTTCGAATTAAGCCTCGATGATCATGCGTCGCCTGCCCGGAGACTGCCGTCAGGCGGATTCATCCTTTCTTTTTCTTTCAAGAAAGCCTCTTCTAAATCAGCAGCTCGGAGACGGAGACGTCGGGACAGCTATGATCGGCCTTGATACAAATACGGACGGGGATGCATGTCGAGCGATCCAACAACGCTCCACGTCTCACAGCAGCAGCTCCTGTCAGGAACTTCTCCCGGCCACAAGATCGGATAGGGCTGCCGGCCATCGGCATGCCATGCTCCTTCGCCTTACCCTACTTACTTCATGCCATGCATGCTCGCCACTGCAATCCTTGAATGGCAGCTGCTCGGTATGTTTTGTTGCGTTGCACGTCTCTCATCAGTTGGACGGCAGGTCATCGGAATTCTCGCCCGGCATGAGATGGCACATGTGCCAAAGAGGCTCTGGACGGGCCGCCGAAGCTTATCCCGCAACGCCGTGCCATTCCCCGGTGACGGCGGCGCATTTCTTTAGTCATGACGCCATAAGCGCCGCCGGATCTGCCCCTCATGCCCTGGATCCCCGTTCGGTCCAAGGCCGCCGGTGGGCATGGAGCATCTTGCTTGCTCGCCCGGCCCCAACTCGGTGTCCAGCTGCGCGTTGCGTTGCGTGCCAGGTCCAACGATGGTGGGATGGGACGGAGCAGGATGCGTGTTGGATGGGTGAATCCCACAAGCCAAGTCGCCACGTGAACTAGGGACACCAACGCAGATATTCCCAACCCAGCAGCTTGCCTCGAAGCAACTCAACAGGCAGCCAGCCAATACACTAGATGCTGACTACCGCAGTAGTCGCCCAAGCCGCCAGCAGCTGACGCCATCCCTTCCGCAGCTGCCACCTCCTCCACGTTGCTCATGGTCAGCTTCTTTCCGCCGAGCTCCTCTCGGTCTTTATTAGCATGGGAATAGTAGCCAGGCTGCAAGCGCAAGCGTAACATCCAGTCACAGTAGTAGTTTCCCTTAGCCCCCTCCATGTCCCGTCTTTCCCGCCGCCCACCCGCCCTCTGCACGACTTCTTAGTCCCATCCCAAAGCTTCGACGGTAGCATCTGCGGTAGATCACCAGAGTCCATATCTCTCTTTTGACTTACAGCGCCTCGTCGTCCGTCCATCTCTCTGTCGCTACGAAGACATACCCTGGCCCGGAATCACATTCCTGCCAGACATACGCACAGGTCAAGAGTGGCACCTCGCACAGGGCCGAGCCGTCTTGGAACTAGGCCGTCTTCTACCAACACGCCGTCATCATCCGCGAATGAACGATCTCATATTTCATCATCGACTACACGAAGCTCTGGCGACAGACACCCTTTCTGCACTTTACCCATTCCCGCTGCAGAATTTCGCTGTACGCCGCGTCCACAGCTGAGTAATTGCTGCAATCTTACAGGTCCGGAAGCCCACAGCCGACCCCGTGTCAACCCCTCGCCTGGCCCCGTGGCATTCTGCCCAGCGACCCAAATAAGCAAACACGCCGTTGCAGCCACCAGATCTGTGAATCATCATCATTCTTATTGGTCCACCGACCTTGCAAGGGACGCGTTGTTCGACGTCTCTTGGACCTCTTGTCTGCAGGTCCGTCTTGATCTGTCCCGGGGCGCATGGACCGTTGTGCCTGTACCTGTGCCTGTTTCCGCACGTTCAAAAGAGGGCCCGACTAATACGTGAGTCTCTTTCGTTGGTAATGGAACGAGATTAACGTACAGAGCTACACACATCGAACCACCCTCCTCCTCGAGCTCCCAGGGAGCTTCTCTGGATCACCTCACGAGCTTTGGAATAGCATCAGTCTGTTTTTTCTCCCTTCAGCCATCATGGACGACACCGAGTCTACGACCGAGCTTAGACTCTCGATACTGAACCCAGACCCGGAGAGGATCCCCGGACCTCGTCTCCTTCACCAGCTCGTGCATTCCACATCAGATGATTCGGTGCCAGCAATCCACTCTCTGGATTCCCAGGGACGACAGTCGACATGGTCGTATTCGCAGCTTCACCGTGCCGCAGACGCTCTGGCGCGGAAGATATCTGCTGCTGTAAGAGGAGGACGCCGCTCTAGGGACGACGAGTTCGTCGTGCCTGTCCTCGTCCCCCAATGCCCACAACTCTACATATCGATGCTGGCTATCCTCAAAGCAGGTGGTGCCTTCTGCCCTTTGCATCTTGACGCGCCTCCCGAGAGAGTGAGGTTCATCCTCCAGGACGTCGGTGCCAAGGTTGTCGTTGTCACCCGTGACTTGGTATCCAAGATTCCAAAAGATGAGGAGGAAAGGACCATCCTGATAGTGGACGGGGATGATGATGTAGAAGAGCTGCCTGCACCTGAGGAGGCATCAGAGCCGGCGGCAATACCTCAACGCCTGGCATATGTCATGTATACATCTGGATCCACAGGTACGCCCAAGGGTGTTGGCGTCTCTCACGATGCCGCAACCCAGAGCCTTCTGGCTCACAACAAGCACATTCCGAGCTTCAGGCGCTTTCTCCAGTTCGCATCCCCGACCTTTGATGTGTCTGTGTTCGAAATCTTCTTCCCACTCTTCCGCGGATCCACCCTCGTCACCTGCGACCGTGGCCGCATGCTCAACGACCTGCCGGCCATCATCAGGACACTAGAAGTCGATGCGTGCGAGTTGACGCCGACTGTGGCTGGTAGTCTGCTGCGGTCGCGAAAGAACGCTCCTTGCCTGAGGCTACTTTTGACGATCGGCGAGATGTTGACGGAGTCGGTTGTCAACGAGTTTGGTGGTAGTGAAGAGGCTGAAAGCATACTATGGGGCATGTACGGTCCGACAGAAGCGGCCATTCATTGGTAAGTCACCGCTCCGCAATACGCAGGCCAAGACTAACAGCGTGCAGTACCCTTCGACCACAATATCCCACGGACTGCCCTTCGTCGAACATCGGCTTTCCTCTTGAATCGGTTTCATGTTTTGTGACTGGCATCCCAGAAGAAGGCAGTCCTTATGAATTCAAGATTCTCCCGCTCGGCGAGATCGGAGAACTCGTCGTTGGAGGACACCAACTCGCAAATGGCTATCTCAACAGACCGGAGCAAACCACGGCCGCTTTCTTTGATACCCCGTATGGCCGTGTGTATCGCACCGGAGACACGGCCAAGATGAACAACGATGGAACTATGGAATGTCTTGGTCGAATATCAGATGGCCAGGTCAAGCTTCGCGGTCAGAGAATCGAGCTCGGTGAAGTGGAACAAGCAGCAATGCGTACCACAGGTTGCCACAGCGCTGTTGCCATGGTTCTTGGTGGGATCCTGGTCATGTTTTGCGCAATCGACGACGATTCAAGCTCAGATGCCAAGGTGGAAGAGATCACAGATACTTGTCGCGAGTGGTTACCGTCATTCATGGTCCCTGGCGACGTTGTCCTCATGAAGAGCTTTCCAAGACTACCATCAGGGAAGGTTGATCGAAAACAGCTCAAAAGCGACTACGATTCAAATAGACAGCATCAGCCTACACAAGCTGCAGAGCCGATCGATTCCTTTGAGCGAGAAATCGCGGGAGTTGTGTCGGATCTTCTCGGCTTTCAGGTCTCACCATCAACGAATCTCGGATCGTCTGGTATTGATTCACTGATGACCATCAGACTTGCATCAGCACTAAGAGAAAAGGGCTTTGCCATCTCGGCAACGGATGTTCTTGAGTCAAGAAATCTTTCAGGGTTGTGTTCTCGGCTTCGGCCAGCTACGTCAGATCCCACGAAACGCACCCAAGAGAATCCCACGAAATACTCGGATATTCCGATCGGCGAGATTCTGAACAGCCGACCAGAATTAGCATCAACTCAGAATGATATCGAGGCTGTTCATTGGTGCACGCCGCTGCAAAATGCTATGCTTGCTGAGACTTCCGTCAATTCCCAAGCCTACTGCAACTGGATCGAGCTTGAAGTTCCGGCCGGGTCCACATCCGAAGCTGTCGAAAGTTGGATTCGCGAAGTTGCCATAACTAATGACATCTTTCGATCCGGATTTCTCCCCTTTGAACGGGGTTTCGCGCAACTTATCTTTCGGCAATTACCTGGATCTTCAATTCGACATGTTGCGCACTTGGACAGAGACTTTACCCTGGAGTCTGACGAGGACTTCCTCCATCCATTCAGGGTGCAGATTCAGAAGGAAGGTTCAGACAGGGGTGTTCTCGTCCTGTTGCAACTGCACCATGCTCTTTACGATGGATGGTCCGCCGACATGATGCTGGAAGACCTCTCGAATCTGGCAGCGGGAAAATCTTTACAGCCGCGTCCACAGTTCCAGGACGTTGCCAGTTTTTTCAGTGACCCTTCTACAAAGAGTCTCATGGACGAAGCTCGCACGTTCTGGGCTGAAAGCTTGCTCGGTTGGCAAAGGCATGGTTTACCGCGCCTCATGGGCCGTCTTCCAGACAGACCAGCAGTTCATACCGCAACCAAGAAGCTCAACATCTCACGGGCTGATCTGGACGAGAGTGCCAGATACTTCCAGTGCCACCCGCAAGTGTTCTTTCAAGCGGCTCTTGCATGGCTCTGGGCAGGTCTTCAGGGACAATCCGACGTCGCCATCGGTTCCGTTTCCTCGGGAAGAACCATCCCAGTTACAAACGTCGAGCGAATCATGGGACCGTTCATTTCATCGACGCCTCTACGAGTCAATCTCAAAGGCATGACGACTATCGCTGATCTAATCCGCGCAGTGCATTCCACCAATCGTCAGGTCCTCCAACACGGCATCTTGCCATTAAATGAGATCAAGAAGCTGTGTGGTCTCAGTCTCGGGGATTCAATCTTCGACGTTCTCTTCGTTTACCAGGAGTCTCTATACAGCCAAGCCCGGAACTCCAGTCAAGTAAGAGAGGTAGCACATCAGGACTTTCTCGAAACTTGTTTACTTGTCGAGATTGAGCCTTTGGCCGACGGACCCAGCTGCCGCGTCACTCACCACACGAATGCCATCTCCGACGAACACGCAAAGCTGTTGGTGGATCAACTTGAATCTGTCGTGTCTTATCTCCTCCACCAACCCAAGGCTAACCTCGATACCATTGGAGACTGTCTTGCCCCGGAGCTGACGTCCGTCTTCAACGCCAACCCGTCGACTCTCACGACAGTACCTGACTTGGCTGCCATTTTCGAGCAGGCAACGGACCTCGCACCCAACGCAACTGCAATAAGGTTTGCGAATTCTCTCAAGGACGACGCGGTCGAGTCGATTTCATACAAGAATTTGAACACGTCAGCCAACCAGATTGCGCGATACCTGCAGCAACAAGGAGCCAAGGAAGGCGACATCGTCGGTCTCATTATGGAAAAGTCGATTCCACTTTACGCAGCAATGCTCGGGATCTTGAAGGCTGGCTGCGCATACCTCCCTCTTCTACCAACAACACCAACCGAAAGAATACGGGCTATCTTGAGTCAGGCAGAGGTCAGCCTCTGCGTGGCTGACCAGCAAATCTCAGCTGCTTTGACAGATCTCCCTTCCTGTCACTTTGTTGACACCCGTTCAGCCGACACCTCAACACAACCCCGCGACAACGTCTGCATCGCTCCCAACGGAGAACGACCAGCATACGTGATCTACACGTCCGGCACCACTGGCCAGCCTAAGGGCGTTGTAGTCACCCAGAAGAACATCGCGGGCAACCTCGACGTTCTATCCCGAATCTACCCTATCACCAGCAACTCCCGTTTCCTCCAAGCATGTTCACAGGCGTTTGACGTTTCGGTTTTTGAGATTTTCTTCACTTGGAAGGTTGGCGCTTGCCTGTGCCCCGGCACCAATGATACCCTGTTCGAAGATCTGGAGCGCGCCATCCGCTTCTTGGGATGTACTCATCTCAGCATGACTCCCACTGTTGCCTCTTTGGTTGAGCCTCGCAACGTACCCGGCGTGGAGTTCCTCGTCACTGCAGGCGAGCCGATGACCGCGGTCGTGGCCAAAAAATGGACTGGATATCTTTACCAGGGTGAGTGGATAATGAACGAGGCATCCAACATCATTCCAATACTAACAATCAATAGGGTACGGCCCTGCTGAAACTACGAATATCTGCACTGTCAGAAAAATGAACCCCGGCGACTTCATCGACCACCTCGGCTTCTCGTTTGAAAACACTTCGACAATCGTCCTTGGTCCTCACAGCCTCAGTCCCCTTCCCGTCGGATTCGCCGGTGAATTATGTTTTGGGGGTGACCAGGTTGCCGCCGGCTATCTGGGCATGCCAAAGCTCACCAACTCCAAGTTCATCGACCATCCCCAACTCGGCAGAATCTATCGTTCTGGAGACATGGGACGCATGCTTCCAGACGGTTCTCTGATGGTGCTGGGTCGCATGGACGACCAACTCAAGCTCCGCGGCCAACGCATCGATACCGGCGAAATCAGCAGTATCATCACCACATCTGGACTTGCCACATCAAACGCAGCCGTTATCGTCAGTCGCAATAACTCGCCAGCTACACAGCTGGCTGTATTCTATGTCCCGGCGAATGGAAGCAGAGCCGATTTTGAGATTTTGCCTATCGACGAGAAGCTTGGTGAGGCAAACAACACCCTCATTGGACTCCTACGGTCTCGACTCCCCGCCTACATGGTCCCAACCTATCTGTTCCCCATCAGCTCCATTCCTCTTACTTCAAGCGGCAAGATCGATCGAGCCAAGTTGCAATCATCTTTCCGCGACTTTTCTCAAGAGTACTTGAGCCTCGCTGCTGGATCTTCTGGGCAACGAGAAGAAGAAAGCGCATGGTCTGAGAAGGAGAAGACAATTGCACAGGCTTTATCTCAAGTCTTGAGCGTCCCTCTTGAAGAGATTTCTCGCTGGCAACCGTTTGCTGCTGTAGGACTTGACTCAATTTCTGCCATATCTTTGGCAAGAGCTCTGCAGAGCAGTTTCCAACGCAGGATTCCCGTTTCCTTGATTCTGCGGTGTGGAAGTGTGGCTCGTCTGGCACAGGAGATCTCGTCGCAGACATCGACGGCCGACAGCGAAAGCGTGAATCCTACAAATTCCCTCTTTCCTTCGAAGTACGTTGATGCGGTAAAAGACGAATTTGCAAGAGCCGGGAAGCCAGTATCGGCTGTTTTACCTTGTACGCCACTTCAGGAAGCCATGCTTTCGTCAACGGCCACATCTTCTTACTCGAATCAGCTTCTCTTCAAGCTCCACATACCTGAGTCGGACATGATAAAATTCTGGAAAGAAATGTGTCACCGGCACGGCATTCTCAGGACTTGCTTCATCACCACCAGAGACTCGAAAAGGGCAGTTGCGCAGGTAGTTCTTGAGTCTTGGTCGATACCATGCCGGACGTTCGAGTGCAGCAACTTGCGTGAAGCAGCCGACCAGCATGCAAACGAATTGACCAACCCACTCGACTCAAAGGTACCCCCAGTGTCACTGGCTTTCATCAAGGTAGATGGGCAGACCTACTTCTCCTTCGTGTGTCATCATGCGATGTACGATGGCGTCGCAATTGATGTTCTACTCTCAGAGGTTGAAAGTCTCGCTCTTGGAGAGTCTCTGGAGCCACCGGTTGATCATCTGCCAATCCTCCTCGAGATTCTCGAGTCTCGTGATGTCAAGGATACTTTCTGGAAGGACCACTTCAACGGCTTCAAATCTGCACAACACAAGATCTCCTCCCGTTTATCAGAAGGCGTTGGACATAAAGAGACACTGGTCGTCACAGATTTGGTTGACGTTTCCTTCAGCAATCTCCAGTCCATCTGCAAATCCACTGGTGTATCGATGCTTTCATTCTTCCAGACAGTTTGGTCTGCCTTCCTGAGCCTCGCATACAATGAGACAGACGTCTGTTTCGGCAATGTTGTCAGCGGACGAGCATTGAACGTCGAGGGAATCGATCGCCTGGTTGCACCATGCTTCAACACTCTACCCGTGCGCATCGAGCTGCCGCCATCAACTTCATTCGCCACGTTGCTCAAAAAGTTACAAAACCTCAACCCCCGTCTCCTGGAGCGCCAGTTCACTCCTCTTCGCTCAGTTCAAAGTCAAGTTTCGAAGAGTGGGGAGCAACTTTTCGACTCTCTTCTTCTGCTACAGCAACCTCAGAAGGAGCGTGTATCCTCCGTCTGGGAGCTGATAGAAGACAACGGGTCTATGGATGTCCCTCTGGTGTGCGAGGTTATCCCAAACCCTCACGATGATTTTGTCTCAGTCAAGCTCCACTCCAACGGCCATAACATAACGCAAGAGATTCTCGCGGGCTTGCTTCGAGTGTTTTTACATCTTGTTGCTGACACGGCAAAGCATCCCGCAGCAAGCGTCCCATCAAGGGAGAACCTCCCCGATGACTTGAGACGAGCACTAGAAGACGTTGTTGTGGCAAAAACTGCCGATGACGGCGATGGCCAGGTCGATCTAGACAACGACAGTGTTCAAGATGAGGAGTGGAGCGACGCAGAGAAACAAATCAGGTCTATTATGGCCGAGCTATCAGAGACCCCAATCTCCAAGATCCGTCGAAACACAACAATCTTCCAACTTGGTCTGGATAGCATCAATGCCGTTCAACTAGCCGCGATCATGCGAGAGCAAGGCCTGCAGCTCTCCGCCCTGGAAGTCATCGAGTTTCCCACCTGCGCCAAAATGGCAAGCCATCTCGGGACTTCAGTCGAGGAAGAGATTGTGGAGTACGACTTCTCGAAATTCGAGCGAGAGATCAACCGATCTTCTGCCGGTGATGGTGCTGAAAAGCTCTTGCCCTGTACCCCTCTGCAGTGCGCCATGTTGAACGACTTCATCCAATCTGGCGGCAAAGACTACTTGAACTATATGTCATTTGCTCTAGACGCTGGCATCTCTCTAGCACAAGTTCAGAGGGCGTGGAACAAGCTATGCTCCCATCATGAGATTCTGAGAACCGGTTTCTTGCCGACGGAACACCGTGATGCCTCGTTTGCCATGATTCAACACCCTGCTGCCGGCTCAACTGTGCCACTCACTACACATGACAACGAAGCGGACTCTTTCAACGTCACGAAGTGGAAGCTTGATACCGCACACAGCGCTCTACAATCGCTGCAAAACCCTCCCTGGGCAGTGGCACTTGAGAGCAGGCAAACAGGCGTTCATATGCAAATCATTATGCATCACGCTCTCTACGATGCATACTCACTGCAACTCATGTTGAGAGACCTAGCTGCCTCGCTCGCCAACAATGCCCCTCAAGAACACCCGCCGCTCAACAAGGCCCTTTCCAAGATTCTGCAGGCAGCTACCAAAAATGGAGACTCGGAAGACTTCTGGAAACAGAAGTCGTCAGAAGTTATCGTCAACCGCTTTCCAACTTTGACTCCGCTGTCCGAGGAATCTCCAGAGCTTGCTTCGATGACCAAGACCACCGACACAACTCTCAAAAGGCTCACTGATCAAGCCAAACAAATTGGTGTTCCCATCCAAGTCATCCTGGAAGCAGCCTGGACGCGAGTTCTTTCTGCATACCTCGGCGAAGAAGATGTCGTCTTCGGAGTCGTTTTATCCGGTCGAATCGATGATGAGACCAAGAGCGCCGTTTTTCCTTGCATCAACACCGTTCCTGTGGTAGCACACAGCAGGTCTTCGAACTCGGAACTCTTGCAACAAATGCTGGAATACCACAACCAGCTTCTCAAGCACCAGCATGCTCCTCTTGCCCAGATTCAGCGGTGGCTTGGACATTCGAATTCCCAAGTGTTTGATACGCTTCTTGTGTATCAACGTATGCCTGACGACAACAATGAAAAGTTCCCTTGGCAGACGATTAGCGATGAAGGTAACCTCGACTATCCCGTGTCTCTGGAAGTCGAGCCGTTATCTACAGGAGAAATTCAGCTCCGCGTTTCACACCGGACAGATGTTCTTCCTGTGCCTCAGGCCCGTCATATGCTAGACCAATTCGATGCCGTGCTTCAACACCTCGCCCATAGTCCATCCGGAAAGGAGGACGACTTGTGGACTGAGAACGCTTCCATTTTCTCCATCACACCTCCAGCGGAACCCAATATTGCCTCGGAAGAACAGTTCCTGCATCAATTTGTTGAGACCAAGGCCCAGTCTCACCCGAACAAAACTGCCTTGGAGTTTCTCACCGGCTTCGATGGCGAAGATCCGATTTCCAGGGAGTGGACTTTTAAAGAGCTCAATGAGAAGGGCAATCAGGTCGCCAACCTACTCGCTCCACACTCAAAGGTTGGACATGTCATTGCAATTCACTTTGACAAGTGCCCCGAGGCGTGTTTCTCCATTCTCGGCATTCTGAAGTCCGGGTGTGCGTTCTTAGCTCTGGACCCCTCAGCCCCGAAGGCTCGAAAGGAATTCATTCTGAAGGATTCTGGTGCCCTGGCGCTTTTGACCAATACCAATATTGACTTTACTGTGGAACAGCCTGTTCTTCACGTTGAAGAGGCTCTGCTTGACGACGTTTCCAAGGAATTTTCCACCCCTCAATCGCTCAGCATCCAAGACAACTCTTACTGTCTGTACACTTCTGGTACCACAGGAACGCCCAAGGGCTGCGAGATCACCCATGAGAGCGCCGTTCAGGCCATGAAGGCATTTCAAAGACTGTTTGAGGGTCACTGGGACCATAATTCTAAGTGGCTGCAGTTTGCTTCGTTTCACTTCGACGTTTCAGTCCTGGAACAGTATTGGAGTTGGTCAGTCGGGATGACATTGGTGGGCGCGCCCAGAGATCTCATCCTCGATGATCTCGCAGGCACGATCCGGCGGCTTGAGATCACTCACATCGACTTGACACCCAGTTTGGCTCGTCTGTTGGATCCTGCAGAGGTCCCAAGCTTATCTCGCGGAGTTTTCATCACCGGCGGAGAAGCCTTGAAGCAGGAAATTCTCGACGTCTGGGGCCCCGTCGGCGTCATATATAACGCATACGGTCCAACTGAAGCCACGATTGGTGTCACTATGTATCAACGCGTTCCCCATAACGGCAGAGCCTCCAACATCGGCAAGCAGTTCGACAACGTGGGATCTTACGTTTTCCGACCCGGAACCAACATTCCTGTGATGAAAGGCGCAGTCGGCGAGCTATGCGTCTCAGGCAAGCTTGTCGGCAAGGGATACCTCAACCGGCCTGAACTTACTCAAGAGCGGTTCCCTCACCTGGACAATTTTGGCGAGCGTGTCTATCGCACCGGAGATCTTGTCAGATTACTTCATGATGGATGCTTTGACTTCCTTGGTCGTGCAGACGATCAGGTCAAGCTGAGAGGCCAGCGTCTGGAAATCGGCGAGATCAATCACTCCATTCGGACACGAGTTCCTGAGGTTTCCGACGTTGCCACTCTGGTCACGAAGCACGGGAGCTTGGATAAGGACCTGTTGGTGTCCTTCGTCAGCTGCAAATCAACCGCTGCTTCCAAGGCAGACCTCCAAGTCGTCAATGAGACGAACACGGCTTCTCTTGTTCGCTCTGTGCAGAAGGCCTGCAGAGACACTTTGCCTGGCTACATGGTGCCGTCCTACATCTTCCAAGTTTCACGTATCCCACTCTCCCCCAACAACAAGGCAGATGTCAAGCAGCTGAACCAGCTATTCAAAACCCTTACACCCGAAAAGCTGGTGCAACTGTCACCCTCATCCAGATCTTCAGCTGAGCCGACCAATGAATTGCAGCGTCAGATCCTTTCAACTATGGAAGAATTCCTCGACAATGATACTCCGGTTTCTTTGTCCAGCAACATCTTCGATCTTGGAGTCGACTCAATCTCAGCTCTCAGGTTATCGCGACTCATGCGCAAGAACGGGCTTTCTGGTGCTGCGCCCAGGGTGATTCTGAGAAACCCTGAGTTGGGAGATTTAGCAGAGGCACTACAGCAAAGTGATTCCGCCAAGGAAGGGAACGGCGTTCATGAAGCACGTCAGCTCATACAAGCTTTTGGTCATAGATACCGATCTCTGGCCGTCCAAGAACTTTCGCTGCCAGGGGACGGAGACATCGAATATGTGGCGCCGTGTACACCACTGCAAGAAGGCATGCTGTCAAGATTCATGTCTGATCAAGATGAGGGCGCCTACTTCACCGCTTTCCGCTTGAAGCTTGCACCCGAAATCTCCATCGACAAGCTCAAGACAGCGTGCGAGAGCCTGGTGCAGTGCCATGCCATTCTCAGAACCAGCTTCATCCAGACGCCAGCCGGGTTTGCCCAAGTCGCTTTGAAGTCCATCCAACTCTCCTGGCGAGACTTGAGAGACCTTGACGACGCCGAAGTCGAGTCGCAACTTGCAAGTGCAATGCCGAACCTGATACACAAGAACAGCCGATGTGTGTCCAATCCTCTGGAGTTGATCATGGCACGCCTCGGCAAGGAGACCATCCTTGTCGTCCACATCTTTCATGCCTTGTACGACGGTGTGACGTTTGAGACAATGCTTCGTTGGGTTTCTGAAGAATACTCTCACAAGGAGCACGCGATTGCTCCGTCATTCTTGGAGACTCTTGCGCATGGTCCACTCGCAAACTACGACTTTAGTCGTCAGTTCTGGGTCGAGCATCTTAGCAGTTGCTTGTTCGACACCATCCCGAGACTACAAACCGGCGATGCTACGACAATTATCACCCGGACCAAGACATACTCGGCTCGAAACTTGGAAACACTGCGCAGGTCGCTCAACGTTACCCTGCAGTCCGTCGTCCTCGCACTCTGGACGTCGGTCTTCAAGAAGCATTTCCCCATCAACGCTGGCACCGGCGTAATAGTATCAGGCCGCTCGATCGACATGGACCAGATCGAAAACACCATCGGTCCCCTGTTCAACACACTGCTGTTCTACGCCGGTCTCAAGGAGGGAGATACCTGGTTGTCTCTGATTCAGAAGTGCCACGAATTCAACACAGCCGTTTTGCAGTTCCAGCATGTACCTCTTCGAAACATTCAGAAGTGGTGCACAAAGTCCAAAGGTCGCCCAATCTTTGAAAACCTATTTGTTTTCCAGGTTGAGACAGCTGGGCCAGCAGAACCCTCCGGCATGTGGTCCATCATGGACGACTACAGCGTGTCTGACTACCCTCTTGCGTTTGAAGCATCCGCAACACCAGATGGCCAGCTGCGAGTCCAGATCGTTGCTCATGGAGACGTGGCCGATGAAGCGACCATGAACTCTCTCTTTGAGGAGATTGACGAGGCTATGGTGGATGTTACTTCGAGGGCAACGTACTCCCTGCCCGTCAGTGCGAATCATTCGCGCGAAGCTTCAACGGCTGCATCACCCAGAACACCATTGACTTCACGGCCCGAGTCCATTGATGGCGATTTCAAGGACCAAGAACTTCTGCACACGTCGGACTTCGAGTGGACACCCGCAGCTCTTGTCTTGAGGAGGGAGATCGCAGCTCTTTCGGGCGCGTCTGAGGAGAGCATCACCGAAAATATGGCTCTTCTTGAGCTAGGACTTGACAGCATCGACCTCGTCAAGCTGTCTGCCCGGTTGAAGCACTTCGGTCACCACCTCACTTTGTCTCAGCTCATGAAGTCTCGAACAATTGCCGCAATGTCCACGATTCTCAACCAGACCAGGTCATGTTCTGAAGACTCCGATTCACAGTCGAGTTACGAGGAGCTCAAAGCCAAGTTACGGAAGGCTGTAGAATTGACACAATTTGATCTTGAGCGGGCGGAGGCCGTCCTGCCACCTACACCTTTGCAAGAGTCCATGATTGCCGATATGTTGCAATCAGACTTCGAGCAGTATTTCAATCACGACGTGTTGGAGTTGGCTGATGGGGTGGACATTGACAAGTTTGAGAGAGCTTGGCAGCAAGTTGTCGAGCAGTCACCAATCCTCCGCACAATCTTCGTTCAAGTTGAGGATCCAAGCGTGGAACAGACTTTCGCCCAAGCCATTTTGAAGTCGAATCCTCCGAAAATCAACAAGTTCTCATCTGGTGCCGTGGCTGAGGTACAAGATGTCATCGACAAGCATACCCAACTTGCGCGCGACGCTCAGGGCGGCTCCAATTTGATTCAGCTCTCTGTCATTCCGGTTGAGGCCAAGTCACTTTTGGTCTTGTCAATCTCACACGCTCTCTACGACGGGTGGTCTTTGTCTCTGCTTCATCACGATATTGCCGCCGCTTATCGAGACCAGCTTACCGAACGCCCTCAGATTGAGCCATTCCTTCAGGGATTAGTCAAAACGCCCACAGACCAGTCAAAGAAGTTCTGGTCTCAGTACCTCGCCAACTCACAGCCATCTCTGCTACCTCAGAAACAAGCATCCAGTCAATCTTCCAAAGATGCAACCTACCGATCTGAAGCGGTGTCCACTGTTGGTCTGGAGAGAGTCACCGAGTTCTGCAAACGCCATGCCATCAGCTTGCAAGTCCTAGGCCAAGCCTGTTGGGCATCGACGCTGGCAACCCTACTCCAGAGTCTCGAAGTCTCATTCGGTGTTGTGCTCGCGGGCCGTGACTCGGAACGGGCCCAGACCCTCATGTTCCCTACGATGAATACCGTAGCAGTGCGCTGTGTTCTTCACGGCTCCACGACGAACTTCCTGCGATACCTCCAGGAGACCATGGGCGACATCGTCGAGTTTCAGAACTACCCTCTCAGGAAGGCGCAGGCTATAGCAGGAGGACGTCTCTTCAACACCCTTTTCATCCTCCAGAAGAATCCCGAATCTGGACCCGAGAATGTTCTAATGAGGTCGGTTCAAGGCTCTGCTGCAACTGAGTTTGCCGTGTGCGCAGAGCTCGAGGTCACATCTAAAAGCCTCATCTGGCGTATTGCAGGACAACAAGCGTACGTCTCTGAAAAGATGACGCATCAGCTGTTACATCAACTCGACCGGGCTCTGCAATACATTATCGGAACGCCGGACGGAAATCTTCTCAATTTCGACGGTGACAATGTCTCAATATGTCAACTGCCTTCATTCCAGGCCAGAAAGACAGGCCCTACTGGACCGTCGAAAACGATCGCGCCCGGAGACGAAGACACAGTATGGACCGAGACAGAGAGCGTTCTCCGAAAAGTCCTCTCGACAGCAGCGGGAGTGGACATCCAGTCAGTCCGGAAAAGTCACACTCTCTACAACTTGGGTCTGGATTCAATCAGCGCCATCAAGGTCTCGGCACTTCTCCGTAAAGAAGGTTTCCAGCTTGGTGTACGCGCTTTACTGACATCAAACTCGATTCGAGATATGGCAAAACAAGCTCAGAGCATCAGTAAGGGCGAGCATTCTCAAACAACTAGCCCCTCTTCAGCTTCTTACGAAATGCCAAACTCCATCGACCGCGATGTGCTTCTTCTGAAAGCCGGTCTCAATGGTTCACAAGTGGTTGAAGTTCTCCCTCCGCTGCCCATGCAGGTCTACATGATGTCAGCCTGGCAAAACTCAGAGGGCCGAGTCTTCTACCCCGACTTCTTCTATCGGCTTCATGGATCCGTCAGCTTAGAGCAACTTCAGTCGGCATGGGCTGCCGTGGTTGACTCGGAGCCGATTTTGCGGACCTGTCTGATAGCAACCGGAGACCGTTCTTTGCCTTTCGTCCAGGTCGTTCTTCAACCTACCTACGACGGACCACATCGTCATGTTGTGGATGATGAGGTGGTCTCTTCAAGAAAGCCCTCGTTCGAAACTCAGAGAGGCCAATGTTGGCCCCAGGTGCAGCTCATCGCAACACGAGACGACGAAGATTCGTGGCTCCTTAAACTCAGAGTTCAACACTCTCTGTACGACGGCTTCAGTCTTCCAGCAATTTTGCAGGAGCTGCTGTCCAGGATAGAGAATACGAGATCCGCCGCAAAGCCGGCGCTGAATGCTTGGAAATCGTTTCTGGCAGCACACCATACCGAGGACGTCAAGAGACGCAACAGGACGTTTTGGACTAAGTACCTTGAAGGCGTTACGCCCGCTAAATCGTCCAAACCAGAAGAGCATGCGACGTCTTTGCAGCGTGTCTCGCTTCTCAAATGCTCAGCTGTCACAGAAGTAGCAAAACTTCAAGATGCCTGCTCACGTGTGGGCGTAGGGTTACCGGCACTCTTCTTCGCGGCAGTTGCAAAAGCACTCCAGTCGTCTAAGGTATCTTCGTCGTCATCGAGCGCGACCTCGATCGTCTTTGGCATCTATTATGCCAATAGATCGTTGGCCGAAGACTTGGAACCTACTTTCCCGACGCTCAATTTGGTGCCTCTGAAGGTTCAAGTTGAGAACAATTCCAGCATAATTTCTGTTGCAAAACAGGTGCAACAGGACCTACACCTGATTTCGTCTCACTCCACGGTGGGATTATGGGAGGTCAGGGACTGGACTGGAATTGACATTGACTGCTTTGTCAACTTTCTTCATCTAGGTGATGGAAACACCGATGCCCTCCAGCAAGGCAATGTGTCTTTTGAGCTCGTCTCAAACGGGGACCAAATCGAAGGTCTCAGCCAGAAGTTGGACGTCGCAAGCTTCTCCGCAAGCTGCTCATCTCAATGGCTATCGGACAATGCAGTTCGGGATGCGTTCCCAGTGAGTTATCCGCATCATTCAGAGTCCACAACTGAGCTAACACTTTCGCAGGATGCCCTGGACATTGAGGCATCAGTCAACGAGAAGGGTATGGATATCGGAGTGTTTGGTTCCGCGGCCAAGGTGTCGCCTGACTCTGCTGGGGAGTTGATTAGTCTGCTTAGTCGAATCTTGGTGTCAGACTGAGATGGAACGGAGCACACCACCCGTTATTTGTTTCCATCGCTTGTACGGTTTGCATATCGTGTTTCTATGTTAGGTAGTTGTGTTATCGTTTGTTATGAATCAAGTCGTCATACAAAGTTCGGAACGGACCGAATTCTCCATCCGAGTGACCAGGTTAGACGCAGTATCCGAACACCTTCTCGAAAGAGTCGGGGTTACACACGTCCAAAGATGACCCGAGCTGGGAAGAATAGCCTCCTCAACCACAAAGTTGCATTGAACTCGACTTCGCCTCGTTCCCGAATTCCGCTCATACTGCTTCCCCATAATCACTAACCGAGAGTCGCTGCATTTCTCAAATTCGGGAAGGAGGTAACCGCGGGGATTTTGAGCGGTGGGCGTGGCATGGTCGGATATCAACCCCGGATCGATAAGGTCGTCCCATCGCTTCGGCAGGCCATCCCGAATCAGGCAGGTCTGCGGCTCGCCGGGCACAGGCGTCATCTGCCGAGACCATCACGCGGGCAAGGGAGGTAAACCCCGTACCGATGCTGACCTACCTTCTCCCTCATCATCGTATTAGTTCTCGGAGCTGCGGGAGTTGAAGGTTGGGGAAGGCACGAAGGAATTGGGCAGCATGCGCACGACATCTCTCAATCGGAATCCTGATGGTGGTGTTGCCCTTGGCATCTCATCTTCACACGTGTGGATTATGCCGCTTACACCAGTAACCGCCCATCATCTGGCCATGTGCGTCCAATTCCAGCAAGTGGTAAAAGGGGGACATGCGACCTCCTGTGTTTGTCTGAGTGTTGAGCATCCTGTTCCTGCATCATGGCGTTTTTGCTGACCCTCATGAGAACTTCTGTATTGCGACGCTGAGTTGGCCAGAGAAGGCAACTGAGTCAATTACGAGCCCAGCAAAACGGCATGCCATGGCGGCAGCACCATCAATGTTACCTGCTCAAAATCAACACACATTCCACCTGGCACTGAGATCCCCTAGTCTTCGCTTCAAAAGTTCAATGTCCGTGTAAGGCAAGTCAAACCCGTTTAAGTTTATTTTAGTCACGGTGTCAATGACTCGCCGGAACGACGAGACTCTGGAGATCCTCCGCCAGGCTCCAGCGGCGCTATCCAACTGCAGTTTTAAGGTATCGATCCCGCTGTGGACTCTATGATATGTGGACCTTCAGTGTTTTCTCCGAAATGATTTGCAGGCTTACTTGTTACGTGATTGCCTCTATCGCGCGGAACCGTCTTGTAGCACGCGACCGACACGCTGGACTGCCATTCCCTTCCGTGACATGACTCGGCTTGTTAGTATGCGGGCGATTTTGAGCTAAATAGTTCAGTTCTCAAGCTATTGAAGACTCTAAAGTAAGCTTATGTTCTGGATTTGTTCATGCCAACTCTTCCTCCAACCTCCCAACTCCAAGTCCTTAAGGGCAGCTATCTCCATCACGCAATCAAAGACCCTGGAGCGACAAACCTGGAGCAATCCGAACCGCCTGTTGAAGACTACCGAAGACCCCATATCGCCAAGATTCCACCACCAGCTAAGCCGACGCCAAGGCGCCAACAGCGCAAACGAAGCATTACTGTAACCCTCCCACCGCTGACTTCCAAGGATGTAGGCAAATGACCTTCCTTCTTGTCTCTGTAGGGGAACGATAACCTCGACTTACGGTATTGGGCTGCGAACAGGGCGCATCACGCAAGCACGACCAACCGTTCTCCAATCCATTCTCCGCCAGGCTCTGAGAAGGAACACGCTTAATTCTTGGACTTTTGTGGATTTTACATTTTCGCCCACAGGTACACAAGGAGGAATAGCACTAAGCCGGGATTTCATGGTATTCATTATTTGGATTGAATCTGCCTGCTTGGCCCTTCCTCTTCCTCCTTGTCGATTGGTACCTTGCATCGTATCCCGATATCGACATCAACCTCCTTGACAATGCTCCAGTCCTGTTGGACGGGCTCACCCGCAGAACCAAGACGATAATGGCAACTCCATAATCGACTTCCATGCCCCTTTGGTCAGGGGTCTCGTGCAGGATGCAGGTCTGAAAAGGAAGCTCTTTGTTTATGGAGCTTCGACTGGAGAAGTCGTTGAAGGCCTCAACAACATGGGCTACTTAAAGCCCATGATGACCTCCCCCATAGCCCGTTTTCTAGGAGCTCAGCAGGCACTCTCAAGTCCCCAGCCCTCAGTCCCTTCTTTCCCTGCCATTCGTTCCCTTCCCTCCCGTCTCCAGTCGCCGCCATGTACCGCTCAATGAAGTCCCTGGCCCTACTTGGCCTTCTGGCCCCGGCTTACGCCCACCCGGCCAGCGGTCATAAGTCGACGCTCGCTCGCCGCGGCGTTGACATCGAGTCGTTCCGTCTTCCCCAGCTCGGCTCTTACACCAACGCGACCCAGACGGAGACGAGCCCGCCCATCGCGCTTCTCAAGCGTCAGAGCTACGTCGACACGGCCACTGAGCTTGTCAAGAAGCTCGCTCCCAACGCTGAGTTCCGCGTCGTTGGAGATCACTACGTTGGCACCAATGGCATTGCCCACGTCAACTTCAAGCAGACTGCTCACGGACTCGACATTGACAACGCCGACTTCAACGTTAACGTAAGTGTGGACACGCCTCCAGATTACACATAACGAGAAGCTTACACCAAGACAGATCGGCAAGGATGGCAAGGTTTTCTCTTTCGGCAACAACTTCTTCTCCGGAGAGATCCCTGAGGCCAGCCCACTGAACAAGAGGGAGTTCAAGGACCCCGTCTCAGCTCTTAACGGCGCCAAGGATGTTCTCCAGCTGCCCGTTGAGTCCGCCGATGCCTCCGCCGAGGCCAAGGAGGGCAAGGAGATCTATGCGATCAAGGGAACAAGTGGTGCTGTCGCTGATCCTGAGGCCAAGCTCGTCTACTTGGTCAAGGGTGATGGCAAGCTTGCCCTCACCTGGCGTGTTGAGACTGACATTGTCGACAACTGGCTCCTGACTTACGTCGATGCTGAGACCAGCGGTGAAGTTCACGGTGAGTCCCCAAGCAGCACAAAAGTCACAGTCCGGGAGCTAATCATTTGACAGGCGTTGTCGACTATGTCTCCGACTTGGCGAACTACCGCGTCTACCCTTGGGGCGTTAACGACCCTACCGAAGGTAGCCGCTCACTTGTTACCGATCCCTGGGACATCGCCGCCTCCGAGTTCACTTGGCACAGCGACGGCCCGGGATCCAACTACACGACGACCCGTGGCAACAACGCTATTGCGCAGTCCAACCCAAGCGGCGGAAGCTCCTACCTCAACAACTACCGTCCCAACAGCCCTTCCCTCAACTTCGACTACGAGTACTCCACGAGCCTAACGACCCCGTCAACCTACATTGATGCATCGATCGCACAGTTGTTTTACACGGCCAACCACTACCACGACTTGCTTCACGAGCTTGGCTTCAACGAGCGGGCTGGCAACTTTGAGATCAACAACAACGGTGCAGGCGGCGCCGGCAACGACTACGTCATCCTCAACGCCCAGGATGGATCCGGTACCAACAACGCGAACTTCGCTACGCCTCCTGGTAAGTCTATCTAAGTTGTAGAGCCCCGGCCGTATGAAGTGGAGACTACCGGCAGGTGCACGTGCCACCCGTTCCGGAGGTGGGGCCGTACCGCACATTCGAGCATACCGCTAACTTTTGGCTTAGATGGACAGCCCGGACGCATGAGGATGTACCTCTGGACGACCGCGACTCCCCGCCGCGACTGCAGCTTCGAGGCCGGTGTCGTTATCCACGAGTACACCCACGGCCTGTCAACTCGTTTGACTGGTGGCCCGGCCAACTCCGGCTGCTTGAGCGCTCTCGAATCCGGTGGTATGGGTGAGGGCTGGGGTGACTTCATGGCCACCGCCATCCGCCTCAAGCCTGCCGACACTCGTGCCAAGGACTACTCGATGGGAGCTTGGGTTGTAAGTGTCGCTATCTTCAACATTCAACAAGTGCCTGATCTAACACGTCGCAGAACAACAACCCCGCCGGTATCCGTTCTGTCCTCTACTCCACCTCTTTGACCACCACTCCCAACACCTACTCCACCATCAACGGCCTCACTTCTGTCCATGCCATTGGAACCACATGGGCGGTGATGCGTAAGTTCAATCATCTTCCTACAGGTCTCACAGCGACATGAAACTGACGGATCTCAGTGTACGAGGTCCTCTGGAACCTGATCGACAAGCATGGCAAGAATGACGGCCCTCGCCCTTCATTCGACGCCAACGGTGTCCCCACCGACGGAAAGTACCTCACTCTCAAGCTCGTCATCGACGCCATGGCTCTGTAAGTTGCCTCTTTCCTGAACACTTGATGACCACATTTGGCTAAGACTTTCCTAGGCAACCCTGCTCTCCCAACTTCATCCAGGCCCGTGACGCCATCCTCGACGCCGACACTGCTCTTACTGGTGGTGACAACCAGTGCGAGATCTGGACAGCCTTTGCCAAGCGTGGCCTTGGTTCCGACGCCGTCTACAGCTCCTCGAACCGCCGCAATGGCTTCACGATCCCCACTGGCGTCTGCTGAGTTTGAAATGGCATGTAATCCACGTTTGTTTTGAATACATATCAACATAAGCGCAAATAATGAAATATAATGTGTAACGAAACCCAATCATTCAGCAATGTCTGTGTCCTCCGGCGTGACAGCTTCCACACAATCCACATAGTTGGCCTTGACATCCGCTTTCCACTCCTCCATGGGGATGAACTTGCCACCGACTCTTATGTTGCCCATGGGAATGTCTTTGATCCATGCCTCATCACATTGGGGCAGTTGGAAGAACTTGTGGTCTCCGGTGCAGTGTAGGTCTCTGACTGCCTTGGGCCCGTCTTTGATATAGCAGGCATCATCGACATAAACATGACCGACGCAGTCCTCACAAACCCAAATTCTGTCTGGAATCTCTGGATAGCTGTTGCAGCCGCCTCGGCAGTAACATATCCACTTCACAGGCAGTTCGGGCTTCTGAAGGGGAGCATCGGCGGACTTCTCAGCAGTAGCGTCATCCTTGGCTGAGGCCTCCGGCTCCTCATTGCCGGAAGTTTCCTCTTCAGTCTTGGTAGTCTCGTTACCGTCAGCCACGGCCTCAACATGTTCAGGTATCGGATCTGAATGTGTGGTGGTGTCGCTTTCTGGAGTCGTCAAAGCCTCTTCGGCAGGTTGTCCGGTGGCAATAATGACTTCCTCAGCAGGGCCATTCTCATCCGAAGGCCTCGACGTCGAAGCTGTGGAGTCCTGCCACGCCTTCAGCTTCCGCTCGTACTCTTTCATCTCAGCTTGTCTCGAGTAGCTCATCATCTCCCAGCAGGCCTGGCGATTGGCCTCATCATTCATGGCGGTGAAGATCTGGGCGAGCACCCGGAATGAATTCCAATCATTCTCGACGTCGTCATCTGACAACATTTCGAGCATCTGGGCCGTGGTATCCCGCAGCAGTCTCTTTCCCGTCATGATATCGCCGTTGAGTCGGGAAAACCGCGCAAACCTGAGCGACGAATCAAACCCTCTTATCAGACCTGACCTGAATATCGCATCCAGGGTCTTAACCTTTTCAATACCAATCGCTCTCGCCTCCGGTGTGGAATCTTCCTTGAAAGCCCGCTTGGTGTAAGCTGGGAGCAAAAACGCGGCGAATTCGTTCAGGATTTCCGCGTCCCAGTCTTGCACCCACTCTTCCCGTAGCACGCTCTCAATCGCACTGATGCCAGCGTTCTTGTACCCGGGTCGGTGAGCCAAGCACCACTTGTACCACTTGTTCATGTGGGCTATCCAGTATGGCTCACGTGTTGGGCTCTCTGACTTTTTGACACCTTCTTTCCAGAGATTCTCAAGGATATCCCATCGATCAGTTTCGAGGCAGGTGGTCAAGAGGTCGTTCCAAAACCAATAGCCATAGTTTTTGGATGCGTGCTGAACCACTTCGGCTGCAACAGTAGTGCCGTTCTTCGTCGTGGTTCCAACCAACTTCTCGCAGTAGGCCACGATGTGGCCCCAAAGGCTCCGTTTCGCGAAGTAGGAGACGATGATGATAGCGAAGGATTCGATGAAGAAGTGAGATTCGTCGATCGCTGCCAGATATAGCTTCGCTGCTTTCTCTGTGCTGGCTTCGTCTGACTTCTCCCAATAAAGATGACCCAAGTTAATAATCACGTTAGTGTATGTGCCCAAGTTCGATCTGGCCGACCTCCACTCTGGGTCGTTCTTCACATCCTTAAGCTGTTCGATGACTTTCTCCAGCATTGTGATGCTCTCATCAATCTGGTCTGCAGAATCTCTGATGACGCCCATGTAGGACATTGCTACCCAGTGATCTGGGTGAAGCTCAAGGGTTCTCCTCGCTCTGGCCTCGACATCTTTGAAGCTGACCAATTCTCCATCCTCTATCCAATAAAGAATATCCATCATCACTTCTTGCCATACGGCGTCGCTGATTTCGTCCTTGCCGAAGTTCTCGTATGTCCAAGCCTCAACCATGTCGAAGTCGTCCAACGTAGGTCGCCAGAGCTTGTCTTCGTCGATACTGAACTCTTTCGTTGTTTCCTCGGTTGATTGAGTCAACTAGTAGTGTGTGGCGTTAGTTCAATGTTAATAGTAACGCCCAAGTCACGAATTCACTATACTCACCCTTTTGATGAGACCAGTGAGTAAGGTGAAATGATCTTGCATGACTCTTCCACGGTCTACTCGGTCAAAAAGTTTCTTGGTTGTGATCCTTGCGGCCTTGCGGTACCAGTTGTTTTCACCGCTGGCCACGTTCTTCAGGGCGTTCTTGTCTTCCAGATGCTCAAGAACCGTGGAGTCTTCGGACCACTTCTGGAGTAGTTTGTTGCCCGAATCATTGAAAATCCAAGGTCCCCAGTTGCTTGGCAAGCTTTTGGTTTCACATGCGCTTTGTATCTCCCAGTTGTTTCCGTAACTCCGTGATATCAGTGCAGTGATAGCGGCCTCCTCGACGAACAAGCGAGAAAGGAGGGCTCCCGCCTCGACCTTAAGATCACGATTAGACAGAGAGAGGTCGGTCTTCTCCAAGTGTTGGTAAAGGTACTCCGCGGAGTATGTGAGGAGCTTCTGGCTCTTTTCCGTCTGTGGATCAACCAGGCACCGAAGACACCTTAGGGCGAGTGTGATCTGCGCATTATTCGAATCCTGGCAGATATGGTTCTGTTTGCGCTCCATCTTTCTCTCGAAGAAGTCCTTGAACCCAAACTTGTCATAAACATCTTTGGGACAGACAGTTGTGAGGTAATGTTTCACAATGTAAAGTTCCTCGGGTAAGATCGATTCGGGATTCTTGGGCCCTGGAATGTTTTGGTCCTCCCACATCTCGTCGACCTTGAAGTCAATTGTGTCATCGTCCATTCGAAACAGTGGGGAGTACTTGGTCCTGATCTTGGATTCAAGGGAGCGGAGAGAAGTTTGGCGAGTAGCAGATTCTGGATCTGCCTTCAACTCCAGAGCGGCTTCAACCTGTTGCGGCGTCATCCACTCCAGTCCCCATTTCACCCAAAGAATGACTTCGTTGATCTCCTCGATCTCCTTTGGCTTCATGATGTCATCGAGTCTCTTGAATTCTTCGAGAATCTGTTTAGACCTGGTTTCGCCAGCCTTTTCAAGACAGTCCTTTACTTCCTCGAGGGAGTCGACTCGGTCGATCTTGTCAAGTGTTGTACTTGCAACATCGTAGTCGCCATTTGCGGAGTCCAGAAGTTTTTCCAGGACCATCTTCCTCGTTTCTGGAACGTCGGGCCGGCTCAAGTCTTTGAGAATTTCCATGTCGTTCATTCGAGCGTCGATATAAAGCTCCATGTCCTTCTTATTTCGCGTGCCCAGAGTTATCTTTTTCATTCTGATACCGTCTTCACTTTCGAGCTGCTCGAATGTGCTTTTGGTGCCGGTCACCAAAACCCTGGTGCGAAGTCGAGGAGAGTCCTCGGACAACTTCTGAAAGAGGGTCGTGAGCCCGTCCAAGTTCTCTCCGAGACCGTCAAGCACGATGAAAAAAGTGCTTTCGATATTGCTTCGATCGCCATTCTCGAGAAGAAATTGCTTCCATACGTGGACTGGGTCATCGAGTTTCACCGTCACGCAAAGCCCAGCGACGGACCTGAGGAAGGGACGTTCCTGTTGCGTGAGCTGCCACAGCAGACTTTTTGAGATCCTTCCAGCTATTACATGCTTCTTCCGGAACCCCTGGTTGGCATCTTCCTTGGAATCGGCCTCCTGAAAGTAATATGCACAGACTGATCTCGTGCTTGAACCATCCACGGTCTTCTGTTTCTGGAGTCGGTTGATAATGTGCGTGGCAATACGTGACTTTCCCGAGCCTTTCTCTCCTTCAATACCCAGGATGGGATCTGTGTTGTCGTCGCCCGTCATCCATGAGGTGAAAAGCGGCTCATCGTTCAGCCACTGACCAGTTCCGTCAATCAGATCAGCTTTGTGCTTGCGTAGGGGACTTTCCCATTTCTCTATCGCGTCTTTAGAGTTCTTGCCGAAGAAGGCTTCCTGGACTTTGTCCTTGAACTTTTGCTCGGCTTTCTCTTGCCTCTGTGTGGCGTTCTGTTCTACCAGGGTATCGAGCTTAACTGAGCTCTCTTTTGTAGTTTGCGCAGCCTCCTGACTAGCCTTTGCAGCGTCTTGACTGATCTTGAAAGTTTGAGCAGAGACAAGTCCGTGTTCTCTAGCTGTCAAGTTCTCCATGGCAGCCAGCAGTCCCTTGATGTCGTCATCATCCAGAAACATGTGCTTCAGGAACATGGTAACCTTGTGCCGTTTCTTTTTAAGTTGAAGAGCTTTGTCGCATACGTTGATGAAGAGCTTGAATTGGCACGAGATGACTTTGCGAAGAGACGCGTCCATCGCCTTGTAGTATGTGAGTCTCTCGAAGAACTGAGCGCACTTTTCAAGCAGCTCTGCAAGGCTCTCAAACGCCGCGGAATATGACTGCCATGCTGCAATGACAAACGTGAGAGCGTTGAAGCAAGTATTCGCAGGCCCAAAAGCCTACAGACCTTGTTAGCTTGATTCATGGAGAAGAGCTGGTGGGCCTTTCTCACGTTTGAAGCGCCATCGGCAATCATCCCCCCTACTTTCGAAATGAACTGGAGGGTCCGATTGAAGGCTTTCTTGACTTGGCCGTGCTTCTCAGCAGCCTTCTGGTCGGACGCCTGCACCTGCTCTAGGTGACGCATGACTCCGTCGATGTCAAGTTGCTTGTCAATCTTGCTGGGGTCGCCTCCAGCCATGCGAACTACCATGACCTGAACCTCTTGCCATATTGACGTAATCTCGTCATTTTCAGGGTCAACGGGCTCGGCCACAACGGTGACGATACCACTGGCCTTGGCACCCACCGCTGTCATGTTGTTGATGGTCAATAATGATCGCAGTCTCGCAGATTCTTACCCAGAAAATATCGGAGTGGTGCGGAGCGGGACTTTAATCCCTTAAAACCTCAAACCACGCGACAATTTAAGAGAAACAAGCTTGCGATCATCTCACTAAAGGCCAAGTTGCATTTTAGTGCTGATTATGTTGCATTAGACCTAGTCACCCGCTCAGCACCCTGGCGATCATAGTAGCTTTGATTGGGTAAGTAGTCTGACCAAACGTTCAGCTCCGAGAAACCCATGTCAGGCGATGGTGCGAGCTGAAAGTGCAAGTCCAGACAAGTGTTGTCACGACGTCAGCCTAATGATGTGCCAAAGGTGCATAGTCATTGGGATGCAAGCCGCTGTCGCTTACTTTACTATAGATGTAGAAAGAATTTCATAAATGACCACCTTCCTCATTTGGTTCGACGTATCTGCACTAACCTGCAAGTTTTGCAGTATTCAATCCGCCATAATCTGACATAACGCAGCACCTATACGTCGCATGGTTGACTCTTTCTGTGATTCGACTTATCAAGTCTAATTTGCCGGATTCGCATATGCGCAAATTCAGGCTGTCGCTGCCTAACGCTTGTGCCTTTCTTGCACCCCAGTCTGACTGGTTCTTGATTGAGGATCCTTCCACTGGTAGTTGGAAAGTCATGATTATGAGAGAAAGGTTAGATGTATTACTTTACTGCGTGGCTAATCGCTATTGCTGTTGCTATGATCGTGAGATTTCGATAAAGAAAGCATTGCAAGGTTCTAGGGTTATGATGAATTTCGCTGCAGCTTTACTTCAAATCATTTATGGACTGCATTCTTTCAACTCCACATACACATTTGACGCGCAAAACCTCTGGCCACAATAGATGATATGAAGAAACGTTAGCGACAACCTATTCTTGTTAGTTAGGATAGCAACATGCCGCATGCCCTGGCTCAAAACACTAGAGCTTCGGGGTTTTCTTATCGATATATTGCTGGCAGAGGAGGTGAAGCCGACCTTGAAGATGACATGGGATCTGAGGATAACCTTATCCCACAATGAAGGAGTCAGTTCAGGAACGGCTACTTGTCACATGCTTCTCTGAAGATCTCCGGGAAGAGAGCTCTAGATGGTAAACAAAACAAAGGGGTATGCGGACTTCAAAGCCTCCCGGCTCACGATACATATATATGATTCGGTACCCAAAACTCATAATACGAACTATTATTATTAAAGCCTTCTAGCTTAGAGTCGCTTACTCCTCGATACCTTGTTCTATGTGGACATGTGAATTTCGTGACAGCATTATATCCTCACGCCGAGATACTAGTTGCGAACATACTCGACAGGCTCAAGCTTGGAATCATCGCAGCCCGCACCTCCAGTGATCGGGTTGCAGCGAGCAGCAGCACCTCCAGCAAGACGAACAGCGTAGTCAACATTCCAGCGGGTGCTCATGCCGTAGGCCTGGAAATCAGTGGAAACGATTTGGGCGCCGCTGGAGAAGGCCGCCTTGCGCATGCCGGTGGTGTCGTTGGAGAGCAGAGTGTCGAGGGGAATATCGGCGCGGGTGCGAACCCAGTAGCCGGCCTTCACCTGCTGCTGGATGTTGGCCTGCTCCGTACCGGTGGGATCGTTGAGCTGTATTGGTCAGCAAGAGCTCGCATCGGGCGGAAAGAAACAACAAAACACTAACCTTCTGGAAAGCACAGTCGGATTCACCCGGGGCGGAGTTGGTGAACAAAACACGGCCCTCGAGGTTGGGCTTGCCGGCGGTGTAAGCGTCACGGACGGGGTGGACAGGTCCGTTGTCCATGAGGAAAAGCACGCGCCCACGGGCACTCTCCAGGTCAGGCCAGCCGTGCTGCAGAACGGACTGTTCCAGGGTCAAGTTGCCTCTGCGGATGTCGTCGGGAGTTACGAGGTCTTCGGGACCGAAAACGCTACGGATCTCGTCGTCGAGCCCCTGAAGCAGCTTGGTGTCATTCCAAGGGATCACGGAGGCTCCGCCGAGTTCAGCGATCATCGCCTCGGAAGTCTTGAACTCGATCATGAAGGGGATGGGGACATGGTCAGGTTGCGCCTTGCTCCATGTCTTCACGATATTCAAGCACCCGACAAAGGTTTTGCAGGTGGTGTGATAGTCCGCGTCAGCTACGTGCATGACCTTGATACCAGGCTGCTGAAGTTCCGGATCGGGAGTGGTGGAAAGGTTGGCCAACTCGCGGATTTTCGGGGAGGCATAGTGGCCGCCCTCGGGATCGGCAAAAATGTCAAGCTCAAAGTTGCGAATAGACTGGTATGTCGCCTGAATGTCGAGGGCCGGGTGAGAATAGTAGTAGTTCTCCACCGAGGGAAGAATACCGGCCTGCGTAGGGTGCTCCTCGAGAGGAGCCTCACGGTGGTACGAATTGTGAGTGCCGACGACCTGGATCTGGTTCATGCGGAGGCCGCGGGACCAGGTAAGGCCGTTACGGGAGTAGGTGTCGTTGGAGGCCGCGGATGCGAACGGCAGGAGAACTTGAAGATTCCGTTAGGGTTTGCGCCGGAAAGCTTGGGTGGAGCTGGGCTTACGGAGGGCGGCCTTGACGGCCATGGAGGTCATGGGCGACATCGTGAACTGGAATTGGCCGGGCTAATGCGCAATGGGATGGCAAAAAGAACAGCAAAGTTTTCGGAGGGATTGAGGAGATTCATATTGATGTATTTGTAGGGTTGCTGCGGGCATCATACAGGTACTCAACCCATGCATGTTATGACGGAGACCTGGTTGAGTTGCGCCGGCGAACCGGCCGGGTGGGCCAGGTGAACGCACGTGGGATGAGAATGGCAATGCTACCGCAATCTACGGGCTAATCCAAGCTGTTGGACGCAATAAAAAAGAACTTTGAAAACTAACAAACTTGTTCCTGGCTAGGGGAGACGGCAAGCAAGGAGAAACTAGAGGCGGGACTTCAAGGAAGGGCGCTCCGGAGCGAACGGCGATGAGGGGAATCGCCGGGGAGATGAACTTGATGGGTCTCTCCACTGCCGATGCCCGTTTGCCCCGCACCATCGAGCTTCCCGACTCGGCCAGCCTAAGGTAGGGACGTATCAACCAATAGGCGACTTGAGGGCCAGCATGTGCCTGGAGCTGCCCGCATTTTCGCCTGAAAGCTGGGTGGTTTTCATTTGGCGGTTCCCGAGCCGGCGTCCGCGGCAGTGATACGTGTTGCCAAACACGTGGGCAAAAACATACGTAGGGACGAAACCATGCTGAATACTGTCGATTTCTCGATATGGGAGAAAGTCCGATCTGACTACGCAATCGTCGGATGAGCAAGGCAAATGGTGAAAACCAGATCTCATCGATGACATGGAGACTCTCTTGCGAGGAGCTAACCCTCCACGCCGGATACCTGTAATCTCTGCAATTATCCTCAAAACGACGGCATTGAGGCGTTCACCGAACAGCGGCAAAAAGCTACGTGATAATGAGGTCATGTGAAGACCAACTGGGGGAAACATGTTGGAGGAATAGCCAGTGCTCAGCGAAGTGTGTTGATTTGATAACTTCGAGGGAACAAGTGAAACGCATCACTTACCTAGTCTCCGAAGACAACAGAGGTGTGATTACTTATCTAGTATATAGCTCATTTAACAGACATTCAATCATGATTTGATACAGCCCAATGCATGAGAACCCACGCGATTCCTTCCAAGGCATCGGAATTACCAACGCTATGCCAGCCACGACGCCACACCCGTCTTTCCACAGCCAACAGAAGCTCTGGCCCGCTCCTTTCAATGAGTTTTCAGCCCGCCATCGGCCCCGGCCCCGCTTTACGGCGCCATGGCGCACCGTCCGGCGTTCCGGATCTTTGACCCGCCCCGTCCGTGATGCGATATGGATTGCCACACCATTGACCATTGCATTCCATCGCCCGCATCCTGACATTCTGTTGATAGATTAGACAATTTGGCATTTGAAGCGGCGATGTGCTAACAATGTCGATGTTGTGATAATACTTAATCAAGTCGAGAGCCCAAATTCTCAATCTCATGTTCTCCAAGCCAAGGAGCGCACAGCACCATCGACTCATTCTCTCTAGATTCAACTCTCGTCGTTTCTTTCTGAAGCCCGATTGATTCAGGCGTCCATTCTTTCACCGATCCACCGAATCTCAGCACGAGATCATTCTCGTTTCCCCTGTGCATCAATCACGTTACTCCCCTCGAGCCGAGGTTGCAACCCAAACAATCGAGATCGACTTTGCCCATCATGCTTCCCCACATGACACAGCTTCTACCCCTCGCGGCGGCGCTGCTAGCTGGCACCAGCAACTTCGCCAACGCAAACCCGCTCTTGCGCAGAATGGACAACACGCAGTCCGTCGGGACGAACCCTATTTCCAAGCCAAAGGTTGACTACCTAGGCTTCCAAAAGGCCGACAACAGCTGTTCCCATCGCGATCTCGGATTCACGGGCGCCATTGCCGGCAAGTACTATGCCGTCTGGGGAGATGTTCTTTGGTGCGACGCGGGTGTGACGGATCCCGATAAGGACACGCCTGGCTTTCACGGCATGGTCCGCGATGCTGTGTCCGCCACGACGAACAACCCACTCCTTGTGCACGATTTGAACCTCGGGAGCAACGGACGTCAGAACCAGTTCATTCCTTTCAACGCCTCCTTTGGAGAGAAGCAGGATACTGGATTCGGCGGAACGAGCTTGGTAGAAACTGACGCTTCTACCAGCACCGGTGCGGTGTTTTACTTGGTTGTAAGTCATTATGTCCCGACCCAGTGACACTCCAAAATCGATACTGACAGTCTTTCCAGAACCAAAATGCCGATGGACTGAAAGGCGCCGGCATCGCCAAGGTCAACGTCATCAACGGCACTCCCACAGTTACCCAACGCTTCGGCGACCAGGGCTTCTGGTGGGCTGCCAACAGCAACCCTCGCTACGGCGATATCGCGGCCTTCCGCGACCCGCGTTCCCAGTACATCTACGCTTGGGGAGGTCCACCGACGACCGCCACCGGCTTTGCTGACAGCAACTACGTTTACATGGTTCGCGTCAAGACCAGCGATGCTTTCGATTTCACCAAGTACCAGTACTGGTGGGGACGTCAGCAGGGCTGGAAGTCGGATCGCTTGATAACCTTCTCATCCGAGACAGCCGTCATGTGGGGTACGGGTCAGGGACAAGTTGTCTGGAACGCTTTCTATCAGTGTTACATCTTCGTTCATCTTGGTGAGTACACTCGGATGGTCTTACTTATGCTCGTTGCATGCTAACAGATCTCACAGGCGTCGGAGGCGGTGCAGTCTTCTTGAGGACAGCTCCTAGCCCTGAGGGTCCTTGGACACCCGATATCCAGATCTTCCAGGCTCAGCCTATTGATAACGGCCTTGTGTACGCTGGCGTTGCTCACCCATACCTCGACGAGTCTGGAAAGACTCTGACCATTTCGTTCACCAACAACAACCACATTCAAGTCATCAAGGCCACGTTCTCTAAGTAAAGAACATCCAGGGTATCTTTATTTGACGTAAATGCTGGCTGGGACATATCAATTATCTTCATGTACATAAAAACTTAGATTCGCGCTGTGAGCCTTTCACATCCTGGAACATACATTCTTTCTTTCCCGCGAATTTTACTTCAAGTACCTATTTGAATCCCTCAGGGTTGATGACGGAGTCTTGATGTTGTTGACCAAGCCACCAGCATACACAATCTTTACCCAGCCGGTGCGAAAACGATAACGAGAACGACAACTCTTCGAATGCTTCGACTTAGTTGACGTCTTATTCAGAAACTCTACAATAGTAACCATCTATGGTTCTGAGATTGGCGAGGCCCTTTAATCACCTCGAAGGCTTAGCGCCATATTGCCTCGACTCCAGTAGGCAACATATACGTAAGGCCGAGCCTTCTTCACAGCCTTCTCGTAAGGCGGAATCCGTTGTATCTGAAGCTAGTTTTTGATGGTATGCACCAGGGGTTCTTGACAGAAATGCCGTGCAGAAGCGCTGCCGCAGTGATAAGTCAACTGCTTGATTTGGCTTTTCGCCGTAGACTCATACGGCGGGCGATAGCCCCAAATAAGCAGGACAGTGATAAAGTCAACAAGCACTACTAAGACATTGTCATGATTGAAGCCACATTTGGTGGAACTTAATGGAGAAGTTGATGCGAGTTTTGTAGCGCCTTCTGCGTGGCAAATCCCCCTCATTATGAACCGCGTATCTTGCTGCGCGTGCCAATTGTGCCGATTGTGATTGACTAGCAGATCAGCCGTTACTGGTTTCCTCTTGGCAAAAGAAGTGATAAAGGTTGAGAGCCTGGTCCCAAGAAATTTGTCTTTCAGCATCGAGGCATTCTTCGAATATGGGTTTTGGCTAAGCAACATAGGCGTCATGATGCCTTGGCAAGTTTGCGAGAATCAGCCAGTCATCGCGCTCACCTGCTCGTGGCTCATCGGTGCTGCCGAAGAGCACTTTCTCACTGGCTGGTCGTTGAAGTTGATGAGCAATTGCCCGCAGCCATTCTTCGCTCCGACTGCGAGAGGCCAAATCCATCGTGTGTCCAACTGTCGTTCACATGTTGATTTGCCCCGGGATCATCGCCACCCGAGGACGATAGCAGGCCTTCAATTGCCAGTCTGCCTTGTGCTAACGAGATTTGTCTCTTGATTATCGCCAAGAAAATCACGATAGACATGCTACGGATCTGCATCCTGCTTTGGGGACCTCCGTGACTTGCCAGGTTCTGAAAGAGAAAAGCGGTGTTGTGGCCAAGTCGAGATGGCTTGGCGTCAACTCTCTTCGCTCATTGAAACATGCCGGAGGGGATTGGTGATAGTCCCATAGTCTTTCTTGACTGAGTCCAATACAAGGCCGAAGTTCCATGAAGTCACCGGTGCCAAGAAACGTAGAGAAAGACCTGACCTCGACAGCCGGAATTTCGGCGCTGGCGCCAAGAGACAAGAAAAAATGCCAAGACCTCGCGATGTTGCAATCGGCGGTGACCAACTTCATGTGATGAGGAGGCAATGCTCATTTTAATCTTACTCGAGCAGTTGCGGGGGAATCAAACATTTGGGGTACGAAATTAGATAGATAGGGGTCTTGGCACTGGCCGCTCTGCCACGCTGTGCCATCATTCCAAGGCTGATTGCAGGGACACGAGGGGTCCTTGGTCAAAGCTGTCAGTCTTGCGCCACAATCCCAGACTGCCATCCCGGCTTTTGGAGGGTACGGAGGTAAGGTGAGCTCGGCTTATTGGGAGGGGAACCGTCGATCAGCATGCAGAGCCAAAGCTCCGTTGCACTCGGTTCCGACGGTTCGGAAATCATATGCATGTCAGAGGTGTGGCCATTGAAGAGCCGAATATGTCTAGACTTCTTCTGCGTTCCACCCAAGTTCGTCTCCTTGTCAAAAGTGCCCGACCAGAGGAGCTAATGGGCGGAGAAAAGTGTTAGGTTATTCATGGGCTTGGCTGTTCAAAGCGTGCGACGTCATCCCAGGGTCCACCCCGTTGAAGGGTTTCACGACTGAAAGCTTAACGGCCCGTTCCGAATGCCTTCATAGAAGCACTATAAATAACACCGCGTTGATAGTGAAAATGCCTGGTCTGCGCCAAGACAGCGCAAAAGCTACGTGGACTTGGCGTTTCTTTGTGCGTGCACCAGATACAAGCACGACTTGTGACGAATAAGCTCGCATTGGGTTCATCCTTGGTATCAGCATCCCTTCTCGTGAGCTCACGATGAAGTTAGAAGCTGCCCTCCGGCCATTCGGCACACGGCGTCCGGCACGTCAATACCCTGTCATCCAAAGCAAGTTCAACCTGGCAGCCAAGACCCTGAAGAGCTACGGGCACATGAGGTTCTATCTGATGCACATTACCTAGACGTCGATCCCTGCGAAGCATGCCCCGCGTCACCTATGTTTTCATGAGGCTCTTGTGATGCTTGGCGGGCCGAGTAGAATGTTTCGAGCCGAGGAGCTCGGCCGCCGGCATGCTCTGGCAGATACCGTGGATGGATATTCGCCAAGGCAACAACGTACGAACTCGGAGACTTATTTCAGCCGCAAAGACAATCTTTGGGGGCAGCTGACAACACGTCCCGCCGTGGGGGGTGGTTGGCATGGGAGCACGTTCGAAAACTTCGTCTCATGTTATGTTGGTGCCCCCAAGCCAATACATGCAACTAAGGAGCGGACTTCATACTTGCATATCATGCTCACACGCAGGGCTTGGATATCGGTAACGGCGTCCAGTCGAGTTGGTTGATCTGCAAGGTAACTTTAAACTTGCACAAGGTTTGCTAACAAGACTAATATCCACTTCCCACTAACACAACCTCTGTAACATTACACTATCAATTTGATGATCGAATTTAGCGACAACTCAGGGTTGTGTATTGTCTCTTAGTTATTGGGTGACTCTGCCTAGCGTTGTCAAGTCTTCTTCTCCGAAGTGATTACGAATCCCAATCACTGACGGCTTCTCAAAGCCAAAGGCATCAGGGGCAAGGGGCATTTGCTAACTTGTGTGGAGTTGGCCAGAAGCTGCCAGCCGTGATCCGTTGTGATGGGATAGTCGGCTTACTGAAGTCATTGAGTAAGAGCGTAGCTGATTCTCTGAGTCTGAGTTGGGAATGCGAGTGGCCCCGGAATGATTGATGATTCGAGACGGATGGAAGAGGTTGAAAACTGCCGAGACAGCAAGCATCAACAGCGCATCAAAGATGTAGATGTAAACCTCTTTGGACTGAAGCTCCCCATCTTCGCCAAGGACGTACTCAATGACTCTGAAAACGGAACGGACCATGATGAGAAAACTTGTTCCGTAGAGGACTTGTAGTAGTTGACGCCAAGGAGTGTGGATGTTGAGGCTTGCAGATGTGGGTTTGCGGTTGATACGATGATGGAAAAGCATGGTGACGGCCATGAAGAATCCAAAGAACGCAATTTGAATACCCAGGCCAACGATGATAATGATTTGGCCTTGGTCTCTATCTTTTTGGGTCTCGGCACCTGCGAGCTTACCACCGCCTAATCAGGTTAGCAAAGGGCTGTTCGAAGCATATGGCAGCAAATATGCTTACCAATCGCTTGGCCAAAGCTTGACGCAACATCACCAAAAAGAAACAGTTTCGTAAGCCATCTACATGGAATAAGGGAATGCTTTTCGGCGTCAAGTAGCTTGACTAGTCGTCCAAAGACCATGTATATCGAGGCGGCGTAAAACGGGGGTCCAAGAAGTAATAGTAAAGCTTGGATGATGTACGGACCCTTAGTCCAGTTGGGTGTCTCCGTGGCGCCAATAGCTCGTCCGATATAACCAACAACCTCAACTAAAACTGGATCGTTAGCCACCTTCATACTTGACATTTCATGGTGAGTAAAGTTGGCAAAGATTACCGAGACAACCAATGAAGAATGGCATGAAGTACCAAGTTCTGGCCTTCACAAGTTGATATGCATGGCCCGCTGCCGAAAGAGAGAAGCATACTGCAAAGATAATTGCCGCAGGAAGAGAAGGGTCATAGCGGTAGTAGTCGTTGGCCATGATGTCGCGAAACTGACCGCACGGGATTGGGACTCCGGGTGTCTCTAAAAACGGATGATGGAATTCAAGATACTTCTGAGGCGCAAAGGCGAAAAAGTCGATATTGTGGCATTCGAGTTCAGTCTATAGAAATATGAACTTCGCGTTCCAAAACTACGATTTTCTTTCTTTATGAAATGCATTTCTGACCACCTGGAAGTCAGCGCCCGGCATTTAGGAACTGTCGGAGAACATCTCAACAGCTGAAAACTAGAATGAAGCTATCTTTGCTCAGCCTCCGTGGTCGTGTAAGATGACCGATGGTGTTTTCATGATAATACGACTTACGAAAGTACGAAAGAGAAATCGAAAACGAGGTACACGTGGTGTTGTGAGGCGTCCACGATAACATGATTGAATCATCTCCTTCTCACTGCGCCCGGCGTGTAGTGTACTGAGCCCCATATATTCATAAATCTTGCTCATAATACGAGTTGCATAGATTCCATATGCTCCAGTCCATTTGAAAGTTTATGCTTCTGTGCTGTACTCACTCACAAGTTGTCGTAGACTGACAGTTGTCAGTGCCCTGAATTCAGACCCAAATGATGGGCTAGACATGCGGTACGGATAAGGCAGAACTACGATGCTAGGCTTACTCAAGACTAGAGTAAGTCAAGACTAGAGACCTCCGCCCCTTTAATTGAAATAATCAGACTGATGCCGCTCATCATTGGGTGACGGGGAAGCTAAGTCCCTACCCCCGTATCAGTTTTTACGGTATTCGATACAGAATGCTGGTTAAAGTCGTGGAGTATTGTCGTTTTCGGATCGCATGTTGATTGGTCGGGATTCTTAATCCCGAATCAAAATCTTCCCGGCCGGGGATGGACCGGGGATTGACCCAAGAGGGGCCGCGGAGCGCCCGGGTCCTAGCCACGGAATCCACGGGCACGGGCTGCGCGTGTGAGCCCTTTTTTGCGCGTGTACGTCTTCTTGGAGTGCCAAGATCTTGCCATGTTTCCCTGTCAATCCAAATTGGCTGGCAGTCGCCGAATCGAGGCTTAACTCAGAAAACCCCATCTTTCAGAACTCTAATGATGAGACCGCCGCGGAACATCGGCGGACGATCTGGACACGGCGACGCAATATTGAGGCTTAGATGCCACCTGTTGGGCTGAGCCTGGTCTTGGCGATGGAGGCAGGTTTAATGACACAAGTTTGGCTTGACAATCGTGAGGGGATTCATAAAAGCTTTCTACTAGATACAGAAACTCCAACGAAATGGCTTGGCGATTTGCGCCTTCGTTTCCTTCTTCAGTCCCAACTTTGATTCAATTGTCTCTTCTTCGTCCCGTTTACCGCGGCCGCCACATCGACCAGAAGACGTTTCACTGGTTCTAAATTCAGCCTGTCCATGCAAGGCTATCAATGCGGTTAGGAAGCTCATAGAAGCACTCTGTACCAAACGAGAGAAGGGGTCCCCCCTATGACGCACACGCTCAAGGCTTTCTCGGACGACTATTCCCACTGGCCGTCTGGTCGCCGTCTGTCCCGCGGAAAGCGTCGCCCCTCTTTAGGGCGTAGCGACGGGCGAAGATACACTACATAGTATGTGCCATATCCAGGGCTATTACCGTACGTATCTGTCGGGGTGCGGCATCTCCGCTCACACGACGGAGAGAGAGGAGGGTCTTGGCGCGACTCAGTTTCCGCGTCGCTGACACCGTTACCCCTAATCGCCGGTCGTGACTACCAAGGAACCTAGTAAGCTTCACTTCTCCAATTTTCCCTCCCATCTCCAACAACCCTCCTCCCTCCAAACTTCACAGGTATCTACCTTCCCGGACCCCCGTCCGGCGGAGTGATCAGATTGTTGACGGCTAAGTTATCCAAATGGCAGACTCAGGGCTTGGCATTCCCGCATATGTTATATCCATATCTCTAAAGTACCTCCATGTTCCCTACATATCAGTAGATTCTACAGTACTGAGTGAGGTATATGTGCCTGACTGCCTCCCGGAAGATCGGACGAAGACTGGGCGTACCCGTTGACTTCCCCTTCCGTCTTAGCTTTGTTTAGTCGGCGAGCGACAGGCTTCGACAAGGCTCAACATAACAACACCTACTCTTGGCCACAACACACATCATCTAGGAAGGGCCGGTACTATATACAGAGGTCTCATACTCCGACCAAGGCACCAGACCACCCCCACCGGCTCGTTCTTATTTACTGGACCTTGTCCTCGATCTCGTCGTCGTTGTCGTTTTCGGGTCTTACAAGTTTTCTGAATGTGTCTACTCTGCAGTTGAGTCTTAGCAAACGCCGACATCTCATCATGAAGCGCCTAGGCTATAGGAAATCTCGCAATGGGTGCTTGAGGTGCAAGGAAAGAAGAGTCAAAGTATGTTCATGGTAACATCCATTTACTCCTTACTCCCCGAATGCCCCTGAGTATTCGGCCCTTTATCTGCCAACAAGGCGACTGGAACTAACGGAGGAACCTCCTGATGCAGTGTGACGAAAACAAGCCTTGTAGCGCTTGTGTACGCCACGGGCTGCCGTGCAGTCTGGAGAACGCGGGAGCGTCAACAAGCGGCTCGTTCCAAGGATCGGCACAGCCGCCGGCGGGAACAGCAGCGCATCGAACCAAACGATCGGGGTCGCGGGTAAGTTCTGGTCACTAAACTCACTCTTTGGTGTTGAGGCGCCTCGTTCTCGGTTCTAACGCGGTGGGGGTGGATAGGGCTCGGCATCGGTTAGGCGGCGGCCAAGCGCGCAGTCACCGGCGTCTCTTTCGCCACAGTCTGCAGCCGGTTCACTCGGAGGTGCTCATGGCGCGTCAAGCCCAGGAGGGCAGACATCTCCTTCTTCGCAATCTGATCCATTCCCCTACTTCTCGCGGTTCCTGACCGATCTGAACAAGACGGAGACGGCCAGCGGCTGGATCTCAGATCTTGAGCTTATGCACCATTACACTTCGGTGTCGTACCGAACCTTTTCTCACTCCCACCTGGCCCAGAAGACGCTCCAGTATGATGTGCCCAGAGAAGCCCTATCATATCCCTTCCTTCTTCACCAATTACTTGCCTTCTCGGCTTACCATCTCGCATACCTTCAACCAGACTGTCGGCATGCCTATCTCATGCAGGCAGCCCAACACCAGAATGACGCCATCAACGGTATGAGAGGAACCTTACTTGGCACAATATCCTCTACGAACTGTCATGCTCTCTTCGCGTCTTCCATCTTCCTGACTCTGAGCGCCTTCGCCACCTATCCCAGCTATGAGAAGTACAACCCCTCCTTCTCACCCATCGACAGTATGCTCGACATCTTTACTTTAACGGATGGCATGAGCGTCATTCTCCGCGCTTCCGATGATGATCTGCGCAAGGGCCCGCTGCGCGAAATCTTCATCAAGGGGCACGGCGATGCGGCTTCGGCGGTGGAGGCTACCCTTCAACCCCTGTTTGAGCGGCTACCTCGGCTCAGTTCCCGACTGGCAGAGATCGGTCTTGTCGAGAACGAGGGCAAGTACACTATCAACAACGCGGTCATAGCCCTGAGCGAGAGTATCGCCAAGGTTTCCTCCATCAACGCCATGTCCGCTCCGGTGGAGTTCCGCGCAGTGTTCCTCTGGCCCGTCCTCATGTCCAGCGACTACCTGGACATGCTGCGTCGCCGCCATCCCGCGGCCTTGGTTGTTCTGGCCCACTACTGTGTGATCATCAGTATGGCCGAGCCCTTCTGTTGGTTTCTGAGCGGGTGGGCCAGAGCCCTGATATCGACTATCTCAGAGCAGCTCATGGGCACGCCGTGGGCAGAGCTCATCATGTGGCCAATAGAAGTCATTGGGGTGGGAAGCTATGAGTTACAGGTAGACCATATTGCCCACGCCATGCCCATTGTACTTTAGGTTGTGGTTACTTGGTTCGTCTTTATTCCAGATGGAATCTACAGCAGGGCGGAACGGCACGTTATTGGGAGTGGATATTCACTACAGAATCAGATTACAGCGTCTTCACGCGTCATGAATATGGAGTCATCGGTCACGGCGGTATCGGTATGGATTTCTAGGCTAGGATGGGCCAAGGAAGATCAAAGGTTGTTTGGAGTTTAAGGCTTCTACGGCCCTGGAAATCCGAGAACGGCTTCTTGGAACTTGGCAAACCTTGAAATGTCTTAAAGTTTATGATTGTCAACTCTGTCGTTATTTATATGGAAGAATACCTATAACATTTTAGCCTTAAACGGCCCGTTCGTTCCGAGCCATTAGTTCAGCCTTGTGTACTTGCTGTCTGCCTCGTGTAAGTCAACAAGGCATGGAATGACTTCGGAATAGTTCAACGTCGTGCTAATCATCCGTTTACAGCTAACATTATTGCTCGCCCGCATTTCCTTTCTTGAAAGATTATTGTCACTAGGAAAGAAAACTACCGTCCTATTCTCGAGTAATGCTGAAGCCAGAGCTTTCCTTTTCGTTGACTGCCACTCGAGGACGATCTTCCCACAATTCCTTGATTGAAACACTTCCTAACCGGGCATTTGGACTGATAGCGAAGATCCCAGAAGCCAAGTGTAGTGAGACTGTCCCTCCTGAACGTCGTTGTACATGTTGACCCAAGCTAACCGAGTGCTTCACAGCAGGAATAAATGTCCTCTGCGACATCAAGTTTGTGTTGGGATCGGCCCTCAGCACCAAAACCTCGCTTCGAACATTCGACCCTCCCTTCGTCTTCCCGTTTTTCCCCACGTCATTGTCCCCCGCGAACAAATCAGACACTCCGCTCGCACCGGCGGCTGAAAGAACGAGGGCCTTCAGGTGTTCCTGTACAAAACAATCACCTGTTGCCCCTTGATAACTGTCTTGGGTCAGAAAGGTGCCCCTAGATGTATGAGATGTTATAGCGAATCCCCCGTCTACCAGTTGAACGTCTTCGATCCAAGGCGGAATCTCTGCTGGGTTTCCCAAACGGATTCGGTGTACTCGGACATGCCAGCCGGGGAAGCATTCCAGGGCTACAAGGGTTGTCTCAACTTGTAAGTCAATATGTTTCCATGGCTTCCAAGTGCTGACCAAGGACGGTACTTTGCAGGGCACGCCATCTTTCTTGACGACCGACATGGACTCGACTCGAACATCCGCTGGCTCCCACCTAGCTTTCCAGCTCTCGCCACCGTCGATGCTAGCACACAATGTGCTATCAGGGGCTAGCTGCATAAGCAGGTTTCCAGTTGGGACACTGAAAGCAAAGGCGGACGAGTACGCGAACTTCCCGTACTTGGCTTCTCTCGCTTTGAAAGTCTTTGTTGTCATCTGTCCGGCAGACAAGAGGAAGTGGTGAACAGGGGTGCTGCAGAGGATTTGTCGCGGTGGCCAAATTACTGCGAGTTGTGTTGGCGCTTCCTTACTCGATGTCTCTTCCTTGCCCAATCTGGACATGTCCAAGGGATGGAGTAGCTCGTCGCTTGTCCAGAACGGATGGTCTTCGTCAAGTCCCAAGACTATGAGGCTCTTCAAACACCAATACACAGACTGTGGAGAGTTGTAGTCCTCGCTGAGATACATGTTGGGATACACGAAGCCGATGTTCAGGGTGCCGTCAGTGTTGAACATGTCTGGATGCTTTGCCCACCAACGAAGATGGCGGAGAAGTAGACCTTTCACGGCACCAATATCGTCAACGGGTGCAGGAAGACTGATGTCTGCCGTTGCTGCTGCTGCCCAAAACGCTGCAAAGGCGAATCGGTATGTCAAACTCCTGCCGAATGGTATAGCAGCCCCTATCAATTGTCAATAAAAGCCATTCCACCTTTTGCAGGAAAGAGATCTTACCGTTGGTGTCAAAGTACCTCCAATAGCTTGACGCAAAGTCCTTGGCTTGTTGCTTATATCTCTCGATCCTCTCTTCGTCATCAATTGCGAATCTGATGTACAGCAGCTGAGCAAACTGGATGGCGAAGCTGCCGGAATAGTAATCAGCCTGCTTCCTCTCTTCTCCCCATAGACCATCACTCGACCATCCCTCGCCTAGGTAGAACGAATCCAGCAACTTGAAGTCAGCATCCATGAACTGACGAACATCTTCGAGCTTGACGCCGAGAGCCTTGACAAGAGCCAGGTTGACAAAAATCCGGAACCAACGCCAGTTATTCTGCGGCATCTGCTTTCCGTTGATCTGTAACAGCCAACTCCGCAGTCTCCCTCTTGCCTCTTCGTCGCATGACCTCAAGAACGCAGATGGTGAGGTCAGAAGCGTAAAGGCAATGGACTCCATTTCCACCATCCGCTGGTCAATGTCTCCCACGTTGCCCCAGTACTCTTCCGACTCAGGATCTGTGCCTAATTTTATTCCAGTTGTCCATGAGGAGAGATCAACGCCGGCTGCGGCGATGGCATCCTCATCATCTTCTTGCAGCAGATCAGCCACGATCCAGAGTGGCCGCGCAAAACCTTCTAGCTGTGCGGAAACTTCATCGAAGCCAGCTGCAGTGTTTGTGGCCAGTTTGATACGAGCTTTTCCGGCGGACTTGTACGGCTCTAATGGCCGCAGTAGCGCCAACGTCGCCCGCAAAAGGTCAGAACGGGTGCGAAATTGATTATCTGAGAAGCCGGGCAATGAAGGCATATTGGAACCAGACGAGTTGGTGTTGCCGTTGGTTGGAGCATGAAAACCTGGAGCTCAGTTTTGATATCGGATGCGACAGCTGATCCAATTCCCCCACTTCAAATGGATGAGGAGACGGCGGACCAAGTCGGCCGGGCATCGGGCCAATTCAGGGGCGAGGCCAAGAAAAGCCGTGTGACAGTAATCAAAACTTCGAGTATGACCATTCGTAGTACAATAAGTTTTCAACTTGAAAATTGAGGTTTCACTACCTCTTAGGCAACGGGAACAGGAGCATAACGGCTGATCAAGGCTACATCTTGGGCTACAAATCACCCGACCTAGTTCCGACACCTCATTGTCCGAGGTCAACAGAAAGGGCCAGTTATAAGCATGTAACAGCATATAACTTTATAAAGGTAAACCGACTGCTTGATTTGAATTTTCGCAGTAGACTCATACGGCGGGCGATAGCCACAAATAAGCCACATTCACAATATGAGGGTACTCTAGCAAGTAGTAGATCTCAAATAACTACATCAAATGGAACCATAAAGGTACGCCGACCATCAGATTAAGTTGATCAACAAGGAGATACAATCAGAAATCTGGTGTATCTGCTGGAGATTCTTTTAAGCTGATATCGAACAAGCATCCGGGTGATCTTGCTTAAAAGCCAAGTGGCCCTTCGTTAGGAAGTCTCCCATGTAGCCTTCTTACTTAATTTCGCAATGATAGGGCAAGATTTTCACAAAAGAGGAATGTTAGAAACGAGCGAAAAGCTACCTAGCAGCGTCTTGCAGGAAATGTGCTCAACTCTGTCAGGTTCAATCTCAGCCGCCTCTGGAACCCCTTCACCTACCGAAAGTCCAGGTCATCACCCAGTGTGTTTCAAGGCGATCTGCCTGGAGGAGCTTTTCCGCAAAAGAACTGTAGAATACAGTCGAAAGTTTAACACATCTGGAAGACGTCAACTCTACAGTAAAGCGTGGCGTTCAACTAAGTGGCAGAAGACTTCATAACATGTTCAATGTCGTCGACGCCTGATGTAACGGAACGTGAAAGACGCAGTAGACGTATTACTAAAGAGAAGCTCGCTATCGCTACCGTCGTTGCTGTTATGTATTGTCTGTTTCCCATTCATCCCTCTTCATCGTTGCCAGAGACATTGCCCAACGTTAGGAAAAGTCTGACTATCGCTGTTCATTGCCGCCACCGTTGCTTGCTCCGTTACTCATAATGATCGCAGTCACACCCATCAACGAAGCCCTAATCATCGTCGCAGTCGTCGCACTCGTTTCGTCCTCCGTACCATCCACCATGAGTTTGCATGTGGTTATATATCTCGTCCAATCCCACATTTTCGCCGCAAAAGAAGCACCAATGCGCCCCGCAGCCCGGCACACTGCAGGTGATGTGATCGCAACCGCCCATTTTCTCTGTTGGAGTGTCGCATCCTGGGCACCTCCGGACTCGCAGGAGTGTCTTTTCTGTTGTCCTCGCCTTGCAATCGTCGCAGTCCCAGCCCGAAACCTCGGCAGGGGCGCCTGCGGCACACACGCGTTCAATGTAGCGGCGAGCAAAACCGCAGCCATTACACCAAGCATAAATCCAGGAACCGGACTCTGCTACAGCAGTAGCCAAGTCTCCCAATTGAGGCAGGCCGAATGCAGAAATCGTCTTGGGGGTCGGCTGACGACGACAGAACGGGCAAGAAAGGGCGGCGATATTGATGAGCTTGCCACGTCCGTTCATGCCATACCAGTCTTTGAGACAGCCGCTGCAGACGTTCTGCTGGCATCCTGATCGACCACATGCGCGACGAAGATCGGCCTTTCGGATATTGGAGAAACACAGACTGCAAACCCCTGCCTCTGCTCTTCGGGAAGCCACCCAGTCGCGGAGTGAGCCGATAATCTCTGTCTGATTATGCACAATCTTTCCTCTGATGGTGAGAGCAGCAGATTCCTGCGTTGGGAGAATTTCGACGTTCAGAGGCACCGAGGAAATGGGCTCTGAGACTGAAGATATTGTGTGGAAGAGGGATCGGCCGTTGAACGGATCTTTAATAGTGGTCTTCTCGTTGCGCAGAAGCCACGACGTTCCGTTCTCGCCACTTAGACTCTTCGCCGAGGTCTCATGGTCAACAAGAGTCACCTTGTTGGTGTCGCAGCCGGGACATTTGAAGCCAGACGCATCAAAACCAGCTGGCCGATACATCTTGGGCCAGATGATGCGATTGAAGCACTGAGAGCACTCCACCCAAGGTGCATCAGTCGGGCTCTTCGCGTCCGTCGAGCCCTTGTGTCGGCAGTAGTAGCACTTTGGGCGTACATTCAGAGCATCGGGGTTGTATACGACGTACTGAGCACGGCAAGTCGGTGTGAAGCATTCGACCCAGGTGCCCTCTGTCTTTTCGTTGTCGCCGTTGGACACGTTCATCCTCCGTCGAATATTCGAATCAGGTGCCGCCTTGCACATATTGCATTTGCACTGATGTCTTGGGGGGCAGAGGCCACAAACACCGCCGGAACCCATGATGGTGACCGACCGGGGGAATTTGCACGCCCTGCAAATGGTTACAGGCCCGAGAGCGACCTTGGACTTATCTGGGCGCCAGCCGATCTTGGCGTGGAGCGTTGTGTTGAGGTTGAGGTCAAGCAACTTGTAGTCAACAATAGTCGAGAACAGGCGGCGGTCCTCGTCTAGTAGAATGCAAGCACCAGGGGGGCGTTGAGTAATACCATTGGCAACTCGCTCCTCGTAGTCCTTGTCAGCGTCTAGTAGTAGCGACAGACAGCTCGTGTTCCATGTCTCAGGGATATCCAAGTTGTTCCACTTCTTGCAGAAGAAGAGAAGCTCTTCGTCAGCAGCCTCCCTCAGAGGCTGCATTCCCATGCGTAGTGACAAAGCGGCGAGCAGTGCTCCTGGACGGGCAGCCAACATGGTCCCCGGAAGAATCAAGTGAAGCAAAATCTTCCAGAACTTCCGGTTGTACTTGTCGGATGCAAGTGCCATAGGTATTTGCTGTACCTCCGAAACACTTTTGATGTGGGCTGGCAATTCGCTCTCAGACTTGACGTAGGTTAGTCGGGTCAATACTCGACCAAGTCTGCGAAGAATACGATAGTCGCATGATCGACCGATCTCGAGGAGCTCGTCTCGGGTGAACTCCGTCGCAGCGCGGTTGTCCGTTTGCTCGCCTCCGTCGTCCTTTCCGAAGATTTCAGTTGGATCCAAGAAGACACAGGGGTATTTCTCCTCTACAGAAACCTTGTCAAAAATGTCAAGAATCTCAGCGGCGTAGTCGTACGACTCTTCCAGCCAGACCTTCATGCGGCTCTTTTTCTCTGACTCAGGGATACGATCGACGGCTGATCCAAACGCCTGAATAAGACCGTCCCTGTTTGGGTTCTCCCGGTCGTTGCATCTGTTGTTGTCAGCAACCGGTCTGTATTTACTGTGAGTTGGGAACTTACACTGTCCTCCATAGACTTCCAAATACAGGGTTAACGGCAATTGCAGCAACGTCGGCCTCGACGAGGGACTGGAGTTGATCGACCACAAACTCGCGGTAATCTTTGTCGACAAGATATCTCTTTGAGAAATCGGTGATCGGAGACGTCCGTGATTCGATTACCGTATGTAGTTGATCGAGGGTTGGATCGATGAAGGTAATGTTCTGCTTCACAAGTCGGTCTGCTTCTGTTGTGTTCTCTAGAGGAAAGTAGGTAGCGGCATTCTCGTCCTCTTCGTTGGCGGCATCCTGTATCTTCGAGATATCCTGATACTGCAATACTCGACCGAATCGACGCTGACCAGATGTTGCGCTTTGCTTTCCGGCACCCATCCAAGTGAGTAGAATTCCGGCTGTCAGCTGAGATATGGCGTCAGATGTTGCGATGCTGGCGTCGCCGACCTCGAGCTTGAAGCAAACGCCTCCAGTCATGTGTGAAAGATACAAAAAGGGGGAGATCGTGTCCGCGACAGAGCCTTGGATGACAGAGAAGACCTTGGCCTTTCTCTCCCCTTGAAGAGCCTTGGCTCCGGAGATCCAATCGGTGAACAAGTGTCCGACGCCATTGAAAGACCCTGGAGTGGAAAGGTTCTTGATCTCGGTCTCCCTGTTCTTGGTGCTGGTGCCAGGAGTATGGGGAGGGGCATCGGCATAGAGAACGACGATTGTGGTTGCCTCTGGTCGCATGACGCTGTAGGCTCGGGCCAGGCCGGTCTTCGCAGCCTCGGGCCAATCGACGTTGTTATATCCTGAGGCGGTGCGAATATTCTTGGCCATTGACAGTAGCTGGGACTGGGTGATGCTGTCGGAGTCATTTCCGTTCCTGTACCAGCCAGACCACTCCGTGACTCGATCGGTTGAATAGTCGCGGTAGGCCATGACGCCTATGCGAGAGAAGCAGTCGGTCAAGGCGGAGATGCGGAGTATCTCTGGAAGTGACTGATTGAGAGCCCGGAGATAGCTGTTCATCGACGCAGTGGCGTCCGTCAAGACCAACAGGTCGTAGAGCTCCCGCGAAGGAGCCATCTTGTTCGTCGATGCCGTGGTCATCGTAAGCGAAATGATGTTGAGGAATTCTAGAGATAAAGGTCTAGATGGATGTTGAAGAGAAGAAAAACTAGGAAACCAACAAGACGTAGGTCTATTTATGTCATTTTCCCAAGGGAAGTGCAGGAGAGGAAGGTGAGGCCAAATACCAACGGTGGTGGCTTTGACTCACGCCGTCTGGAGCTGCCCCTGAACCGGTACCTTCAGTGTAGGCTTTCTGCGTCACTCGCCGACACCGAGCGGAAGATGCGCTGAGGCCTACCTACCTCATTACCTTGGAGATCCAGCTGCATCTGTGAGTCAAATGCCGGGCTCTCTTGAGAAGACCTTTTGGAGGGTATTGCGATGAAAACGCTAGATTCTGCCCAGGTCGCCGTTTCTTGATGCTACCTTAATTGGACATTCGCTTGTTGGTCAGTCGGCGCCTAAATCCAAGTTGGCGCCAAAGTCCAAGTCGGCGCGTAAGTTCAGTGCAGGCATAATGCAACATCAAAATCCAGGATACTGAAGCCTTTTCTACCTTGAATCCAATTGCAATCCACTCTTGCACTCTTGTTCAGGATGCGATGTATTGTAGTTATGTTACGCACCCGCGCGCTGGACTGTGTTAGCCGAGCTGGCCCGTCAACTATCAGCGCTGCCTGCAACGCGCGCTTCGTCCCTAAGGTAGCATCAGCAAGCGTGAAAACGATAGCTTACGACCAACACTCATCAAATTCCCAAGGCACAGATTGATGGACTCCATGCAAGAGACAAACTCGATTGTGACAGTAAGCGTGTAATTTATTTAACTGGTTGTAATTATCTGTTTTATCTAGCTAGATCAGTTGCTACGTACTAAACAACTGCTTCTCGGTTTCTTGGAAAATAAACTCTCATTATTGCTGGGTATTGCACTTATATCGCGTTGTATGGGAAGTTATTCTCAAGGTGTTGCATGATACGAGAGTTTTGCTTTTCGTGCCACGCGATGATCACACCTTTTGGGTCTGATAAGACGGCATCGATGGTTGTTCGAAGGAAGACCCTCAGCGCATGTGGTCATCTAGCTTAAATACCCTTTTTCGCCTGCTGACACCTCAGTCTCTTTCCGCAAAGTTCCCACGCCTATGACATTTGAAATTCGCCGGGCAATACAATACAGCAACCCTTCCTTTTTTGACTCTTTTCGAAATCTCGCCATACCATCTTTTTCCATCACGCCGCAGTTGTAGGGTCGAGGCGAGGAAGTATAGTGAATAAAAGAGGAGTGTTAGCCAGAATCTGCGAACTGGGCACAGAGGCAAGTGATGATATGGTTATAGACTCTGCAACAGACGGCGACTCTATGCTCGGCGTAGCTGAGCTGAATGTCCCAGATACCACAGTAATCGAGGCTGGGGTCGTTTTTATTATTGATGGAGTTCCCGATGACGAGGTCGAGATTGATGCCGGAACTGTGCTTAGTGATGGGTTTGACGGTGAACTTGGTGCGGATATCAGAGTTAACAAAATGCTTAACGGCGGAGTTGGTAGACTTAATTGAGAAATTTCCTGAGAGCTTGACAGAACGCCTGATGAAGTAGTTGAGGGAGAGCTTATCTAGACAACCAAGGTGCTAGTTGACGGTGAACCCGACGGCGCGTTCAGGGATGAGCTGAGTTGCGCACTGGCCGGGGAGCTGATGGAACTTTGGCTCGTCAAAGTTTGAGAAGCACCTGGGCTAGTTGCTATTACAGAGCTGGCAGATGTCAAGATTGAGGTTACAACTGATGTCGTAGTTGAATCGGGTATTGGCAGCGGAGCAGAGGTGACAGATAGCGCCGATGAGTTTGTTAAAGGAAACGGGGGTGAGAAGCTGGACAGCCCTGTGCTCACAGGATTGTTGCTGCTTGTTTGACTGGTCGGAGATGATGTGGCCGACTGAGTGGCTTGAAAACTGGATAAACTCGCGGGCGAGGAGCTTGAAATTTGACTGCCGGAAATTGATGATGACATGGGCAGAGACTGCCAGGTTTGACTCAAAGCTGTAGACTAGCTGGAAAAGCTTTAACCGGTTGAAATACTTCCGGAAGTGGGCAGACTGAGACTGCTGGAAATTGAACTCGATGTAGAATTAATAGAGCCTCCAGTGCTGGTGCTACTGATGCTTTGCGATGGTGACACTGAGGTGGCCAAAGAGCTACCAGAACTTGATGAAGATGTGGTGCTGGAGACAACTGCAGCATTTGAGCTACTTGAGGCGGCGTCTGAAGAAGTTGTGGCAGCATCAGAGATGGTGCCAGTGGTACCTGAGACACTGCTAGAGCTCGAAGTTGAAGTGACAGTAGACGTAGACGTAGTTGCAGGCGTGGTTGTTTCTGGGGCAGGCGAGGCGCTCGGGGATGTCGGGGTTGAAGAGGCTGAAGTTGAGCTAGCGGTGGTTGACGTAGGTGATATTATAGAAGAACTGGAGGATGAGGTTGAGGTTGAAGATAAAGAGGAGGTGGATGATGTGGAGGTGGGTGAGGAGGAGGAGGATAATGACGAGGAACTTGAAGAGGAGCTTGAGGAGAAACTTGAGGAGGAACTTGAGGAGGAACTTGAGGAGGAACTTGAGGAGGAGCTAGAGGTCGATGTGGAACTGGAGCTTTCTGTGCTTGAACTCGTCGTTGTAGTGGTAGTTGTCGTCGTTGTCGGCTGCGGTGGTGGTGGTGGTGCAGTTCCGCAGACGCCGAAAACGTTATAAATTCGCCTAAAGACGTCTTGACCCCCGCAAGCATAAGCAGGAAGGCTTTGACAAGACTGATTGCAATACTGGAAGTCTTCCTCCGGAGAAGGCGCCAGAACTGGAAACCACTCGTGTCCTGCCGTGCCAAAGGAGCAATAGCAGTCGTTCCCGTGTCCCAGGGCTGCGAAATGTGATTCTCTCCTAGCACACTCCTGCTGGCACCCACTAGGACTCAGTCCTGAGATAGACGTCAAACTGTCAAAGATGATGCTGAACTCATCGTCTTTGATGGCGACGCAACTTCTGTATTTGAAAGGGAGGATTGCGACTTCTTGGAGAAGTGTAGCATGTGTCGCTACTAACAGGTTGCCGGCAGTTACGAGGATATGGGCGAGTCCTTTCTGCATCTTGGTTTCTCTGACACGCTGTAAATGCAATGTGAAGCTTTAGATGAGCCCTAAGAGGTCGAGAACCATGCGACGATTCTAAGAAATAGAATGCTGGATTTGTTTGGGACGCGCACTACAATCTGACAATGTCTCGGCCGTTGCTGGATGACTTTGTAGAATGACTGAGAATGCCTCAATCTCAAGTTGTTTCAGCAACATTCCGCCAGTCTGCGTCGGGAATACTCGCCTCCTTGATTCCCCCCTCCCCCTTGCATGTACTTGGCCTTATGGTTCGCAGCAGTAGACATTGAATCTGATGACTGGTTGTCTGCCCAAGATAACAGAATAATGCTCTGGATCACCCGTAAGCTGGTAAAATATTGCATTCAAGACGAAAAGTGACCATTATCTCATGTCTTTCTCGGTCGTTAACTGAGGAGTCAGGGCGACCAACTAGGCAAGCCAAACCTTTCGCAAATTTGCCCGTCTTGCAAAGGTTCGCCATTATATGTTGGGGTACTTCCTCGAAACGAAGAATGCCAGTCAGAATCAAACAAGATAAAAAATCAATGCCTGAATATGTTGCTTGATGAAGGTAGGGAGCAATTGCTGAGGGTGTTCTAAAGTAGGCACCTACGTCATGGTACCTTCCTGGCGATAAGAGTAAGGAGATAAGATAAGATAACATGTGCACGGGCTCCAGCGCCGATGTCAACGGATGGCTTCCGCTCCGCGAGCTCTAAATTTCAGAATGCGCCCGACGCGCGACCTACTTCTATCATGCCAAAATCACAATTCATACCGGCCCGCAGCTCACGGCATCGCATTGCTGTTATAGCTCTCTTTCGTGCTCTTCTTCGTGAGGGTCGCAGCATAAACCTACCCAAGGATGTACATAGGAAAGGCAGGAGCCCCGTCGCGGAGCTCGTCAAGAGGGGCTTCGAGCGCAACAAGGCAGACGTGAGCCCACGGCTGGTGTTCGCTGCTCTGTCGGCAGGCTACAAGGTAATCTTTCCTATGTCTCTGGGCACGCTATTTGGTGATTGCTAACGTATCGCGCTTGCCGATAGTTTCTCACGTTCTTCAAGAACGCCCAAACAGAGGGTTCGAATGAGCACAACGACATCCTTGCCTACCTCCGCGAAAAGAACAAATTGATAGCGAGAGCGGAAGCGAAGCAGCGCCCACGACGGAAGCCACGCCAGCTCAAACCGGATTACAAACCCCTCCTCCAAAAGGTGTCCAAACCAGACGAGCCGCCCGAGTACATCTCGCCGATATTCCCCCGACCGAGAGATAGCTTCAAGGGTCGCAGGAAGATCCCGCACCTGATCGCGACGGCTTCGCAGCATGTTTTCCTGCGGCACAAGAGAGGTCCGCAGCCGCTTGCGGTGGGTCACGTTCTGCGTCGCAAACAGGCCCGCAAGGTGAAGCTGGACGAAACGATGCTCGACCTCAAGGACGACATGCTATTCGAAGCTCGGTCGGAAGATACGTGGGACAGGATTGTCGAGGAGACGCTGAGGGAAAACGGCGCCGGGAAGGAGGAAAGCATGAAGCGTAACGATGGTCCACCGCCCTTCAAATACGCCGACAGCATCAGCGATTCGTACGAGCACCTATCGAATTCGATCACAACATGGCGAGCAGAGGAGGTGGCGAAGATGAAAACGCTGGTCGAAGCTGTGAGAGGGGAGGAAGAGCTACTGGCACAGGAGGTTGAGGAGGCCAAGCAGTACGGCGTGAGAATTATACCGACTGAGCTGGAGAGGATTAAGCCGTACCTTGCGCATCGGAAGGCGAGGAAGACGAAGAAACGACTGGGTATCAAACAGCGCAAGGTAAAGAGGTGGCAGAGCAGATTTGTTGGTTTGCAACCTGATCCGATCAAGAAGTAACGATGGAAAGAGGTCTACTCTGTGCTACTACTGTATGTTCATCATCTCAATCAACCGTGATATCACACTTGGATGTTTGCTTTAATGCATAAGTCGTGATCCACGTTATGAAGTCAGGAACCAGCTAGGTTCCTATCTCTACTTCTCCCTCGACCAGCAACTGTCGCAACTGTCGCAACTGGCGGCAGCATGGCGCTTGCTTTCGACGGCGAGCCGATGATAATCTTGGCAGACCCCTTCGCTTCGCCAGCCACAGCAGCCCAGCTCTTGGTCTGTTGAAAGGAGGGTATTCTGACCGGAGACAGTCCCTCATACAAATCGCTACCCGCAACAGACGCCATCTCCACATTGGTGGTGCGCGGCGAGGACAAGACCGATGTGGCAGATGGCGGGATGGATGATATTGGACTCGACGGCTCGTCTGACGGAGCCGGCTGTGCTGCCATGTCTCGCACAGTGACACCGAAAGGCGCCTGCTTGACCACAGGGCTCACTGCCGGCGGAGTCGGCGCGGTTTCCGTAGCGGTCCCGAAGCTGCGGCGGGAGAATATGGACGAAGACATGCTGGCTTGGGTGCTGTCTGTCAAGCTTGGATCACGAGCAAGCTTCGGCGTGCCTAACCGCGGCGTGGCCGGGGTTTTCAGGATCGGCAACCGAGACGCGGAGCCGCGGGAAGGTAGTGGGGCCGACGGATTCGGAGACGGGGATTCTGTGGGCCGAGACGCCGGCGGAGCCGGACCGCTCGTCATCACCGCCTGGTTGCGGGTCTGCCATGCAGTTCTCACTGGGTCAGTTGGAACTCGCGCCGCGATGGTCGGGCGCAAAGGGGCTGGAGACGATGGGCCTGAAGTTGGCGGAGGTGGCTGCACTGCGGTATTCGGTACCGGGTGCGTACGCGGCCTCGTCCGGATCCCGAGTCCGCCATTTTCGGAATTGGGGAGCGCGATTCGACTTTCTCGGGGGTTTTCCACGCGAGAGATTCCCGTCCGACCGAGCCTCCTCGGTCGCATCTCCATCTCCGTCAGCCTTTCCTCGCAGCTCTTTCGTTCTTTCTTTTCCTCTTCCAGCTGCTTCATCAAACTTTTGATATGCTTATCGTACCCCTTCTTCTCGTTTGCTAAGCGCATAGTGTACGTCTCTTCCAAGCCATTCAATGCCGCGTTTCCCTTCCTGAGGCGTTCATTGTCAGCTTTGAGCTTCAAATTTTCACTTTTGACTGCTGAAAGCCTGTTGTCAATACGACTAGCGACGTGTCTGGTAGGTTTACGACAGCATTGGCCATGATATACCTGCTCGATGCCACCGAGGTCGACGAGCTCCACGTCTACCTGGAACGCATCTGGCCGGCTTGCTGGCTCAGGCGAAAGCATCCGCTTAGTCAGGTCAAGAATATGTCGTGGCGTGACCGTTGGGGCTTTGGAGTCATGGAATTGCTGAGTGGCCAAAGCCTCAACAGCCAGTTGCTCCTGGTAGTTACGGAGCTTCTCTACTCGAGATTCCGGTGCTGGGTCTTCGAGAATGGTGTCGAAGGTTGATAAGTTGCCGTTGTAAACAGCGGTGGCAATGTTGAGATAAATCAGCCCCAAAGAGTAGATCTCAGCAGCCCTCATGGACCAATCTTCGGGATCGCAAATCTCAGGTGCGCGCCATTTCGGCGTCCCCTGATGCCCAATTGTAGTCGTCCTCTCCTGGTCTGTAACATCTCGAGCGATGCCAAAATCGGCCAGGTACACCCTCTCCGGATTCAGCAGGATGTTCGTTGGTTTGATATCGAGATGGCGGATCTTTGCGCGATGGCAGTATGCAACAGCTTGGCCAACGCAACCCATGATGCGTTGAAGGAAATTCAGAGGGCACTTGTTGCCAGCAGCATCTCGGTTCCTGCTTTTGATAGCCCGAAGGTCCGTAAGATCCAGGGCTTCTAGTCTTCTGATGTCCTCTCCGTCACCTTCTCCGTTTCTGAAGTACTCGATGTCGGCCAGTATTTCGCTGAGGTTGCAGACCGCAACGGGCCATAACAGAAGATAGAGCTCGCGCTGCCTGAAGGTATAGGTGCCAATCAGCTTGACAATATGCTCATGGTCAAGCTTTTCCATAACGTGCGACTCGGCGCGTATGATTTCAAGGGTCCGATTGCGTCGCGGTTTGATCCATTTCCGCGCAAGGCAGACCGAGCGGTACGTGACCTTCTCGACGCTACCATATGCGCCACAGCCAAGTAGGTTGTCCTTGGGAGCGACGATCTTGTGATGTAACTTCTTAGATTCGACGAAGTCGGGATGTTTGCCACTATTTGGATCCAGTGTCAGCTTCGCAAGTATGGCGTGTGATCTCTGGACGGAGACGACACCGACGGGGTTAAACTTACATTCCAGACCAATGGCCATCCGAGGCTTCCCATTTCTTGATCAAGGATCTTTCGTAGGGCTCGCGCAGAGCCGCCGGGAGACGGTCGGGATGCCCCTGGCTCTGTCCGTGAACTGTTATCCAACCAGCCTCGACATTTTCGGCGGCCATTGTTGCGTCGCGATCCTCTCCTAGGCTGGTCAATCAATCTCGCGACTCGCCGACTGCCTGTGCGCTCGATGAGGTGTCGCGCTCAACGCCGTGATGTTGCCATCGCCTGGACCACGGGATCAAACACGACGAGATCAATGGGATTGTTCGCAGCCGTAAGCTGAGGTTTGTTGAGGACGGGGAGGGATGTCAGCTCGGTGGTCAGGATGGCCCGGCGAGGATGCAGATCGTGGGGGAGGTTGAGGGGCCATTGGACGACCGGTTCTAGCGGGGTTTCCGGCGCACCGCCCCGAATCTGGCCCCTCTCCATCCCGTGCGGGGGCGCTGGTTGTTCCAGACCAGTCCGCCCCTGAGCTGTGTGTGTTCATTTTCTCTATCTTATTCTGTCTTCAATTTTCTGAATAACGCGGTCAAAACCTGGGAGTATCACGATATGTGAATCTTTGATGGCAGTTTCAGTCATTTAATAACCAGTCGCTTAAAAAAGCGACTGCCTGGAGATGGTAGCAGAATCTAATATCGCTCTGGATGAAGATGGATTGTTGCCAGGGCAAATCTCATATTGCTGTTGCCACAAAAGCCATAATGACACTAGGTAGAATTCAAATACCATGCTCCATTGTTCAATACTAACGGTTCTCGACTTTCTGGCGATCTAGCCACAATGCGCTGACTTGAAGACTCGCATCCGACGCGCCGATCTTAGTATCACCGCTAAATGCGCTAACACATTTAACGAAGAAACGGATACCAAAGTCGTATCACCAATGAACCAACTGTCAATAGTGACCAAGGAACAAAGTCTCAACGGAGCATCAACTGACATCATTTGCAACAGCTCGGCTGTCGAACTCCGTGGAAATATCAAGTACGGATATATTGCGGGTTGAATAGAAGGGAACACGATGATCTAACGGTTGTGGTTACGCCAGAACGCGACACTGAGAGGGAGCTTCAGAATGAATACGTATCTCCGACGAATTCGCCCCCGAGCCGGCCATTTGTATCATTTGCGCCAGGATCGTCGGTATCCCGCGCGAGGTGAGGCGGGCAGCTAGGATCAAGTTGTACCACCAAAAAGTGAGGAGAGTGACACGATCTCTCTGCCGTTTGACAGAATCCAGATCGGACCCGAAGAAAGCCCCGGCCAGGTGGTCACAATGATGACATCCCCGCGGTTGCGGGGGTTGACAGGGTTCGGAAGACATGTTGAATTGCCATGTCATGAATGTCTTAATTGAAACACGATATCATTTCAGTAGACACTTATTCAATTGCGGGATCTTGCACCAACGAGTCCGCGCTGCATAGTTATCTCAGGTCAATCCATTGTGCCAAACACGGGCGGCCAACCGAGACATTTCCGGGGCCGCGCTGCCGGAACTGTTCGACACGAGCATTGCTTGGACGATTTCATAGAGACCATGAACCACGTCGAGATCATGAGGCTGCCGCAATGCAAGATTGTCCAATCAATCCCGCCTAGAGCCCGCCACTGCGTGTTCGCCATGGCTGAGGAGAGAGGTTCGAGTCCACGTTTTGTGTGCGCCCCCAACCTACACTGTGAGCCGGCCGGTGTGCCTCCGGGTGCATGAGCTGCCCGCGGCTAGAATACCGTGGCTCCCGGCCGGGGATGGTCAGAACGTCATTCAAGGGTCCCTTACTGTCTCCGAGCGTTCTTCACACCAGAGTCGTGGATGAAGAGCCTGCACTAAGGCTCCCAGCTTGCTTCTTTTTGGATGATTCCAAGGACGTGAATTCTCCGCGTGGGATATGGCGTGTTCGCGTCGATCTTTGCTGATCGCAGGAGTTACCACCCCCAAAGTGAGGCTGGCCAGGCCGGTTACATTTGCCAGGCGGACATGGCTGCAACTGATCTCGAACTGGTCCTTTGCCGTTGGCCCCCGATCCAATCGAAGTGCCTAGCTGCTGGGTACGGGTTACCATCACTTGCAGTCTCACACACCAGACCAGCCGACCGGGACCCAAGGCGATAACAGAGTTCTTGGTTGAGCAATTCTCGCCCCTGGCCCATTTTGGGCGGGAGGCGTTCTCGACGACATTATTTCTCTGTGCGTTAACCATGCTCATGAAAAGCTGCAAACCGCAGATCTCATGCGGCAACCATGCTTGTCGGGGTCTACGAAGAAAACGAGGCTCGCCGGAACACCCTCGTCGAGTTCCCGGACCGACTTCAGGAGCCAATCCCTCACAGCTGGGCCGCCGGATTCCCTGCATTGTGGCTTTCCTCCTAGTTTTCTCTCTGTGACGAGACGCATGTCAATGGCGATGTAACGGATTCGACATGCCTCGACCATGAGGCTGGGCTGGACACAGCAGATCTTCTGCTCCAACGCTGTCACCCACTTCTCTCGATTGGGGACGAGGGAGGAGGATTCTCAGCATCATGGCAATATTCACCCACACCAGTGCGCCGTGGTGCAACTCTGCCTTCTGCCTCTTTCTTTTTCATTGATTCAATTTCGTCAGATATTATAGAAATTGTTCCGACGCACTGCACATAAATCACATACAGCCCTTCACCAGATAACATCCTTTAGAAGTGTCACGAAGTTTGAGGTGCTGTCTCATCCATGAGTGACGAGTATCAAAATACAGCTCGCCAGGCCCTTTCAGTACTTTATTCTCCACCGTCTCCAGGCTACTCGAGTCCATTGAAAAAGTTTCACGACGAAATATCTAATAACCTCTCTTACACTATATTCTGGGTAGCTCCGTTCATACTTTCAGTCCTACGAGCCAATCCCGTCGCCGACTACGCGAACTGCCGGTCGCCCATCTGCAGGGCGCTGTCCTGTATTATTGCATGGGCTGGTCTGGTGGATGCGCCCTATCGATTCAGCGGCATGACAGGATGAAGGAGGTTATCAGACCTTAACAAAATCCATCCAACACATGCATACCTCACATACAAATCGGACAACTCCGAGATCAGGTGTGTTAGTCGGCATCTTTTAAACTTTGTTAGATCAATCCTCCATCGTTGCTGGCGCACCCACCATACCGTCGGCAGAGATGAGTAATCTTGTCCGTTCCAGCTCCTTGGATGCGCAAACCGAGCCGGCCGAGGACGGGGACGACCCTCCTCCTCACTCCCGTGAGACCCATTTCATCAACAGGTCTCCTGAAAGTGGTGGACGCGGGACGTTCGCGCTCAATCGACGCCCTTCTCAACGACTTTCAACGTACCGCCGCCAAAGTATTAATCAGCACGAACAAAGCCAATCTGGCGACATCAGCGTCTATGAGTTCTGTGGTTTAGCGTCAGATACCCAGGGAGAAAGTGGCACTTCTCTTTCACATCTTGATTTCGATCCCTCGTCTACAACCCATGTCCACCAACCCCATCGACAACAGTACCATAATCATCTTAGAGGGCGGCATGGCGAGGAGACAGTAGTCATTTACGATCCCCAACAGTACCATCAGTCCCAGCATACTCCTCACCTGAACCCACCGCAGCAACAACAGCAACCGTCGTTCTCATATACATCGCCTCCTGAGTCCCACCAGTCCGCTTCTCTCACTTCTTCCTCGTCGGACTCGTCTTCTTTCCTCCGTCATCCCCACGATCCCAGATTGCTCCAGGCCCAGTACGAGGCGTCCGCAACTAGTTACGACTTGCCTCCTGACCCCAACTTTTCCCCTACCGTCGGAGATCTAGTCCCGATCCAGCTTCAGGGTCTAGTGGCAGCACACATCTCTCAGCCCCAGCCGCCCTTTCTTGGTTTCTCTCATCCGGACCCTGCTGGACCCGCTCCGTTCATCCCTACCGGCGACGACCACGATTTCTTCCATCAGCACCGACAACCCGGAGTTTTGCAGTTTCCTGGTGTTTATTCCATCTCATTCATGCAGAACCCAGAATTATCAATACTCAATGCCGAGTCCTTCGACGATGGCACTGGAGGCGCAGGGTTTCGCGCGCCGAGGAGTTTGCCTCCTGGCAGGTCTCAAGCCGTAGCTGGTGATGAGTCTGGGCGGTCGAGGAAACGAACCAAAGCTCAGTCCACTGAAGGCTTTGAGCAAGAAGAAGAAGAGAAGAAGCGGTCCCGAGGTAGACCGAGGCTTGACACCAACGACGAAACTGCCAAAGATGTAAGTACACGAGGGGGGGCATGGATTTTTGGTCGCTAGAATCTACCAACATGTCCTGCGTTCTGAATCACAACTCAGATGTGTGCATAATTCTAACCACGTACAGCGTCGTCGCACACAAATCCGCCTTGCGCAAAGAGCCTACCGCAACCGCAAGGAAACGGCAATTCAGACTCTTGAAAAGCAAGTTGACCAACTCAAAAACAACAATGAGGAAATGAGCAAGGCCTTTATGACATTGTATGACTTCGCCGTCAGCAAGGGCATGCTTGATACTGCACCGGATTTTGGCCGACAGCTTCAAGCTACGACTGAGAAGTTCGTTTCTCTCGCGCGCAGGACGAGTGAAGACCCAGGCAAAGACGGCGATATACCTGCCAGTCTTGATCAAGAGTCTGAAGGACACAAGTCTAGTCCAACTAGCAACCCTGAGAAGCTTAACGAAAAGTCCCATTCGCCAGAAGCCGCCCAATCGAACCAAGTTCTGTACGGAGGATACATGGTCGACCAAGATCCCATCGCCATCCAACAGTCTATTCCTCGAACTCACGCCTTAGCCGCAGTTCACACAACATCATGGGCACATGATAGTCAGGCTCTCGGGGCCCGCGCATTATCGTCCCAGGCTCCGCTAGGCTACGAGATTGTCACGGAGCCGACGCCCGACAATGCAAGCTTTCCATTCGGTATGTCCCTCGAGAGCGGCCTGGACACGACGGGCCTCTTTGACTCGTCGGGCCAACCTCCCTCCGAGTCTCCTTTCTCCCTACTATCCGCGCCGAGCACGTACGCGTACCAGGAGCGGACGTTCGGACGGCGACTCCAGCGGTCGACGTTGGAGCGCGCCTACCTCCTGATCCGCATGCCCAACCCGCCGCCGCACCGCATCGCCGCCGTCTTCGGCTTCTGTCTACTATTCGAGCCCCGCGAGAGGATCTTGGAGAGGGTGGCTAACCGGCTCAGCGTGAACCAAAACGAGACGATGTTCAACTGGCGGTTCCCGTTTCTGCACCTCGGCGGCGGCGGGACCTTTTTTGATGAAATGCACAACGAGATGGACACGGCGGACCTGCCGCGCTTCGGAAACCCCAGGCGGCCCGTGGGAAACCAGGGCACGCTTGAGCCGCATAGGCAAAAGGTCGACTCATTGTACGGAATAGGACCTTGGGATGCGCATACGGAGGAGATGAGGGATTCCAGGGTCACCCGGACGCTCCGTACATCTGTTCCTGGATTCGAAGGCGACTTTTACGACGCGGACGAGGTTGAGTGGGTGCTGCAGCAGAGGGGTGTGATCATTCCCCCCGCTGCCGACTTCGTCACCGCCGAGATCGACCCTGCTGACTTCCCAGTCTCTGACGACGCGAGTGTCGGGGGTTCGAAGATCGACAACTATATTACACGTACCATTGGAGACCCAAATGCCTTTGGTATGAACATGAGTGTGGGTGTCAGCGGACAATCGACATCGTCGTCACCTAGCCAGGGAGTGACATTGGAGTCGACAGGCACACCGGCGCTGGACTTCATTGGCACAACGGCATCTGGTATCCCGACTACACTTGCGATGTCGACGCCGATGAATCTTGATCCCAATCTGGGCGGAGACTTGTTCGGCATGGGCAGCTCTGCGACTAGCGGGACGTCACCGGTGTCAAGGAAAAGAACAGTGACCATCAATGTAGGGATGCTCGTTCATGGTAAGTCATTCTCCTAAAAATATGGAAGACGAGTACCGGCTGACATTGTGTAGAACTTGGATCACGATCAGTCTGTTTGGGCAGGTCACCTGGCGTTCGACCGAAAGACGTCAATGCTGCTTTTTGGAGTTCGCTGGCTTCATGACAAATGGTTCACTGCCATGAGTATGGGAATCCATGGAGTAGCTTTCTGAGATTGGACAGGAGCTGGTTCAGTTCCTTTGGCGGCCACGGTCTGTCTGTTGGTTTGATGCACGGTTTTGTGTTTTCTGGAGCATGGCCGTCAGGTGAACACAGGAACCGTCGGTCAAGGATCTGGCGCAAGACTTACTGGTACATGCATGTGTTCATTTAAACTTCAGGCGCCAGATGCCATTCTGTCGCGGTCGACATGTAGTATAGAGAAACGGTCAACAACTTCCTCTCCCAGGTTGAGAATGAGTAGCCGTGTAGAGTATTGACAATTTCTGTGGCGCAAGGAAGGAATCCCCACCCTTATCGTTCCATGAGCCAACGAGGAGCCTACAGGTATTTGCAAGATCTGTGCTCATCGTGCAGAATAGGAACTTGTGAGTTGCAGTATATTTTCCAAGAAACTCGGGGACGGCATCTACGATGCTGCTGAAAGGTTCATGTTCAGTACCAGCTCATACTATCACTTTTATTGTACGCAACCTGATTTATTACTTTCTATGTACATCTGCGTCGTCTTTCATTGCTGCTGGGCTGAAGCAGTTTGCGACCAGATCTTTCAGTCGAAGGCGCTCGCAAAAGCTTTTCGCCGTCGGCACCAACTCGATGTCAAGAACCGTCATGACTTCTCCAAGCCCAAGGCCAGTATGTGCTTCCGCCGCGCTCATCCACGTCTTTCTGACTCGTTCATCCAATGGAAACCCTATAGTAGTCTCTAACGAGAGTTTTGCCGTGCCAAGCACTTCGTATCGAAGTATCACTCCAGCGGTTGCCGTATAATCCCAGAGCTCCATGATCTTGAGATTGGGGATACGTGCTGCAGCATTCCCAGCCACGAGAAGCATTTTATTTTCAATCTCGGGACTCTGAATAACTTCGGGAGACTTGATCGAAACGAAAGTGAGACTTGGCCACAGGGGTGTCTCTGGTTGCGCTAGAGAAGCTGTTGTAAAGCACCGGAAGTATTCCTCGGCGTCGATTACATGAGCAGCGCTAAAAGATTGCAAATTGCGGCATGCATCTACAGCAGCATAAGCAATATGCTTTTTTGTTGTAGGACGAGGTGCCAAGTCGAAGGAGTGTGTTCCGATGTTGTGGTTGAGAGCGAGACGGTTGGTGATTTTGGTTCTCAAGCCTCGAAGCAAACTCGTTGAGCGCGACCACTCGTTTACGTATTCGATCTGTGTTTCCCAAAGACTTATACTTCGTACTTTGGGTGCAATATTTCGAAGCAATTCTTGACATGCGAGATCCCGCTGTATTATGTTACGTGTCCCAACTTGAAGGCTGGACATGGGCTCGTAGGTGATCGACCGCAGGTCTGTGAGGCAAGGCAGTATCTTCCGAATCGCGCTGCCCGAAAGACTCCGATGAGAATCTCTGTTTACGATGAATTCCGTGATCACCGGTACTTGGAGTCCGTCGTACTTTACGTCGAGGCCTTGGAGCACGACGCAGTTCGGGTCGAGTTCCGTCTCTAGTTGAAGTAGATTCCCAAGCGCACGGTTTTTAACCTCATAGAAGAAGTTTGACGGCGAATTCCGTCTTGAAATCCCGAACGGTTGGCGTCCTGGAATGGCACCATATTTGGCGCGTGAATTCGAGGCGAATAAGTATTCCGTATCGCTAGGGGAGGCAGCACTGATCTGAAGCGTGAGGCCGCCACCACTTTCTCCTGCATTCCAATGTGACAGGATATTGAGAAGCGCAAGCAAGCGGCCGCTGAATGCTTCGTTGTTGACTTTGATCTCAGTCTCGTCCTCGGGTCTATTGCAACTTCTGCAGTCGTAACGTGGTAGAGGTATGTGCAACTTGACTTTCTGTAGCATTTCCTTCCGACGTTTGGTAAGAAGAGATGAGAACAGCCGGATGTCTGGGAAAGACACCAGCCTCAAGCTGGAGAAATTACGGCGCTCGAAAAATTGTAGCCATTCCCAGCATACGCTGGGCCATGACCCTCTTTCTCGTTTCTGAACTTGTAGATTAGCCACGTGCTCGAGAATCATCAACCGGATCTCGGGAGGAAGAGTCCGCCATTGATGTACCGGCGGTTCTTGTGTGTACTTACGCATCTGATACTTTGGCAGCATCTTCACTGATTGTGCGTGCATTGTTGTGGATGATTTTCGTCGCCCGGGGTGAATAATTAGCGTAAAATCAGGTGCAATGATGGAGGAGGGTGGTGCGAAAAAGGGATTGGACGAAGGCGGGTTTATATAGGTAGATTTTGAATGGCTTAGAGTTTCGAGGGTGCCAATGACTAGCTTTTCAGCTACCAAGGTTGCTGAAGATCCTTGAGGCAACTCCTTTAGCTGGAGGTCAAATTTCTATTTCGCTGGAGAACTTCCATCAAGGTCCATTTCTGAACCTTGATGCATTGCTATTGATCTGGGAACACTGAAAATCCACGTCTACGGCAGCTCACAATCTCCGTTTCAACCTATTTCAAAGTGTCCATTTCACTGATAATTTCCTTCAGAACCTGACCCTGTAGTACTGTAAAAGACGACATCAATTCAAAGAATCTTAACCGCGCCGCCGTTGGCACCCACGACACTGCCGTTGATCCAATACGCGTCGTCACTAGCGATTAATCCAACCACACCGGCGATATCCTCAGGCCGCCCAAGCCCCTTGTGCGGCGGCTTCGTTTCTCCCAAAACCGCCAAAGCAGCAGCTCGGAGCTCCGGCGTGTTGCAATCCATGAAGGCATCTGTCGCAGTGCCACCAACAGACAGTGAGTTCACTGTGGTGCCCTTGATTCTCTCGTCTTGACTGAAGACGTCTGCCCATGACCGGGTGAGGCTGTCCATGGCTGCCTTGGCAGACGCAAAAACTGCCATGCCGCTTCAAGAAGTAAGCAACTGAAAACTACGCAGACCAGAGGAACTCACGAGAACGGCAAAGGAGCCCGAGTGGCGTCGCTCGAGATGTTGATGACGCGCGAATCTTGCTGGATGTATCCCCTTTTGAAGAGAGTATCCATCAACATGATCAGACACTGAACATTGCCCAGAAGAATCTTTTGGACGTATTCAACGTCGAGCTCGCCGATTGAGCGGAAGTCACAGTAAGCCGCGTTATTGACGATGATGTTCAGCTTTCCGTCGAAATCACTCAAAACTTTGTCGGCGATAATATCGTGAAAGTCGGGAGAAAGAGTGTTGGCCGCCAAACCAACAACTTTGGGTGCCTCATAAACACTGGAGCTGTAGATGTCTTTGACGCTTTGGTTCAGGGATTCGATTTGATGCATAGAGCTTGGAGAAGAGCATGTGCCAAGGATAGAAGCTCCCCTTCTGGCGAGGTTGAGTGAGACAGCTCGACCGATACCGCGAGTTGCTCCGCTGTAGTTGAAAATAGTCAGCCACAGTCATAGCTCGGTTTAATTTTGAACCGCATAGACACATCCATCAAAGTAACAAAGACCGGCATGAAGGTATGATAGTTGCTGTCGGTCGAGTCCGTTGCAACCTCCAAGAACTTACGTCACAAGCGCTACCTTTCCCCTGAGGTCTTGGTTGACCACTTCTAGCGTCGCAGAAGCAGTCTTGGATTCGGTTCGGTCCGCCATGTTGAAGGTTCGTCTTCGCATACACGTTCTTGAATAGGATGTGACATCCAACGCCGTGCCGACTTGGCGTCAAGTTATGGCTCTTTAATAGGAGCGGTTCAACGAAGCTGACCCCGATTTTACGATTCCCCGTATCTGATACATCACTCGATAGACGTCACGCAATTTCACTATACGTTCATGACAAACCGAGACCCGCCTCGCCATTAGCCACAGTTACGAAGAAGGCGAAACCGAAGTCGTTAGTGTCCGAGTGCCGAACGGGACGGGAGGAAATAAGCTTAAACTCCGCATCGCTGCACCAAGAGCGTCAGCCTGGCCCAGTATCATATTGCAGGGATGAGGCGAGTCATAGAGTTCATCCGGCCTCGGCCTCTCACATCACGTTGAAAGTCGGAACGGAACGGACTTCAAGCGTGGGGTTACTCCGAATCAAAAGGACTTCTAACGGCGGGCAGAACGTCGCGAGTTAATTCCAAGTCTCCGTTATACGTACGTCACTAGTATTTGGAGTCCGTACCGGCCATTTAGCGGTCTCGGAGTTTTAGTGAGAGTTCATACTTGGAAGGCCGATGTCCGAAGCGGCTTCTCACAACGACGACACATGCGGTGGTCAACTCTTCGTCACAAATCAGTGACAATTGTAAGACAGACTGCGCTCAGATTAATTCAGTGACATCAGATGCCATCGAATACGACGCTTCTAGGCCAGTAATGATCAATGTGACCCAGGCTCGCTCTTCCAAACTTGTGGCGACAAGCGAGAACATGGTGAATATTCCACCCTGTCTCATTGAATATCTAGTTTCTGAAACACTCTAAGTTCAAGTTATTCATCCCATCAAAACATCAAAAAGACGACGACGCTCCTTAACCTCCACCCAAAGTCTCATCATCATTATCATCATCACCGTCATTTCTCCTCATCCCTCGAGCGCAACAACAAGATGACTTCCGACACTCATGCGAAGACATTCGCGGCCTTGGAGCCACTGATGCAAAACCTCAGTTCTGGTTCCGTAGTGACTTCCAAACATGATACCTACGCATTTCACTGTGAACCGTACGCCATTCAGAAGCAACTCTACCCGCCGGTCGTCCTCGTCCCCAGTTCCACGGACGAACTAGCAACAATCCTGCGCTTCCTGTATGCCTCAGACTTGGATTTCACCATACGAGGCCTGGGCTTCAAATCTCCTTCCGCCAAAGATGTCGTGGTCAGCATGATGAACTTCAAAGACATCAGCTACGACTCAGTCAAGAAGATCGCCACGGTTGGCGCCAGCGCTACCTGGTCGGAGGTGGTAACATATATGGAGAAGATAGATCCAGAGTACTCGGGTAAGCGAGCGTCATCCGGAGAACACATCTCACCGAAGTCGCGAACTGACCCCACCAAGTCCCCGTTGCTCGAACCCCTTCAATCGGCGTCGCGGGCACCATCCTCAACGGCGGCCTCTCGTGGATGTCGACTGAGTTCGGTTGCATTTGCGACCCCGTCAACTTTCTCGATGCTGAAGTCGTGAAATATGACGGCACGGTGGTTATGGCATCGCAAGAGCCTGAGCTCTTGTGGGCTCTCCGTGGTAGCGGTGGAGGCTTCGGAAGTGAGTTGTCTCACCCGGGATGACCTATGCGTGTGTAATTGACGATTCCAGTCATCACCAAGGTTCTTCTACGAGCCCACCAATATCCGACCGATATCTGGTCAGGTCTCGTTCTCGTCCCGCGAAAGTACTTGCCGCAGCTGATCGATGAAATGGTTGAGTTCAACCGTTCATTCCCTCACCCCAAGATTACTTACTTCATGTACATCATGCCGGAGAGGCTCCTGCACACGGTCTTGGAACAAGAAGAGCCCAACGCTAGCGACTCTGTCATCTTCCACGTCTACGATGCTCTTGGAGAGGCTCACGGGCGATCCGCATTCCGCTGGGTACTTGACAAGCCTGGTGCAATCGACCGAACCAGGATTACCAACATGAAGGGGGTAGTCGACATGCAGAGTCAGTCTTTCTGGAAGGCTAACAAGGGAGGAAGGCTAACTTCCGTCTTTCTCCATAGGAAACGCAGCTGCGCTTCGTGGCAAAATGAAGACACTATACGCGCCAATGGCCCTAGCTGATGTAGACCGAGGCATCCTCACTAGAGCAGTCGAGTTTTACGACAGACTCGGCTCTTTGGACAAGTCTATTCAAGACATATCAACAATTGTGTTTGAGTGTCTGCTTTTTGTAAGTCAAGCAAGCTTAGTTTGCGTGGCTGCTCCAACTTACATGTTCCTTTCAGAGGCCGCCAATTGGAGGCACGGCCGAAGTTGCATGGCCACGATCTCCTGACTTGAACCATCTCCTGCTGCTCATCGCAAGCTGCCCAGCCGACGGTTCGAAGGACCAAGAGGAGCTACTGCGTCAGATCTCCGTCGATGCTCCGAAGGATGTTCTGCAGGATAAGCTTGATGAGGTGGAAGTCAACCCTGCTGGTCTTGAACCCGACTATCACAGCGTACAGGCCGTAAGCATTGACTCTTTGATGACAATCTCTTTAGTCGGTTCGTTAAGCTGACGATGTGTAGGTTTACCGGGAGCATCATGATAAGCTGCTTGAGTTACGGAAGCGTTACGACCCCAAGAGACGATTCAAGTCATTCTTCTAATCAAGTTTACTGGAATGGTCACCAAGGGAACGTGGCCGCCGACCACATTGTATAGTAGGTGATGTCTTCTCGCTCTTATGTTAGCTGTAGTTATTTGTTCTCGTCGCTCGACAGGGCTCTGGAAGTGGAATCTCACTTGCCTGTGTTGTGGAATTTGAAGAGACTTTCTTGTATCTCGAACGGAGGCTCGGCGGCTTGAGGCTGTGTTGGACGGTAATCCGGAGCTACAAAATTGACAGACCGCTCAATGAACAAGCCCTTGCCACTCCCATATATGTTCGCATCGCCGCTGTGTCATCGGCGTTTTCGCGTGTAACCTGCCTCAGACTGTTGGAGTCCACCCCATCGCCTCCATCGCAACTGATCCGCAAAGTTCGCTTCTTAAATTATACCAGGTGCGCAAAGGGCACGTCCGGAGGCACCGGTTACGTGGCACCGCCGATCCGGGCCTCCGCGGCCTGCCGTGCCCCCACCGAGACCCGAGTAAGTGCGCTCCCTTCGGGTGATGAGACGAAAAACCTTAATGCTCTGTACAGCCGCAGCGGCGAGCCATTTTTTGCATCATCAGCGTCCTGGCTTACGAGCTTCCACCTGTCAGTTAATATAACAAAATGTTATGATTCCCGGGAGAAAAGCGACGCTAGCGAGATTCAGCGGCGGCAACATTTCCATATTTACCATCGACCCCACGGGAAGTCATGTTTAGCTTCGTTGGTCGTTCACTAATCGAGTCTTCCATCGTGCCATGATCATGCATTCACGAGCCTTCCTCCTCTGTCTTCTCGCCCTTTCCGCATCGGCGACGGACGTAAGTCCCATTCAGGATGTCGCGGCCGCGGATACTCACGACGCTCACGCGACGAACGGCCCGGTCACGACGACAAACCTCCGGCGATCGAGCCGTGTAATCAGCGTCCACCGCGGAGGGCCAAACGACACGACCGTCCCGCTGAGGAACGGGGACTGTCAGTTCCAAGCCTGGGACGAGCTGTACATCACCGACTTCCTGCAAGAACAGTTGGATGACCTCTCAACCGGCGACCACTGCTGGATCATCAAGGGCGTCAAGGGGCTGAGGGAGCTGTTGCAGAGGAACATCTCCGCGAACCCGTTGAACAACGTCACGATTCCGACGTGTGTGCCGCTCAACATCACGAGCTCTGGGAACTCCTTTTCCATTGACTTTTCGGAGCACACCTATCATGTCAACGGCTTGGCTGAGGATACGTTCGTTCTGCTGACCTACGTGCATCGTACGTTGAAATATCGTTGCTTCTAGTGCGTAAGCTGATGTGTAGCCGCCGGTCAGTTGTGTCTATGACGGCTGCGTTCTTTCTAGCATATCCCATCATCCTGGTTCTGGCGTCAACCCCCAACCTATGCATCATGATCGACCGGCCTCTTGGGGAAGCCTCGAGGGCAAAATTCGAACGATGGCAAACGATATTTCAGACCGTTGTGTTTGCGCCCTTCATGGTTGTGGGGTTGGTTACCGGGATCGTCGCGATGGGGACGTCCGAACACGCCAGGACGCAGCACGGGGTAGGAGCTCCTTTCAGAAAAGCCTACGTTTCGATCTCAGTTGTGGGCTAACTCGGGAGAACCCAGATTATTGGATACATCACCATAGCTCTTGCAGCCGTCGCCATCCCACTCTACCTGTACCAGCGACGCTTGAGTTCGCGACCAGAACTGGCGTTCTACATGTACCGAAGACTCAAGATGATCAACGGTCTCGACTTCATGATTTGCCAAGCGATACTGTTGATATCGGGCTTCGCTCTTCCGGACGGTATCGACGATTTCGGCATCATGACTCTTTGCGGCACTAACACGCTGTCATCGTCCTTGATATTCTCCTTGGGCATGATTGTATCATTTGTCTGGAACTGCGCTATGGCCACGATGACGGTACAATGGCTGCTTGGGCAAAGAATCAAAGGGGGAAACTTCAGAGATCGGGCACCGCCATGGATGTTGAGGGTTCTTCGAAAGCAATCGAGGTAGGATACTAAGTGAACTGGGGCCACTGTTCGGCGTATGACTTCTTGTTAAGAAACCATAGATAGGACATATTTTCAGAAAGAGCTGTTTAGATTTCATTCAAGTTACTACAAGATATCACATGTTGTTTCGTACTTGTTACACATGAGGTAAACCAGTCACTGGGGAAACTTCCGTTCTACTGTTGGGTTTGGTTCCCCGCCGCACCTCACCCGGCTGACTAAACCAATTCACAATAGCGTGGCGAGATAGATACCACGCAAGTAATAACTATGGACCCTCTGATTCATTCTTTCACTACATTTCACGAGACTAGGGATGCCAAAATCAGTCTGCTTGGTGCCGAGCCGGCAGCAGGCAAACTATGGGCCCGGACTTCCGCGGGTAAGGTAGTCGGTCAATCAGTGAAATCCTCGGGACAGCGTCCACGTAAGCTGGGGCCGGGAGTCAACCACAACTAGGTATACACAACCTTATGGGCACATGGTCATACCTACTCAGTGAACCTACAAGACGTCTCCAGATCCTGGTTTCGTATGCGTGTCGACGAGCATCATTTAGAACTCATCTCGGCGTAACTTAAGACAGTGTACAGCATTTGAATCCTTGGTCTTGTCACTGGTCTCGTCACTACATGGCACTGGGGAATACTTCGTAACGTGGGTTTATTCGGACCACGTCGGTGGTAGTCTTAGGATCTTAGGATAGGTAGTGGCTGAAGTCTACATGGTGTCGCAGCCTTCCGGTGGATTCGGCTCCTAGTTGCCCTTCCTAGTGACACCGACCTCGTCCCAGGCAGCACGGACGATCTTGCCTGCCTCGTTGCCGTAAAGCTCCTCTGCCACCTCGACAGTCACGTCGGCGAACTGGACGAAGGTGCAACGCGCGGGAATGCGGCCCGAGTTCATGGTCTTCCACCAGATAGGACCTGCCTTCTCGTATGAGAACCCCCCGAACGCCTTGGCGGCCAGATAGAAAGCCTTGTTGGGTATTCCTGAGTATATATGGACGCCGCCGTTATCCTCAAAGGTGGGGACGTAGTCTTTGAAGTGATTTGGCTGTGGGTCCTTTCCCTATTGTACCTCACTGTTAGCAAATACGTCGGCGATGACGAGAGGCAATAACAGATATGTCGACAATGACGGGGAGCAGAAACGGTGAAATGGACAGGGACAAGGACAAGAATAGCAAATAGCAGGGAGAAAGGAGAACGGGAAGCCGATATGATGAAGAGCCATGATGGCGAGAAGAAACAATAAACCTTGCATCGCTTGGACGGACGCCAGAATCGAAAACAGAAATGAGAATGGTAGCGGTAGGAGAGACTTACGAAACGGGGGTCATTGTAGGCGGTTCCGGGCTCCTTCATGCTCCGCAGAGCAACACCCTTGACGCCAGGCATGATGCAGCCTTCGCCAACCAGCCAGTCGGCTTCATCTGTATCCGGTTAGAATACTCAAGTGACGACGACGACGACGACGACGACGACGACGACGACAACGGCGACAACGACGATGATGATGACGACGACTGGGGAAGATACATACCGGCATTCTCTTTTTCGACGATTTGCTTGACCATGATGCCGAATACATCAGAGACGTGCTCGTTGAGGGCGCCGCTCATGCCCTGGTATGTCAAGGGGCTGGTGTTCTCGGTCACGGCGTGGGTCAGTTCGTGGCCGATGACTGAAGAGGCAATTAGCTCGTACGGGAGACACGAGGATGGGAAAAGGGATATCCATACCATCAACAGTACCCGTAAAGTTGTTCAGAAACTCGCCGCCGTCTCCGAAGACCATCTGGAGACGCTCAGGATCCCAAAAGGCGTTTTCGTACTTTTTGCCGAAGTGGACGGAACTGACGACGTCCGTATTCTTGTTGTCGATAGAGACCCAGTCGAACTTGTCCTTGTACATCTTGAGGACTTCGCCAATGTTGTCGTAGGCGTCGTTGACGGCTTTGTCTTTGGCCGGTTTCTGGCCCTCGACCCGTACGACAGTGCCTGGCAGGGTGGCCTCGTTGTCGCTGTTTTTGGCGTCGTATACAGCTCTGTATACCTTGGACTTGTCGGCGGAAGAGGATGACAGACTCTGGGGCTGGGCGTCGGCTTGCTGTGATTGTTGGACGCGACCCAAAACACTTTGCAGATGTTCTAGATCCCGACGGGCACATGCTCTGGTATCTTCGTCAACTTCGTCGCTGTCGGCAATATGCCGGAGTAAGGTATCCGGGACGATGCCGTGACGGTTCGCCGAGCGCCGGGTGCCGGGCGCAGACAGCAGAGCCAGGCGCTCGATGCGGCGGGCAACGAATGCCTCGCGCAATTGGAGGGCGTTGCGGGCAGCACTTCGGATGGGTTCGCTATTGCAATCGGCGTCTGCAATACCCTGGAGGAGATAGGGAGGGACAACGTAACAGACGTGGCCGTCCATGGTTTATTCAGTGGTTCTGGTGATGAATATACGGCGGGTAGAGGGACGGACAGACAGAAGGACAGACGGACAGACGGACAGACGAGAGAAGACGATGAGGGGCGCTGATGGATTGTAAATGATGATGATGATGATGATGGACAAGGAGAGAAGAGGAAATGAACAGACGAGAGGGCAGAGACCTGGATTTATAGACAACAGCAGGATGATAATGACAGGAGGAGGCCACTACCTGCCTCAGCAGTGTGCACTTGAGGTCCATTTGGAAGCTCTTGCTGTTGCGGGCTGCGCGCTTACAGTAGGTAGCAGTCGATAGAGACCTGCATGGAAGCTGCAGTTCAGCCTCTAGACTGAGATGCAGCTACATCTCCCCAGTTGGGCAACCGGGGCAAGCCATGTCAAACCTGCGGGCGAATGGTGTTCGAATGACAGGTGCGTTTCGGGGCTGGACTGTTTGTCTTGCTTTGTCAAGCGCGAGAGGTTGCACTTTCGTCATGTCTCGCCGCTTGGTTTGATGTCTGTTCAGATAACCTGAAAGCCAGGAGCGATACGAGATAAGAAGTCGCAGAGCAAGACAGGCAAGTCAAGATAGCTGGGTAGATGCCTTGGATAGCTGAAGGACAGGGGCAGGTGTCATTCACCCACATACCGTGGCATGTATCCGTATGCGTATCCAGTAAGATAGCTGGTGTGCCACTCAACATTTGATACTTGGCAAAACTAGGAAGAGGCGCACCGCAACGCAATCGACGTGCCATCCTGCAGCATCGTCTTGACGCGTCAGAGTATGTTCGGTGCGACATATCTGAGCAGGTACCTGACCTTGGGTCGACAGTAGAGGATGTAAGCTTCCGCCATGGCGATGACGCCGGTCGTTTGTCCCACGTGTGCAACCTTCCCAGTCATGTCTGAGATTGGGTAGAGGACAGAAGATGCAGAACAGGAACACTAAAGCGACCTATGTTCACAGTTGGGTGTGCTACGAACGGGAAAACCGTGGACCCACTCCCTTGTGTCAGCTGCACCAGGGTCACAGTGGCTACCTAGTCTAGACCTTAGACCTGATCAATGTCACATCGCCGGCGCCGGGGCAAGTGCCGAACAAGTCCCGGCGTATCCCGGGCCATCCCGCCGCCCCGTCCCCACAGGAGTCCGGGTCCACCTCAAGTCCCGCCTACGGCAGACCGGCATGGGTTTCATCGGCCGAAACACCATGATCAACGAGATCAATAAGCACAAAAACAACCTTCTCCATGCCAAATGTTGCGATAACCGATGTTTTGAATCTCGCTTTGTTGGGACGAATGTACTAAAGTCGTGTTTTCTGGACTCCACTCCGGGCGGAGGCAAGGTTCGGTCCGTTGGCTGCTGTGCGACGGGACTGTACTCGTGATGATACTTATTGCCACCTGCTCAAGTTTGCTACCTACGCGTTCGAGTTGATCTCCGCTATACATTAGATGCTCGCCTGCATTAGATATGAAAAATGCACTTACTTGCTTTGGATGCATCGTAGCACAGCTTCATTGCCATTCTAGTGCACTTGGCCTCACTGTCCACGCATTCTCGCGTCTGTCGCCATGTCTCCTGCCTACCTGGTGTTCGTCGTCGGAGTCCGGCTTAGCTAGGTGCTTGATTAGGAAAGCATAATGTGTCTCCAATCACCCAGGTAGCACGATCGGAGGCGAGGAGAGAATTGCGAAGGAGGGTCTTGTTGTTTCTGGATGCAAAAGGGCGTACCTACCTTCCACCCGATATCTTATTTGAGGCAGGTACCTACCTACCTTCCCTTCCCTTCCCGGGAGTAAGAAGACAATGGAAGGCAAGTACTACCATGGCTTTACCGAAAATGCAAGTGCGAAAAGTCCGCCTCATTTTCAGTCTTCAGCAAAATTCTCCTAACAAACTCCATCCATCTCTGCCGTCGCCAACACCGACGTGTCACCTCATCCTCTCGCACGCCACGCAGCACAGCCAACATGCCTTCTCCGGGCCCCTCGCAAGCTGCCCAGCCAGCGAGCCAAAATGCACGCAAGACCGTCGATCTGGCCCCAGAGCATCAGGCCATAATGCTCCGGTACGCCCTCTCGCCTCCCACCATCCGCGCCCTCGTCTGCCTTCCCCGCGGTGCCGAACCCAACGAGATCCTCCGCTGTGCCTCCTCGGCAACTGAGCTTCGCTCCTTCAACTTACACGCCCACGAGAGAGGCGCCTTCTCCGGCATCAACAGCCACCCTACCACACGCTGGCCCATCAAGGAGAACCTCAGCCAGCCGTGGCACAAGGCCTTCCTGATCGCCCAGTGTGAGGCCGCCGGTGCCGACTATGGCGAGAGACTCAGCCTCATGGCCCGTCAGGATCTCATGGCCACCAAGCCGAAGATCATCAGAATCCTAGGCCAGGTTCTCCGCGCCTGTGCCGACATTATGGGCACGAGAAAGGACGCCGCTGGCCTCCGACGGACCCTCGAGACCTGGCGCGCCGTCGCTTCCAAGAGCTAGGAGGGGAAGGCGACGGAGCTACTCCAGGTACCCGGCATCGGGCCAAAATCAGTCGAGGTCTTGGTCAACCACAACATCAGAACCGTCCGCCAACTGGCCGAACTCGAGTTCTTCCACATCGAGAGCATCATGTCCCGCAACCCGCCTTTCGGTCAGAAGATCGTCCGGAACTTGAAGCACTTCCCTCGCCTCATTCTCGCCCTCGACATTCCCAAGCGAGAAGGAGCTCGAAGTCTCGTCGTCCGAGCTATGCTGGGCTGTACGAATCTGGAAGTTCCTGCCTGGAAAGAGTCGGTGCCTTGGGTCACCTTGGCTGCCGAGACCACTGATGGCCGTTTGGTGTTCTTCTGGAGAGGACGTGCTGGTAGTATGATGTCGGGCAAGGAGCTGGTGTTCCCCGTGGAGGCAGTCCCCGGCCAGACGGTATTTGTGTGGGCAGCCTGCGAAGAGATCGCTGGGACAGTGGTGACGAAGGAGGTGTCGGTCTGATGGATGTCAACGGGTACGTCGGTTTCAATGTCTTTTTTGGTAGGGTTCTTTTGTGACCTTTCGAACACTTGTTCTGGCTTTTTGAGAATACAACTCGTATCACGTGTACGTATTCCGCGCTTTCGAGCATTTCAGACGTGAATATTATTCCAGCGATTCGTTCTTGATATCTCACAGTATTCATCTCCAGAAACGATGTGCACCATAGAGAGCAGAGCCGAGATTCAGCGAGTAGGCATGGAAGCATCCCTTTTGAGAAAAAAAAAAACATGTAAGCAGTGCTGTGACGCTGTTGGACCCCGAAATTTCGCTTCGTCGCAACTCATCTTCGTCTACTGACCGGGCCGAACATCAGAAGAGACCGGAGCGGAACAGACATTCTCAACCATCCATCCACACCAGAGACACGAATCTGGCAGGCCAAACGACGCAAGATTCCAGGCCGGGCGCTGAGAGACGGGAGCAAGCCAAGGTGAACGCCTACCTCTTCCACGTTGCGCCGTCTCTACTCAAAGACAGCCATCAGACGCGATACAATTTCAGACGCGATGAGATCAAAAAAGGCAACGCGCCGTCCGAAGACGCGCGTGATGCGCCTCACCCCAACCAACCTGTGCAACTCTTCACAGCATTCGTGCATGGTACACCACAGGCGGTCAGGTTGCGCAGGTCATGGGGTCGAAAATGGGTTGGTTTGGTGGCTGCACCGGCAGCGGGAGATCTCAGCCAGTAGGAGCAAAGCAAGCGCCGATTTGCGGCAGCAGAGGCGGTGGGAGAGAATTTGAGTAGTGTCTCTCGCATAATTGGGAGTTGCGCTGTTGCTAATTTGGCGGTTCCAGATCGAATTTTGGTCCAGAGGGTTTGAGGTGATGATTCTGCCAAGTGCCACCGGTGACGCCATGCTGGGCCCAGATCCAGTCAGGACAGTTCACTGTGCATGGAGGCGCGGAAACTGGGGGAGCTTCCCCGCCCTTTGGCCTGAAGCTTGCCGAGCTTTCGATGTTGGGTTGACGGCGGTCGGTGAGAGGTGCTATTGAAAGGAAGATAAAGACGGTCGAATCCTTCGTCCGCAGCAAGTTGGTTTATGCCTGTTGGGTATAACATGACCAGCTCACTCACCACTCGACCTCGATCTCGGCCCAGCATACAGCTATCATCCAGCAGTTTCCCCGGATCTTCACTGAGGGGAAGAGAGACAGGAACAAGGCCAAAAAAAATAGGGGGCCAAGAGCAGAGGTGATCCCTGTCAACCGCATCTGTCTAGTCAGTGATCGTCGGCTTCTGTGGCCTCTCGATCAATCAGGTTCTGGCACAGGGGAATCCGGGACCCGGTTCTGGGTTGCGTGCTTCTCGAGCTTGCGTTGCTTGCTTGCGCATCTCATCTCAGCACTTGGGATTCTGTTCTGTGGTTCTGTGGTCCCGTGGCTCTCGGCCCCTGGGACGATCCTCTAGGCCGGGCAACAACGACTGCAGCAAACATCCCGCTCCCGCGGTCTGGGCATCGCGGCACAGCTGGGCAACGGCAGGGCGGAAAGGTCGGAGCCCAGTGTGTGTTGTTGGCATAGCAAGAAGAAGAGGTCGAGGGAAGGATCAGCGCAATTGACACGGCACCGGGCTTGGGCGGGACGGCGGCACGCTCGGGCGGTCTCTGCGGCTCGTGGATCGGACTGAAGTCAGTTCTGGAGGCTATTTTCTCGGCCGGCTCTGCCACTGCCAGGGCGACTGAACTTGGTCTTTTGGCGTTTCCAGAGCAAACAAGTTGCCAGTGAGCGTCTGCTGGGATATCCGTACTGAGAGCGTTTCCCTTCGCATCGACTTTCCCACGGACGAGCAGGGTGAATGCTGCCACGAGGTACGTGTTTCCAAATCTCCAGTCGAGGATTGGTTCGAAGAGGGAGAAAAGGTGTGGAGGGGAAGAAAAGATGAAGATGAGGTGAAGCGAGGCGAGAATGATGGGCGAATAGGGGGTCGAGGAAGCTGAAGCTCTGTCAATGCTAACCGAGGTGGCAGTCAGGTTTCACACAAGTCACGGATACTTGGAGCTGCTGCAACGTCGTGAGCGTTACCTCAGGTAGTTGTGAGTACCGGCGTCTTTCGATCCGCAAGGTTCGGGTTGATAAGGTATTCTCCGAGTCTGTCTTGTGCTTCTTTACCTCGAGACATTTGAATCTCTTGTTTGGCTGTTCTCGAGGGAGACACGGCGAACGGACATCGGAACACCGGACTACGGCACGGATACGGCATAAAGATAGTGCCTCAGAGCACTTGGTTTTCCTGTTGTTCTGGACAAGATATTGGACACAGACGCTGGATACAAGCTGCAGCTCAGCAACCAGTCGACTTTGAACAACACATCAGCATCCATCAGCACTTTCTCAGGCTGCAGTGCTTTTTCAGCAGGACAGGGCCACAGTTGAAGGAGTGCAAGCTGCAAGCTGCATCTGCGAGGTACGTACTCCCTTACGTCAGGGACTCAAGGGGGCCAGTCAGGGAAAAAGGGGACCTGCGTCACAGCAGCACAGAAACACACCCGGCCTGGACTGGACTGGACTGGACTTGGCGGGGGGGACTGGGGCTGGAAACGTCCCAACTTAGCGGTCACTAATACTGAATACTAGGTGATACTACAAATATTAAGGTACGAATACTCACTGTGAAGGTACCTTACCTCAAGTCCCGGGGGCCTTGCCGCATGAGAAACGCGACACACTTTCGAACCCTCTTCGAAGGCTTCAATGCAACCTTTTCCTTCTCTCTCTTTTTTTTTGTGATCCTTATTTCCTCTTCCTATCTATCCGTGTGTATCTGCAGCGGACTCTGACACGAATCATCACGCCCGGTCGACGATATCACGAGTACCCCCTTTTCAGTCCTGACATAATACCTTGCTTCTAGAAACCAGGAACCCCTCCAGATCGCGCCTGACGCATAGCTCACAGCAGATCGACGACGAGGGACGAAAGGAGGACAGGACTCGAAGAAACACAGGGGAATAAAGAAAAAAAGAAAAAAGAAAAAAACCCACGGCCAACGAAGGGAGAAGCAGAAAGCTCAGCTAAGCTTCTCGTCGCATCATCCCTCCGTCATCCACATCCATCCATCCACCTACCTGCCTAGGTACTGCTATCAGCTATCTGCAGTCAATCGCCTATCGCTTGTGCTTGTTCTTGTCGCAGCGCCTGTCTCCTTAGACGCGACCGAATTCGACGAGACAAGACTCCCACTTCCCAGAGGAAACGAAGGACCCCCGGCGAAGGAGACGAAGCGCGGCACACACACACAAACACCCCCCGAACAAAACATTCTCGCCCGTACTCGATTTTTTTTAACCTGAACATCGCGAATTGGCATTTTTGTCTGTTTTGACACCCTCAATTCCCCCCTCGACAGCCACAATGGCTCTCCTCGACGCAACAACGCCGCCGGCGGGGGGCCCTACGCTCTTCGGCATGTCCATGAAGCAGGTCTCCCTCATCACGGTATGCGACCACTCTTCCCGCCGCCTGCTCTCTGGTACTTTCTGCTTTGCGATTGCAAAGGCAAAGGCCACGACGATGCTCCTCACTGCGCAGTGCTGTACTGACAATGGCTTCCTCCGCAGCTGACGTTCCAAAACTCGGCATTGATCCTGGTATGTCCTCCCCGTCACTATCCCCAGCTTCCACGACGTCACAAGCTAATCCGACCTGCCAGATCATGCACTACTCTCGAATCATGCCTCCCGTGAGCGACCACCGATACTTCACCTCCACCGCCGTCTTCCTCAATGAGGTCATCAAGCTGTCCATCTGCTTGACCTGCTCCATCGCCGAGGTCTCGCGCACCCTGGCTCCCTCCACCCCCGCCACCGTCATCTTCGAGCAGATCTACAACCAAGTCTTCTCCGGCGACGGCTGGAAGCTCGCCATCCCCGCCACTCTCTACACCTTGCAGAACACATTACAGTATGTCGCCGTCGGTAACCTCGACGCCGTGCACTTCCAGGTGCTCTACCAGCTCAAGGTACGCAGATCTTCTGCCTCCTCCAGACGTCATGACTCTCCTAAACTAACCACCCGGCCCACAGATCCTCACCACCGCCATCTTCTCCGTAACGATGCTCCGCCGCTCCCTCGGCACGAAGCGCTGGATCTCCCTCATCATCCTGACCCTCGGCGTCTCCATCGTCTCCCTCCCCCAGTCTCCCTCCGGAGGCCACGGCGATGCGACTGTCGGAGGCAACATCCTCCTCCACGACACCACCGACCACTTCTTCCCACGGTCCGTCCACGAGCTGGGCCAGGCCGCCGAGGGTGCTGCCGAAGTGGCCCGCGAATTGACGAAGCGCGCCGCCGTTGGTCTTGCCGGGGTCGGCGAGGAAGTCGGAAACGTCATCGCGAAGCGCTCCGCCTCGTACCAGGGCATCCAGGAAGATCAGGACCTCGCCCCGCTGATGAACTACTCAATTGGTCTCTCCGCCGTCCTCGTCGCTGCTGTCGCATCTGGACTGGCTGGTGTGTACTTTGAGAAGATGTTGAAGGACTCCGCTACCCCTGCGTCGGTCTGGACTCGCAACATTCAGCTGTCCTTCTACTCGCTCTTCCCCGCCCTTGCCGGAGTCATCTTCAAGGATGGCGAGGACATTGCCCGCCACGGGTTCTTTGAGGGCTACAACTGGGTTGTCTGGACTGCCATCGTATTCCAGGCCGTCGGAGGCGTGTTGGCTTCGCTGTGCATCAACTACGCGGACAACATTGCCAAGAACTTTGCTGCGAGCATCAGCATCGTGATCAGCTTCTTGTTCAGTGTCTGGTTCTTTGACTTCAAGGTCAACTTTTCGGTAAGCTCCCCTACATCTTCTTATTTCCTCCCCCTCGCAATCCTCTTCTGAGGCGCATGCTGACTCTCTCAGTTCATTGCCGGCACCGCTCTCGTCCTGGCCTCGACCTATCTCTACAGCATCCCCGACCGCAAGGGCCGTCCACCACCGATCACCATCGCGAGCTACGAGAAGCCCATGGTCGACCCAGCCTACACCCCGCAGACCACCGACGAGACCAAGCTGAACCTGGACCCTCTGGAATCCGTCCGCAACATGGGTCTCTCGACGTCTAGGCCATCGTCGCCCATGCTGCACCACCACCGAGCCCCGTCAGCCAGGGGCAAGAACCGCGACGATTAATCTAGGTGTCGTCCGTCGCTCCTGAGTACCTCGTTTTTAAAGGCTTTGTTTACGATTGGGAAAGTGTCCTGGAGTCGAGAATCGGTTGGCGGGGGGGGGGGGGGGTTGACAAGGGGAAAGCAACAAAACTGGGTTGGATAATAAAAGGATCGGGAGGCGGGGTTGGGTTTTGTTTCTTTGCGTTTTCCCGGAATATTTGGGCATTGGGTCCTGGAAATAGAGTCCGGCTTGCACTCGCACACACACACACCATACCACACCACACACCCACAGTATCATCAACAGCGATACCCGGCCGAGTCGCAAGGCGGAGGCATAGGTGCATTGTATATTGGGCACTCCACTACTAGGGGATTGGAGCCAGCGTTGAGAGTTTGTTCATATCGCGAAAGAGTTATGTAGCTGAGAGCTGATATTGTGTGGTTATACAGCGCTAGCCGCTCAACGAATACACTCATGTCACCTATAGGAGTTGTTTCTGATATCAACGAGTGACCAGAGAAAGTCATGGCACTAACGTTACTACTTGTTTTATGAACAGTATGTGGTGGATGAGCTTCATTGACATCGGCGTCAACCAATGCAGCTTGGGCCTCTGCCATATCAGCCTCGGGTCAGGAGACTCAAAATAGAAGCAGCCATACGATGCTTTTGGGTAATTTGGCAGGACTGCGTTTCTTTCGATCCTCACAGACTTCCAGGAAACCACTCGAGTTCTTCCCCGCAGCCTTAAGTAATGCATCTCAGGCATCGGCGACTGGATGTCCAACGTGCGCACGGGCCCTTCAAACGCACCCATGTCGATGAGGCCTTCAAAGGGCATCCCACATCAACGACTATCACCTAACTATCTCGCAACCAACCGCAACACGAATAAAAGCCATGGCAGCCACCACATCACCACAGGACCCCGAAGAGGGCTGCCTCACCAACTTCACCCACGACACCTGGCGCTTCCCCGAGTTCGAGAAAATCGACCCGGACGCGGGCCTCCTCGGCGACCCCTTCTACGAGGAATCAGAGGACCGCTGGTGCCTCTTCGCCGAGATCGTCGACGTCTCGCTGCTCCTCCGCGTCCGCCTCGTCGCGCGCGACCGCGAGGGCGCCACGGTCGTCATCGCCTTCTACCCGGACAACGCCGACCGCGCGAGCCTCGACACGCGCCAGTTCAAGGTCGGGCACACCATCGCCCTGGTGTACCCCATGCAGCACTACTTCCTCGACGGGACGCAGGGTGTTCGAGTGGAGGACTTGCAGAGCTTTCGTGTGAGTACAGGTTTATGTTTCTTTGGTATGTGTATCGGCTGATGATGTGCGATAAAGGTGTTCCCGGTCAAGATGGCGGAGGTGTTCCGCGTCAACGACGAGCTTTGCACCTACTGGGATTCGCGGGAGTCGCCGAAGAAGTGTCATGCTTGTGGGAAGCAAGATTCGAGCCTCGTCAAATGTGGACGGTGCGGGTTCTACTACTATTGTAACAAGGTACGTTGTCAATGTACTCACCTTCCGCCGGCGGCCATGAGGAGAGGCCGGGACTGACTTAGGAGAATAGGACTGCCAGACGACGGGATGGAACCAGAAAGGTCACAAGGCGGCTTGCCGCGTGCTCAAGGATGCCAACTTGAGGGCTTTGGTCAGGATCACCGACGGCGAGGGCGAGCGGAGATTTGCCTTCCCTTCGTGAGCGATAATCGAGCTGCTGCGGATGAGACATCGCCCTGCCTGGCGCGGGGGCAATTTCGAGGAAGCGGTGTACTGGAAACATGTTGGCCGGGGGGCTAGCTAGCTGCTTTGAGCAGTCTGAGTGGCTGCTCCGCGAACGATTGATCTTTCTATAGGGGTGTTATCGAGATTCCGACGATCTGTCCACCATGACGGCCCTTGTCACCATAATCCCGTCCAGCTTTCCCGGATACACCAGCTCCTCCTGGCTACTGCTGACCGGTTCGGTCCGGGAGATGGTCGTCGGCCGTGGATACGGCCTCAGCTGGATGTCTTGCTGTTCGTCAATCGTCCGTCCATGACTCCTGCTCTTCGAGGCGTTGCCCTTGGAATCGGATTCGTTGAGGTAGTACTTCTGTCGGCTCTTCGAGTACAGCTTGGCCGTGCGGTAGAGACCCGGTCCGGTCACGATGATGACCGCTTCACTCGCGTGGTCAGCGGAACGCTTTCGAGGCGACAGACAGATCTAAGCAGGTCCTTACCAATTGCCGATTCGATTGTTCCCCACAGCGCGAGCCACGGCACCGTGGGCTGGAGCCCGTTGTTACCGATCTGGGTCACGCGTACGGTCGACGCGGCGATGCAGACCCATCCGAGGCAGAAGAGGGTCGCGATGCTGAACTTTCGGGATAGTGGCATCTGGAGCTTGGCGATCAGGCGGAGGGGAAGAAGCATGACTGTGCCCACGGTCAGCTATCTTCACAATCTCTTGCGGATTGATAATGATGGGGTTGCCTTACTCAGAAGATCTGTGACAATGTCTACTATGTAGGCAAACCACATAATGATGGAGGCGGCGACGACGTCTCGAGGCGTGGTGCAGGCTCCGACGGAAAACCAGGCCTCCATACTGGAACACGCCATGAAAAGCGAAATGATGTTGCCGACCAGCGTCTAGAGCGAATACCACGTCAACCCTTCACGCTCAGCATGACGACGAAAAAAGGGGGACCCTACCAGCGCACACAGCCCGACCAAAGCCCACCACAACCGGATGTAAAACGGCAGCTTATCCAGGAGTTTCTTATACACGCAGAGAAGCGAGAACTTGGCCGACCACAAACAAAACCACAAGCTCGCCGAGGCGGTGAACAGCCCCTTCTGGATGAACAGCGCGTCCTCGACAAAGCTCTCGTACGGCTCCGTCAGCCCGGCGGCCATGTCCGTCATCCTGAAGAAGGCCGGCACGATGAAGAGGTAGAGGGCGGCGAGGACCACGAAGAAGACGTAGCAGGCGACGAGCCAGCCGTCCTCCGGGAGGAACTTGCGCTGGTTGACGGCCGCGAGGACGACCCTGGTGCCGACGACGATGGAGGTCAGGACGATGAGGGCGATGCCCGTGTTCCGGATTGAGGCCCTCGACACGGGGGTCGAGACGGGCGACGGTCTTGAGTCGTCCATGAGGCCGCAGTGTTTTTGAGCAGGACGGGTATCGAGACTTCACCTTACACCTTACGGGGGCGGATTTTTTCATTCTTCCTCGTTGTCTTTATCTACGAAAAGTCTTCCAATGGTTCTTTTGGAAGATACTGTGTCTCGGCACCGGGGAGGAGGTTACCAGGACTCCTGGCATCTCATCGCACAGAGAGTTCACACAAGTTGGGAAAACTAGAGCTCGTCGGCGGCACAGCAGTCTAGCGGACCAATGGATCACGTCCGCGGTGATTAGATGTCTGCCGTTGTCGCAGACGAAGCAGGGGCATCAGGATCCTCGAGTTGGAATCTTGCTTGTTGGTTTACGCAAACCTGGAAGCCGGGGTCGAGGTGGATCTGATGCCTGTCCTCGTGCATCCTGGCATCGCTGAAGAGATGTCTGCCGCCGCACCAGTACCACGCTGTATTCGTGATAGGCAGTCGAAGGGGACATCCTGAGTTATCCGTACAGACGGAAACGAAGACTCGATCTGAGCCCGGCTTACATGCGCAAGCAGTGAAGACTTGGATCCGGTGTAATGGACTTCTGCACATCCCCCATACCCACCATCAGCCCACTCGAGGTCCGGGCTCCAAGATTAGGTTGTTCGGTCCGTATCCGAAAAGTTGTAAGTGTCCACGACATACTCATCCTTCTACAACGCGCTCAGCAGCGAGGCGAGCTCTGGACCGCTTACCAAAGTCCCTCCCACTGCTACTACTCCTCTCAATCACGCCACAGCAAAGCCAAAGGAAAGAAGAAAGTATCATCCCCTGAATGACTTCCCAGTCCGGCCCCACATTGTGATGGTTCGAGGGGCACCGATTCGTCGATATCTTTGTTGTTGGTTCTTCGCGCATAGAACCGAGATCCCGCATGTCTTGGCCCTACCCTTGAAGTCGGATAGGAACTCCGGTGACCGGGTTGCTAGTTCAAGAGGACACTGCAATCTTACCGTTGATGATAAATGCGCTCCAATTAGCGGCTCTCGCTGGGAATCTCTACGGACAATTTGCCTCATTTGAAGGGCATGTCTAGTATACCAAGACCAAGAACTGAACTTATTTTGGCGTGGTGTATCAGAGTATCGAGCTCTGAAAACCACTCACCCGGCTCAATCTCCCACCATGGGTTCCAAAAACGCGACAGCAGTGGAGGTTGATAGCTCATGTTGGCAAAGCTTCGCTAGAAGCAGAAGCCCCAGACCAATATTCTGTCTAGTCCTGCATGTTCATATGCCAGCCGTAATTGCTCCATACAAGGGAAAACGGGGGACCCTGCAGAGTAACCTTGCTGCAGGACATTTCCTCATCGGGTGTCCAACGGGACGTGATAAATTGACCGCATCCCAACGTCGACGACCCAGTGCGTGCCAGCTCTGACTGCCCGCCTCTCTCCCGCTCGTGAAGAATAGTGTGCCAGCCAGCATGCCAGCACCAAAGTCTCTCATCCTCGCCGCGCTGGGCTGCGCCGCTTTGGTCTCTGCCCAAGAGCCAACGGACGTCGCATCCGTGATCGAGCCATCGGACTTCAACATCACCGAGGCACTCCTAGAGCAAGGAGTCGACGTCGCCGAGCTCCCCGGCCTAAGCGACCTCACCAAGCGTTCCGAGCTGGGCTGCTCCATCGCCGTGAGTTTCAATCCGCCTCGCCGCCTCGCAAGTGCTTCTGCTAATCAACATCTCCAGTGCAACTCACTCAAGCTCGTCTTCGGAGACGACGCCGTCGAGACCAGGAACGAGGCGTCCTTCGCCAACTTCACCGGCTCGTACTGGTCCTCGAACCAGGCCGAGGTGACGCCGTACTGCATCGTCAAGCCCTCGAAGCCGGCGCAGGTCTCCATCGTGGTCCTATTGTCCCGCCTGACGCAATGTCCCTTCGCGGCCAAGAGCGGCGGACACGCCGCCATGGCCGGTGCCTCGAACATCGAGGGCGGGATCACGATTTCGTTCATGAACATGAAAGGCGTCGCTCTGTCTGCCGACAAAATGGTCGCCTCCATCCAGCCCGGCAACATCTGGGGCGAGGTCTTTGCGGAGCTCACAAAGTCCGATGTCACGGTCGTGGGAGGCCGTCTTTATAACATCGGTGTCGGAGGACTGACCACCGGAGGTGAGAGCTCCTGGAAGATGCTCCGTGGTTACCTGTGCTAACGTCTTCTCAAGGCGGAATCTCTTACTTCTCCAATCTCTACGGCTGGGCCTGCGACAATGTCGAGAGCTTCGACGTGAGTCCAAACACCAACCAACCCTTAATGGATTCCTTATTGACAATCTCACAGGTCGTCATCGCAAGCGGCGCCATCGTCCGCGCCACGCCCACCCAGTTCCCGGACCTCTACTGGGCCCTCCGCGGCGGCGGCAACAACTTCGGCCTCGTCGTCAGCTTCAACCTCTGGACCGTCCCGCTCCCGGGCGGTCTGATGTGGGGCGGCTCCCGCACCTACACCGAGGACAAGTTCCCGGCGGTCTCGAAAGCGTACACCGACATCCTCGCCGCTTCGGCCTCGGACCCCAAGGCCGGGCTGTACGTGGTGTGGGCGTACGACGGGGGCAACAAGTTCGCGATCCCGGCGCTGTACTACGCGGAGCCCGACGGCGGCAACGCGACCATCTGGTCCGGCTTCGACGCGATCGAGGCCGTCGCCGACACGACCAAGAACAGGGTGCTGCACGAGTGGGGCCGGGAGACGATGGGGGACAGCCCGCCGGGGCTCCGGGAGGTGTACTACATGATCACGACCAGGGCGGACCCGGCGATCTTCGAGTTCGCGAGGGATCTGTTCTACGACAACGTGGACAAGGTCGCGGACATACCCGGGATGATTCCCGTCCTCGCGACGCAGGGGATCACGACACCGCAGAAGGAGAACATGAGGAAGCACGGCGGCAACCCGCTGGGTCTCGATGTGGAAGACGGGCCCGTTTATATCTTCCAGCTGTGCGCCATGTGGGACAACAAGGAGGACGACGCGACGGTGTACCGGTTCATGTCGGACATCCTGGAGCAGGTGACGGCGGAGGCGAAGGCTCGGGGGGTCGACAACAACTACATCTACATGAACTACGCCAGTCAGTTTCAGGATGTCATTAGCAGCTACGGCGCCGAGAACAAGGCGAAGCTGAAGAGCATCTCGGCCAAGTACGACCCGCAGCAGGTTTTCCAGAAGTTGCAGCCGGGGTATTTCAAGCTGGACCGGGCGCCGGTCCCGGACTCTGGGTACTTTTCAACTGGTGTTTGATTGTCTCTGGGCATTGGGAAGAACATATGTATCTGAAGCAGTATAATAGGTATCTTCCAGTTGTGTGATGTCTCGGCTGACGCTATACGTGTCTTGGATTTGAAGCTTCCTAGGTCGTGAACTGCATAAAACCACAGAAACCAGTCTTTCAGTTCACAGAAACGTCACTCGAGAACACGTCACTCGAGAACAGGACGTGAATTGATGAGGATTATGTATTAGACAGGCCTCTGTGTAATGTTGTCAAGTGCAGGCGTGATGGATGACAAATTCATCGGTTCGTTGTCCTGCACCAAGACCCTTCAGCAGAGGAAGAAGCGCTGATTGGGCAATTCGTCCAGGCACCAGCAGGCACCAGCTGCACAAGGGAAGATGTGACTAAGCCTGCTGAGATAAGCTGCCTACAGGTCTCGCGGTCCGCGACTGCCATACAAATCAGAACCATATAAATTCTTCCTGAAAATCAGGCAACATTTATTTCTTTGCAATACACACAATTCCGAGCTTCGGTTCAAGAGTATCTAAAGTCAAGATTGGTATACGCAAAAATGGAGACCTCCCTCCCATCCCGGTCCAAGGTACATGCTCTCCCCCAAACAGCATGAAACATCGACTTACACCAAACAGGCGCAAACGAAAACCACGAAGCAAAAAGCCCCAACCAAACCCGACAACAACGACACTAAGTCCACCAAAGCACCCACGAAACGACCCACCACGAGACTCGACGTCTTCGTCCTCGGAAGCGGCGAAAATTGCGAGCTAGGCCTCGGCCCAAATCAGACCAATGCTCCGAGACCGCGCCTGAACCACCTCCTCGACGCCGAGTCCGTGGGCGTCGTGCAGGTTGCCGTCGGGGGCATGCACTGCGTCGCCCTCACCCACGACGGGAAGGTGCTGACATGGGGCGTCAACGACGATGGTGCGCTGGGGCGGGTGAAGCCTCCTTCTGGAGCTGAAGAGGAGGAGGACGACGACGAGCCTATGCTGGATGCTTTCGAGAGTACACCGGGCATTATCGATTTCGAACATGACATCGATGTGGCCCAAGTCGCGGCAACCAATAGCGCGTGCTTTGTCCTGACTACGGACGGCAACGTTTACGGCTGGGGAAGCTTTGCTGTAGGTAGCCATGGTGATTTTGAAAAAGTCCACACATACTAACTCTTGATAGGGCGGAGATGGCAACTTCGGGTTCCTCCATGAAAAGCCACCCAAGACGACGGAGCGCTTGCCTGTCTTGATACCCGGTCTCAAAGACATCAAAGAGCTTGCCGGCGGTTCGAACCACATCCTCGCGCTCACCAACGACGGGAACGTTCTGGCGTGGGGTTCCGGAGAGCAAAACGAGCTTGGGAGACGCATCATGGCACGTCGGCGCTTCGAGACCCTGGTCCCTCAACGCGTAGGGCTGCCAAAGAACAAGGCGACCAAGATCTTCGCGGGGTCACACCACAGCTTCGCCATCGACAACGCCGGAAAAGTCTGGGCGTTTGGTCTGAACAACTTCGGCCAGTGTGGCATTTCCACCAGCGAGGATACGGGATTTACCACCGTCATTTCTCCGACCGTTGTGAAGAGCCTCGAGAAGCACTCAATCACCCAAATTGGCTGTGGTTTACATCATTCCATCGCCTGTACTCGGGAGGGTGATGTGCTGGTGTGGGGCCGATGTGACGACGGACAGATGGGGCTGCCGCTCGACGACGTGCCGAAGCAGAATATGATATTCGACTCCAGAGATCGACCTCGCGTGCTGAACGTGCCAACTGTCGTTCCCGGTAAGTGTTTCAGTCCCGCCTTGGAGACTTCTCGAACTGACCTCGGCAATTTAGACTTGAAAGCCGTTTTTGTCGCAGCAGGCATTGACAACTGCTATACCATTTCAAAGGAAGGCGAGCTGCGTGCTTGGGGCTTCTCGGCCAGCTACAACACCGGCTTGGCCACCACAGACACCGTGAAGACCCCAACGCTGGTTCGCAGTAAGCAGCTCGGTGAGAGGAAGCTCAACTTCATCGACGCCGGTGGACAGTTCGCCGTCGCTACGAGTCCCCGACTATAGACGCGATCTTCCCCCTTCACACGATAAGGAAGTTCAGGTCCGATGACTTGAGCTTCTGCACCCAACTCCTCTCAGTTTTGGTCTCTGGGTCGTACGACTCCTCCAAACTCCAAATGGTCTGCAGAGTGTCCATGGCGGTTGTGATGAACCCCCAAGGCGTCGCAACCATCAACCTCTTGAGGCGATCGAGAATCCACGCGCGCTGCTCGGGATCGGATGTGCCTGCGCCGGCTATGAAAGACGGCCAGCACGTAGCCTTGAAGTTGGGGTCCTCGTCGGAGATGGAAGAAAGATGGTAGAACATTTCGGCGTCCAGTTCCTCGCGACGGACGGACACGAGTCTGGAAACAGCCGGGACGCTGTGCAGGATGTACAGGCAAGCGGCGATGCGATGCGCTGAGCCGGCGTGGATGCGGCTTTCGACCGGAATCGTCTTGAGGTACGAGAGTTCTCGCTGCTCGTACGCCCACTTGTCAATGTCAAAAGCCAAGGCCTGTTCCAGGAGCTGTGCTCCGGCCTGGGATACGAAAGCCGTGGATTCGGGGTCGTCTCCGGCATTATTGGACAGCTGCGAGGCAGTGAGTAGGATCTGCAGGATGTCAGGCGGACAGCACAGATAGCTGTTCGCGGCGGCCCTGCCAAGGACAGAAGACGCCTGTACGGATTGGTAATACGACTTGGCGGCGGTTGGCGGCGAGGTGTTGAAAGCCGAGGCCAAGATGTAATATCTGTGGTCGAGAGGATTTAGCTTAGATAATTCATTACCCAATATCAGACACACCAAATCCAAACAACAACAATAATCACACGGGAAACTCACATGAAGCAGTCGGACATGACATAATCCCTCAACGCCTCGTCCGCCGAGCCTACGGGCGGCAGAAAGGCCATGATCCGACCAGCGCCTTCGAGATGTGGCTTCCACCCGTTCCTGCCACTCTCGATGAGCTCGACGTTGACGAAGAAGAGCACAGCAGCCAACACGACATCGCCGCCTACGCCACCGCTGTTGCCCATGTCCTGGATGGCGGACGAGAGCAGACGAAGGGCCTTGTGCTTCGCGACCAGGGCGTCGGTGAGGGCCTGGCGGGCGTTGTGGTCGGCGACGGAATCCGAAGACACGGCCCGGGACAGGTTGGACATGTGGGCGGCCGAGGCGGCGACGATGATGTGCTGCAGTAGCGGGTGGGCTCTGGTCAGCGGGACGAGGGAGCGGAAGGGGTTGCGGTCCGGGACGTCCCAGGAGACGAGATCCCTGCAGACGCGGGTGGTGACTGTTCGAGGCGGTTAGCTTGCCTGCTCTATCGGGACGTGAGGTCCCAAGAGGTTGGTCAGGAAGGGAGGAGACGGGGGGGAGTGAGATGTACAGTAGGAGAGGTAGTGGCGGTAGTGAAGCTCCACATCCTGGAATAGAGGATCGACGAGGGACCATGGGGCCGACTGGGGCCCGGGACGGGCGGCGGAAACGACGAGGGCGTTGTTGTCTCCGGAGGAGAAGGTCGCCGGAGTGTCCTGGGTCCGAATGTCCGGGGCGGCGACGGCGGCGGCGGCGGTGGTGATAGCGGGTGGTTCGGTCTCAGCCACGCGGGGTGACGGTTCCGGGCCGGAGGAGAATGTGATGGTGGACTTTCCGGCCAGCTTCCCTCGGCTCGCGACGCCCTCAGTCCAGCGGAAGAGTTTGCCATAGCCCAGACACTCCTGGCCGGCCGCGGTGCACTTGTGGCAGTGCGGGTAAGAGCGGTCACAGCGGAGGCGGCGACGGCGGCAGTTGTGACATGGTTTTGTCGGGGCATTCAGCATATCGATGCGGGTCATTGCAGACGCGGGCTATCAAGGTGTTTTGGGGGGGGGGATGGATGACACGACGGATGGTAGATTCGGTTGGGGGCTCGCCCAGCCTCAACCAAGATTCCTTTCAGGTGCTGCAGGTTCACAGCTTGAGCCTACGGGGTGTAATTAAGGTAGGTTACTGCGGTGGTAATGATAACGTAACAAGCAGGCAGGGCCGGGGAAGGTAAGGTGAGCACCGAGATAGTTAGAGGCTGAGGGATGAGAAAGCTATGGGCAGACGTTGAAGTGACCGGGGACTGGATCGGTTGGCGCAAATAGTGCCTTGATTGAGATAAAAGCCATCAATACATGCATGACAGGTCGACGTCGGGTTGTCCAAGATTGGTAATCGAGGGGTGGTGTGTGGAATCTGCGGGAGACCGTTACCGTAGGCGTCTGTCAGTCTGTCAGAACATGAGAGGAAAGATCGGGCTGAGGTCGTCAGAGAAAGCGTTGCGTTCTGACAGTGGCGGACGGTGACGGTGAGGGTGACGGGATGTGGAATCCGAGAAAATCAGATGGACTGCAGTTGGATCGGAGAGCAGTTGGAATCTTCGGCGGCCGATGGCACCGCCAGAGCGCGGGGCACGTCGTGGGTCCCGGTCCGGTGGCTTGTACGCTAGGCCGTATTGGGAAACCAAGAAGCAAGACGTGCATATGGCCCCCATAATTATTTCTTCGAAGGTGGAAACACTGACGCTCGGTCCAAGTCTTGGGTTGGTGGCTGATTCGTCAGGTCACGTTTTTGACAAGCGTCCTGACCAATTAGCTCAGCGCCTCTACACGGGCTAATCCGATTCCGGCATCCACCACCCCCACTTCTGCAAGCCAACAGCCAAAGAGAAAACAGCATCAGCCACCGCCTTCCAGAAAAAGAGATGTCTCGGGAAAGGTCTGGAATCAAAGGAGCTTCAAAATGCCCCAGATTCACCATTTTCATTGTGTCATCACAAAGGGCGTCATTCCAGGTCCTCAGTCCACGACGCTTTGGCGCCCTGAGCTGCCCGAAAGAGGCAAAATACGCGGTGAAACTTGCTCTCTTCTCGTAATCACCCTTCGGCCTCGCCTTTGTCCGCGCTGGTAGACCGCAAACTGTCCACAGATCTAGTGTTACAGATTCCATTTGCAGACAGCAACGCCAACCGGCTTCTGCTTCTTCTCTTACACGTGCTTCTCAAACGCGTCTTGACAAACACACCTTGGCCGAGAAAGGAAGCCAAGACACACGCCATGCCCACTCCAACCGCCGCCTTGTGAGGCTCCGTTGCGCCAGAGGTTCTCTCCTCCGGCGGAAGATGGGGTCAATGGCCCCATCCCGGCCCGTGTGTCTGGCGGCGTGGGCGTGGGGTTTGCCAGCCTTGGGCGTGGGCGTCTTGCAAATCCTGACGCTCTTGGCTCTCTTTTCTCCACCTCAATGGCGACCGATTAGAAATTCTTTGCATCAGTGACTCGAACCTCAATGGCCGACTGCTCGGCAATGTTAGTATTTAGCCATCGGAGGGTCCCGTAACGGTCCTCCGGCTGGGATACTACATAGATTCCCTTTTCATGTTTGTCAACGATTGTGTTTCTATGACTACCTACCTTAGCAGACACTCTTCTTCCCCTCTACGTCATAACAGATAGGACGATATACCGAATACACGAACCCTTCCTTCACCAAGACCCCTACCACCGATGACCCGCGTCGACACCGAGCGGGACGCCGGCTCCGGCGGCCGCGCCTCCGAGTTCGATGTCGAGTTTCTCGGCCGACAACGCCCCGCCGTCTTCAAGTCGCAATGGAGCGAGCTCGGCTTCTGCTTTTCCCTGTTAGGATCCATGTTGATGGCTGTAAGCTTCACCCAGAAGTAGCCGCTGCTCGGGCTCGATACTGACTCCTGTCGCAGGAATACTTCGTCAGTGGCTTCCACATCATCCTGCCTCCGCTCGCCGAGGAGCTGGACATTCCCGCGGCCTCGCAGACATGGCCCTCGAGCGTCTTCTCGCTCGTCACCGGCGCCCTATTGCTGCCGCTCGGCAGATTGGGTGACATGTACGGCGGCTACTACGTCTTCAACATCGGCCTGGCCTGGTTCTTCATCTGGTGCCTCATCGCCGCCTTCAGCAACAACTACCTCATGTTGATCGTCTGTCGAGCCCTCCAGGGTGTCGGCTCCGCTGCTTACCTCCCGGCCGGCATCATGCTGCTCGGGAAGATCTACCGCCCGGGTCCGCGCAAGAACCTCGTCTTCGCGTTGTACGGTGCCTTCGCCCCGATCGGCTTCTTCTTCGGTATCCTCATCGGCGGCGTGTCGGGCCAGTTCCTCAACTGGCGCTGGTACTTCTGGCTCGGCAGCATCGTCCTCGGCATCATCGCCGCCGTGTCGTTCCTGACCATCCCCAACGACTTCCGCGACAAGCGCCAGGAGACGAGCATGGACTGGTGGGGTGTCGCGACCATCGTGCCGGGCCTGTTGCTGCTGGTCTACGCCATCACGGACAGCTCGCACGCACCCCAGGGATGGGCGAGCCCCCAGATCATCGTCACTCTGGTCCTCGGCGTCGCCCTGCTGGTGGCGGCGTGGTACGTCGAGGCCAAGGTGGCCACCAACCCTCTCCTGCCCGCCGACCTCTTCACGCCCAAGTCGATGAAGACCCTCTCCGTTGCCCTCTTCTTCGCATACGGCACCTTCGGTCTCTTCCTCTTCTACTCCAGCTTCTACATCGAGACGGTGCTGCACATGTCTCCGCTGCTGACGGCAGTCTGGTACATCCCCATGATCGTGGGCGGCCTCGTCATCGGTACGGTCGGTGGCTTCACGCTGCACCTGCTGCCGGGCCGCGTGCTGCTGGCCATCTCCGGAACGGGAAACCTGATCAGTGTGCTTCTCTTCGCCATCATTCCCGACAACCCCAACTACTGGGCCTACGTGTTCCCGTCCATGATCTGCGCGACCATCGGCATCGACATCACCTACACCGTCAGCAACGTCTTCATCACGACCAATCTACCCGCCCACAGGCAGGGCCTCGCCGGAGCACTCATCAACAGTCTGCTGTTCCTGGGCATCAGCTTCTTCCTCGGCATGGGCGACGTGGCCGTGGGTCAGACGAGCCACCTGGGTACGAAGCAGAGCTACAAGACGGCCTTCTGGCTGGCGGTCGGTGTCGCGGGCGTCGCGCTGGTCCTGTACGCTCTCGTCCGCATCGGGCAGGCGAAGAGCGACTTGACGATGGAAGAGCGTGCGCAGCTCGAGGAGGAGTACCGCCAGTCACAATGTCTCGAAACCCCGGGAGCCGGACACATGACCCCGAACCTCGCGGCCGGTCAGGAGACCTCGGGCACGATGACCGACAACGAGACGGACAAATCGAGCGCGCCATCGCCGGAGGGAAAGACTCCGGCGAGATGAGCAATGAGCTGGATTTCAGTGTTGCATGAATTAGACGAATAATTGACTCACGTCACGGACGAAAGCGACACTTCTGCTCTCAAGATGCAGCATGATCGTGTAGTCGGAAGCCCTGGGGCAAATCGAACTTTGTCAGGGCGAAGATCGGCCATCACGAGGATGAGATGCGTGGCGGTCAGGAGGAGACTCGGAAGCCGCATCAACGGACATCGAATTTCCACCCATCAAGAGTTCGAAATGGAAAAGGGGCCATGACGAATCCCCAAGGGATACGGATACAGACCTGCTCTCGTCAACAGCGCTCCGATGCCCGAAAGCCAGCGTCACCATGTCGCAAACCGAATCCCGCCGCCCCGGTGGATCCCATACGGGCGGCCACTGAACGGAGAAAGTCATCCATATACCATGGAGTCGTGATCCAATATTCCAAAATTAATCGGGGGTGGCACCCGTCTGTTGGCCGTGGGTTCTTTTCTTTTCTTGGCGCCCAGGCCCATCCAGCCTGCCACTTCGGGAGCATTCTTGGCGGGCCTCGTGGGCTTCGGTTCTTCAAAGGATTGGCGTTTTTTGGCTGGGCCAAGACGATCAGCTCTCGATGGTCTTGGGACTCCCAGGGGTCGAAACCGCCAACTCCCCGAGATATCCGTCTTGGCAGAAATGCTTGGCGCATCGATCATTCCAACGACGACCGTCGAACGCGCCGATGATGTTGGGGAAAACACACGCACGGCACGGCAGTGATGATGATGGGTGTCATTGCATTCAGAGCTTCAGAAGCGTGGTGGTGTGCAGACTTGTGGGGGCGGTGAGAGGCGGCGGGAGCACGAGGTTAATTGCGCACGTTAGTTTTTCCGCCGCTGGTATTGCGTTTGTAATAATGTCTACTACGTATTGGACAGAGACTATTAGATGGAATAGATTGTGCAGGGCAGGGCGGGCGGCGCATAGAGCCGGATATGACTATTGGGGATATAATAAAGGAGTACTCCGTAAAGAGGGGCACGTTCCATCACCTTAGTCGTCAAATGGCACAATTTCCAAGTTTCACGATTCATCAAATCTGGCTCTCTTGGCTAACTAAGCACCTCGGCATGAAATGATGGCATTGCAATGGAAGAAGCGCCTTATTCGATGCTGATGGTTGACCGACCGCGCCTCAGTCATACTCATTCTGAGAGGAGCCGGTGCATCTGATGTCAGGCCGAGAACAGGAGGAGGTCGTCCAATATTCCCCTGGATAGTGGAGCTTGGGCCGGTGGGTTGAGTCCGAGGGAGAGGAGATATGGGCGCTCTCCCGTCCTATGAACATCAGTCAGGGAACATCATTCGGCTACGTACCGAGCGACGCCCTATGTATTCGAGGCGAGAGAGGGCCTGCCTCCTGTCGCAGTTGAGCATTAACGGGCGTTCTTAAGATGATCAAAGTTGGAGCCACCGCCAGAATAAGCTATGGTAGTGTACCTGGACAGGAGCCGGCAAATGGGATGATAAGCTGCGTCGTCTTTTTTCCCCAGAAACATGCCCATGGTAGCGTAGGCAGGGACCAAGAAAACGACAAGACTTTGCCGTGCCGATTTCCATAGTCCCAAGAAATGGTGTGCCCAGTTGCCAAGTGCTCTGCCGCCGAGCCTCGAGGGGGGACTACACGAGTCTGGAAGCTGTTGGTACCTGACCGTGAGTGACGACGGTAGCAATATGCGACTCGCCTCCCCCCTCAATTTCCGACCCTGCTCCGTCATGCTCGACAAATCCCGTGTAACGCCGCCAATGAGCAATGTGTCGTCTCTCCACGCGCGCGCTGCAAAGCAGCCCGAGAACGAGCGCGCCCCGAAAGCACCGGCAGACCAATTCAAGTTACGAGGGAGCAACAATAGCCAGGGTAGAAATCATCAACAAAGGTATCAGGTACAAATGCGGACTGTGCGGAGTTGAACTCAATTGAAAAGAGCTTCCCGCCAGAAGCACAGTATTCCGGGTCCGGCCAGCAGCTCCGAACGCCCCGAACACAGCTGTCGTTGTTAAAACTTCTAAAGTCCTGTTAGCGCCAGCCTTTGGATATCAACTCGGATTTCCGGCTATCGTTGTTTTCTTTGAGGGTTCGTTTTAGCGCGTCTTTCCCACCAAAAGACGGAATTGCGGCAGCCGTTGGTTGCTTGAGTGTTCGTCAATCGTGTTAGCGCGCCTTTCTCACCCAGCATCCGGCCGTCAAGTCGGCATTCCGGCAGTCGTTGGTTTCTTTCGAGCGCTCAGGAAGCTAGGGAGACAGAAAATCTCCTGAAATACCGTGTTGTATCCACCTTAAACTCCACGATCTCGTTGTCGTCTAACGACGGACGAAAGCAGACGTGTAGTGTAGTCGTGTACCGTAGCCGCCGCCGCGTTGGCCGACTGACAGCTGTGACATATGCATTCAACCTGCATCGTGGCGCGTACTGGTGCGACGGCCTGAACCTGAATATCTGGGGAAAAGAAATGATTCCACGCGGCTCCCGCATTGTGAATTTCGCAGCAATAGGAAATCGGCAATGCGTCAGAGAGTCATCTATCCGCTGAATCAGTTCTGTACTCTGTACTCCGTACTCTCTACCGCTGCAGAGTACATTCGAGAAGGCGAACAGTGAGAGGATGAGTTGTTGACGCTACCGACGGAGAAAATACCTTATCTGAGACAGATCCTTGCCCCCACAACTCTACCTGATTTTAAATTTAATATACGCCGGGAGCAATGGCTCCACCCGCCATTCCCGTTCGGTCCCCTGACCCCCGACCTCTCGACCGCTCCAAACCCGGACCACCTCCCGGGACCTCCTCCGAACGTGGACGGCCAGCAACAGAAGCGGCCACGACAGGGACACCTGACTTCCCGATTCTGCTAGTCTACAGCGCCCAACTCGCTCAACCGGCGGCGTAGCAGTCGATTATCGTTAAGCGACAGCTATTTTGGTGCTGGAACCCCGCGGCAAGTGGGAGGTTCTATGGAGAAACCGACAGAATCGAGTTGCTTTTGCGAAAGTCCGGTTTCCATCTTGTCGAGTTTCCGAGCCCGCAACAAATTGCAATATTGCGTACTATTGACTGACCGCTGTAGTGCAATCAATGATGTTGATACCCATCGCACCTGACAAGCCCCTCGGATAACGAAATCGCCTTCTTCCGATATGGTTCTTGAGCCTCGATCAATAGCAACATCTCCACCCGTGGTACTGGGCCTCTCCCCGAGCCGCCCCCTTTTGCCGCTTTCGAGTGAGCAGAAAAAACCTTTTCCTGCGAGACCCTGGCTCAGCCCGTCTAGAATCCTTGTTATTCGAGGTCGTTCGCCCTTTCGGAACCCCATGTCTGCCATCTCATCCCATCATTCATCCCCTGACTTCATTTCGCCGTTGGCCACAGCCCACATCCCTGGCCCCCGGTCCGTTTCCAAACGTCAACTCGCTCTTACTGGCCTAGTCTGCCTGATCAATATCGACAAACACCTCCTGGTCTCGTTTCCCCTAAACAAACGAACCACCATCATCTCGTACCACATGTCCATTCCTCCGTCCCATGCTCGATTTCTCATTCGTGCGATTCGAGCAAGATCGGGGCCCGGGAGACCGCTTCGTTCCCAACGTGTCATTCACAGACACGTTCCTCCCTTCGAACAAGTCTTCCTCGCCGGGATCGTAGGCACAGTGTACAAACCCCATCTTCCTCAGACCGATGCAATGTACCACCACTTCTGCGTGATATGTGAAGTCACTTGACGACGTCCCTTCACATCCCTTCACCCCCCGCCAAGGATCACCATCATTTGCCCGCCCTGTCCAGGTCCAGGACGTACGCAAGTGCCAAGACAGCGTTGCAATGGCCCCAAAGAGCCTCCTCGGTATGGTTCCGCTTGGCACCACCATGATCCCGGACCAAGACCAAGGAGACCACGCATGCGCAAGCGCCCAGCCAAACAGAAGTCTTCGGGAAGAAAGACAGTGAGGGTGTGCCTAAGCTTCTACAGAGATGGTCTTGGCTCTTGGCGGCAGAAGCTTAGCCAAGAGATTCCGTCGTCGACGTCCAGAGAAATACTTAAGAGCCTCCTCCGTCCAGCCTCATACCACTCTTTTCTCTTGCTCCTCATCCCGCTTCACTTCTTCAGTCTTTCAGCTCTCGCGCTCTTTGCATTCATTCCCTACCTCAATCTCTCACTGCATACCTTCGTTCGACGTAGACCGTCAACACATTCTTTTTTCAACGAAACCACGTACCACAACAACTAGCCAAGCTACAGCTCGAAAACAACAGTCAAGATGAAGTTCACCGGCATCGCCTCTTCCCTGGCCCTCCTGGCTTCCATCGCCAGCGCCACCCCCACCCCCACCGTCGTCGAGGGCGCCGCCGTCGACCCCCGCACCGTCGAGAAGCGTGCCTCCATCACCGACGCTTGCGACGTCGGCTTCGGTGCCGGCACCACCGGTGGCTCCGGCGGTACCACCACCACCGTCTCCACCCTGGCCCAGTTCACCGCCGCCGCCACCTCCAAGGACAAGATGGTCATCGTCGTCAACGGCGCCATCACCGGATCCGAGAAGGTCAAGGTCGGCTCCAACAAGTCCATCATCGGTGCCAAGGGCTCCTCCCTCACCGGTGTCGGTCTGTACATCAACAAGCAGGAGAACGTCATCGTCCGCAACATGAAGATCTCCAAGGTCAAGGCCGACGCCGGTGATGCCATCGGCATCCAGGCCTCCTCCAAGGTCTGGGTCGACCACTGCGACCTGTCTTCCGACAAGAACAACGGCAAGGACTACTACGATGGTCTGCTCGACATCACCCACGCCTCCATGGCCGTGACCGTCTCCAACACCTACCTCCACGACCACTACAAGGGCTCCCTCGTCGGCCACTCCGACTCCAACGCCTCCGAGGACACCGGCAAGCTCGAGGTCACCTACGCCAACAACCACTTCTCCAACGTCGGCTCCCGCAACCCCTCCGTCCGCTTCGGCAAGGTCCACATCTTCAACAACTACGCCGAGAAGCTCGAGACCTCCGGTGTCAACACCCGCATGGGCGCCCAGCTCCTCATCGAGTCCTCCGTCTTCTCCGACACCAAGAAGGCCATCACCTTCCTCGACTCCAAGTCCACCGGCTACGCTGTCGTCAACGACGTCGACCTCGGTGGCTCCACCAACGACGCCCCCAAGGGTACCTTCACCAAGCCCTCTTACTCCTACACCCTCCTTGGCTCCGCCAAGGTCAAGGCTGCCGTCGTCGGCACCGCCGGCCAGACCCTCTCCTTCTAAGTGGTTTCGTTACCTATGCAGTGGAAATGAAGAGAGCGCTATTGCTGTCAACCGAGGGTTACGCCCGAGGTTGCAGAGTACTGAGAAGTACACAATTCTTGTAAATACTTTCAAAGGCACCAGGGGCTCTCAGTCCCTGGTTCTGTGAATATAGTTGCCGGTTTCAACGCACAAACGTCTCTTCCCATATGTGATCGTGAATGTCTTAATGCCTCTTGAATATCGTGTCTCAGAAACGATACATTGAGCATTAATGTGAGCTTATTACTTCGAAATCCTGAGTCCTACTTCCAGTGGTTGTAATTTTCATCTGAACCACAATGCAGTATAAATCTGAGTTGCCGTGAAGGAAACCGAAAAGCTACTACAGCTGCCATTGATTTTGTAGAGAGTATCACATCTAATACAGTAATGCCTAGCTTCAATCATCTCTCGTCTCTTTCTCCTTTGGTTGCGGAAACTTCTCAAAAACCCACGGGTCACCACCCACCAAGAACCCATGCGAAACCTTCTCATCAATATCCAACGAGAAGTCATAGTAACCCTCATACAGCACCCGGTTCCCGAGCTCGTCAACGCGAACCAGCCGCTCCATCGTGATGACAACATCCTCCTGCTTTGTCTCGCCGGGCTTGATATCCCGAAGACGCGTATATCCGACAAGCGTCTTCTTAGGCCGTGGCTCCGGCCCGGCTTCAGATCGCAGGAATATCAACGCCACGTAGTCCGACGTGACTTCTCCCACGTTCTCAGCTGAGACTGTCAGGGTAATGACCCGTCTATTCAGGTCTACCTGCCAGCTTGGAATACCAGCAACGTCCTCTTCGTCGTCGATCACGGCCGCTTGATCCGTTCTCGTGACGAGCGGTCCCATCTTGGAGCTCATGTCCACATTGAATTTTGTGTAGTGCAACCCGAATCCGTAGGGCACCGGCGTCCGCCCGGTGTACCACCTGTAAGTCCGCCCAAGACCGGAGTTGCCAGGCACAGGTCGGAGGTTCATATCCGTCGACGGAACAGCTTCGTTGTAAGACTCTGGATACTGCGTGACGGACAATCTTCCAGCAGGCGCCGCGCGACCGAAGACAATGTCGAGGATGGCTTTGCCGCCAGATTGCCCAGGATACCCACCCCAAAGAATGGCGTTGACGGAGTCGTTGGCGAGAAGCTCCGTGTCGTCAACCTGTCCGTCGCCAAATTGAAGAACAACAAGCGGCTTGCCGACATCTGAAAGAGCGCGAATCAGCTTCAGCTGCGGCTCGGGCCAGGCCAAAGTCTTGCGGTCAAGAGTCTCCGCTTCCAGCGTGTTATCGACGCCGCCCATGAAGATGACGACGTCCGCCGCTTCCGCTGACTTGATGGCCTGCTTGAACGACGAGTCGGAGCTGTTGATTCGCGACCCAAGGAAGTAAGTGAAGTCCAACTCCAAATCCTTCGCGGCTCGGCGAGGAGAAATCAGATACGGGGCTGGACCGAAGTAGTTGCCCTGCATCTGCGTCGTGGCAGTGACCCAGGGTCCGATGAGGGCGTACTTCTTGGGAGACTCGAGCGAGAGCGGGAGAATGCCGTCGTTCTTTAAGAGAACGGCTCCTTCGACCGCTGCTCGGTACGCGAGGTCCTGCGCTTCTTTGGTGTTGACGTCGTCCCAGCTCAGCGAGCGTAAAGGGTCTTCTTTGGCGGAATCGAATAGCCCGACTGATACGAGGGATGTGTACATGCGCGTGAGCGACTTATCGACTTCCTTCTCGGAAATGAGAGAGTTGTTCCAGGCCAACTGAAGGGCTTCTGAGCCGGGAAACGCGTTGCATTCTAGGTCCGTCCCGGCCTTCATCGACCAGGCAGCTGCGTGTCCCAAGTCAGGGGCGTAGTGATGATATGAGACCATGAGCGCGACGCAATCGCAGTCAGTCGAGATATACTGCCCCTCCCCGTTCCACTCCCAGTGCTTCCGAAGGATATCTTCCAGCAGGTAGGAATTAGCACACAGCGGCGTGCCGTTAATCCCATTGTAGCTGCACATGAAGGACCCCACATTCTTCTCGACAGCGCACGTCTTGAAGGGCGGTAAGTAGTACTCCGAGAGGTCTTGGGTGGTGATATTGGCGTCAAACCCAGCACGATCGACGCCGTTGTAATTCTCGAAGTCGTTGGCGGCGTAATGCTTGCAAGTGGCGATGAGCTTCTTGGAAGGGTCGGTGCCCTCCAAACCTGTGAGCATGGCCGAGACGTATTTCTGTAGGTGGAAAGGGTCCTCGCCAGGTGTCTCCTGGCCGCGTCCCCAGCGAGGATCTTTGAAGGCGTTGATATTTGGGGACTAGTTTTCGTCAAAATGCTGCATGCCCCCAACCGTACATAACCAGGAGTGACTTACGTATAGATCGAGTCCAGACCTTCCAACATTGCTGAAAGCCCTCGCCTCCTTACTCACAATATCCCCCACAGCTCTAACCAGCTCGTCGTCGAACGACGAACCCAGAACGATGGGCTGCGGAAACGAAGTTGCATAGCTGAACTTCCCCTCCGAAGCAAACTTCGTTCCCGGCGATGACGCGACTCCGTGAAGACCCTCAGACCACCATTCGTACGGGGGAATACCCAGCCGGGGGACGCCAGGCGCCTCGTTGACGAGGTTGTCAAGCTTCTCCCAAATCGTCAGCTCTGCCACCAGCGCCGCGGCTCGATCCCTATCTGAGAGCGACGCATCGCACACGTCGTGGGAGCAGAGAGGTTCACGCGCGCAATCCGGGAAACTGCTACCGGCCTTCTCATTGATAATTGGGTTCCGAATCTCATAAACCTCAATCCTAAACTTTGTGAGCATTCGACGGCCAAGTGCGTCTCGAGATTTGACAAGGGAGAATGAGATCGGAAGACTCACATATCTTCTTCGTCGCATGGTATCTGCGACACTTTGCACTCGAGTCCAGACTCATCACAAGTACTCTCTGTATCAGCGATCTGGTTCGTCTTGATGTTGATCTCATTTCCGCAGACACATAGTCGGTTTCTAGAATGGCTTTAGCAACATGAAGGAGGAAATCTTGAAGAACGCGTTGTCCATACTGAAAATGCTTGATCCCGGCCTGCGAGTACCCAAGACGACCACACAACTCAGCACAGGATTCAACATCATGATGCCGTGTCAGTGAGACCGTTCTGCTGAAGGCTCGTAACCCGGGCAAATTCTCAAAACACTGGCGACTTCCAATTTCCGGCGCGTATTTCAGCGCTGGAAGACAGTCTCCCGATGTGAGAGGTTTCTGGGCATCGTCCGCGTACGCCGCGGTAGCCAAATAGGCACCTTGAACGAGGAACGTGAGTCTGCTGATGGTTTGGAACTTCATCGCGACCGCGGTTTGGAATGATGTTGGTCTTGAGTGAGAGGTCAGGTGAGGTTCACCTGTGCCTCACTCCCTGATAACGGTGTTGCATCCCTACCCCGCGGCTGATGCGGGGTGTTTGGCCAGCTGCATAGCCGGAACGCCCCTTGAAGGGATGCCGGTTGGTGTGCACGAGGGATCGCCAATCATCGATCGCATCTCTGTCTTATCAACAAACATCCATGTGTTGGATCCTTTCGAAGCCTAAGCCTGAAAAATATGAAGCGCTCAGTTACGAATTTGGTATCCATTTTCACCAGTGAATATGTAGGCATGGCATCAAAGTCGTAGTATCACGTTTGCATTAATGAAAATGGTGAGAAATTTGTGTAGTGTTGCCGACCCAAAAGCTGCTTTTTTAACGAGGCATCTAGTTGCAAATTGGTTCCGACGGACTCGTGCAGAACTTCCCACCAACCCTCCAGGGTCCGACATCTTCTTATTCCTCAAATGTTGACCTTACCAAATATGTATGGTTTCCTCTTCCACGTCAGATGGTAAATCACAGTATTCGAATTTCCAATGATCCTTTGTTCCTACTGAGCAGAAACCGCTGACAAACTGCCACATACCATGACCAGAAGGCCGGGGTCGAAGGAGAACGGGGTAGTAAGCGCCCACGATGAAGCACAGCCTGTCGCCTGGAAGTGCTTCTTTGGGGACCAGACCTATTTGATTTCTGGAATCTCGAAAGAGGCAAAAGTCCTGCAGTGATTCCGCCAGAACCTCGTTCACTTCGTCATCATATTCCGGAGTCCAGTACCATGGGCCCTCAAGTCTAGTGAGCTTCTTGCAGCACAAAGTTGGGTAACTCCGAAGGGTCTCACCCGTAGCAATAGATTCAATATGTCAGCCCAGCTGTACTCTAAATTACGAATGCCTGGAAATGTCAGCACCTTGAAGGAATCGGTATTGAAGACTGAGACCTCCATACCTTGAAGAACTGGCGTCGAGAGACTTGGGTGGACTGTGGTCGACTTTAAATTATCGTCCGCGTGCGAAGTTGTAATGCTCAGAATCTCTTCAATCTGTTGTCTTGCATCTGATAAATCCTCGAAAGAGAACGGAGCACCTAGATGTTGAATGTGGGATATCATATAGCCCGTGACCCGAAGGACGAGGTGGTCGCCCCAGCTGCAGCAGTCGCACTCGTATCGCCGTAGGTGGGAACTTTTCCCTTGATATGACAACCTGTCCGGTTCTAGTTCGTTCTGCTGACAATGTGGAAGGCGCCATTTCGGCAAAGGCTCCTGCCAATTCGGTGCCCACGAAGGCATGTTCATGCCATGAGGGCGAACGACGGCTGTAAGGAGCCAGAGGTCAACTTCATATCGTAGAAGGAATTGGCCAACGTTAGTAAAGGCTTGCTCTGTAGTGACGGTATAGTCGATGATCGAGTCAAGTTCTGATGCCACATCCTCCACAACTTCAAAAGGATGGATGTGCTCTTCCACTTTGAACAGAGCACGAAGAGCAAAGACCTTGTCCCGGGGGTCTGAAGCCAAGCATGGGGTACTCCAAAGGAGCGAAGACCACAGATTTACCGTCAAAGGAGTTTGGTTAAGTGGTCTCAAAGCCAACGGGCAATTGGCTGTAACCAAATTCCCACAGTACCCAAATGCACAGGCACGTAAAACTTCTGCGGGTGCTTGAGCTGAGCCACACATGACTATCGCACCGGGTAATGTCGATAATCTCGAGTTGCGTATCTCCTGGAGAACCCAAACTCTTTTGAACCAAGGCCTCTCGAAGAGTTCTTCCATCGCATGGATGACCTTGGGTCCCGGCTCTGGCAGATCGGGCACGTACTGTCCCCAGTGCGTATGATATACTCGAGGCGCGGACATTGCCAGCTTCAACTCTTCAAATAAGAGATGAGATGATGGTGTCTCCTCGCCGAGATAGACGACGACGCGGTGAGAAGCTGCATACACGCGTCCCATCAAGCGTACTTGTGACGTTCTTTCCGACACGTTCTCTTGGTTGACGCAAAGAGAGTCGATCCATAGCAAACGCTGCGAGTTTCGATTTCGGAGGCTCAGGAGAACCTCTAAGCAGTTGCGGGTGACCATGGCTTGGGATTTGAATGATCCTGATACGACGGGTACCAGGTCTGAAGCATTCCCCCAAGTGTATGACACGGCTTCATACTCTGGGAAACCCGAAGGCCGAGTTATGGTCTCATGCCATTTCCTCTGCGGCGCAGTATCGCCCTCGGTACCTTGTGATTCAGTATCGCCCTGGGTGCTTTGGAACTCGGCATCGTCCACGTCAGAATCGCTGGACCCTTCATCGTCGAAGCATTCGGCGGAGCAATCCCACGGTATATCAGATCTGCATTTCCATTCTCTTATGTGTGGTAAAACAGGACAAACGTCCAGAAAAGTGCACTCGACCGGTGCGCTTCTATCAGGCGCTGGGTGCAAGACAAGGATTCGAATCGACTCCGGATGCTGAAGAGGGGCGTACTGATATGGTACGGCCGCCATGTCGTCGCTTGCGTTCTACTTCGGCGCTCGCGTACTCAAGAAGGAGATCGCGACAGCTTCTCGTCGTAAGCCTGTCAGCTGCCTCACATAGGAAGCAAAGAATGCGGTTGAGAAAGGCTGGCGAGTGCTGACGAGAGCCCAGGTTGAAGCTGACCAGTAAGACGACTTCGTCTTACGCCCCACTGACAACTCGTCCTGCACTGCACTGCTGCAGTCATGTCAGGATGTCACTGGTCCGTCTGGACCCTGGCTGAGATAAGAATTGCACTGAGCCCATTCGGAAGCAGAGGAAGTCACCGCTGCTGATTTGCCGAGTCTAGATGAGTAGACGTCCTCGCGCCTCTCTATCATAGGTCTCCAACTGCAGTCTCTAACTGCGGTCTAAGAGCAATGAGGTCTGTCTTGATACCAGCAAGGAACATATCCCATTTCGTATGCAAGACATCTTACATTGCGCCCAGACTCGGCAAGGGCCAGTCGAAACAAACAACAAAAGAAAGCATCAAGCTTAAAACCAAGGAAACCGGCAGGCAGTTTGGAAACGCAGACCAGGCACCCAGCATCCGGGCAGTTAAGCCAAAGCCCAACGGCTGGGCCACGACTTCGGCAAAGTCGAAACTTCTCGTATGACAACTTTCCCCGCGGCCTCCCTTCTCGCGATATCTACCCCGCCAGCTGGAACACCGGGTGCGGGGGCGCTTCGAGGCGACGTTCAAAGTTTTCATTCGAGCCCGGTCGAAGGCCGCTTCGATCCCCCACCATGAAGCGGGCGAGCGGGGGCGGACTGCTTCGACTCGTCTAGCGTCTAAGAGGTTGGTTGGTGAGGCCGGGGTACGCAAAGCGGGCGGCGTCGAGTCGGGTGGTATCAATCAGCCATCGTACATGGCGAGATCTCCCGGAGTACCGATGGCCGCACGGCGGGGGCCTTACATGCGGCCTGTCTGACCAACAAGCCCCCGCGCTGAGGCTTGCCCACACGCTTGTGTGGCACAGCAGAAGAAGAACTTCCCGTCGTTTCGGATGGTTGTTTTCGCATGAGGACTCACCGGGCTGTTTGCCCTGACTGAGATGCTGTGCTCGGGCAGCTTAGATGCTGGCGAATATGCCGCAAACCGGTTATGCTTCATGAGACACCGTCCAGAGCCGGGGACGGACGTGTAACAACATAACTGGCAATGGGCCGTGGAACTCAGACCTTTGCAGGTGGAGCTTTCAGACGGGACATCGACCGATAGAGGCGGCCCAGGGGAGCAGGAACAGACTGGCGAAGCGGGCTGGGCTGACAGGGCATGCTCGAATTCTGTTACATCCAGGCATGAGAGAGACCCGTTCTGGTGCAGCAAAGGGGTCTGAAAAAAAGTGAAGGGGATATGGACAAGATACGGTCAACAAGCGTCTTGCGCAAGGTGCGAACCGAGCTCGGATGACCAACCTGGCTACCTAGGCCGGGGCTTGGGGGCACAAGGAGCGGTTATCTTAACCTTCATTGCTTTTGCAACGATACGCATATGCATCATTGGGGGATCAGCGTTGGGGGCGGAACTGTAAGAGGTGGAGGTTGGTTGCGTTGCGTTGCTTTACGCATAAAACTTTGCGGCGCAAGACGTCTGATCCTCATCGAGTCGACCGGTCGACATTCGAATGATGACTGCCTAGTAACTCAAGTTCGTGCAGTCTGGAAGGAAAAAGCAAAAATTTGAGTAGCCCGGCTGCCGAAGGCAAAGCTCGCTTCCAACTGCATGCACTGCAATGCAGGTCTGCAGGATCGTCTACTACTGCGTCGGCAGGCTGTGTCCTACCGGAATGCCTTTGCCTCTTTCAAGTCCTGATTGCGAAAACCCACAATCCTGGCGGCCGTACTGCGGGATCCGGACGAATCGTGTATCGGCGATATTGCAAAAAAGACGATGAACAGGGTGACGAAACGACGTTGCGATGGGGCTGACGCTCGCCTCGTCCACTACAGATCTTGGTAGGCGGGGCTTGGATCTGGATCGTCGACTCTTCTTCTCTTCGAAGGGTTGCAGCTGCCGGGGGGAAACAGGGAGGAGAGGTTGCAATCCAAGATGGAAAAGAGACCATCCGTGCTGCGATGACGGAGGGAGGCCAAAGCCCCGTCAAACTTTTCAGCCGGCGAGCGGGAGCCGTCCGACGGGCTTCTATCGGCGGTTCATGAGGCGAACTGATGACCGCTGCCGGCCGGCCATAAAATATCTCGAGACATTTGCTTTTGGACTTCCGAAAGCTGACATGGGCGATGCGTTGAATTAGACTTTCCAGTACCGTCTCCAGGTCTTTGCCACGCTTGCAGCATCCGAGTTTTGTCTCACGACGGAGGTGTCTCTCCTGCCAGCGTTTTCTTTTGTCTCTCTCTTTCGGTCGAGGTTCTCTGCACGAGGAAGAGAGTCGCTTTCATGCTTAATGTCGCCGCCCCTGAGGGTGATCAAGTTGGCTGGCCGCTTGGTCCCCCAACAATCGAGGTCCGTCTCTCTCAATTTCAACTGATGTTTTGACGTGTCGTCGCACTGACGCAGATCGTTGACAGGTAATGCGCCTCACCATCGGATAGACCGTCTGAAAGGAGAACCGTGGGCATCCCAAAATTGTCCCCAATTCGTTCAGCTGTCAAGATCGCAACGCCCGTTCACCGCATGGCGTGTTAGCACTTTGCCAGGTCAGATTCCTCTGGGGCAATGTGGGTATCATCACCACAGGCTGCTACTATTATTGACAGGGCCAATTCTTAATCATGTGGCCATAGTATCCCGGTCGGGTGCCTTGGCCCCTTCTGGTCGTTAATCTCACCGTTGATGGACAATCGAGAGAAGCGAAATGCGGCCCATCATCGATTCTCCAGGGGACCCCCAAGGCCAAACCATTGAATCCTCTGACTTCCCAAGTCAGCACATTGGGGAAAGAAGACGCTGCGTGTTTGCGCAACGTTTGAACCATCAGTTCCTTATCTGAAAATATGGTTGAATCTTTACCGCAGAGTTCTTAGTCGCACAATTTGACAGCCGCAGACTATTGGCTTAGGATACTGATGGTGTGTTCGCACGTTCCCTGTCTCTTCAAGATATTTGCCCGGCTGAGGCGCCATTGGCTTTGGCCTCAGCTCGGAGCATGACACGCCCGCGAAGGAACGGTGCGTCCAATTTTGTTTTCTCGGGGAGGCTGCCTTTGACAATGGTTCCCTGCTTTCTTAACGGCCAACTCCTTTGGCAACCCAGGATGCCCTCGGCAAAACTTCTTGTCTGGCTCGTGATGGGAAGTGTACACGGACGCCAAGGCAGCCCGAATACATCATCAAGCATGGAATAGCCACCTCAAAGGTTGGTGGAGGTTTGGCTTCGCCGCTTGCATGCAGCCTTGAGTGCCAGCGACCATGTCGGCACAAGGTCAATCCCCAATCCCACAATGCCCACCGAATTGCTCTTGCCAAAGTGGGTGAAAGCCAAGCTGTCATCACATACCTTGTCGTGCCCCAGCAGAGGGCGATCTACTCTACCCTTCCTGGTCTTTTCCCCAAAGACTATTGGAAATTCAGAATGCGATTTGCAGATTCTCTGCCTTGTTGCGAGAAGCTTATTGTCAATATCATAAAGTCGTCAGTGAGGACATAGGATAGATCGTCGCAAGCTTCGTCCGGACCACTCCAGAGATGGGATGGCGGATCAATTGACATGCACCCCGAGAGGTCTGTGAGCTGCAGAAGACACTGCCGTGATGTCCGTGTCCGCCCAAAGACGAATGGTCAAGAGACGAGACTTGCGCCTAACCCAATGTAGGCGGTCCCTTTTGTCCAAAAGGAGGCTTGTTCGCGAAGACCCGACGATTTGGACCGCCTACGTGGAAACGCTGGATGAAGCCCGTAATACTTGTAATAAGCGACGAACACCAGCAACGCCAGACCAAGTGCTGCGAGTCGCAGAACGGAGTGTATTCCGTTTGCTTTTGCTTTTGCTGATGCGCTGCCCCTCCCACTCAACTCCAAACAGAATATTCTGCACTCGACGACGCAACGAGTCATTGGGGGGCTGCAATGATGGACTGTTTCCATCGCCAACGGCGCGCCGCCAGCGCAGCGGTCGATTCGATCGGGAAGTTGCTTTTCCGCACCCCCAACTCTTAGCACAAACTGGCAAACAGTCCGCCGGTAAGTTAGGCTGGGCGGCGGCATCTCTCAGACTTGCTTTTGGCGGGTACTTGCTACTAGCAAACTCGGTTGTTTCTTGCAGTACGACTGAGACTGGCGAGCAGTCGTAAATTGCTCCCAAGTCCTGAGCAAGCATCTCAGCCACGCCATCGTCTCCTGGCAATCCAGCAACTTGCTCAAATGGGCGGTGGACACGGAGGCACAGAGCAGACCAATGGTCTAGCCCCTCGTCCAGAGAGACATTCCAGAATACGTGGAGCAGTCGTAAGGCCCCGTCATCGACCAGGTTCAGGGGCGTCCAAGGCCACCTGTGGTGGATTGTTCCCATGTCTTTCGCAATGTTGCTGGGTTCGGAAAGGGCGGGATCGCAGAACGAGACGGGAAATCCATGAAGCAACATGTTGAGCTGGCAGCGGGTCGCCTTCGTGCGTAGCCATCTTTGCTGAAGGAGAAGAGCGTTTGCATAATACCACAGGACTTGTTTATGTTGTGCTGCCACCGGGTTGCGGGCTTCTCAGCTCAACACCTGTCACCACCGGCATCCTCCCAAACGGTGGATCTCCCGAGGTTGGCAACTTGGCCGTCCCGCATCAGGCCGTTTCAAAAGATAGGTCGCCCACTACGGCCGATGCTGGGGAATTCTGAGACAGAGCCAGGACGGAAGCGGACGAGCAAGACGCCTCTTCGCCGGCCAAAGGAGCAATGCCCTAACGGCTAGAGCCTGCGAATAGAGAGGTACGGGTATGTCCCTGGCGTACGCTTCTGCTTCTATTAAACACGGATCTTAGTTCCGGGCGATTGTCGAGGGAACAAAACTAGTGGTTGTCTGGCCATGGGTGCGGCCACCCGATGCTCCGGTGAAGCTATTGCCAACAAGTGCCTCGACTATGGCGACCGGCGTCGAAAAGTCTGGAAACCCGAGCTGAACCTGACATTGAATCAAAGTTGGAAATTTGCAAAGAAACGCCCCCAAAATCGCTGCCGTCTGCGGTGGTTGACGACGATGAATTATGGCTGTGATGCCAGGGTTTATAGTGAATGGCGTTGCTGATCATCCCCGATGAGACCGTCTTCTGCCGTAAGAGGCAAAGATTCCTCCACACTCCCTCAGGGGCCCCGGCGATTGCCTGCAGAGATCATTCATTAGAAACCTTGACGAGCATTCACGAGCTTCAGTTGACGGCCAGGGTCGGGTTTCGCACGTCGTCTGCCCCCTGGTCGACCGCCGCTGTCAAATTGATTAAAGGAAAAATGGGCAGAGTGTCAGCGATTGCGACTGTTGTTGTCGTTGCCCGCCCGCCCGCCCGTCTTCTTTCTTCTTTTCCTCGGGAATCGTACGTATTCATCAGTCGTTCGGGAGGTGGCTCCATGGATGTTTCCGTTCCGCGTCTTGCCTGGCCGTCCCATGTGGCTTTTGTTGTCTGTTCCCCGGATGAAGATTAAAAACTATGCGTCCTCTTTGACATGCCCATCTCATAAATCAGGGGTGGAGGACCCCTGCCTTAGCCCCGGGTGTCGTTGTGCGCGGCGGCGGGAGGAACCAGGAAAGTGAGTGCCAGGCCGACGACCGACCACTGAAGGCGACGTAGGGGAACCGGACTTTTTGCAGTGATACGGAGTAGAGAGAGGAAATGGAGGTTCGCGGGCAGTCCGACTTTGCTCTTTTGAATTCCCACCGTCTCGTGTGGCTTGCAGGGATCGAGTGCGGTGGACGGCTAAGATCCATGCAGAATCTAGACGGCTTCCCACCCTAATCACCTGCAAGTCAGGCAGTCCCTAGCCAAGGAGGGGGGGAGGTGTGCGGTCCAGAGGTGGATGACCTTGGAATATCTGTAAAGGCGTGCGGTGTGTAAGGTTCAGGTGGCCATCGTCACGTCAAGGTGGTGCTTGTTTTCGTAGGCCACTTTTCCATCCATTCCCCCATATCATAACCACTATCCCCTCCTCGTCGCACATGTTCATGGGAGGAAGAACCTGCTTCTGAACCCTTTTCTCTTTTGCTTGCTCCAAGGTTCATGCTCATGTTCGACACGTGGAGGAACGGATTGTACGGATAACGGAAGAGAAGAAGAAGAAGTCTGTCTGGACCGGACCGAAACTTGGAAATTGTTTCCCAGTGGAGACGCAAACGGGAGTCTGGCTGATTCCTCACCCCCCTCTTTGGTGCTGGTGCTTCGTATGACGGCAGTCGCCTCATTTCTTTCCATCATCGTCGGAGGAGGACAACACCACTCGGGGGACATCTGCTCAGCTGTGCAACCGACAACACTTTTCGTTATCAGCAACGTCGCACGGGGGACGAAACGCAAAATTGCAGCTTGAAGAATATTCCAGCAGCGAGGCAAACGGATGGAGCCTTGTGTGGCCGCCGACTGGACCCTCAGAAACCGCATGCGTCGCTAGCCGCGGTTGTCAACCTTCTTTGACAAGGTAGTTCCCTCTTGCAATGACGGCTTCGTCCATATGAAATCCCCGGGTCACCCACGCATCAGACGAACTTCTTCCCTATGCGCCGCGCCCCAAAACATGTTTCCACGACTGAGCTGAGCTGACCGACCGGACAGACCTCCCCTTGACCCGTCGCGCTCGTCAAGATGGGTCGATCAAAGTTCACATTTCCTGTCCCGGGGAGGAAACAGAAGCCGCCCTTTGGGCCGATCGTGTCGGGACCGATGTCGAAAGCACAGAAAATCTTGGGCACCGCCGAAATCAACATCGATGCGCCTCGACAATGGGACAACGCCTCGACCTCCGGCATCAGCGTATCCGTATCCGAGAGCACCGCGACGTACAATCCAAGCGAAAGGAGTCGAGTTCAACAACAAAGCGAAGAGAAGGCGCCCGCTGGGAACCATCGTAGAAACAACAGCCAATGGGAACAGGAATCGGAGATTGTGCCGGCATATCTGACGAATCGGTTTTCGCAATTGAATACGGACGCCGGCCCGAGGGACTTCACCGAGACATCGAGCCTCACCCGCCGAGGATCGAGTTCGACAATCACCTCGTGGTACGACAAGTCCAAAATGCCACTTTCCATATCGCAGCAAACGTCATCCTCGTCCATGGCAAAAGGTCTGCCCCAGAAGGCGAACGAACTCCTGGACATCGAAGGAAATTCGAATACTGTCGCCCCATTGGCGCTGAAACCGAAGAAGAAACCGAGTAGATTGGACTTGGGGCCCCTCTTGTCCCGACACAAACACGGCAGCCTCAAGTCCCTCCGTGAGGGAAACCAGGGAAACCAGGCTCCCAGCTCGGACTACGATGCCAGATCCCCCTCTCTCGCCTCCGTGACGTCGCCCAAATCCACGCCGCCACCCATTCAGCAGCGGACAGAGAGGAAGCTGGTGAGACGAAGCACGTATGAGCGCATGGTTGAGAACTTGTCATCGGGTCGCCCTAGAACCGGTTCTAGCAGCCGCAGAGGTGCGAACGACATAAGCCCGCTGCCCAATCTGTATGAGCATTATGAGCAGATGTCTTTCGATCAGGTTCTGGGACACGACGGGCCTCTGGCCAAACCAGACCAACCCATGGCAAACGCCGTTCCGACACCGCTGAGATCGCCACCATTGACTGAACCGAGGAAGAGCGCGTCCGTCTTGAGACCTGGGATCCGTCCGCATCAAGCACACGCAGCTGCGCCGGCAGCCAAGCCGGCACCTCGGACTTCTCCAGAAATCGCCAGTTCAGCCATCCAACAGGGTACACTCCCAGATCGAGATTGCGCGTCCAGCGTGTCGAGTCGGTACACCAAAACGTCGAAGGCTTCCAAACGAACGAGTCGAAGCATCACTGGCTCCGATTTGATGGAGAGAAGCGTGCTCTCCCTGTCGTCCGATTCCGAAGAAGACGATGCTTTCCCCGATACCTTTTCTTCGAAATTTACCGGTGAATCTCAAAGCAGCGACACGGGTAGCCTAGCGCCATCTTCACTGAGGTCGAATCGATCACGCGAGGCCCCCTCGCTCGCCTCTAGGAAGTCTGTCAAACATGCCAGCTTCGCGCCGACGAACACGTACCTCACGATACCGAGCAAGTCACCTCCGTCTAAAGCCCCCAGCCCCAATTCCCGGATGAGTTCCCTGCCGGCCACTCGGTACCAACCACCTGCCCCATCGAACCGTTCATCCATGTATTCGACCAAGTCGACGTCGACGACGAATTCTGGCAGTGACAGGCATGTTCGCCCAGAGTACGCGGCTCAGGAAGCGCGAGCCACTCCCCAAAAGCCCGTACAGCAGCCCCAAATCAAGCCTGAACGAGTGGTGGAACCGCCGCGGCGCATGCTGTCCACCAAGTCTTCGACTCATTCAGTCGACCAGCCAACACCTCCCTTGAGTCCGACATCCATAGAATCCTTCACGACATCGACGGAGTCGATCGAGGCCAACGGCGGATCTGACTCACGGTTCATGGCCGTCACACGGCAGGAGGAGATGCTGTTGGCCGCCCTGCGCATGAAGCGAGCTCGTATGCGAGAATCTCTCGTCTCAGAATACGAAGAGGAAACTCAGTACGGTTCGTCTTATCACCACCAGCGCAACTCGTCGCAAGGCACCATCAAGGAAATGCAGTGGCCCGAGCCTCCTCAGATGCTTCGGCACCAGACATCGACGAACTCCAACAGCACCATCAAGGCGGGTTCGCGGTCGTCGGAGGCACGCCCAGGGTCGCTGGTGGGCAGCCGGAATCACTCTCGTAGCAATTCTCGCCGTCTGGACATTCAGTCCTCGTCCTCCCGACCCGGCTCCATGCCATCGTCGAGAACAGGCAGCCTGAGGCGAGCAAGACCTTCCCTGGAAGTCCCGGCGGCAGAGGCCAAGCACGAGCGCATACTTCTGTACTTGGACCGGCCCGTGGGCAACGTCAGTTCAATGGACTTTGCCGAGCCAAGTCCCGACCTGAGCGATTTCATGGACTTTGACAATGGAAGCGACGAGGAGGACGAGCTTTCGAGCGACCCTTCACTTTATCGACACCGTCTTCAGGGATTTGGGTTTCCCAACAAGGGCCGAGGACGTATGCTGAGGACGAGTGAGCCTGGACGTCACGATTCCTCGCCTTTGAGACCGCGAAACTCGGCTGAACTCGCCGAGCAGGTTCGTGTAGTCGAATCCGAGAGCGATATCGAGCCGGTGGCTGGGATCCCGAGACCGGATTCTCCTGTCTCGCCTGAGGGGACACTGCCCTTGCCCAACCATAGACTATCGTCGAAGAAGGCCGTCAGGTTGAGCGCTGTCGGTAATGCCGGGGTGGAAGCCGGCTGGTGGGATGACGATGGCTGACGGGTTGAAACGAGGGAACGGAAGCTTTGCCCGCAAATGGTTCGGATAATCTCTTCTCGATACCCTGCACATGATAATTTTTCTTTGTCGATTGATCTTGTACAAATCTCGGACGGATTAGAGACAGGAGGCGTGGTGTTTTGTTTTGGGTTCGCAGAGGCGGCGGGTAATCTTTTCTTCTGGGACGAAGCGGGAGGGAAAGCATTTTTGCATGAGCCATCTGATTTTTGCTGATATTGTTTCTGCTGGTTTTGTTGCTCCGATGGAGCTGATGGCATCACGCCTGGATCGTCTCATTGAGTCTGTAATTTTATTACAAGAGATGCTTGATGGTAGCATAATGTGTTTGGATGGAAGAAATGACGGAGTTTGAAGCTTGGAGAAGTTGGGAGAAGGCAAAAAGGCAGAACATCTCATGAGGGAAGAGAGCATTCTCTCTCTCAGTAGGTACGTACGTCTTGCTAAGGTACTTACTACCTTCCGTATAAAAATCTATCAACCACCTACCTTCCATGAACTAAAGCTTCCGTACCACGGGAAATCGCTACCTCTAGCGTCCAGTGGTTACCTCTTGATTTACAACGTACATCATTGCCTTCTTCTCAACTCGACCTTCGGTGATAGGGACCTAAGCATTATTGAGCAGCAGCACCAATAATCCGCCGACAGCATCATCTTGTCACGATCGGTTGCAAAAGTACGGCCGTTATTGTTTAACACGTAAGGGCGATTCCGGCCCATCTCTAAATTGAGTGAGATAAAGTACTAGTACATAATGTCACATCCGGCTGTCCTCCCGTGCAGTGATCCATCAACGCCGGTTCCGTGTTTTGTAATCATCTCTTTCCCGCCGCTTCGTCAAAGCTCTCCAAGACAGTCTCCTTCAGAGGCTTGTCCTCATCGCTCTCGCTGGCCTCTTCGTTGTTGACAATCTGCTTCGCCATCGTCTTGGCTTGCGCCTCGCCGACCTTGCCGTAGACACTCAGACCTGTGGCGATCATGCCGCCGATATCACCCACGTTGCCGGGGACGACCACAGCCGTACTCTCCTTGGCCAACTTGGCAAAGGCGTCCACGTACTTCTCGGCGACGGATAAGCTGACGGCACCCTTAGCCGCGTCCTCGCCCTCGGCGATGCTCTTCGCAATGGCGTCAATGCCAGCAGCAGTAGCCATGGCCTTCATGCGGATAGCCTCAGCTTCACCAGACGCCATGTTGATCTGCTCGGCGCGCAAGGCCTCGGACGCAAGAATAACGCTCTGCTTCTTACCCTCGGCAATGTTGATGGCTGACTGGCGCTGTCCTTCGGAATCCAGAATCTCGGCTCGCTTCGATCGCTCGGCAGTGACCTGTCGGTGCATGGCTTCAACGACACCGGCCGGGGCGTGGATATCACGGATCTCGTATCGCAGGCAGGTGACGCCCCAAGCCTGGGCAGCCTCGTTGATGGCAGCGGTGATGTTGGTGTTGAGAGCGGCGCGCTCCTTGAGGACGTGGTCGAGGGTCAGTTGGCCGATTTCGGATCGCATCGTGGTCTGCGCCAGCTGGGAAATGGCGTATTCGGCATCCTCGACGCCATAGCTACAAGACAGTCAGTATGTTTGCGCGAGAGAACCCAGAATTCGCTTGGGGCGGCCTGACCTAGCCTTGTAAGCGTCGAAGACGCGTGTGTAGAGAACACCATCCAACTCGAGGGTAACGTTGTCGGCCGTAATGGCGCTCTGGCTCGGAATCTCAATGGCGACTTCCTTGAGCGACTTGACGTAGGAGATACGGTCGATAAAAGGAACGAGAATAGCAAGACCAGGGTCGAGAATGCGGTTAAACTTTCCCATGCGCTCGACGATCCATGCTGTCTGCTGAGGGACGAAGCGGATCACGGTATTGGCGGGGAGAGAAGGCTTCTGGAAGTAGGATGGAGGAATGCTGGAACCGATGCCAAAGCTTGATGGGAGCAGGCTCTTGGTGCTCGTCTGGAAGCTGCGCGACTGAGTGAATGCCCTCCGCAGAGGCGGGGAGAGGGCCGCCTTGGTTACCGCCGAAGCCATCTTTGCTGCAGCATTGGCCCAAGTCGAACTGAGTGCGTGGATCACGGATGGTGGAGGTTGTAAGCTTCTGGGGGCAGCTCTCTGTCATGAGCTAAGCACCGTGGGTCGTCGCTGCCGAGAAAAAAAAAAGGCTTCCATGGGAAGTAGGATGACGGAAGCGGCAGATGCCTGCCGGATTTTAGCCGGCGGAATGGGCCGAGGCCCACCGGCTTCCAGGTCGTGGTTCTCGATGTTCCTGTAGTTTCCAGCGGCCCTACTTCCATTGTTTCCTACCTTGCTGCTCTGAACCATACTGTCAATTTCCAATGGCTGCTTCATTGCATTTCACCGAATACACTATGGAATGCCCATGAAACCCAACTCATTGGGCGTTGACTATGAGATGCATCAACAGGTTTCAGTCTTGATGCCCGCCGCCAACACTGAAGGCGCAATGGCATCTATCGGTGGTCCACTTAGGATGATACCGCAGGGCAGTCATCTCGTGCTGCGACGGATACAGATTCACAGTTTCCAATGGAATGAGGCCGTTGAACTCATCACTATGTCTGAGCCATACGCAGTTTCAACATAGCTGCTGTCACTGGCAGGAAACCTCTCCGCCTTGTTTGGTGCACACATGCCAAATGGCAGAGTTGAACGGGGGGGAAGTCGTAATCATTGAGCCGTACTACCAATGCCATGTATACCGGGAATCAGCCCTTGCAATCCATCCATACCCTTTGTCGCACATCCGGGGAATCATGAAATCGGCTACTGGTAGACAGAGCCCTCAGGAGGCTGGGGAATCTTCTTGTTAGCGGGAGCCGCCATGTATCTGCAGAGCTTATTAGCAAGGCGTGCGTCGAGTATTAGACGGCGTGTGCTCGGACGCACCTCCTGAGCTCGATCAAGATAGTCTCCATGGTGTTTTCTCTCTTCCAGTTGGCAAGGCAGGGCAGCTGCTTGGGGTCGACGACGCCGTTGCGAGGGTTTACGCAGGGCAGGTTGACCTGACTAACGAACTGTATCGTGGGGGGCTCGTCAGGGTAGTTCGGGCCGCAGTGCATCTTCAAGGAGTAGATTCGGTTCTCGTGGACACTCTGTTGGGACAACTTATTAGAGTATGCACAACACAAGTTGCAGCCGGGGGATAGAACGTACGTGGGGAGGGCCCAGAATGGTACCATTCCAGTCAGACATGAGAAGATCTTCGGCATCGTTCAGACCGTACGAGCAAGCCTCTGCAAATGGGAGAGTCAGTCAGAATGCGCGGGGCAGCAGGACATGTGTCACAGGGTCTCAAGTACCTGCTCCAAGGCCCTTCTCGCCCTTCTCGAGCTCCTCAAGGAGTCTGAAATTGCGTGGAACCTTCGCGCCCATGATTGCTGGTCTTCAGATGTCGTGGGTAGAGGGAGGTTGTGGTGGGTTGGAGGCGAAGTTGCGATGTTCGTGATGGAGGGGTCACAAAGTGAGAGGGACGACGCAGGGCAGAGCAGAGCAGTCCGGCTCGGTCTTACCTAAGGTGACGGGAACCTCGACCCGCAAACGGTCGCTGGTGGTAGCTCGTCTCAGTGAAGTCAGCTCTTGCCAGAGGGATCCCCCGTACCCCGCCGGTGAGATAGGTACAGCGCCTACCCGTCGTCAGTTAGGCCGCCCCGGCACCTAACGTGCCTGATACGCATGCACGAGCCAGCGCGGGGCATTGGCGACCTTACAGGCGGTGAGTTATTTCTGCCAATTGGAAGGTCACCGTGGTAAGAGCAGGTGGGTACCTTTATGCGAGCTGAGTCATCATTCAAGGTGGACAGCTCACCTCAATCGGGAGCTCATGTTGGGATGGACACCGAACATCGCAGTTAATGGCTAGCTCCCTTGGACTTTCCTACGAACACCATCCGTTTTCTTACCTCACCACAACGCTGCTCAATAGGTTTTCTGGCAAATTCGGGCTTTGTCGACCACAAGCTTTCGTTTGGTGTCTTTACCCGATGATGGACTGCCCTTGGGGCCACTCGTGACGAAATGACGACCCAGCTCCTAGCTACGGAGCTAACGAATCTCATCCAAGAAAGCAAGCGGAAGCATAATGATCTTCGACAGGTATGTTGTTTATCTGCTGATGAAGAGTCTCTCGATTGACCCGACATCTCCAGGCCGCCGAAAAGTCTCTCGATGAGCTAAAAGGGCTTCGAGGGGCCAATGAAGCTCAAGCTGCTAACGGTATTGCCGCGTCTCCCGAGTTCCGAAAGTGATGATATCGACCTTGTCTGACCTCACAAACAGAGCTGGCGCAGCGCCCCAATTTTGTCAACCCCTTCATCATTGCATGTGGCACCAAGAATGCAAAGTTCACCGGCATCGCTATTGTATGCCTTCAAAGGCTCATCGTCGCCCGCGCTCTACCCAGGGGAAAGTTGAACCAGGTTCTGGAAGCACTGAGTGAGGCGACCTCTGCCGGTCTTGATGTCCAGCTCAAGATTCTCCAAGCCCTGCCGTCCCTCTTACAGAACTACGCGACCGATCTGAAAGGAGGCCTCCTTGTTACTGCCTTGAACATCTGTTTCATCCTGCAGACCAGCAAAAATGCTATCGTCAACAACACCTCCGCTGCCACCCTGCAGCAGCTTGTCGTTTCGGTATTCGACAAGGTGGTAGCCGAGGACAAGTCCGGAACGTCAACACCTCCCGCTGGCGAGGCGCCAATAGGTGATGGCACGGTTGAACTGCGCGCGGCTGCCTTGGATGCGTATAGGGTAGGCGTTGTCCTCCTTAGCAAACCGCTCCGGTTGCTGACTTTCTCCTAGATATTCATGGACCTTTGCCTCATGACAGAAAACCAACGCCCCGAGTACCTCAGGTTTTCCGGGCTCCCGCAGACCTTTGGGTTGGAGCTGATAGAATCAGTTCTCACCAACCATGCCTCCGTATTTTCGTCGCACAAGGAGCAAGCCCACATCCTCCAGACCCGTGTCATGCCCTTCATTATCAGCGCTCTAAAGGGCAAGCCCAACTTTGCAACGTCAGTCAGACTAGTTCGGATTCTCTATACGCTCTTGCGACGACACATCAACATTCTTCCCTCTGAAAGTGGCGACGCCCTGGACATCCTGACACAACTACTCGACCAAGAAACGGCAATATGGAAACGAGCTCTGTGCCTCGAGGTGTTCAGGGGCATTTTTGCTGAGCATGCTCTGATCAGACGCATTTTCGTCAACTATGATGCGAAGGAAGGAGAGAAGAATATCGTGAAGCACCTGACGGCAACCTTCGTGCGACTGAGTACTGAAAAGCCGTCTGTCATCGGCCTGGGACATCAATCCACAATCCCCGTGGCGAACCCATATGCGAGCATCGCCTCGTCTACGGATCAAGCTATGCTCGAGGCGAGCGGCGTTACTGGCATCATCAGCGGATCCGTTGGCTCAGATGGTTCCAACATCGGAATCAGCACCCAGTGGAGCAATGTCAGAGTTCCCTGCATCGACCAATTGGACAAGACCGAAGCGCCTTCCATTCCAGAATCCTACATTTACAGCTTGACGCTCTCGTGCATCTCCTCATTGTCGGAGGGTCTTGCCAAGTTTATACTTCCCCTCACCGTTCCAGGAGACAGCCGCGGCCGCAAGAGAAGTGGAAAGCAGGAGCCAGGTCGGGATTCTCCCGCTCCCCCGCAAGACGATGCCGATGGCCAGCGCGGAGCTTTGGAACGCTCGGCATCTTTCAAGAAGAATCCGGTGCCCCTTAACCCGTTAGTTTTGGAGGACCATCCCCTACACAATGAAGTCAAGATTTGCGCAGCCATCATTGAAGAATGTTGGCCAGCCATTCTTGCTACTTGCTCAACGCTGCTATACGCTGCCATGGATTCTGAGTACTATCACAGCCTAGTAAGGGCATTTCAAAAGTTTGCCCACGTGGCTGGATTGCTCCAATTGTCGACACCACGAGACGCATTTTTGACGACACTGGGCAAGGCTGCAGTTCCGCCAAACGTCTTCACAGCTTGTCTCAACGCCGGTACAGCCCGACCCACGACACCAACACCGACCACAGAAGCCCCAAGCAGTATTTTCAGCAATGCGCGAGGGCTATTAAGTGTCGACAGCTTGAATCAGTCGACTCCCGTTGCTGACAAAGGCCGGCAACAGAGTGTCGATGGAAGTCAGATGACCCTTAATACTCGCAACCTGCTCTGCTTGAGAGCACTTCTTAACCTCGGCATCGCGCTTGGCCCGACACTTGGCTCATCGTGGCGGATCATCCTCGAAACGCTACAGCAAGCCGACTTTGTTCTCTTCTCCACAAGTAAGACTCCTGGACGAACACCTCTTGCCACCAAGGGAACCGACCATCAGGCCGAGGGTGAAGCAAGCGCCCTGCTCTCAAACTTTGCTAGCGAAGTGAGAGCTGTCGAGACTGCAGCCTCGAGGCTGATTGAAAGCACCATCGATTTCCCCAACGACGCCTTTGGCGAGGTTGTAACGGCGATATGCAATCTTCTCGAGAGAACCAACGACGATAAACAGAAGGTTGAGGCCGCAAGTCAACCACAGTCCCCTCAGTCTGCCAGCATGAAGCCTCCAGTACAGCAGCATCGCCGCGTTCTGAGCGTCTCTACCGCCGCCGCAGCGGGCCCGAACCAAGAGGATCATTTCGCTCTTGCTAAGCTTGGCGATATTGCGACCATCAACATCGACCGTCTACTGTCGTACCCGCCTGACATCTCTGGCTGGACGCCGTTGACATCCGAACTCATTCACATTCTCAACGCCTCGTCGATGAACTCCTCTGTTAGACTGCGTGCGGCAGACATTCTAGTCAGGCTAGCTCTCGAATCAGCCAATGTGGCTGCGACAATGGAGCGCGAGCAATGTGGAAAAGTCCAGCTTCTTCTTCTTGAGGCCCTTCGGGACGCACTTCTGCCACTGCAACAACAAGACAGAGAGGTCACTGTATCTAGCCATGGTACCGACATCGAAATCCACAAGGCGATTCTCGAGGGTCTGAAAAATTTGCTCGAGAATTGCGGCGAAACCCTTGTGAGCGGTTGGGAGATTGCTTTCGAAATCATTGGCTCCATCTTCATCGACAAAAAGTTCGCCCCGGAAGAGCGCAGGGGCTCCCAGACGGTTGTTCTCATGACACGATCAGCGAAGCTCGTCCGGTCTTCTTTCAATTCTCTTCAACTTATCTGCTCTGACTTCTTAGCGTCTCTGCCAAACTCTTGCTTCCTTATACTTGTTGATACCCTTTACAAATTTTGCTCGCAAGATGACGACCTCAACATTGCTCTTACGGTAGGCTCAACGTCCGCAGTCTTCTGAACATCAGCTGACGATCACAGACTGTGACGTTCTTTTGGGTCCTTTCGGACTTTCTTTCCGGAAAGACAGAGTACCTGCCAATTACCGCTGATCTGATGCAAGGCTCAACCATCTCAGAGCTGGCCGCGCTCGCCGCGAACTCGGAGCACAACGCGTCCGATGCGGCACTCTGGATGCTTCTGCTTCTCAGACTCACGACTGTGACAGCTGATGGGAGGCTGGAACTGCGGAATAGTGCAATTCAGACTCTGCTGAGAATATTTGACGCATATGGCGACAAGCTAAGCCCGGAAGCCTGGTCGGTCTGCGTCAAATCTGTGATTTTCAAACTTATATCATCCATCGAGGAAGAACTGCAGGCTGCAGCCAGCGACAGTTCAGTACATCGGGATCAAAAGGAATGGCACGAAACGGCCGTTGTCGTATTGAACGGCATCTCGGAACTTCTAGCCACCTACATGGATTCTCTGTCGAGCCACTCTTCCTTTAACGCTCTCTGGCAAGAGCTTCTTGGCCACTTCACAACTCTCCTTGACTTCAAGGTGCTCAACATCAACACGGCAATATACAAAGCTCTCGGAAAAGTCGTTAAGCTCGAAGACGACCCCGACCGGGAAATTTTCGACGCCACCACTGTCAATGCTGTTTGGGAAATGTGGTCTCGGGGCACACCAGTTTCCTCAGACGAAGAGGACGGAAAGAAGGCAGACAATCAAAATTGCCTGATCGCTTTCGTCGCTGCATTCCACGACGTGTACCAGCTTGTACAGAAGGATTTGACGGTTGACCGAGTTCGTCAGATGCTAACGCTCTTCCGCGAGGCGCTACAACAAGCAACTGTGGCGGCCTACGTCAACGATATCGAGTACGTTACTCCGCTGCAGAACCAGGTGCTCGAGGCAATCAAGATGGTGCGAACAGATCTCGCCGGCGTTCCATCAGCAATGATATCCCAGGTGGCAGAGTTTGTCCGTCTGGCATTCAGCGACGAGGTCCTCAAACCGCAAACACCTACACAGCGAAGGACCTACGTCGCAATGTCAAAATCCAGCATGGCCATCTTGCAGACTCTGATCCTGAAGAACGCCTCCGACGCAGACATTTACTCTAGCGAAGCCTTCTCCGCCGCCCTGTCCGCCCTGTCCAAGCCCGTCGTTTTGAAATACGGCTTCCCGATCGTCACTAAATCAGTCCAGCCATGGCGTCTCGCTACAAACTCTATCCTCGCCGTTCTGGAAGCGACACTGCCTCAAATCCGCACCCTCGAAGTCCCTCGTTCGACTCTCCAGAGCATCTGGCAAATGATTGTCGAAATAGCCGACGGCATCGTCAGCGCAGACTGCCATGCGGCCCCAACAACTGCCGACCTCTCAGACGACGAATCCTTCGACATCACAGCCTTCCACAAGCTCCGCGAGCTCATAATCCCTTCCCTGGGAGCCGAAGCGATTCCCGACAAAACCCGTAAGGCCTACGCAGAGTCATTGTTCCGGACATCCATCATCCACGCCCCGTCGCCGGCCGAGACCTCTCTCCTCTCCAGCAGCGACGGCACCGATCTGGCGGCACTGTACAAGAAGCGAAACGGTCGCACGATAGATCCCGCTCCCACCCGCCGCGAGCGCATGAGCTACGTCTGCCTCGACGAACTCTTCTCCCTCGTCTCCGTGTACAGCGAGGACTCCCTGCGCATCGTAGTCCAGCCGCCCACGCCCGCATTCCCGCCTCCTCGCTCCGTGCTGTCCGAGGCGCCTCAGGCCCTGCACATCCGCATCGCCCGCACCGCAGCCCCGTTCCTCATCCTCCGCACGGCACTGACCATCCGCTCCTACATCGCCGACCAGCCTCTCCGAGGCCGCATGCCGCAACCCCTCTCCCAGCGCAAAGAGCTCCTCCGAGTCCTCCGGCAACTCGTCGATCTCACCTCCGCGTCGGACGCCATCCCGGATACTCCCAACGTCGAGAGCGAGGGCCGAAAGCATCTCCTACGTTTGTACCCTCTCCTCGTCAGCGCCGTGCAGGTAGCGGGTGGCTCCGGCGACGAAGCCGTTCTAAAGCTATGCACCGAAGCTCTCGAGGTTGTCGGTGGTGAACTGGGGCTTTAGAGATTGTGTTTTTATTTGCGGACCGTGTATAACTACTTAGACGACTAGACAGACACGCCGGCCAGTACCTCATTGTAGATCATTCCTCTGTAAAAAAGCTCGTATACCGAATTTGTCTCCGTAACCTGCCTGAACTCCACGGTTCAATGACCGACCTGATACAGCTCACTAGATGTCGCTCAACAAGGCACAACGTCTCCGACCATCTAGTCTCACCTCTCACTCACGTCCCCAAAAGCAAATCCCACGCGCTGGCCGTGACCCCTTACCAATGCAGCACTCATCCATCCCCGGTCCCAAACGAGTAAACCCGCATGTACGTCTCCGGCCCCCGCATACAATCCAATATCCGTCTGTCCCTAAGCCTTACGTCCACCAAACAAAACCCAACCCATCATCCAAGACACCACCACTCACAAGGCCGTAATAAACATCTCAATGCCGTCTCAGAAACCCTCCCCCCTCAACCGCTTCCTCTCATAAACACAAAACATCCTCCAAAACCCGTACCAAAAGAAGAAAAGAGAAAGACAACCTCTAATCAGCCCATCCAACACTCCCTCCCTCCCCCCTCCCCCCGCATCCCCCGTAAACATGCGACCCTTCCCACCCCTTACCCCAACGCCCGTCTTCCGCCGCTTGATTGGTCCAAACAAAGCGGGATCCCGCCGGTCTCACGGCCCGCGACCCCACGCCTCCGGCCCCCAAGCCAAGTCCCGCGTGCATCAGCAAGCAAGCACCCGAGAGAGAGAGAGAGAGAGAGAGAGAGAAGGTCCACCAACCCGCGTCGCCCATTCCACAGAGGACAAACATGGTCGCGTTCCCGTGTCCTTGTGCTCTGTGCTCCCCAGCCTGGATGCCGGCAGTAGCGCACCGATGAATACGATCCGGGGATAGAGTTCCTGGTGTAGCAGCAGGTCTTGGGGGGAAGGGAAGGGGCCTTGGATAGATTGGCTTTTTCGCGGCGCGGCATTGGCGGAACATTGGCATATGCAACTAACTCACTCGAGTCTGGGAGATAGTGTGAAGAGTAACAGGTCAATTGCTATTGAACGGCTACTTGAAACGAGAGTAAGTGGTAAGACACGGGCTCGGCACGCTCTCCTTCCGGTGAAGGGACGGAGGGCCCACGTCGCGCGTGTCTCTGGTATCATGATCAAACCACCTCCAAAAAGCCCGAGCCCGACCGGCGCCGAGCCCGCATTACATCCACCACCGGGCTAGAATCCAAGCGGGATTACAAAGTTTGACGTGGAGAAGAGAAAACATTTGATTTTTGGAGCCGCGACGGGAACTGGCTCAGACGGCGGTCTTCTCGGTGTGCGCGGCCCGGGTGTTGATGTCTTCCTCGTGGTCGTTGTCGTGGATCTCCTTCTCGACCTGGTGGAGGTCGACGTGCGCGACGGCCGCGTCGCCGTCGAAGATCTTGGAGATCTCCTCGAGCGTGGGGCCCTTGGTCTCGACGTAGAAGAAGTACACGAAGACGAGCTCGCAGAAGTCCCAGAGGGTGTAGAACAACATGAAGTTCCAGTGGTTGGGGAGGCTGTCCCACGCGACCTTGTTGGTTTGGCTAGACGGACGTTAGTCGGGGGACGTTGGCAGGGGTTGGGTGGGATTTGACGTACTTGCCAATGGCCAGGATGGCCTGGACGGTAATGTTCATGATCATCATACCCTTGGCGCGGAGATGGAAGGGGAGGACCTCAAGGGCGTATGCGATAAGGAGACCGGAGAAACCAATGTCGTAGAAGATACCAAAGACCCAGATGAAGACCAGCTGAGCGTAGCCGGAGCCCTGGTTGGTCGATCCGGAGTTCTCGTAGACGGCACCGGTGATGGTCCAGCAGACGAAAGAGGCGACCATACCGGTGATGGCAGTCAGGAACAGAGGGCGACGGCCGAAGTAGTCGACGGTCAGGGCGGCACCGATGGAGCAGGAAAGATCGAGGATCGATTTGCCGGTGGAAATGGCGAGCTTCTGGTTCTGGTTCTTGATACCGGCTCCGTCGTAGATGGCGTCCATGTAGTTGGAGAAGAGAGCGTTACCGGAGTACTGGGAGATGATACCGAGAGAGATAATAATAGCCAACCTCCATCGGTTACCCTTGGTCTTGAAGAAGTCGATGTAGCTAGTCGTGCGGTCGGCGTCTCTCTCCATCGTGATGGTCTCCTTCATCTCGCGGAACTCGAACTGTACGGTGGCATTATTGTAGTCGCCTCCGGCGTGGTGCTTGGCCAGAACAGCGAGAGCCTCCTCGGCGCGGTCCTTGTTGATGAGGTAACGCGGGGACTCGGGCACCCACCAGATACCGATCAGCTGGATGACGGAGGGGACGATCTGGATGAAGGTGATGGATCTCCAGCACCAGTCGTTGTTGACGTAGGAAGTTCCCCAACCGATACTGGCGACGATCAGGGCACCCAAGTTCCACAGACAGTTGTAGATGGCAGTGACGGGACCACGGTGTTGAGGGTGGCAGATCTCGGTAAGAAGCAGGGGAGAGGACATCTGAGCCAGAGAGTTACCGAAACCGAGGATGAATCGGCCGCCGACGTACACTAAAACTAGTAAGCATGCGGTTTGTGATGAGAGAAAAATGCCAGAGTCATCGACTTACTTCCCCAGCCATTGCAGAAAGCAGTAATGCAACCGCCGATGACCATGAAGATACAGCCGGAAACAATGGCTACCTTACGTCCGTAGCCGTCGGCCACGTAGGGAGTGATGAAGAATGAGATAATGGAACCGATGTTGAACATGTTGATGAGAATGCCGAGCTTGTTGTTGTCGGAGACGCCGTCGCCGAAGTAGTCTTTCCATCGCTGCATCTGCTGGGAAGTGTTGACGAGCATACCATCGTAACCCGTGGTGGCCGAGGCAACCATGAGGAAGATGGTCGAGAAGTACAGCTTGCGAAGGTGAGGCTCCTTCAGCCAGTAGACCTTCTCGAATCGCGGAGCCTCAGCTCGCGCGATCTCGACATTGTCAGCAACCTGCTGGGAGGCAACGGGCTTCTTCACCATGGCGGCGGTTGTAGATGTTGCTTCCTAAAGACCGGGGAAGAACTTTCTGATGATAGAGAGAGGATTGAAGTTGATTGACCGACTCGCGGGTGGAGAGGAAAGGGTAGCAGCCGGCATGGGAGAGGACAGGGTCGAAGACTTATATGTCTTTCCCGAGTCTTGCATTTTGGGCCTTTGGCAACGGCTGAAAGGGTAGGTTTGCTTTTGATCTGCACGTTTAACCCCGGAGCTGCCTTGGTCACCCCATTGGGACATGCACACCCCGTGAGGAGGGATATGGGGGAGGGTCAGGGTGTGGCCAGAACCGGGGTGGACGGCGGCGACGGCACGAATTGGCGAGGTGCGGGTAAAACTGGACGGTCAGAGAGAGCAATGGAAGTTTTCTTCCCCAGAAGCCACCACGTTTGGGCTGGATCCAGGTCTCTACGGTGGTGGGCGGGCGTTTTCTCCCATCTTTGTCTAGCCTCTCGGGAAAGGCCATGCATCAAAGTAGATCTCTCAAAAGATAGGTCCAGAAAGGTCGCCAGCGAATTGATGGGTGCGGCACAGGAGCAAAACACCCAGGTCCGGAACGGATTTCGACAAGGGTTCGCCGCTGCTGCAGGATTTGATTCGTGGGCCGACTTCAGTCATGTTGGATGAGTGCCCTTCATGTGGCACGGAAGCCGGCGGCCTGTCATCCAACAGGCGAAATGGTCAGTTGAGAATTCTCTCTCATCTCCGTGCCGTTTACGTGACAGCGCAGCTCTCGGGCACTAGGGACATGGATGTCGGGAGACGTTCCCATGGGTTGCTCTGTAGGAACTTACTCATTGTAAGCTTCGTTGCTCTCAATTGCATCCTAGATCTACCAAAGAAATCATGAGGTTGCAATAACCAGCCACTTACCTTCAGGCCCAAAATCATAAACAACCATCCCTCCTCGTACGCACATCTGAGTTGTTGGCGCCGCTCACAGGCATCTCCGGTCCGCCGGCTCATCCTTCAAGACCAGGCGTGGAGCGCAGCCAGACGATATCGCTGGCGTGATGACTTCGAAAATAGAATCTTTCTGCCATGTGTCAAACATTTTTCCAGGCAGACCTCTAACGAAATTGCGGCAACTGGCAATGGCATGGCAGCGAAAGGAACTAGCTAGACCAGATGTTGGTCCGATGTACTTTCATTCCTGGTCTCGTGCAGATTCTTCGCCACGGTTACAAGATCGGATTGAGACCCTTCTCTCGTACACGTGATGTCGTGTTGAATATGCAACAAGACAGACCGTCGATGGAGGCAAAAGGGTGGTGATAGAGAACGTCCAAGGACCTAAAGTGAGTAAGCTTCCACCAGGCGCGAGGCACTCGTACCCAAGAACACCAATGTAAAGAGTCTGCAAGGAATTAGCGTACCAGGAAAAAAACATTCAACAGCCCTGCCTGGCCTCCGGAGACGTGCGATTTAGGTGTCAAGCCGATCCTGGACAAACCATCGCATGTGGCTCAGCAGAAGGTCCGTCTGGCAAAAGAGGCCGGCAAAAAGAGCCTTTTAACCACTTGAGGCCTATTGGTTGGAGCTCTCGTGATGAGCAGAAAACGGTTAAGGCAGATCTCTCTAAGAGATGGAACTCGTGAAAGAAGGTGTGGAGGAGAAAGCAGAGAGGGTGTCTCGCTCCTCTGGCTCGAAACGTGGGGCCTGGGGAAATGCTCCTGCAGGCTGCAGCTAGTTCGTTGGTCGACTTCGGCTATGAGAAAGCAGGCAGATTAGCTGATGGAAGTCGAGATGGTGGCCGGCAAAGCGTCATCATTGGACATGCCAGGGTTCAACCATGCGGGTGTAAGGCGCATGGCGTCCTTAGCGAAGCCAGGCATTGGGACCCCTCACCGGTCAGCCACTTCGACAACGGTTGTGCCCAGGTTATCAACCTGACCCTTCTTGACTTGTTCAGTGAGGCTATTGACATGACAAAAGTAAAGAGGTACTTACAAAAATACAGAAAATCGAAGGAATATATGAGCAATTATACTGGGTCGTCCTGTGCTGCCAAGTGATCCTAGTTGCTCTTGGATGGTCTTCTTCGAATGTTGATCGTGATCCCTCGACACGGGATCTGTAAGACCATTCAAATTGAACATTACAATACCCAAAGGTATCTGAGAAATGAGTCAAACAGGCGTTACCCAAGGCGGATCTTGCCAGAGAACCTCCGTCGACGAAGATGTCGCCAATGGGCAGCAGACCGGCCCCTCCCTTTCAGGTCGATCTGTACCAACATGGTCTCATGAATCATCAACTCATCAGGAATACAGATCCTGCGCTTGACCTTTGGGCTGCAGGCTGCAGGTGAACAGCGTGCCTCATCTTCGTGATTTTCGGAGGTTGCCTTGATGTGTCTTGATGAGGCCGCCCGGAGAACTCCCATTTCGCCGGAGCCTGTAATGCCCGGGCGGACGTGCTTCAACTTCAGGAGACGTGTCGAGAGGTCGGAAGCAGACGCTAGACGAGTGCTGTTTTCTCACCCGTGACCCTGCAGTCAATATTGAGCATGGAACGACTAAACGCCACAGGGAATGGAGAGTGGTCAGCGAAGCGCCTCCCCGGATGGTAGGGCCGACGACAATGCCATGTCTGACAGGTGTTCTAGCTCCGTTTGGGGCTAGCTTGAATTGCTTCGTGATGTTTCTGGGACATCCAGGAGACGCTTTGATAATCAGATACCCTCAACTCCTGTTGGGTCTTTACCGAGATTGGACCCAGACTGAAACTGCTTGAAAGCAAACATCAGTCAGAGAAATCCGGTTACTAAACTCAGTAACATTGAACTTGGTAGGAAATCCACTTTTGTCGACTGTAATTTGCTTCGGAATGGGAAACTAGCGAAGTGTGTATGATTTTTCATTGCCCATCGCGGCTGTTTGGTGGTCGTCTCGCTGCCAGTCGCGCCCCTGGACGTATCCACGCTGAACCTGTCTTTGTCTAACTTCTGGATTGGAGATGTTCGACCTGGCTAAACACGCGACGCAGTCATTTCTCGGGTTGGGAACGAAAGTCGCGGTCGTTGTCAATCTCTTTCCGGCTCTGGGTAGTGAAGTTCATACGTACAAGACGTATTCGTCCAGTCGACAACTCTTTACAGGCGATCAAGCCCTCCATTCAATGCCATCCATATGCCAGGCACGCTGATTCGGTATGGTCTCGACTCTGTTCGCACCACATTCGTGACTAGCATTGATTGCCTGACAGACACGAGCACCTTTTAGCTCGTAACGTATTGGTGCATCCCCATGGGGAAATCTGGGGTTTCCGTCTCGACACGTTGGTCTATCGAATCATGACCAGTTCCAGTTCATCACGCCATGCTACCTCAAACGCGGTCTCATGACCCTCCTCCAATGATTATTTGGAAGCATGAATCGACGTTTCCAAATCCGGGGAAGAGCCATGGTCCCCTTCAGACCCGCTGAATTAAGGTGATGGAGGGCCAGGAAGAATGGAATTCTGGGCCGGACGCAACGCTCGTCCGTTGGAACGATGCTTGTTCGGGATTAAGTCCATCCCGACAGCCAGGAACGTCGTTCATGCAAAGCCGTGCTTCAGCTCTTATTCTTTGCTCTGTCTTGGAGAAATCTGCGCAAATAGCCGGTTGCTCTCCTCTCAAGTTGGTTTGCGCGACTAGCTCGCTACTGACATTAGCCGAGTAACATTAGCGTCGCTAAACACCGCGATGTAAGGAGCCATGGCTGGCTGGCTGGCTGGCTGGCTTCCGTTCGGGCGGTCCCAGGTCTGTGGAAGCGCTGCGACGCCGGTTAAAGTCGAGGTGTGGCTACCCCAGACCCTGAATCCCCACAAAGTGTCAGGGCTAAGGGAAAGGGGCAAGGCGACTCGATGCAACTAGAGGCAGATTCGGCCATGTGGTAGGGTTGATGGCTTTTGGGTTGCAATGCAACCAAAGCTGAGAATTGGAGGAGAATTCTGGATATCACGACGCTGGCGAAGGATTTGGGATGACAGTGCAGGAGAAGCAACGCGAGAGAGGAAGATGTGGCAGGGATGAACTAGGCAGAAGACAAGGCGTCCCTTCTTTCTCAGTCTCAATATCGCCATTTCCTTCCATTCGTTCCCGTTCTCCCAGAAAGGCCCGACCTGGGACCCCTGAGGCTGTGGCACGGCAGGCATCACGGCACGTCTTCCCTCCTCCCGTGTCCACCTAAAGCATCCTTCTTGCCAAGAGCAGACGAGCAAGTCCAGTTAGAGTATGAAGGAAGCAGCCGGGCTCTCACTTTCGTCCCCTTTCCTCCTGTCAGCATCCAACACTTTTCACATCTGTTCAGTCTCATTCGATTGGTTTATTGACACAAGTCTATGTCAATTCTAAGCTATCTACCTGCAATTCTTGGTATCATGGCTGCCGTGGAAGGTTCCAATGCCTTCTGGCGAGCAAACAAAGCAAATCCATCCATATGGTCTCGAGAATCCGAAACTCCAATACGCCGAGTGACGTTTCCTCCAGTGTATTCCACAGCTAATGATCTTTGTCCAGTATCATTTCGCAGCCATCATACTCAAACCGTTGTTGATCCCATACCGTCCCAAGACAAAATTACCGGCCAAAAGCCTTGTCGCAAAGCTGCTCTTCTTCGAAGAGCAACAAAAAGGAGAACGGTCGGTATCAGATCGAGTCATCCACCTCCATGTTGTCAGCCACCGACTCCTCGTACGAGTCGTAGGGCGTTTCCTGCGAAGACGGTCCAGCGACGACATCCAGCTCATTGTTGGTTATCGACTGCAAGGCCTTCTTGAACTTCTCGAGCTCGCCTCTCAATCTCTCCCTCTTTCTCGCGGTGGCATCATCTTCTTCCATCAGACGCGAGAACACAGTTCCGTCATTGGGGCCGACCAGACCAAGCTGACGCTCCAGGAAAAAGTCGAGCTCCTGAACGATCTTCGGCATCATCCGAGATGTGACTGAAAGACAAACCGTGTCGGCGAAACGAAGGGCAGAAACAATGTAGTAGCCGCGAACATATGCCGCGACCTTCAACTCCTTGTCGAAAGCATCCGGGCCCATCTTCGCCAGCTCGACGTTGTGCTTCTTCTCCTCCTGGTTGCGCTGATCCGGAGTCATTTTCTCCCAGTCATGGAAGTCTGAGTGCTCTCCGGAGAACGCCTGCCAGCGCATAACATGGCGGTACCGCGTAAGCATCCGGCTCTCTGCACGCTCATACTCCTCGAATGCCTTCTTGTTGACGGTGAACAACTGAAACGTCTCCATGCGGTACACGTCCTCCAAGAATGCCAGAGCCTCGGCACGGCGCTCCTCCAGGAATTGGTTCATGTAATTCCTTGACTCCTTAAAGATGAGGCGTTTCTTCAGCGACCCGAAAGCTTGATCCAACACGTAGTCGACAATCTTCTGCAGTCGAGTCATAGTCTCCTGCAGGAAGGTTGCCATAGGCTGGTTCCAAGCCTTCACAGCCTCCTTGCACAGGTCCTCGTACACCTCATCCGGCACGATGCTGGGCATTCCGGCTTTGGTCTTGGCCCTGATATCTTCGTTGATCTTGCGAAGAGTGCGGAAACCAGCGCCGTACTTGACATACTGTTGGAATGGTGGTGCCAAGGGGGATGGGGGGACAGGGCGCCGATGAGTCGGCGTCGATGGAGTCGAGCCGTTGTCCTCTGTCTTGACGGCGACGGAGAAGGAACCACCGTTGACTGTAGGTCGAGATCTCTTCACACTGGCGCTACCTTGTGTCTGAGCACCACGCTTTCGGTTTCCCGGGGTCGCAACGCCGGCGGCATCGTCCTCATCGTCTGAAATCTCCAAGACCGGGATGTCGGACCTGTCCTTGAGGATGAACTTCGGCTTCATATGTAGAATGCAATCCCGGAATGCATCGGACAGGGCTCCGTAGTTAGCGGAGAAGTCTCTGCCACGAAGCGTATCCTTGACGGCATTAGAGAAGGCCATCAGGCTCTTTCTGACTTCCAACTCGACATTGTTAGGCAGCTCCGGGAGGGTGCTCAATTCAGCCTCGATCTCTTGAAGTCGTGTAACGACCTTGTGCTTGATCGATGGCAGGCTGCATAGCGTTAGTATTAATCGGAGGGGGCGGTGTGACGAGCAACTTACTTCTTGGCAAACTCCTTTCCAAGCTTCTCCGAAAGAGCAGCCTTGAGTTTCTCAACTCCACACCTCTCACGGAAGCGGTGAAATTCCTCCGGCCAACGTTCACTAGCGCCGTCGTGGAAGTATGCTTCCTCCCAACGCTGCTGATCCTCAAGTTTCCGATCTGACGGGCGGGAGGTGATGAAGAACTCATGACCAATTCTGTGACGTTGTCCATCCAACATGGAAAGCCACTGCGCGTAGTTCCCCTCGGGGAGAAGGTCCGCCTTGGTCATGACACCAATTGTGCGCTGCTGCGCCTTGAGGTTGCGAATGATGGACAGGGTGGAGGAGGTCTCGGCATCGACATTCATCGGAACAGCCCAAATGATGAGAGCGCCCTCATGTGAGATATACTCCCGAGCGAGATTCTCCACGACAGAAACGAGATACTCGTCCTCCTCTCGGGCCGAGTTGCGGAAGATGCCAGGCATGTCGAAGAATGAAAGATCAGGCAGGTCAGGCCCCCTGATCTCGAGGGCGACGGTGTTGGGGCTGAATTTGGCGGCGGTGTGCTCCGCCTCTTCGTCTAACAACCTTTGCTTGGTGATGGCGCCTGTGCCGGGGATGTACAACTCATGATTCTGGTCGTGATTCAAGATAGCGACTTGAGCCCATCGAAGAACGGTGTCAATGTCAGACTGGTCGTAGATAGTCATGAATTCCTTGACAACGCGTGGCTGCTTGACCCACGGTGGAAAGGGGTTTTCGGGCGTGACATCGTCCTTGGTGATCTCGTAGCCGGCAGGGGGCTGGAAAGCGAAGTCCTGCTGCAGGGAGACGCGGCAAGACCACTCAGGGCCGCCACGGTCCCTCGCCAGGCTGCGAGAAACACGGATATGGATGGGACAACGGGTACAGACGCCGTCGCTCCGCGGCAGATTGAGGCCGGCCAGGCCGGACATGAGGCTGGACTTGCCGGCCGATTGATCACCGACCAAGACCAGCTGAGGTAGCGGAACGTCGTGAGAGACGCCAAGCTGCTGAAGCTCACCGAGCGTATCGTTAAACACCTTCAGCTTGGCGCCAATGTCGCGGAAGGAGCCATCAAAAATCGATGAATCGTTCTGAGTTGCGCCGGCGGGCGGCTCCATGTCGAGGTTCCTAACCTGCATCAGGACAGGAGCTTCGCTGTCATCGACAGTGGGGTTCGTCATAGCTGTCCGCACAGAGCGAGTGGCTAGGGTCTTGGCCATGACGGAAGGTGTAGCTGCTCAAATTGTTAAAATCTGGGTAAGGAAGTGGTATGAGCGTAGACTTACGAGCGTCGGACCTCATAAAAGTCTGGCTGTCGTCTCCTGGCGCAATGGAGTTTCGCGATCTGCGCTGGGGAGGGGAGCCGGCGACGGTGTGAGCCAGAGTAGGCGTAGGAGAGGTATTGCCGGGGTTGAGAGCACCAGGCTCGGCCTTAATACCTCGTTGAGCCCTTGCCTTGGTCATATTAGGCAAGATGAGGCGGCCGAGATGTTGCAAATGGGTGTTGAGAAGAAGTTAGGAGAAGGATGGAAGTGGGTGGTGGAATTATTTTAAAGACAGACAAAAAAAGAAGGACCGTTGGCAGCCTCTGGAACAATCCCCTTAGGCAACAAGTGAAAAAAAGGATCTGTTTGAAAAAGCGTGGTGGTTTAAGGCAGGAAGCTGAGGGCGAAGCTCAAGGAAGGAGCTCGGGGAGCAAAGCTTTAAGAGCTCTTTCCTCGTCTGCGTTGACCAGAGCACCATGAAGTCCCCATGCTCCAGGGACGCTCATTAAAGTGGTTGTAAGTGTTAGGATGGACTTGAGCAGAGTGACTATCAAGTCTGCTTTTCATGACACAAAAGCTCATTGACTAAATAAAAATTGCTGAACACACTTCGAGGTTGCTCTAGAAGCTACTGGGTATCTTTGAATGGGTTCCATGGCGGCGTTGCTGGATATATCTGGTGATGTGCACCTCCGTCTCTTGTACTCGGTAGCAGGAATTATTGCGGACTGGAGCAGACGAGGTGCATCGTTGGAGTTTTCGCGAGCAGGGGTCTTAAGGAGCTCCAGAATTAGCACGAGTGGCTAGCGGTGGAGCTTGGCCGCGACGATCCCCTGAGAAGCGCGATTAGGTACCTGACAGACATCCCAACTTGCACGGCAGCCTGTTGAAAATTGCGGGCGAGGAGTGAGGACTCACCCGGTCAACGAAGTCGCCTTCGAAGCTTGCCAGGCGCATCCAGTCGCGTCTGCTGCTGGCAAACACGCTCTGACGCGGTTGTGTCTCTACGCGTAAAGTGCCTGGATCTCCAAGTTTGTTTAATGGGATTGGACAGAGTTGCTGCGACTTACATGCACACTTACACATCAGAGTTGCCTTTCCAAGAGTGAAACAGCTTGACGATCCTGCCTGAGGATGAGCTCAGAAGAGCTTGTCAATGGCATTTTCTCATACAGTCCAAGATCAGAGATGTCCATCGAGAGAAATTGAGGACACGTCGCCAGACCTTAGTGATAAGAACTGCAGCTTGTAGCCGCCAGCAGAGACAGAAAAAGCATTGTGAGTTCTGAGGGACACGAATGAGAAGTGAAGCTCATCGCATGTGTCTTGTGCAGGTGATGAGGCTTGCCTCAATTAGGGGATACATTATCTTTCTCCTAAATTATGTGTATGCATCAGTCTTCATCTAACAGCATGGGAACAGCCGCCACAACCCGAGATGACACGAGCCACATGGACCCCTGCTGGCATACATCGCCTGTAAATTATTCTTAGTCCAGACCACCCGCCCACCCGAGCGTCCAGCTGAGGTGGACGTCAAGGTGAACGAACTTCTCAGGGGCCCTCGAAATCCACGAAGCGGTGACGTTGCAATTCGCGACTTTGCTCTTTCTCCCCTCCACCTCACAACCATCACCCCAAAACCTCCTCGTCCCGCCAGAATCATGTCGCTGCAGGTTCCCTTCCGCTCAAAGGCGTCCCAAGAGGGTGCCACCAAGGCTGTTATCCTGGTAAGAGCATCGCACCTTACCCAAGCGCTTCTTATCGGCGGCGCAATTATCTCCAACTCCCCCGCTTCGGCTGTCACTTTCCTCGATCCTCAGCCTTCCCGACCAACATTCTCTGCAAACGGAACTGTAGCAAGCTAATCGTGACTCTTTCAAACTCTAGGTCGGTGGTCCCTCCAGAGGCACTCGATTCCGTCCCCTCTCTCTCGACGTCCCCAAACCCCTCTTCGAAGTTGCCGGCCACCCCATCATCTGGCACTGCCTGACGGCCATTGAGCGCGTCCCCGGCAAGGAGATCACCGAGGTCCTCATTATCGGTTACTACGAGGAGTCCGTCTTCCGCGACTTCATTAAGGATGCTACCAACGAGTTCCCCAACCTCTCCATCAAGTACCTGCGCGAATACGAGGCCCTGGGCACCGCCGGCGGCCTGTACCACTTCCGCGATGCCATCCTCAAGGGCCGCCCCGAGCGCCTCTTCGTCCTGAACGCCGACGTCTGCTGCTCCTTCCCCCTCCCTGAGATGCTCCAGCTCTTCCACGACAAGAGCGCCGAGGCCATCATCCTCGGAACCCGCGTCTCCAACGAAGCTGCCACCAACTTCGGTTGCATCGTCAGCGACGCTCACACCCGCCGCGTCCTCCACTACGTCGAGAAGCCAGAGTCGCAAATCAGCAACCTCATCAACTGCGGTGTCTACCTCTTCTCCACCGACGCCATCTTCCCCTCCATCAAGACTGCGATTAAGCGTCGCACCGACCGCCCCTCCCGCCTCGTTTCCTACCCGAGCTCCGAGAACCTCGAGAACAGCTTCATCCTCAACGACGATGACGAGGAGCGCAAGAACGAGGTCATCCGCCTCGAGCAGGATATTCTCGGTGATCTCGCCGACACCAAGCACTTCTTCGTGTACGAGACCAAGGACTTCTGGCGCCAGATCAAGACGGCTGGATCCGCCGTCCCTGCAAACGCTCTCTACCTGCAGAAGGCATGGCAGAACGGCTCCAAAGAGCTTGCTCAGCCCAGCGCCAACATCATCGCTCCCGTCTTCATCCACCCTACCGCCCACGTTGACCCCACCGCCAAGCTGGGCCCCAACGTCTCCATCGGTCCTCGTGTCCACGTAGGCCCGGGTGCTCGCATCAAGGAGTCTATTGTTCTCGAGGACTCCGAGATCAAGCACGACGCTTGCGTGCTGTACTCCATTATTGGTTGGGGCAGCCGCGTCGGTGCCTGGGCCCGTGTCGAGGGTACTCCCACGCCTGTCGGCAGCCACACGACGAGCATCATCAAGAACGGTGTGAAGGTCCAGAGCATCACCATCCTGGGCAAGGACTGCGGTGTCGGCGATGAGGTCCGGGTGCAGAACTGCGTCTGCTTGCCGTTCAAGGAGTTGAAGAGGGTGAGTCTAGCTCTGACCCCAGGAGCAGCACGATTTACTGACCATCATACAGGATGTCGCGAACGAGGTCATCATGTAAGCGGGAGTTTCAGGGATGAGATGGGAAGACGGGACGACGTAATGATGAAGATATCTGCATCGGGGTCGGATACAACTCCATTCTTCATAGATGCATGCGTCTTTGGTCACAAAAAGCAATGGAATTCAGCCAATTCAAATTCATCAAACTCTTGTGTACGTCCCCCGGATGGTGAAAGACGGGCGCATATCAACGACTGCTACTGTTGTCGCTCCGCTTTCGCCCGTGTCTACTCACCACAACGACAATTGAGCCAAAAGAGAGAAACCCAAATCCGCTATATGGTCATATGGTACCACCAACAGATGAAAGCATGTCTTCAAGAGTGGGCGTGGCCAGATTGCAGCGCCCGCTATGGCGCCTCTTTACCCGAGGCCACCCGACATTCCGTATCTGTATGTTATCTGCTGATATCTAACACGTGGTCAGCGGTCGTTCTCGGAATTTCTCGAAGGCAGGGAGGATGACGACAACAATGGCAATAGTGGTGAGAAGGACAATTAGGACGACGACAATGAGAACAGATGACAAGGATAGCGAGGAGTATAACAACGAGAACAACAATGATAACAACGAAAGGAATGAGGACAACCAGGACGACAAAGAAAACAGCAAGAATGAGGAGGCGCGAGGATGGCGGACGACGATGACGGATGCCGACGAAATAGACGGCGATGGATGATATAGACGACGATGATTTGGACGACGGTTAAGACAGCTACAACAGGCCGACTTCAGCACGTGTGTTATAAAGCAAAAGCCATCCAAAACACCCTGATGTGCGGTGGTGCTTTGCCTAACCTCACGCGAATGAAACCTTTAACCTAAAAGACAAGCAAGCCATCGAAGCATCAAGGTCCCCTTTCCACATTGTTTCGGAGTTGCGAGGTTGAATTATATAGTAGTCCACTCATCCCTCCAAAGAATTTCCGCTTCGCCGTCTCACACCTTGGTCAACGAATTCCATCGACAATGTCGCTTCATCGTCCCAACCAAGGCGGCCCCAAGAAATCCAAACTGGGTGATTCCACTCAGTTGGATGATACCTCTCCCGAAAGCCCAGACGCTCTCATTAGATACCGCACCACGGGCATAGATCAACTCGGCCAAGCAATCCCGACTGGATTCTCGACATCATGCTACCGAGCACGGCGAAAGAACTTGCAAAAGTGCCCCATCTATCGCATCCCTCCGGAGATCCTCATCGAGATCATGAGGGTGTCTGAGCCCGAGGATCTCTACCTCCTGAGGCAGGCTTCATGGATTTTCTTCTCGGCTTTCCTCTTGCCAGACTTCAAATGGTCGCATACGAACAAGATCTACGCTGCGAGTCGATCTACACCAGGGCTGATGGATCTAGCATTTGAAGCTCCAACAGCCGTGCGCTCCGAGGTTCAGTATGACTACACTGCCCTGACACGTTCACAAAGGGACAAGGTTGAGGCCTGTCTTCGGAGGGGAAAACTCTGCAGAAGCTGTCTCTCCGGATCTGACCCTCGCTCCACGGGCTTGACTGCATCTGCGACATCGGGGCTAATACGCTGCCTCGTGTGCCGCAGACTCTGTGATGTGGATGGCTTCTGCGTAGGCCGAGTTTCGATCATACCGAGGTGTCTCGCTCACGTGGGCAAGAAACGGATATGCCCGCATCAGTACTACTCCTTCGAGGGTTTACCGGTGCCGAGCTCGTCCGGGGGTCAGATCCGGTGCGACGCTTGTGCATCGGAGCACGAAATGGGACCCGCAGAGCGGCCACCAACCTTGATTCGTTCCAGATGCCCCGACGGTAGAGACCGCACGCGTCTGGAGTGGAAATTCGAGATACTGACGGTGGATGCTGGGCAAGTCGTCACGAAACAGCTCATCCGACAGAACCTGGAGAAGGTGGACGAGGTTCTCTGTCCCCATGCCAGATGGAATCCGGATCTGCTCATGGCGCCCTTCGACTGGAGGAGGTGCGTGTGTTTCCGGGAGCCCACGGTTACCACGCCCATATGCTACTCCCATGTCGCAAAGGACGAATCCTGTTGCGCATGTCAGAATGTCTCAACGCGGGATACCATGGGCCTTTTGATGGCATCTTCGCAGCACGGGTGCACACATCAGGTGTATTGTGCTCACTGCTCGATGAGGTATGATTGGGAGTTGAGGGGTCGCCAGCTTCTTTTGGGCGCGGCGCAGAGCATCTCGAAAAAGCATTCCCATTCGTGTACGTCGTCGGATGACACGACGAGTTTTCTTTGTCCGCCGACAGACTACAATGCCTGCAGCTGGATTTCCCAATTAGACGCGGACACATACGAGAGTATGAGAAATGTGGGAAGTCAGAAGTGTGGCGACGCGAAGTGCTGGAATCGCAGGCCATATACACCGGATCCCTTTAAACGTTACATGAGCGGTGTTTTCTACTGAGGATCGAGATGTTGAAGGGAGCTTTGAGCGAGATTGGCATGAAGGGGGCGCGGCGAATACGAACTACGTGACGATAGCTCGCAACGGGGACCGAAGGTTCAAGCGTAGCAAGTCTCCGCAGAGGGCCGCATTGTTTATTAATCTCATAGCATCTCTTGATTGCGAAGTTGAGTGCTATTTGACATTGAAGAGGAAAAGGAGATTGAGTTGGTCGGTCGGAGAGGGACCTAATAATTGGTGGGAGCGAACTCGTCTCGATGCTGCTAGGTCTCAGACGTTGGCAGGCTGTTAGAACGATTCCAGGCCTCGTACTGCTGATTCTCGTCACCCCTAGCGTCAATCCGCCAATACACTTCAACATTTCTGCCTCTTTGGTCCATGGCTTATTTGTTTTGGTTGACTCCTGTGTCTTTGATCTTGTCCATGTATGCTATTCTTGGTCTGCGATCTCCCCCTTTCCTGATCTCTGTCCGATTATTCGGATCTTCACAAGCTCGAGTTACCTCCCTATGTCATCGCCAACAGCCAAGCAGTGAGATATAATGCGACCTTCGACTGCGAGCTGCTTTCTACTCGGCCGCAAAATATCTGATCCCATCTGCCATCTTTGATGTCGCAAAAAGTGTCTCGCCTCGAGTTCCATTGTCGGCTTTGTCATGTTGGATTAGTAAGTATCATTTCTGAGCAGAGACGGGTGATGGATAGCATGGCCACTTCAAAGAAGACAGGCTCTCAGTAATTAAGTTCATCTCATTGGGGTGTGTACTTCTGTCTGTATGGGTATCTCGAGTACCTGATTCCCCGTGCGTGCTATGCCCATATGCCATGATCCCATGTATCTCCATAAGTTCATGAATTGTCATTGCTGCATGTCGTATGGGAAGCTGTCCGTCCGTGACCCCCATCTTTCCCTTCCCTCCCGCTTGCACTGTACAGGCGTATTCATTCACATCTCGACAGGGTCGAATCCCCACTGAGCCCAGGTGTCATCATCGACAGACAAGGGATCCTCTCCGTTGCGGCCAGCGACGATGAGCTGTCGGATCCACTCGCTCGCAAGCTGAACGCTATCAGCGGTGCTGCCATCGTCGCCATCAGCGAGAGAAACCTTGCCTCCGTGCCAACCGCGAACCAGACGTCCACCGGCCTCCTTGACTGCCTTCTCAGCAGTGGTACGGACCAGGTTGCGGAAGCCAAAGATGGCCATCTTGTTGCCCTTCATCTGAGAGCTGTTCTTGATGTGGGGATAGTTGGAGCTGGCGTCGAAGATGATTAACTCCAGTCCATCGGCGTGCTCATGAAGTACAATGGCGAAGCCCATTCGGGGGCAGAAGTTGGACCAAATCTGGTGCTGCGAGAGACCAGTGGTGTTCTGGGGGCCATCGGCTCGGGGAATGGAAGCCCAGGGACTGCCGAACCAGGGGGTGGCCAGACCAATGCAGAAGGTTTTTCCCATCTGGAAACTGTCGATGCAATTCTTGAAGAGAGCCTTCACGGTCCAGCAGATGCGAGAGCCGCCGTTGGAGGCGTCGCTCCAGTCCCATCGCTGACGAGGGTTGGTGAAGTTAGCGACGGGAGTTAGAGTGAGACGCCACTTGCTGTCACGGTTGTAGTTCTGAAGCGCAAGGCAGCAGAGGTAGGCGCGAGTGTTCAGAGGGGGTCCTCCCGTGTAGGGAAGTTTGGGAAGGGTGGCAGTCGAGTTCATGTCCCGGCCGAAGAGAACATGACGAAGATCAGGCTTGGAGAGCAAGACTATCTCGTTTTCGTTGAAGAAAGCAGGGGGCCAGGCAGGCTGGTCAGCAGGTCCAATGTTGAATTCACTGATGTCGGAAGTAAGGGCGTCGACAGCAGTGGGGTGAGAGGCAAGCGTAAACTGCTGCGGAGGAGGCAACTTGTCAACGGCGGTACGAGTCTTGATCCAAGCGTCCACGACTGTAGTGAGCCGATTCTCATGGTGGGTCGCGGCGGTGTTGTTCTGACGTCCGGTGACGTAAAGTTCCTCGATCATCTTGACGACTTCGCCAGTGAAATCGCCATCAGTCTTGACTTCGTTGGCAACGGTTTCGTAGAACGCCATATGACCGCGGATGGCGCGGTAGAGTTCAGCTTTGTCAATCAAGCCACTGAAGACATCGACCAAAATAGCCTCAACCTTCTGGTAGGCGACGCCAACGCCCATGCTGGCGATGACGGCACTGGGATTGTTGCCGAACATGGCTGTCATCAGGAAAGAGGTCTGATCCTGTGTAGAAAAGAGGTTTCCCGAAGGGAGTCGGAAGCCCTTGTGGCACATCACCCGCTTGAAGACGGACTTATATTTTGCCATGATGTCGCGGAAGATCTCGATTCTCTAAGAGACTAAAGTCAATAAAGAAAAATCATCGAATGTGTAGTATGAGAAGATCGAAGGCTGGTGTGAAACAAACCTTTTGTTGTGGGTTAGTGTTCTTGTGAAGAAGTCGAGATCTGCCTGGGCGTGCGATGGGATGGGGAAGTGTGAGGGAAGGTTGGGAAGAAACGTGAGGTGAGATGGTCTCCAGAAAAAAGGCTCTGACCCGAACAAGAGAGAATGGTGAATGCGTTGAAATTTGAAATTGCAGTTCCAACTTGGAAGGAAGGAGCTCAGTCGTTCCACCCCGAACTTCACCTTCCGGGAGACGGGATCACTGGCCTCAAAACGTAGAGCAGACTCGACAGCAAAAAAGACTTACAATAGGTCAACGGCGCTCATCTAGATTCAACAAAACATGCCATTTAAACTATGATTACTATGCTAATTAACACACAATGTCACATATGAGGCCAGAAATGAGATGGATGTGACCTCTCTTAAGACGGAAAAAAAAGATGAAGAAAAAAGATCCAACTGCGGCGGTGATCGAACACTAGCCCAGGAAACTTCAACCGGGGAGCCTCTGCTACCAGACCGCTCGACCAAATGGCCGGTGTTTGTTGGTGACAGAACAGAAAGGCAGACTGCTTTTAAAGGCAGCAGGCCATCGGTGCTCCCCTGAAAAAAAAAAAGAAACAAGACGAAAAAAAGATCCAACCGCGGCGGTGATCGAACACTAGCCCAGGAAACTTCAACCGGGGAGCCTCTACTACCAGACCGCTCGACCAAGTGGCCGGTGTTTGTTGGTGACAGAACAGAAAGGCAGACTGCTTTTAAAGGCAGCAGGCTCTCAGGGTGGTCCGCCAATGGGATGCGTTGGCCACGCGTGCAGAGTTTTCGCTTTGTGCCCACGTAGGATCTTCTGCCGTCGCCGCCGCCCATCGCTCAAAGAGATATGCCATCCCCACGTCTCCAAACCTCATCAGCAGTATCTTGTTCACATCGTGAACTTCACGATGTCGCCAGATTCGAAGTTTTCCAAGCGGATATTCTACCGTGCTTACGCATACCTACGATCACGAGCCGCGCCCATTCCAATAAAAGAATTGCGACTCTCAAGACGCCGCGGAATCAAGCCCGCAAGCGATAGGTCCTGTGATATAGGCATAAGCTTGGATATAAGCAATCATCATTACGAAAAGAGGGATAAGTGCTCATCTACGGCCGAAGCATCGCGACGTCGATATAGCTCTAGCTCCGGATGTTGATCTCCATAATAATTGAGAAAGAATGGCTACGTGACAGCTTCGTCAGAGACAAAGCTCTTGTTATTCAGATGTATTCAATGACCCGGAACAATGGCTTGGTTCCGGGAAACCTCCAGAGCTCGGCAACCAGGCATGGAGTATGGAGACATCCCATCGGAACCGTGACCGAAAGAAAGATCTTGGGGATGATGTCGAAGGCTTTATCCGTGTAGAATGATCGAGGAATCGAGGGTCTGATCAAATGGTACAAAGCAAGGTGAAAGAGGTTGTTGGAGTGAAGTCGGATGTTTCCATGCCAAGACGGGGCGCTTGGTGGGTCACATAGGACGTTCGCGGCAATTCATCGGTAGAACCCCTTCCATCGCAGAAGTGGCAGCTGCACCTCCCGCTAATATCGTGCCGGGCTCTCCTTCCAACGAATCTCAAAGTCAAAGTCAGCCGCTTCACAGACGTACCCTTTTCAATCTCAATTTGCACTGGAGAATAATCCGATGTCGACAAACTCTGCTGATTATTCGGCCTCGCAACCCAAGTTCGGATCCCCTGGCCACCCAAGGAGGGTCTTCGGACAGGACGGCGCTTACTGACGGGCGGTCTTCTCTCTCTGCCGATCCCTCATGCTGGAAGGCACCTGGCAGCACAAAGGCACATCCAAGAATTGACACCGGAGCGGTCGCCGACAGAAACGTTCGCAGCCACGCCGCAATCACACGTGGACGCTTCTATCACGTCTAGCGCGGGTGGCCTGCGTCGCACGGAATTTCCTCCAAATCGGCCCCTCGGCAGCGACTGACGCCGTCATATTTCCGACACAATCTATTCGCTGCCAGCACGAAGCACGAGGCAATCAAGAGGCAAGCCACGACTCGGCAGCGATAGCTCCCTTCGTCAAGTTTGGCCGTTGGTCTGCCGAGAACGATATCTCGCCCGGATGATGAGGCGGTCATGGATGGGATGGGATACGGGTGCCAGCAGGTTCAGCTGAGCCGGCAAATCGGATGGGCTATATGCCAAAGGACATTGATCTGGATCATAACAATGGATCGATGGCATCGGCTTTGTGCATCGTTATTCTGACAAATCCCCACCCAGAACTCTCGCTGGCCTGGGCACATATTTCCCCATCTCGATGCCTTCTGGGCTTCTCAAGCAAACAATCGACTTTGGGCCACCAGACAGGAAAATACGAGTCGGGCTCATCTGAGAGAAGAAGCTCAAAGACTTGCCCCCTGTCCCCTGCATACACATCCCTAGCGGACCGGACGGACTTGTCTCTACGGGGCAGCTCCCGTCCATTGGCGCCAATCGCAAGCCTTCTACTGCAGGCTGCTGTTGATGCTTAGCTCGTGGCGCTGGAATTGGTCATTCCGGAGACTGTCTCCGGTCTCTCCAGAATCGCCGTTGAGGCACAAGAAGGAATGTCACTGGCCTGATTCGAACGGACCGAACGACAAGGCTTGACAAGCGCTCCCGACCTGGATTGTTTTCCACGCTTCACGGGCCAGAACTGGCGGCAAATGGAACTTTGGAAGCAGACTGAGGACATGTCAACAGTCAAGCAAGCTGCAAGGCCCTCAAAGTGGGCAGATCGACGCATGCTCTGACACTGGCGGGCGATGCTAATGCAGGGCGCCTGGCCTTGGCGGCCTTAGCGAGCTGTTTGACGGGCACAGCACATGCGACCGCGCTGCCGGCCCCTGTAAGGCGCCGCTTGGCTGCGGGTGTCGTGGGCCCCGAAGACGCCCTCCTCCACGCCTATCTACGACGGGAATACCTCACGAATTCGATGGAAAGCCTCCGATCCACAGCCTCTGACCCGGCAACGGAAGGTGGCAACGAGACGGTCTGAAGGACTCTTAACAGGCGGTGATATTCGGCGATGTTCATACGATGATATCATGGCCAAAAGTTGGCTGAAACGCACCACCCCCAAGGCCGCCAAATGACCTCGAATTCCCCAGACCCAGGCCCAGGAACCCCGACCTCATGATAACCTGTTTTCGGTTCCAACATGTCGTTTGGGAGGATTCTCGGACGAGGTTGCACACTTCTTGAGATGAAGGGATCTGAATCAACGCAGTGCAGCTTTGCTTGGTATGGACGAGAGACAAGGTGTGACGACGCACCATCGGCGAGCTGACAACATGGTCTTTTCCGTCCGAAGTACGAATATCGAATCCAAAATCTGCTAGATTGACAGCTACGACGGATTTGTCCAGACAACGGACACCCTGGATATTTATGATTGCCTGTCTGTGACGGCGACCAAGATTGACGCCGTTCTGCAAGCAAGGGAGGCCGAAAAGCAACGGAGAAAATTTGTCTTGGTGGTGCAGAAAGTCCGGGCCTGCGTCGACCATTGATTGACAGGAACTCACTCTAGCGCGAGGGAGGAGGGCATCGACAAGACATCCAAAGGAGCTTGCTCGGAATATCTCACGAACCAATCTCGGCCTGAGGAATGCTGGCCCCTTTTTCTTTTCGCCTGCCAGGGACGCAGTTCCTCCTGGGACGTTCCAATGGCCATCCAACTTGAAAATCAACAGAGCCGAAGGGACGAATCCCAATGTCTCGAGTGCTCACTGGATCGCAGATCTGCACCACTCGTCCACGTCTTCCGCCAATACCGTCTTCCACGTCGACATTCGCATCCACAGCCACCAAAAACCGCCAACCCCTCTCGGTAATCGATCGAAGCACCCCCCAGCTCACCCCCTCATCCGGCCCCTCACCAATCCACAACCAACACCACGCAGCGGCACGGCAAGTCGAGCTCAAGACAGCCTAAAACTAAAGACTGGCCAAGACCAGGAACCGCGCTCAGTGCCGGCCTCCCGCAGACCCCGTTCCCCCGCCCAAAGAGGGCTTTTCTCGGAGTGCCTCCGCCGCGACCCAAGCATCTCACTAAAACAAGCCCGACCGACGACTCCCAAGTTCAACATTCCACCCAATTCGCTCCCTCACAGCACTCATTGGTCATGTCCGGCCGTGGTACCTGATCGGCAGCAGCCACACCGCACTACATTCAAGACACACATCAGGGCCTTCCAGCTCTAGGCGTGGGCGTGGGCGTGCTCTTGCAGCGGTTGGCTGCGCAAGCCTCTTGTCTCAACACCAGACAGGCCGGTGGTCGCATTCAATCCACCACTCTATCCTCGGTTTCTCAATCATCAACTGCTGCTCTGGCCTGCGACGTCTGACAGGCCAGGGCCCCTCGGCCTCGGCGTCTTCTGGCAACCTAACCTCACATATCTGGTAAACCACCACAGCACAGGATAGAGTGTTTCCATTTCAAAAATAGCCGGCAAGCGACCTCTGTCACCTCCAGCCCCCGGTTCGTCCGAATCACCAACTGGCGGATGCGAGCGCACCCCTCTCCATGACTCGACAAGGGAAACCTATCTATGCTCTATCTCTGACATCACAGGGCCCCGATGAAGAGTCCAGTGACTTTCACTCTAGTGTGCTCTGTACGACTGCTCACCAGCGGTGCGCCTGGATGATCCTGGTCGAGGTGTGCCTCCAGCCCAGCCCTGTTGCTGGAGGCAACTTCCCAACCACCCAACCCCTGGTCTTGCCCACAACAACCATCACTCATCCACACACCACACACCACAACCAGACATGCCGCGAGACAGATGGATAAACATGCGGACCAGGTGGCTGTGGTGTCGACACGAGTGTGGCATAGCGAGCTGCAAGTACATGCGGTTCTGCTTTGTTAAAGGTACCGTTTGCAAGTAGCCTGCATGCTTTTGTGCAAGGCAGGGTTGTCGGCCAGAGACATACAACTCCATCCCATACAAACAGGACGGCTACTTACACCACATACCACTACTGCAAGTTCCTTAGCTTATTTGCTCCATCAAATCCACATTCTAGACGTCAAAGACGCGCAATACCCATGACTGAAGCTTATCTCCTACCCTAATCGCTGTTCTTACCTTACTCACACTGCTCCCTCCCCATGTATATCAACCACCGGTCCCCAGCCCTTCGTCCATGAGCTCTCCCTCTCTTCTCCAGGACTCACCTCTTCCATCCCTGCCAACACACTCTCTTACAAGCCTGCCACACTCTATTCAGTGTTCCTATTTACCAAATTTTCTCCTTCCACCGACCCTCGACACTCTCTATCAACTCGTGGCTGGCAAGGGTTAGAGTTGACGATCCCCTCCACTTGAGCAACAAGGACCGACGGAAGAACAAGGCCCTACCCGATCTCACACTCCCGTCATCCCACGCGGCAGAGGCACAGAGGAAACCACACCCAAGGCAGCACCCGCCTCTTTTGTGTTTGTGAAAGAGGTCACCTGTTGGACCTTGTTGGACTAAGCGGGTCAAAACCTACCTTGGCGGAGAAACCATTCACCACATAAACTCTGGGGAAAAAGATCTGGCTGTGGAAGACTTTTCTCTTGCAACAACAACAACTTGCTTCCTCAACCAAGCAACTTCCATCTTGTTGTCACCTCGACAGATCATCACCATCTTACAAGAACCACACACCGCCTCTCTCGCAATCACAAGCTCAGGTATGTCGACTTACACCTCTGGTCGGATCATGCCCTTCGTGGGTGTGATGGCCACATCATCTTCCCTTGGCCTCAATTTTCCTCATCACCATATTTTCGTGGTCTTCCCTCTTGGCGAATTTCACAATCGTCAGGTGCCCTTTACCTTTGCCCACAGGAAACACAGTGCTCCTCTCCCGAGTGCCCTGGGCTTCACCGCTGCTCGAGGCAGTGCTGTTTTCCAATGAGAACCGATTCCTCTTCTCCTACAAATTCTCTCACGATCCGCGATTCTGGAATGATTTTTCTTTTTGCTGACCAGAGAAAATAGCACCAGTCGTCAAGATGAAGTTCTCCATCGCTACCGTTGCTACCTTCGCCAGCATGGTCATGGCCATGCCCCAGGCTGCCAGCGGCGCTGCCTTGGCTCCCAAGGACTCCCCTCCCGATGGCTGCCAGACCTCCTACGCGGGCAACTTCGGCATCACCATCGTTAGCCTCGGCAAGCGCAGCCTCGAGGTGAGTCAGAATCAAAATCAGCAGGTCAGGGTTTTGACTAACTTTTCATCAGACCCGCAGCAACTGTGGCCAGCAGGGTTCTCTGGACCTCGTCCTGAAGGACAGTGTTCTCACTGACTCCAAGGGTCGCATTGGTTCCATCGTCGCCAACTACCAGTTCCAGTTCGATGGTCCTCCCCAGTCCGGTGTCATCTACACCTCTGGTTTCTCCGTTTGCGGCAACGGCTCTCTCGCTCTCGGTGGCTCCACCACTTTCTACCAGTGCAAGTCTGGCGACTTCTCCAACCTGTACGACCGCTCCTGGGCCCCCCAGTGCTCTCCCATCCACCTGAACGTCCTGCCTTGCGCCGCCGACGCCCCCACTCCCTCCGGCAACGTCGTTGGCACTACCATGGTTGCTACCGCCTACGTCTCTGTCATCGGTGACGGTCAGCCCCAGGTCATCCCAACCACGGTTCCCGTTCCCATCTGCCAGATCGGCGACGGTCAGATCCAGGGTCACACCACTCCTTGCGGCGAGCTCCCTCCCGTTACCAAGACTCCCCCTCCTCCCGCGCCGTCCGCCCCGGCCAGCGAGCCTGCCTACACCCCTCCCGGCACTCCCGTTCCTCCCCCGGTCACCACTCCCGTCGCTCCTCCCGTTGAGTCGACTCCTCAGCCTTCCGCGCCTCCCGTCAACACGAGCGTTCCGGTCGTCCCCCCTGCCAGCACTCCCGTGGCTTCGAACCCGGCCACCACTCCGGCCGCGCCCTCGAGCACCTCTCCGGCTGCCCCGCCCGCCGCGGCCGGTGACCACATCGTCCCCGCCCCTCTGGTGGCTCTTGTCGCCGGTCTCCTCGCCGTCCTGTACATGGTCTAACGGAAATCGTCATCATTCCGTCTTTTTTGATGATGGGGGGAAAGGCTTAATTGGTCTTTGGAGGGGGTAATACGCACACACTCTTACGACTTCTCAACTCGGCCCACTGGCATTTTAATGGATGATACATGAGAACCACGGACTTTTTGATTCGGTCTTGGAGAGGGAAGAATTTGCATTGTCGCAAATTGAATAGGGAAAACGAATACCCTGGTAATTAGTACCAATAGAGCAACTCCAGAACAGTATTGAACTTTTAACCTTGTTACCTCAAGCTCGCTCGTGTGATGTCTTTGATCTCTTGCTCCTTGCAATGTCTACCAAATTGGCAAGCCCCAGGTGAACATCAGAATGGCAGCAATTACGTAGCTATATTTACCCTGACGGCATGTCAACTGCGAATTCGTCTCGAAAATTTGAGTCTGCCGTCTTATGTGAGCATCTAGACTCCTTCCAATCTCAGAATCATCTCATTCCAGCGCCCGGAAACAGTCAAATTGGGTGATGTTGATGATAAGGTCAGGAAACTTCCATGATGACCCGCCATGTCGGCCGCAACCAAATGGCAGGCGCAGGGATCCGACCGGAGCTTCCCTGAGCACGGACCACGTCCAACCCGTATCTCGAAATTCTACCGAGCGCGCGCGCCGACAAGTGACGTCTTGGTCTGTCACTCTTCATCTCCAACAACACCCACCTCCCCCCCAACCACCCACCCACCATGTCCGAATACTGGAAATCGACGCCAAAGTACTGGTGCAAGCACTGCAGCATCTTCGTCCGCGACACCAAGCTCGAGCGCCAGAACCACGAGGCGACCGGCAAACACCAAGGCGCGCTCAAGCGCTTCCTGCGAGACCTCCACCGCGGCCATGAGCAGGAAGAGCGCGACAAGGACCGCGCGCGCCGCGAGGTCGAGCGCGTGAAGGGCGTCGCGGCGGGCTCCTCGTCGTCGACATCCTTTTCGAAGCCCGGTTCGAGCGCGCCCGCGCCTGCGTCGTCTTCAGAGTCGTCGAGGAAGCAGCAGATGGAACAGCTCGCGGAGATGGGCGTGTCTATACCTACCGCGTTCAGAGGGGATATGGCGATGCCCGGCGAGTGGACGGTCACAACTACGAAAGTCGTCGATGACGATGCGACGAAGGAGAAGCCCGTCGAAGCGAAGGCGATCGGCGTGCGGAAGAAGCGCGAGCAAACAGAAGAAGAGAAGGAGGAGGAAGACGCTGTGCGCGGGCTGTTCAAGAAGCCCAGGAAATGGGGCGGTATGAAGACGATGCCCGAGGACGATAAGGAGCTGGATGCGTTGCTCAGCGGCGATACCCTCTTCCGACCCAAGAAGGAAGAATCCGCTGAGCCCCCGACGAAGACGGAGGACGACGTTAAGAGGGAAGAGGGCGCGGACGAGGCTGCGCCTGAAGCGAAGTTAGGCGCGCCTGCGATCAAGGCTGAAGACGACGAAGCCGGTGTCAAACTTGACGTGCCGGAGGTCGGCTCCGACGCCGACGCCGTCAAAAAGGAGGACGGGGTGGAGGCCACGGAAACCGCGGCTCCGGCAGTCGTCTTCAAGAAGCGCAAGCCCAAGAACATTCGGCAAAAGTGATTTTTCTGTGGGGAATATCTGGGGTGCGGTCAAGGGGGTTGCATAGGTAGCGATGGCGTTCTGGGGTCGGCCCCAATGTACATTTTTCTTCATAAACCGCTCGGACATGACAACAACCCGTCCTGTCTCTTTTGTCGGGACGATACACAAGCAAACAAAAGTACCTCGGTTCGTCTTTACGGGATGGTTGCAGTTGCGTTGCGCCCTGCTTGGTTTCATCAGGCAGCTGATCAGCGAAATCCTACTATTGGAAGTCTTTCCCCGGGCGGCAAATATAATCACGAAACCTGCCAATGACAACCCGTCCGGCCCTTGAAGAAAGTCGGGGTTCCATTTGTTCAAGTATTAGCGGGGTGGTTAAAAAAAAAACTCAGCACGTGACTCCCGCGCAAAGCGAAGACGAACCCGGCCGCTCCATGCAACGACGTTCAAATGCCTTTTTGCTTGGCTGGTTGGGGTTGACTCCAATCAACCGCTACAACCAATTTCACCTCACCTCAATCGATCTTTCACTTCGTCTCTGCTCTCATCCCTCACCCCGAAACAACATCAAAGGTTCAACAAACCTCAACAATGAGGCTTCTCGATGCAAAAGACGATGGTGTCTCCCCCAGCAGCTAGTCCGTCCTCAATATCACCGGCCAGCAGCTCCCACCTCGGCAAGCGCACCGAGCTCAGCGAGGACGCCACGGACAACGGCAACGGCGACGGCAATGGTGGCAAGCCGACCTCACGCCCCAAGAGGGCCCAGGTCTCGCGCGCCTGCGCCCGCTGCAAGAGCCTCCGCCGCGCCTGCAACGAGTACCGTCCCTGCAAGCGCTGCGTCGACGCCGGCCTCGGCGACCAGTGCCTCGGCCTGCCCGGACCCGTCTCCCTCGCCTGGGTCTCGGACGGCAGCCAGGCCTTCGGACACGTCCCGCACGAGGCCGTCCAGCGCATGGCCGAGCTGCTGCCGGCCCGCGTGATGGACTACTGCGTCGACCGCTTCTTCGCCCGCCTGCACCCCACCATCCCCATCCTGACCCCCGAGTACGTCGCGCACCTCAAGGTCGTCGCCGGCCCGAGCGAGCCCGGCATGGAGGCCCACTGCCTCCTCACCGCCGTCTGCGCCCTCGTGTTGCTGCAGGTCGAGGAGCCGGAGAGCCTGTTCCTCCAGGGCCTCATCCCGGAGAAGAACGCGCTGCACGGGAGGATGCTCTTCGAGGAGGCGCTGGCCGCGCACCGCAACTTCGCGCGCCGGTCGAACCCCAGCTTCGAGCAGTGCCTGCTCACCTTCTTCCTCTACGCCTGCCACTCGGCGCTGTTCCACCACAGCCAGGCCTTCCTGTTCCTGCGGGAGGCGACGACGCTGTTCCTGCTGCTGCGCCTCAACACCGAGTCCTCGCCGCGCGCGCTGGCGGACCGGCTGTTCTGGGTGCTGCTGGTCTCGGAGAGGAGCCACGGGATCCGGTACCGGCGGCCGGTGACGCTGCAGATCACCGCCGAGAGCCCCATCATGGACAACGACCCGACGCTGCCCGGGTTCTGGAGCCTGGCGGCGCTGTTCGCCCCGCTGGACACGAGCTTCATCGCGCTGTTGAACCAGGAGAAGGTCGCGACGCCGCCCTCGAACACGGCGCTCACGTACATCGAGACCGCCGTCAACGCCGCGCTGCGGTCGACGTCGGACTTGAAGGATACGCAGAAGGCGAATTTGAGGGTGACCCAGCTGTGGCTGAGGATCATACTCTGGCAATTGCGGCTGCGGTTCGGGTACCTCGCGGAGGAGTCGATCCACCAGAGCATGACGTATCATTATCCCCTGGAGGTGGCCAAGGACTTGGTGCTCTCGACGAGGGATCTACCGGTTGACAGCATCAAAGTTCACGGGGTGGGATTGACGGAGAAGCTGTTCGATATCGCGTCTGCTGCGGTGGACGTGTTGGCGAGGGTTCCGATCACGCCGAGGAGTCCGCACAGGATAGGCGCTGGACCCGAGGATGATTTGAACTACATGAGGCGGCTCATCACGAGGCTGCCAGGAGGGAATTCTATATATGACGAGTTGTTGGATAAGCACATCCAGCAGGCTGTGCCGAGTATGGCGCTCGGTGCAGTCGGGGCACTAAGCCATCCGACGTAAAATAAGATATCTCAGGAACAATGGGATGGCTGGGCATTTATTCGATTGGTTTGTTCATTATGCATATTACGCTAGGGATATATCTAGTGGTACAAAAAGCTCAAGGTATTCAAAGCCCCAAATTCATACAAAGCCTCATGGAGTCTCAGTGCTCCTCGACCAGCTTCTTCTCGCTACTAAGCTCCTGCGAGTAGGGGTCGATCTTCGTCTTGGCGAACTGCCTGGCAGGCACGCCGTGCTCGAACAGCAGATCCAGCTCGGCGTACGTGCGGCCCTTGGGCTCCGGCACGCGGAAGTAGACCCAGATGGAAGACAGCAGACAGGTCCCCGCCCAGAAGAAGGCAGTGCGGGCACCCCAGTTCCACGCCGTAGAAGATAGCTGGTAGTTGGTCATGACGTTGACAAAGATGTTGCTGGCGTTGTACGCCGCGCGGGCCATCACAATAGTCTTGGCCTTCAGACGCGTCGACGAGAGTTCCGAGATGAGGGAATACGTCACGGGCCCGACGGTGAAGTCGTACACGAAGGTGAATATGATGAGCATCGCGGCGATGGCCCAGACGGAGGCGTTGGCCCCGGAGAAGGAAAGGCAGCCGACGATGAGGAGCAGCGTGAACTGCGCGCAGAGACCCGAGAAGTGGATCGTCCGCCGGCCGATCTTGTGCATGAGGAACCAGGACCCGGCGGTGCCGACCATGCCGAGGGCGTACTGGCCCATGGAGAGGGAGAAGGAGTTGTCGGCGTCCATGCCGGCCTGGACGAGGAAGTAGGAGAAGTAGCCCATGAGGTTCTGGCCGCCAAGGGTCTGGACGAGCCAGATGCCGATGACGATCTCGGTGCGGCGGAGGTCGGTGCCCTTGAAGCAGTCGCGGTAGGTGACGCCCTCCTTGACGCGCTTCTCCATCTCGTTGGTGTGCTCGATCATGGCGATGGTCTCGTCCGGGTTGAAGTCCGGCTGGTTCCGGGAGGTGAGGCGCAGGAGGGACTGCTTGGCGGCGGCTTTGTTGTTGTGGCGGACGTACCACCACGGGGATCTGCGGGGTTCTCGAGTTAGTTACAGAGCCGAGACGGGGAGATGAAATCCCGGGGAGGGGGGTTGCGGTTTGAGGGTTTGGTTGGTACTCACTCAGGGGCGAAGCAGACACCGATGAGGATCGGAACTGGCCAGACCCATTGGACTGCGAACGGGATTCTGTATGCCCACTCGTTGGCGTGTTGGAAAGATCCTTTGTTTACCGCCGCGGCGAAAAATTGGCCGATGACCTGAATGTGTTAGTTAGGGACTTGGATCATTGCGATGTTGACTTACCCAGCACATGTTGATGAAAGTCGTCAGATACGGTCTGAGAATAACGGGTGCCACTTCAGAGGCGTATGCGGGCGTAACGCTCTGGAAGGCGCCCCATGGAATTCCTGCACATCATCAGAATGAGGGCCAATGTCAACGGCCATATCGAACTCACCACAGAGAACCTCTCCCAGCACCAGAATCTTTACATTCGGGGCGAAGAAGAGCACGAAAATGAAGGCAATCATCAAAACCAGGAATCCGATAGTAGTCATCTTATAGCCATAGCGATCGGCCGTCCAACCGGCGAGGATGAGGCCGATGATCTCTCCACCGCGAGCTCCATTTGACAAACCGGACTGCCAGGCGGCGGAGAGCACATACTTGCCCTGGGCCTCGCTGTAGGCTCCGTACTTTTGGTTGAAGTACTGCGAAGAGTACAGGTTTCCGAGGAGCGCGAGGTCGTAGCCCTCCATGATGAGGGTCGAGGATAGGAGGACGGACCAGCCGATGGCCTTGGGATACGTCTTGATGGCCTGCATGAGGGTCATGTTGTGCTCCGATTCGGCGGCCTGCTTGGCTTCGGCGGCGAGCTCTTCCGGGTGTTGGGACGCCGCCGGGGGTGAGTCGGCGTGTTGGTGGACGCCCATCTCCTTGTCGTCCGCGGACGGGACGGGTGCTTTGGAGTCTGCCATGGTAACGATATTTGAGATGCCTTTGGAGATGTCGACAGAAGATGGCTACAACAGAGAGAAAGCCGATGGACGTGCGAGACAGTCGCCTGGGGAGCGAGATCAATCGAACAGGGAGGACATTCGCGGCTTTATTTATCCTCGCCCAACACACCGTTTCAAAAGCAGGAAAAGTGACAGATACAAAAAGGTGGTAGTCGAAGTAACATGGGGATGAAGGTAAAGAGAAGGAAAAAAAAGAGAAGCTAGCCAGGTATACCAAATGCCCAGCAATCCGAACCGTGCGTCTCCAATGGGGAGGCCTGCTGAGTCGACCGCGGGCAACCGGCTTGGACAAGATTGGACTGGCGTGATGTTGAAATCCCAGCTTCTCAGTCGTGTGTGTAAAGTATGTTGATCTGGGCATGGGTCCTGGGCGCTGGATCGTCTGACGAGAGCAAAAGCCGACAGATGTGCAGATGCATGGCCCGGGGTCTGCTGCGAGGAGGGGGCACACACCAAAATTCGAACGATTCTCAGTGCTCAGTGTCAGGGCAGCAGCTGTGGAAGTGGAAACGGCAGCCAGCACCGAAAACGCTGCACAGCGAATATGCGAGACCAAGGGAAATATTGTGGAGAAGATTAAACAATGAGGGGATTGGTCGACTCTTTGTGGGGTGGCCGGGAAGACACGAGATTGGGCCGGTGAAGGAGCTTCATGCGTGACGAATTCTCTCTCAGGCAAGCTTCTCATATCCGCATCTCGTCAAAAACATCAAAAGCTTCATTGAATGGGGGGGGCGTTCTCCAGGTTCAGGTCTGGTGGCTCGACTCTTGATTCGTTCTGTGCTGCGCCCGATATCCATTCGGGAGACGGTAAGACATACATAGACACGAGGCAGCAACAGGAGACTCCGCAAGTGACAGGTCTGACCGTGTCAGCCCATGACGATGTTCGCATCCCACGAGGTCGAAACTAGATTGGCTTCCCGCGCCGAGACCTCATCCGCCGCTCCATCGGGATGGTTCATGTGGTTTGGGGCCTCCGAGTTTTGCCAAATATTTCCCCAGATTCGGGCCAGCTAAGCAACCACTCCAAGACCATCCACCTTTTCTCCAGACTCGGCCCCGGCTCCGACCTTCACCGGCTGCCCCACTCCACCGTTGGTGACTGCTGATTGGCAGCACTGCCTTACGTAAGTGATTCTTCACGGACCAGGGGTCGGAGGATAATGCGGAGTCTAGCGGAGGAGCTCCGAACCCCAAATTCTCCCACTTTCAACCTCGACAAGGGTGGCGGAGTCTCCGCACATTTCACCAACAAAGAACCTTTGCAAATGCTTCTCGACCTGTTCCATGATCGTCCCATGCCCGTCATCAACGGGAATGCGGAGTCTAATTCGAAAAGATCCAAAGCGTCGGAAAGCAATTCGACATGTGCATGTGACAACAGCCAGCCCGACCACCTCCGCGTCTCCGCCTTCTTCAACCCGCTCTCTCTCCAACCACCCACCACACTCCGTCTCATTCGCATGGATGGGAGGAGGGTCCGAGGGGTGGCCACGGGGGTCGCGGGGGCCGCAACAGGAATGAGGCGGGGAAAACCGCTGCCCTTTTCATCGGAATCTCCACCGAGATTGGATCAAACTTATCAGACTACCACCTCCGACTCGACGATGCTGATTCTCCTTCACGGCCCTTTTGCGGAGTGATTCCCACGAGGGGTAACCTGCCTCATGCAACCGCCAACCGGCAAACAACCAGCGGCTCGACCCTCCCCACGCCCTTTTTCTCGCTCTGGCTGCTTCTACTTCCTACTTCGGATACATGGTCCGTCATGTTGCCACGCCATTTTTTTCTGCCATAGCCGCTGATCGCGGTCGTCCACTTCCGCCCGCCGGCTTTGTCCTTCCGCGCGTGGTCAAAATGCGATTCCCTCCCGGCGCGTCTGATCTTTGACGTCGGCTCTTCCTCCCACACTTCTTTCGCCTCTCAATCGCCTTCTTCTCTCCCTTCTCCCTCCCTGTCCACCCACCTTATTACAGCGTGGTCTGACGGAGACGCAGACAGACACAACCGCCATGGGATCTCTTGTCTGGGACGAGGAGAACCGCTGGGTGGGCAAGCAGCCCTGGTGGAAGGATGCCACCTTCTACCAAGTCTACCCGGCCAGCTTCAAAGACTCCGACGGCGACGGTTGGGGTGACTTGCCAGGCCTCATTGCTGAGGTCGACTACCTTCATGACCTAGGCGTCGACGTTGTCTGGGTGTCACCCATCTTCGAGAGCCCCCAAGCCGACATGGGTTACGACGTCTCCGACTACCAGAAGATCTACGCACCCTACGGCACGGTCGAGGACGTCGATACCCTCCTCAAAGAATGCCACAACCGCGGCATGAAAGTCATTCTCGACCTCGTCGTCAACCACACCTCCGTCGAGCACGAATGGTTCAAGCAGAGCCGCTCGTCAAAAGACAACCCGAAGCGCGATTGGTATATCTGGAAGCCGGCGCGGTACGACGCTGATGGAGTCAGGCACCCGCCGACCAATTGGCGCGGCTACTTCGCAGGGCCGACGTGGACGTGGGATGAGCAGTCGCAGGAGTACTACCTGCACCTGTACGCTCCCGACCAGCCCGATCTGAACTGGGACAACGACGAGTGCCGCGAGGCGATCTACGAGGACACAATGCGCTTCTGGCTTGAGCGCGGCGTTGACGGGTTCCGAATCGATACGGTGAACAAGTACTCCAAGCGTACCGACTACGTCGATGCGCCTATCACGGACCCCAACTCCTCGCACCAGCCTGCACCAGAGATGTGGTGCAATGGTCCCCGAATTCACGAGTTTATCCACGAGATGAACCGCAAAGCCCTGGCCCCGTACAACGCCGTGTCCGTCGGCGAGCTGTCCCTGACGCCACACCCGTCGCAGGTGATTCCGTACGTCTCGGCCGCGGCTCAGGAGTTGGATATGGTGTTTGAGTTTTCCGTCATTCGACTCGGCAACGGCAACGGCTTTGGAGGGAAATACCTGTATCAGCCGTTCCCGTTGTCAACGTTAAAGAGCTACACTGCGACATGGCAATCATTCATCGAGGGCACGGACGCGTGGGCGACTGCTTTTTGCGAGAACCACGACAACGGCCGTGCTGTTTCGAGGTTCGGCGACGACTCGACACCGGAGTTGTGGAAGGCCTCCTGCAAGACCATTGCCATCTGGCAGGCCACCATGTCCGGCACTCTGTTTTTGTACCAGGGCCAGGAAATCGGCATGACCAACATGCCGGCCAGCTGGGGAATCGAGGAGTACAAGGACATCGAGAGCGGCAACTTCTACTCAGAGGCCCTGGAATCGGGCGACCAGGAGCGAATTGCGAAGACGATGGACGGATTGAGAATCATGGCGAGAGATCACTCACGGATACCCTTCCAGTGGGACGAGAGCCCGAATGCTGGGTTCACCAAGGAGGGCGCCAAGCCGTGGATGAGAGTCCATGATGACTACAAGACCATCAACGTCGCCAAGCAGCGCGGTGATCCCGACTCAGTCTTGGAGTTCTATAAGAAGGCTCTCAAGATGAGGAGGCAATACCGCGATATCTTCGTCTTTGGATCACATAAGCTGTTGGATCCGGAGAACGAGAAGACTTGGATCATTCTCAAGGAGAGTGCTGCGCCTGTTAATGGGCGGGATGGTGTGAAGCGCAGGGCTCTTATTGTGATGAACTTCTCCCAGGACGAGGAGAGTGCCGGGGATGTGCCTTCTATGCTTGGCTGTGAGCCTGCTGAGGTGAGGCTACTGAATGGGACGAGGGAGGGTGGCCATCTTGTCAAGGGCGTTGCGCCTTCATTGAGGGGATGGGAGGCGAGAGTGTATACCAACTTTGAGATTTAAGTGATACCCTGGTAATCACAGGAGATATGTGTAATTTCTGGGCCAAGCTCATGGATACATGTTGTCGATTAACGTTCTGTGAATACAAACATCATGTGGGTTGTTTTCCAACGCCAACTGTCTAACTTTCTGAGTCTATTGGTCCGCAACTAACTCCACTATAGCACGAACCTTAGGGTTGTCAACAGCACCGATAGCGAACTTTATAGTTCCCTTCACAGAATGGAATCCCGTCGTGGTTGTGCCGTCCGATAAGCCCCCATCCAAACACTTGATACTGCTTCCAGGTATAATCTGTCTGAGCTTCCCGTCTCTTGCATCCCTGATCTCAACGTATCGTTCGGTGAAGAGCACAAGGAAGCTGCCAGAAAGTGATGCACTTTTGACTGGATAGGTTCCGTCCACGAAGTCGATCGTGTCAGGCCGACTGACAACACCACCAAGATCCATGTAGACAGCAAATCGCTCGTAAACCAGTATCACCTCGCTTTTCCCCAACGGAAGTACAGCCACGCCGAGCTGAGATTCCAACTTGGTCTTGAGGCTTTGAGGTAATGAATTTCGTTGAGTCGGTACCGAGATTGAAGATGCCTTGTCGTCCGAGAGCAGTTGGAAACCAGACGGAGTTACCATAAAAATGTTCTCATGAATAGCTGTTAACGATGAACAACCTGCCGGTACTGAGTACTTGCTCCGAGGTTCAGGTAGCTGATTTGTCGGGGTCGAGAATCTTGTGAACAGACTCGGCGGTTCAGCAACTTCAGCTGTGTACGCGAAGAGTCCGGTGTACACGTCGAACACAGAAATAGTGCTGGTCGTCCCTGTTGAGCCTTTGGATATGCAATAAATCAACGTTCGGCCGTTGCTGTGAACAACTGTGAACCAGTCTACTCCAGTTGCTATTCGTTCGAATTCAGCTTTTTCCCCCAGCTGGACCAGATCTTCCAATTCGAAGTAATTCAGTAATTGATCTGAGAGAATGAGTACTCCGCCTGTCCACTCAATTAGAGAAATTTGCTTCGCCCCGGTCTCAAGTACTTTCTTGATAGAAAGTTAGCACATTCTCTCGGAGGATTGGAGCATCATATTACTTACTTTCACTGCCGAGGATGCCGCGCTAGATCTTATAGACCAAACGCCCCTTGATGTTCCGACTAAGGTAACGTCCATTGTAATACCGAGGGCGCATTGAGCTTCGAGGATATCTGAAAGAGAAATGTTGTGCGAATGCTTCAGCCAACTCTGACACTGCCACGTACGGACTCCATTCGTCTCCAAATCAGATTGAAACAGACTCGGCGTACCATTAGTGACGCAAGTGCGTAGACAGAAGAGACTAGTTTTCCGCAGCTCTTCTTTCTGCGTTCTGAGCGCAGCTGCCAGCGATGATACTGGGTAGACTACGGGAGGCGTTAAGGATGACCGTGATACATTGTTGTTGACCGTCTCTGTTCGAAAGCATCGTGGATTGTCATCCAAATACTGTAGAATAACATCATTTGAAAGGCTCCGTGTAATTGAGACGAGGGGAACCGGCGCAGCCTGTGTAGAGAATCCCAGAGTCAGCGCACGAGGCATAGCAGACGTATCCTCTTGCAACTCACCACCCAGCCGCTGTATTACTCATCGCTTTCCATGCCAATCATATAACCATCCGACACTTTTAGCAAGCCTTTTCTACGCCCTTTGGGGAGTAGCAAGAGATAATTATCGAGAAGAAAGGTGGTAAATGTTTTGGCCCCGCCGTAGCCTGCGTTGAACTCAAACAGTTCTCCTTTGTAGAGCAGCTTTCTTTCGCTGCTTTTGAGATCAAGGGAAAGACGCAGTGACTCGCAGTCTGATGAAAAAGTTATATGTTCCTTGAGAAAAAGAAGCTCTTCATTCAAGGACTGCTGGCCGGTAGGTGTCAATTGCAAGTGCTCGACGTCGTCAGTATCTTCTAGTGTTTCTGGGGCTGTCTGACCCTGATACAAGAGATTGAGTTCCACGACTAGATTATCTCTGGTAAAATAGAAATATTCTTCGGAGCTTTCAGCTCTCTCTTGCAGCTCTATGAGCAGCTGGCTGAGAATATGTTGGATCTTGTTTGCGAAGACTTCTAGTCGATCGTGCCGATCTTGCGGGAGTTCATCGGCGCCATCAGCTTCTCTCTGCACGGCGGTCAAGATGTCCCGAACGACAGAAAGCATTCCATCCCCGTTTATGAGGAAATGGATCTTTCTTCCGGATATATCATCTATAATTAAAGACTCGTGATCCACAGAAAGTGGGGGGACGAAACTGTCTGCAACTTTCCACACCAACTCTGTGACTTGAGTATGTAGGAAAGTGGAGAGTTTACCATCGTCAGATGTCCTGTTCTCCTCACCCTCTGTATTAGCTATATTCCTAGACGAAAGTTGACTTGATGATGTATGCGTGCCAGATACCGGGCCTGGGTTTTGACTGGCGGTGTGCTTATCGTCGCTGAGCTCCCACGGTAGAGAATTCAACGCAAATTCATGTAGGTGTTGCAGTATGTGACTGCCGAGTCCGACCGTAGGCGTATCGTCGCAAATCAGATCGCATATTGGACAAGACAAAGGCTGTATCAATGTTTTCCGACTAAAGTCAGCGAACAAGGGTAGCTGGATCCGTGGGAGGAGATCTGTATGAGCCTGGGCCATGTGTTGCTCCCATTCTAGGGAGCTTTCAAACGCAGATCTATCGCCTTCTGTATCATTCGTGCAATAATCACAAACCCAAAAGACAGTGCCGTGCTCCTGAAGCGTGTGGTTCACCAATTCTTCGCTCGTAGTGAACATCTCGTCTGGAGATTCGCATTGCTCGAATATGCACATGTATGGAAGGAGATCATGGGCCACATGACTTCTTTTGTTTGGATTTGATTAGTCCACAATTAGTCAATCGGGCGTGTTGGATGGACGAACCTCCATTTCAGCTCATGCGTGTAGTACTCTGACGAAAGTAGATCGCCACACCAAGGACATTGTAGCAAGTCGTCTTTTGTAGGTTTTGGACAACGGGGGTACTCGAGGACCGCGGCTGTCAGTGTCGCCCTGGTGACGACAGAGTTCGTCTTCGGCGCCGTAACCTCTTGTATCGCGAAATCCGAGCCTATTTTTGTTGCCGTTACTGTAGGCCTCGCGGATTTCGTCTTGTTCGTGCTTGAAGGGGCCCTTGACTTCGTATTTGTCATCGACGGTTCCGGTGAACTGTCCTTCGGTAGTTCTTCTGGAAGCGACACATGACGCTGCTCAAGAGCTATTTCGCGGGCCGTAGGTGGTTCTTCTTCTTGTACGGACGATACTCTTTTGAGGTGCATATTTCTGGTTGCATACTTGATGCGATTCCGCCGGTGGATATTGGCACGGATAAGACGTCTCTGAACCGGTGTGAGAGTTTCGTAGTTACTTGCAGATGATCGCAACAGCTCCATCGAATCTTGACTACACCTTTGTGCTGCCTGAATCCGCGATATGTGGATCAAGGCTGCTAGGTGCTCCTGGAAGTCGGCATAATTCTCTTCTCTTAAAGTCGCGTCCGCTTTGGCGAAGCGGTATTTTGATCCTGATTTCCGAATGGCTGCTGATAACTTTGCAAGTTGGTGCAGTATTGTTTGGATATGTTCTTTCTCCTCGGCAATTATGTCCTCTGCCGAGCTGCCCAGTGATGACGTCTCAAAGCTTCTGGTATCGTAGCCTTCGATGATATCTGCATTTTGGGGATTCTCATTCACTTCCACGTCAAGAGCGACGGGTTCAACGACTTCTGCAAAACAGTTTCAGTATGTCTTTATTCTTCACGAACCTGTTACACTCACCGGTTTGTCTGAGTTGTTCTAGGGCCTCCAACAACCCTTCAAGAAGATGACAAATAATTTCACGGACATCTGGTCTTTCTCGCACCCGGTAGTCGAGGGAGGATTTCCCGCTGCTCGTGGCCTTGATGCTGGATGCCCAGAGATTGAAGTCGGCTTGCCGATTTTCAACCCAGTCAAGTGTCGTCAGGGCGGGGTTTGAAATGCATAGTTGAAAAGCGCTCTGGCAGGCTGTCGTTCGCCGAGAGATACTGTTTAGATAGTCCATGATCCCTAGCAACTTGTGTGGGAGCTGGTGGTCTCCTTCGCTTCGAGCCGAAAGATAGCTTGTGGTAAGAGCATTCCGGGTAGCCAGTGTTGAACTAGAAGAACATGATGTGACTTGGAATTCCCAGCGTCATATGATGCTCGTCCATGCTGGTCGTTCGTGCGCGCGTTCGGAATTCATCCACTACTTGGCTGCGAAGAAAGCAAGGCGGGGTTGCCGGGTGAGATCATGTGATAAGACTCCATGCTGCTGTTCGCGCCCAATCAATTCACCCATGTCATGCAAGCTGACCTTGGCTCTGATAAGCTCACTGCTCTGAAGAGGAGTATCAGGCGGCAGCAATTACCCATGCTAAATACAAGTGATTTGGATTCAAATTTCATATTACAAACACATCTTCATCATCTCCTGCCACAACCCGGATTCTGTCAATACCCTCCGTTTGAAGACTTTCAATGATCTTGTCTTTCAATGCTTCATCTGAGCATCCATATGTAGCACCTTTAGACATAGTTTCATATTTCCAAGACTTATCAAGAATCCCCTTGGAGATCTTGGCAAGGCGAATTGCCCAGACGAAATCGGACACGATGTTGCCTGCCTGAGAATTTTCGCTCACTATCGACCTCTCAACATCTGTGCCTGCCTCCGCCAAACCTGAGAAACCTCTGCGTGATGACCGTCAGTAACTTCAAAGTATACAAGGCTGATTGGTGTCAGGAGGCCTTGGAACGTACGTGCCAACTCCGCCATGAATTCCCCTTTCGTGACTTTCGGATCTGAGCAACTGCCCACCTCGCGCAACAACTACTCCTGTGATCATGAAAAGAGACCAACGACCCAGCCGCTTGTGCTTCTGCAAGTACTCAGAGACTTCTTCGGTGTCTATGCTGTCTTCCACGTAGGATGGTGAGACCTGCAAGATGTACGTGTCTAGGGTTCCAAAGTCCGCAAAGTTGCTGACGGATCTTTTGAATGCAATACCTGCACTACCAGTAGCCGTGAGTCCGGCAACTGCTGCGATGGGCACGTCGACATGAGCCAATGAGCCAAAACCAGATGTCTGCGATTGCTCCCAAGTCAGATTTCTGGACTGGGTATGATAAATCGGTATGTCCGAGGGAATTTCCTCCGGCCCCGTTGTATTGATGATGTTGTCAAGGTGATCCAAATCGGGGATCAGATGACCTGGGCAGATCGGACCAGATACCCTCCCAACCCCATTTTGGGGCAAGTCTGGAGGAGGATAATGCGTTTGTCGCAAAACGAACCAGCATTTTTGATCCATCCTACCAGTTTTCTAGTTTGTGGGCCGTCGTGCATTACCGTGGATGAAAATGGCGATTTCGGAAGCACTCAAAGTACTTTTAAGGGAGGCAGCGTTGGATAATGAACACATCCAAGGCGGATTGGGGGGGTGGAACTACCTATTTTAAAGTGTTCAAGGGGCAAGAGAGGTTTCCAACGGTGGTTTCCTTTCTGAGACCAGCCGCCGAGGCAGGCTGTGAAGGCAGGCGCGTAACGGGATGAGGTGTTGGCTGCATGACCCCTCTCGCTAGCCGCATTGGCTGGATTGTCATCTGACCGACGACTTTCCAGGCTTCAATCCCAGCCTTCCTGACGAGAGATCAGGGCACAAGACATTCTGGTCGCGATGAATGAGACGAACAGCCAGCCATGAACCTTCGTCTGCCGACCCTGCTATCCCGGCCTGGAAAGCAAAAGAAGCCTCTGTTGTCGGCATTTGCTACAGATGCAATACAGAATGTGCGAGACATCTCTCGCCAGCTAGCCTCGGAACCGGGCATTAAAGCATTCTGCAGCACGTTTTGGGCGGAACTGGACCAAGCCAGCCGGTGGCTAGCAGAGTCCAAGAGAGACCAGACGGCAAAGTTAACGGTATTGAAGCTGTTGGAAAATCTGGAGAAGATTTTTCTTGTGAGCTCCCAGAATTCGATATCCTCGACGTCTTCCAACTGCTAACAGTGATGGGGAGTGGCCGTCTAGATCACATTCCTCCTACAAATCCCGAGCCTCTGAGCCATTCGACCCGAATTGGTTTCCGAATCTCCAAGAGATACCGTTTGATCAAGACTGGGCGAAGAAGAAGCTGGTCGCATTTGCCTCAAGCCCCGCTGCCAAACAAGATCGACTCAAACTGCATCGATTTCTGAAGACATTCGAGGGTTCCAAAGACGCCGTTAAGCTTCCGGAACTGTCCGAAGTACTTCAACAAAAGCAGCCACGTACAACTGATGACGACTATCAAGTTTACCTCCGAGAGTTGTATAGGACGTTGGCATCAAACTGCCTGTGCGAGCAGGAAGGTTCCCAGACACACATCACGGTCAATCTGCGACTCGGCGGCGCTCGCTTCGACGATAAGGACAACGATGGAGTTCACTTCAGCCTTCTCTTTCTGGATCATCCCCATCGACACAGTTCCAAGGACACGTGCCAGTGGCAGGACACACAGATTTGTGTATTCAGACACAAGTACAAGGCCTCGGCCCTTCCTGGCGAAGCGTGATGCTAATCGTAGATCAGGGCCGTCAAGTTCGGGCGTTCGGATGAGGAATCTCTGCTTCCATCAGTGTCTCAAGCAATTATATCCAACGACGACTTTTGCCGTATTATCACGAATCGAAAACAATCGCAACTACTCTTGGCAGCACAAGGCGGGGGTCTGACATGGCGAGGATCCGGGCCTTTAATGCGCAACTTTTTTCTTCGCTCATCAAGTGTGCCGCTACCCAAGATACTGGACAACTCGCAGCTATCGAAGAAGATGAGACTGTTGTTGGCTTGTCAGCTAGCAAAGGCAGCCTGGCAGTTCTATGATTCCGACTGGATGCGCGAGGAGTGGAATAAGGACTCCGTTCACTTCATGCTCGAACGTCGCCCCAAAGTACCGAAAGCTATTTTTGTTAATGAACCATTCCTCAGCGCCAAATTCGAGCACGCAGATTGCCGTAACGACAATGACTTATTCCGATCGCATAGATTCCCCAAGGTTTTGGCGTTGGGCATCATGCTATTGGAGATAGAACTCGGCACTAGAATCGAAGATCACTTTCGCCCAGAGTGTTACGATACTAATGGCGAAGTTTCGATCAATGCCAATCATATCGCCGCAATGGAGGTTTACAGCGATTCGGAGTTGTGGGAGGAGAAGGATACCTTCGGCCCTTTCAAGGAGTTGATTGGAGTCTGTTTGAAAGCGGATCCTTTCAACCAGTACTTGAACAATCCTCAACAAGTTCGGGACGCTTTGTACGAACATGTCGTTGGACCGCTGAGAGAGTTCTACCAGAAAGCTTGGGAAGCGCCAGACACAACGGAAGTTAGGCCGCTGAAAGTGGTATCCGACGAACCAGATGAAGATACAAGCCAGATATCGCAACAATGCGATTCTAGAGCAAGACAAGTGGCAGAGGGCACTTGCGCTGAAACATTATCATCACTTGCGAACGGGGTGAGCGGAGCCACGTAAGTCGCTTCTCATTCCCTTCATTGTGCCATTCGATTAACCAACCTTTTGTGCTAGCAATCCGGCTCCTTCCTCAGACAAGTGGTTCGATCAGCTGCAAAAGCTCAGCAGCGTGACTCGCCTCCCACCAAAAAGACGGGACGCCTCCTACCACCCTGCGAAGATTGCCGTACTGGATACAGGCCTTCACCCCTCGTTCTCAGCTGCAGGGTATGAAGACTTCGTCGATAGGGCGAACGAGACTAGTCAAGATGGTTCCGGTCATGGAACCAGCGCCTTCCAGCTGCTTCAACGTGTATACAGCGATGCGCAGATATTCGTTGGGCGCGTATGGAGAACCAATCGCGCGAGCGACAACACAGCCAGCCTCATGGCCAAAGTAACTTACACCCTCACAAAGTGTCTTGCAATGTTGACTGACCTGAGCCAGGCTATACGTCATGCTATAACCAAATGGGCAGTAGACATCATCGTCATGCCCTCCGGCTTCCAGGCCGAACACGAAGACATGCTACGAGCAATCGAAGAGGCGAACGCAGCGCATATTCTCATATTCGCCGCCGCCTCAAACCACGGCAACCTCATCGACATCGCGTTCCCAGCCCGTCTATACCGCGCAGGCAAACTATTCTGCATGTTCTCGACGGACGTCAACGCGAGAAGTCTGCCGGCTTTCAACCCATCCCCACTACCGGGCGCCAACAGCTTCGCCATCCTAGGCGAGAACATCACGCTCGGTAACAGCGCACCTCTGAGCGGGACGTCCTTCTCTGCGGTCATTGCTGCGGCGCTCGCGGGACGTATCATTGACTTTTCCCGGCATCCGGACACCAGGGACTTGATTCGTCGACCGGGGCATCTGAAGCGAGTTGAAGGCATGGCGTCGGTATTCGGGAAGATGGCGAGAACGGATAATAGCTACAGGTGCATTGCACCCTGGAGACTATTGCCTCAGATGGAGGACGAGGATCTGCTGGATCCGGTGAACCGATCCCAGGTACGACAACACGTTTGCGAGGCGGTGTCGAGGGCTTTAGAGGAGGTGTACGGATGACGAAGACGAGAAGAACAAGGACGAAAATGAGTTCGACGAATTTGACGACGACGAAGACAGCGATGATGATGAAGAAGACCAAGATGATGGATGCGACAATAATGGGGACGGCGATGAAGATGATAATGAAGACAACACAGACGAGGATGGAGAAGAAGAAAATGATGATGAGGATGGTAGCGGTGATAGTGATAATAGTATGGGGTAGTGCTTTATATCTATGTACCCAAGATCAGACATACCAACTCATCCATTAATCATGTAGATTCTTCCAATGCTAGCAATACTCTAAGGTATCTAACCATGCATACACCACGTCTTTAGATGATGCCCAACTCGAAAAAAGCAAAAACGCCGTTTTTGTGTGCAGAAATGCCTTCCCAACGCCCAGCCATGATCTTCTCGTAAACAATGCAAGCCCCCCCTTTTACCAGAACCCCCAGGGTTGCCGTCTACTGCTCCTCCTGGACAACGACGCCCCACTCGTGCTGCTCGCCGCCGTACATGATGTCCTTCATCCACTTCTTGATGGTGAGGGTGTACTTGCCGCCCTCGCCGGTGCTGCCCATGCCGATCTCGACGTCCTTGCCGCGGTGGTGGATACGAGAGATGGGGCAGACGAAGAACTGTAAAACAACATTAGCAAACCGATTGGAATCACATGGGGTCCGAGGTTGACTCACAGCAGTACCAGCCGCGAAAGACTCAACAAGACGGCCCTCCTGGTCCGCCTCAATGACCTCGTCAATGGTATATCTTCTCTCGACAACCTCCACGTCGTCAGCCAGACGCTCGCGGACGAGCTGCAACACACTCCGTCTCGTGACACCGTCAAGAATCAACCGGTCGTCGAGCGGCGCCGTGACGAGCTCCGTCTTGCCCGTCTCCTTGTTCTTCCACACCACGAAGAAGTTGCTAGCGCCCGCCTCGGTGCAGTACTGCTCCTGGCCGTACAGCCACAGGATCTGGCCGAACCCCCTGCTGCGCGCCTCGGCGGTGGCCAGCAGCGAGGGCCCGTAGTTGGCGCCAACCTTGGCGTACCCGAAACCGCCGACCCAGGCGCGAACCATGTCCTCCGGGCTCGTGTGTAGCCTCATGCCGCCGGCGGGGCTGTCCATGGTGGGCATGAAGGAGCAGATGATGTACAGCATGGCCTCGGAGGGGGCCTGGACGCCGAGCTGGGACTGGGTGCCGATCATGGTGGGGCGGAGGTAGAGGAAGGAGCCGGGGCGGTCGCGGGGGAGCCACTTGGCGCCGTCGACGGCCATGAGGGCGAGGAGGAGCTTCTCGAGCTCGGCCGGGGGGAAGGAGGGCAGGGCGATGCGGGTTGAGGACATGAGCATGCGCTCGCAGTTGCGGTCGGGGCGGAAGAGGCGGAGGGCGCCGTCGAAGCCGCGGTAGGCCTTGAGGCCCTCGAAGCACTCGGTGGCGTAGTGGAGGACGGAGGCGGTGGGCATGAGGGAGAGGGGGCCGTAGGGCTTGAGCTCCGGGGCGGACCAGCCGGCGCCGGCCTTCCAGGTGGCGGCGATCATGTGGTCGGTGCAGATGGTCTCGGGGCCGGCGTTGGCGGAGGCGAGGTCGGGGACGTCGCGGGGGTTCTTCGTGCGGTTGTAGACGAGCTTGGAGGCGTCGAGTTCTTGGTAGGCGGGCTTGGAGGCGGTGGTGCCGTTGGAGTGGCCGTTGGCCTTCTTGGGGAGGGCGTCGAGCTTGTGCTCGATGGCGGAGGAGGTCAGGTCGACGTCCTGGTTGCCATGGTGCAGGCCGGGGGAGATGGTGCCGGGAGCCATTGCGATGTTGGGAGATCTGGCTACGTGGTGTTTTTTCGTGGTGGCCTGGTCTGGCAGATGTTGTCTTGGATATCTAAGACGGAGGAGCGGGAGGGATTGCTTGGTGGTGTCAGCTAGAGCCGGTGACAGGTAGCACGAGGTGAGGAACACACGAGAAAGAGTTGGTCAGTAGTCGAGGAGGAGGAGGAAAAAGGGTGAGCGGTGGTCTATATCGGCTTAAGATGAGAAGAGAAGAAGGGGGACAAAGCACAAGGATGAAGCCGAAGCTTAAGTACAAAGGGTGTCACACTTGGGTGTAGGTTCTAGTGACAGATGGAGCAGGTGACTCAAGCGCCAATGCAAAGGGGCAGCGGATCCAATCCAGGAAAGGGCGTTTTCAGATAACAAGGACAGGGAACATCATGGAGAATTTGGCGGTGCAGGGCGACGGCATGGCATGGAGCATGGAACATGGATGTGGGTGAATGTGGATGGAGGCTGGAGGCGCCTCCGAGGTGGGAGGTGGTGTATCTGGCGGGGCCGTTCCGTTGCTGGGTTGAATCGGGGAGGCGGTCTAGGTTGTGTTAAATGTAATTAAGAGACGGCGGAACGCCAACGGTATCGTAGTGTAAAAGAGGGAGTTGAGATAGAATGCAAGTCGACTTCTTAGCCAAGACGGTGGACATTCTGCATGGTCATCGCGTACTCTGTACTGTCTGTAGTGTGCCGTCGCTTGCCCGAGGATCCACACCGTACATCAGAGAGAGACGAAAAAAAAAGCAAACAAGGCATCTCTGGGGCACAGCACAAACAAGCCGGTAGAATTCTTTTGGTTTCGCCTTCGTGTTTGGCGGTTCCAATGGGCATCGTGGACTCCTGGAATTCTGGAATGCCAATGCCGAGTCCGAGTACCCCGGCCGGCGGTGTCTCCACAGGCGGCGCGTGAGCAATGATGAAGCGGCCATCATTCCAGGCGTGTTGGGATGAGATTTTCTCTCACATCTCATCTCATCTTCCCACTGCCGGACCTTTTGGTGGTCATTAGAAAGCGGCGTAGCCATCCTTCGTGCCCGTCTCGTCTCCACTGGAGATAAGAAGCCGAGGCCGAGTGACGGTGATGGCGATGGCGATTAAGGAAGAAGAACCCAAGAAGAAAAATTCATGAATCCACCGCCTCCCGTCGGAGCCGGGTCCATCCCACCTTGGCGATGGGTTTGCTGCCGTCTGAAGGCGAACGACGAAAGAAAAAATCTGTGACGAAACAAGAGGTCAAGCCGCGGCCGCTCATTCGTCTGCGTCGGCTCGAGATTCGGGGTACCTGACTGGCTTGCTGGCATACCTTGACCTTGGCCTGGCTGCAGCTTGTGTGAGCGTCCCCGTGTGCTGGGTCAATTGGATCGAACATCGATCCGTCATATTTTGTCCCACCGCAAGCCGACGGCCGGGCACGGCTCCAGTCGGTCGTCGTTCTGGGTGCCCCATTGCGGCTTTGGTGCGCGCGGTCCGAAGTGGATTGCTGGCAAGGGACGTCGACCAGTTTGCTGGGGTACGGGTACGGGAATACCATCCGAGGTGGGATAGTCACATCTAGTGACATTCTTCTGGTGTGGTTGTCGGATTGATGATGAAGAGTCACGGCGTCGAGGCCGACATCGCAAGTCAATGGCGCCCTTTGCTCCCTTTTCTCGACATGGCGACAAGGGTTTTAAGGTTATCAATTGACATGAGCCGGGATTGACAGAGGCTGTTTCCGGTCGAAGATGCGGAAATCATGAATTCCTCCGAGAGAGTGACAACCCGGACGATTGCCCCTCCACAAAAATGAAGAAGAAAAAAAAAGAAACGAGGGCGGAATTGGGAAGGGCAGGTGTTATCGCTATCTCTCTCCTTCTTTCCCTCTTCTCTTGCCATTCCATTCCATTGCCCCTCCTTCCTCCCGTTGCTAGCCGAGCCCAGGCGATGACGTGGGGTAACAAAAAAACAGCTGGAAATTGGAAATGATCTTAGCGGCGTTCTCAACAGCAGCGAGCGAACAGCAAAGCAGCATTTCTTCCTCCGAGTTCCTTCTCGAAGATTGGATCGGTTGGCGCAGGAGATTTCAAGGTGCCGAGTGTAACCATTGAGGCAGGTGCTAGCAAAGATATTGGTAACAGGATATGCAATCTGCATGCACACTCTCCGTGGTGGTTGCGTTCGGAGGCCCGGCTCTCCTTCCACGGCGCCCCCTTCACACCACTTCGTTTTCCCTCTCGACGCCTCTCGGATGTGCCCTATGAGGGAATCCCAATTTATTTCATCGTTTCCTCTCTTGTCATTTCTCCGTCACTCCAGCACCTTGCCTCCGCGTCATCCAAACGAGCCGGGGGAATATCAGCCCTGCACCAAAGGCCACCCAAACGCTAAGAGGGCGGAACGGATCACTGATGGGCGTTGCGGCCGGGTCACTTGACCACCAAATGGCGGGGTATTGAAGAGAACGACGTTTGGGCATTCGTGGCTTGACGCCGGCGGATGCTGGCACCGAGATCGTGATCCCATTCTACGCCTCCCGGGCGCAGGTTTGGCTGACACCTGCTAACATCCAGGCGGTCTGAAGATAGACGATAAGACGCCCAAGCCATTGGTTTTTGTCTCAGACATTGACCGCAACGGATGGAATCTTGGTAGGGTATTTTATGATGCTACTTCTGTTGATTCAAGATGCCCTATATGGCCCTCTTCGGGGTCCCGGACCTGTTGAAGGCCGGCACCGGTATCTCTACTCGTTAAAATATCCAATTAAACATGCTATCGCCTCAAAGAAGACTTATGAAACCCCCCATCACCGCCAAAAAGCAACGACAACTCGTCAGTTGCCTGCTCTCTCCGCCTCCCTCTTGGCCTGCTCCTCCTCCATCATCTCCCGCTGCCGCGCCGCCGCCTCGCCCTCGGCCTTGACGCCCTTCTTCCGTTGCCGCTCCTCGTACATGTCCCTGCTCTTCATGATACGCTGCACGATAGTCCCGGCGTTGACGCCCTCGAACTCGTGGGCGCCGACCTCCCGCATGATGCCCATCTCCTTGGGCCCGGTGTACGGGTCGTAGGTGAGGGGCATAAACGCCGTGGGGCCGTGGTACACGGCGTCCGGTGTGCCCCACGGCAGCGACGTCAGGTACGCCTTGGTCGGCGAGAAAGGGGCGCCGAAAACGACGGCGTTTACAAACTGCGAAAAACATCAGCATAGTCCAATCGATACGACAAGGAGGTGCTTTGCTTACCCTGCACTGCAAAACGCAGAGACCGCGCTCGTAGATGTTCATGATGGGGTAGTTGATGCCCTTCCACTGGTTAATCACCTCGTCGTCGTGGATGCCGGCGACGACGTAAGCGGGCGGGTAGTCGCCGCCCTTGCCGACGCGCTCGTTGACGGCCTGCTCCGAGTACCAGCCCTCCTTGCGCGCCAGCTCCTCCTCGGCCTCGACCACTAGGCGGAGGAACTCAATGTGCCCACTAGAGAACAGATCGAACCCGCCGTCGACGTAGACCACGCGCTGTCCCGGCTGCGGACCCTTGCCCGCCAGGTGCTTCCTGAACTCGCCCTTCTCCTCAAGCGAGGACCCGGACCTGGCCTCGTCGGACGCGGACCAGAACCACACGTCGACGCCGGGCTTCTTGCCGGACTCGTCCGTCGCGTAGAGCTTCATGCGCTCGGCCATGGCGCGGCCCTCGGACTCGATCTCGGCCTGCGAGGAGCCGTGGCCCTCCTCGCCGGCCAGGCGCCTCTCGAGGGACTTGATGAAGTGGGTCTTGGTGCACAGCAGCATGCGGCCGACGAGGTCGGTGGTGGAGATGCTCGGGGTGCGCTTGACGACCTTGAAGCGGCCGGCGGCCTTGACGAAGCGGTAGCAGTCCTCGCCGTCGCCGTCCGAAGTGATGTCGTCGCCGTGCACGACGTACTTGCAGCCGTAGTGGGAGATCCAGTCGAGCTGGGTGACGTAAGGGGCCCGGCCGATTGACTTGGTGACCCAGCGGCAGGCGTCGACGGCGGCGAGGCTGGGAGGTTGTTAGTGATGTCGTATTATTGTGGCGTTGCAAATGCGAGTTGAGATCCTTACCGCTCTTGCAGCGTCATGACTGTAGGGCCCTTGTTCTCGAGGATGGCCTCGTCGGAGTGGACGCCGATGTACAGCTCGCTGCCCAGCTGACGGGCCTGGACGATGGCTCCAGCATGGCCTGACGAGTGTCAGTATAACAGCTCGTGAGAGGTATTATCGCTTTATCGTGAGCTTACCGTGGTGGAAAAAGTCGAAGCAGCCGTCGATCCAGATGCGCTCCTCCAGAATCTCAGGGGCGGGCTCGCCAGGTGGGTTCTTTGGGTCTGAGTTGACCATGATGAGAGTTGGTTGTGTTGGTGTTTGTTTTCTGGTTGAGACTCAGGACGACATGAAGCTCGTTCTTCGAATTCCGGGAGTCGCCTTATGATAAGATACACGCGAGTATATCTCCGTTTGCCGCTGGCCGCGTCACCAAAAATGGGATTCGGAACCGTTTCACCGACTAAGGGGAATTCACATGAGGTTGAGACCTGGATGAGTTGAGTTGAGCTCCAGCCCAGCTCACAGCTGTTTCCTTAGTGGCCCCGCGATGTCCCGCTTCCGTAGCGGCGCCGTGTGATTGGCGAAGTTCCAGCGCCACCAAGGATAGCCGAGACCCACCAGTAGAGCGTTCAGCGGCGGGCCGGCGCAATCCCACGGCACCGTGGGCGCTCACGGGGCCATTTCTCAGCGGTTTTCTCCAGATTCCAGCGGTCTTCACATGTCCACCTCAGTGACATCTGCCCTGTGATTGTGGGTGTCCACTGACAGCTTCCGTCCCGTCCCAACGGTTTTTTCCTTTCTTTCTTTGGATGTCACCAATAGCAAACATCAGATGGACGGATTGGCACATGTTCCTGACCAGATCTTGGTACCTTGTTACGCGCCTCTGCCGCGCATTCTGGTCAGCTGATATACGCATCGAATCGAAGAGGCTCTTTCATAAATCGACTTCAGTCAAAACTTCAGTCATGGGCAGGCTCTGTCCATCGGCGATGCCGTGACCAAATCGTCAGTCTGGCACTCCGAAAGGCATCTTCACCGAAAAGCCCCAACTTCGAGCGGAGCGCAAGGCAATATAACTGTCTTCTCCTGGACGAGCCTCACATATCACCTTTGCGAACCCCATCCAAAGTTAATTGGCATCTCCATGCGTCGCTCAGGAACGAACGCCCGGAAAACGTGGTCGGGTCCCATCCGCTGTCAGGAACCCGGTCGTCGGTGAGCCCACGTGCACCAAGTTGTCGCTCAATTGGCCCCGGCCAGGGATCTCCGTTCTTCGCCCTCATCGCGACTCTGATTTCCCAGCTCCCCGGCCGCCAGGATCTTCTTGGGAGTCCGGACGAAATATCGATCTTGAGCCGCGCCGCTGTATCTTCTGGGCAAGTTGCCCCGGCATGGCGCGTCAATGGTTCGTGAAAACAACCGGGGACTACGACCGCGGGCGGGGATGTTGTCGCCGGGTTGGCAGCTCGCTGCTATTTATCCAGAGCTTTCTCCCCGCATGCGACGCTGTCTTGTAGCTGCTCTCCAGCTCCATTGCTCTCGCGCATTCCGTCGATAATCTTCCCCGGCAAGATGAAGGGTTCGGTTCTGTCTACAGTCCTCGCTCTGGCGCCCGCCGCGCTCGCGGCCTGGCCAGAGGCTGAAGGCAAGACCATCAAGTACACGTCGGTTCCTGGATATTTCCTCCAGGACGACAACAGCACCAACCCGACGGGCTTCGACTATGTGAGTCCACCTCCACAACCGATTGTCGCCCACACTCTGCTTACACGCGACAGGCCTCGGTCAACTTTGGGCTGCTCAACAGGACCTACCCGACCGACGTGCACTTCGACCGTAACGGCACCAAGACCCAGTGGCAGCGCTTCGAGCACTGGGTTCAGTACCTGACCTCGGGCTGCCGCAAGACCGACACCGTCTCGTACAAGGTGCTCTTCATGGGACGCCACGGCGAGGGCTGGCACAACGCTGCCGAGACCTTCTACGGCACCCCCGCATGGAACGTGAGTAACGACGACCAGGGTCTCCGCGGGGAACCTTGACTAACACGATGCAGTGCTACTGGGCCGAGCAGGACGGCAACGGCACCGCCGTCTGGGCCGACCCTCTCTTGACCCCGGCCGGCGAGGCAGAGGCGTACAAGGCGAACGCCTACTTCAAGGACCGATATGAGACGCAGAAGATGCCCTACTTCGAGTCCTACTACTCGAGCCCTCTGACCCGCTGCACGGTCACCGCCAACATCACCTTTGGCGACATCCCTCTGCCCGAGGACAGGCCCTTCACGCCGACCATCAAGGAGGGCTTCCGCGAGGGCATGACGGTGCACCGATGCAACTGGCGCTCCAACAAGACGTACATCGAGGACATGTTCCCCACGTTCGAGTTCGAGGCGGGCTTCACCGAGTACGACGAGCTGTGGCGCCGCAACGAGAGCGAGACGACCGAGGCGCAGAACGCGCGCTCCAAGGCCGTCCTCGACGACGTCTTCCGCACCGACGACAAGACCTGGCTCAGCATCACCAGCCACTCGGGCGAGATCACCAGCCTGCTCAGGGCCCTCAACCACCGCGCCTTCCGTCTGTCGACGGGCCAGGTCATCCCCGTCTTTGTCAAGGCCGAGGTCATCGAGCCGCAGCCGGAGCCGACTTTTGCCGCCCACGAGCCGTACCCGACTTGCACGAGCCCGCCGGTGACTAGCAACGCCGCCGATGGGTGCGTGTGTTCGACGGCTACGACGGCGCTCCTCCCGGCCGCCACGCTCATGGCCATGTAGAGGACGCGTACGAGGCGTGAGGATGACGCGGGACAGCATCTCTGTTAGTGTTAATGTAATGAAAATAATCAACAATTACGAATATTCAAAACGCTGGGCATGGCCGCCAATGCCGTCTGAAGCAACGGGTTGATACTATGTGAGGTTGGAAACCGTCCAGCTCGTTCGGAGAAACGGCTTCGCCACAACCAAGTCTGAAGTGATATGACGTGAGGGTACCTGTCGAATTCCAATCTCGTTCCCAGCTTGCGCGGACAGACGTTGAAGAAGCGTAGCTCCATTGCAGTTGCCTGGGCGGCAGACGGTGGCTGGTCTTGGACAACATTGGCACCCTGACAAGAATCGTATTGTCGCGTGGGCTGGAGGTGACATTAAAGGGTGGTATCCCGGGCCGGAGCACCAGAGCCTCCACGTGGTATTCGACATTCTGGAATGTTTCAGGATCGGCGTGGAAGAAGTACAGAGAGAGAGAGAGCCAGACGGGGAAAGGAGGCATGTGCTCTGTATAGCTCGGCGCTTTGGGCGCTGCGCGGACTCTTTGGAGGAAGGGCAGCTTCGTGGATCGGAGTCGACGGCGCGCGGGTCTGGTGACTTACGAGGTCGTAAAGTGCTCGGGCGTTGGGAATGCTGCTAAGAGCTCCGGGGTTGGCGTGTTTATGTTCATCGTCGGCTGCGTCGTGATGGACGGTGGTGGGTGTCATGTTTGTTTGGGACGAGAATGAGTTTCACGATGGGTTCAGACAGCAACTAGCACCGCTACTTTTTCAGCGAGGGAGCGCCGGAAGAAGGGAGAGGCGAAGCTCTTAGCACGATGGAAGAATGGAATGTCTGAGCAGATCGACCCAGAAGGCTTCCATTGGCCGTCAGTGATTTCATTGTTTTCTTCTGGTCTCGTAGAGACCTTGGAAGAGGAAGGCGACCAAGTGCGACCGACTTACACACGGGCACACAAAGTATCGGAAACGCCTCAGGTGCGGTGCCCTCCATGGAATCTGCAAACGCCGTTCGCAGCGAAAATTCCTCGGCGAGCCTGGCCGCCCGGGAAACACGTAACTGGGCCATTGTCCATCCCAATTTTCGGTGCATCGGGCGTCCCATTTTAAGATCTTCAGACGTCCGGAATGGGGTGTCCCTGACTGGGGGAATTTCCCGCCCCAAAAACAAACCGGTCGCTCCAGGCTCCAGCGCTGGAATTACGTGAAGGTTTGGAAGATCACGACCGGTGAAGATTGCCGGATCGCAGGGATGAACGTAGCTGGCTCGAGCAGGTGGTGCGGTTGGGACTGAGTCGATTGGCCGTGGGAGCTGATGTATTAGAGTATTAGAGAGGGCGGTCGGGGCCTCCGTGTTCGGGATGATGGGATGCTAAATTGGCGATGTTGTTTTGTTGTTTTCCCGCGCAGTGCGAAGCCAATTGTGTTCCCCGTCGTCTTTGATCTTTTTATTTTTTTTAATCTTCTTCCAATCTCCAATCCGTTCGGCCCAAGGCCCGTCCAGTCAGTTACCAACAGCACGGCACCCGAACGCACCGAAAAAGGATCGCTTCTCGCATCAGCGTTTGCGCTTCGATTCCGCGACGAAATCGAGACCTGATAATAAAGCTCCGAACCACCCCCGGCCAGCCACAGGGTCTCAGAAGCACCCAACCGCTTCGCTCAAGCCGTCGTCGACGGTTTTTTCTCTCTTTCTTCGTACCTACCTCACCTCAGCACCGTCACCCCTCGACGTCGACGCGAACGGACAAATCTCTCTGTACGACCAGCAGGTCCCGGGCGTAATAAAGACCCTGTCAAAACAACACACAAACACACACACCTAACCCACCACAACAAGGGAGGGAAGGAAATATAATTGCAACTTCATCTTGGCTCTTTTTTCGTCTCTCACACGCACGACACACGACAGGTTCGCCTACCTAGGATCCAAACAACACCCCCGTCCAAACCCACGTCCGACGACCACCACCGCATAATTAATTCATCGGGTGTTAAAGCGTCCACTTTCCCACGTTTTTCTGCGACTCCATCAGCCGGGCAAACGCAAAACAAAATAAACAGTCAGAAACCCGCACCCCCGGCGAATTCCTGCGCCCTGCCGCCCACCTGCATCAACCTCCGTCGCAGCACCTCGTCAGGAACAAGCGATCGAGACTCGCCCTTTGCCTTTGCGCTTTTTCTCCGCCGGTTTTGCCTCATCGACCACGCGACGACACATCCAACAGTCTCCAGTCGTTATTAAACTCCAACCTGCAGGGCGTCCACGAGCCATTAGCCCCAATTTGTTTGAACCGCAGGCTGCATCAAGAAGGGCAGCAAGGGGTCTCGAGCTAATCTTAGCAAACCCCTCCTCCTTCCCATCTCCGCCGGATGTCATTCTTCTGCGTCAGGCTCGACACCTGATCCCCTCCCCCCAATCGTTCATCCACCTTGCAGCAACCTTGGGGCAATTGAGTGTTCCTTCGCCCAGCACAAAACCTGGAAAAAAGTGGCGTCGACGTCGACTGCGACCAACCGGAGGACGAACAAGTCGGAAAGGCAAAGCAAGTCACCGAAAGCAAGTCATAGTGCGAAGCAAGGGGGTTGCCGTACCTTACAGCGGGAAAATCAGATCTGCCACCACCAAAAAAAGTCAGCCGGTGCAAGGGGGGCAAGGAAGCAAACAGTTGGAGTCGACATATCCGTCGAAGCCCGGCACCACCCTCATCAAACCTCCCGACCAATACCGCCTCGCCCTACTCACGCATAACCACCTTCGCCGATCGAATCGGCCCCTCGTCCGCCCTCCTTCGCCGGACTCCTGAACCTGGTCTGGTCCAAAGGTCTGAGGTCTGAGGTCCCTCCGCTCTCTCTCCCTGACGGACCCCGTCACTCGTCAGCCTGCCCTCCCTCCCTTACGACAGAGGTCTCCAGGCCCCCATCCAAATTCAAAGATATGCAGCGATCCGGCGCAACACCCGCGACTGCCAATGCACCCTTCTTCTCGACGTCCTTCTTTTCTTCCTCCTCAAAGTCCCGTCCTGGCACCTCCTCAGGAGAGCAACAACCGCCACAGCAATCGCAGTCGCAACCACCTCCGCAGCCCTCGCCCTTCTTCCCGCCGCCTCTACAGTATCCCGCCGGCCCCAACGTCTTGACCAAAGACCGCAAGAGCTCCTTTGGCCGCAAGCCCTCCTTCAGCTCCCCCTCCAAATCCTCGAAGCGACGCGCCAACAGCTCCAGCTCCGGTGGAGGAGGCAATGTCGTAGTCACCGACCGAAACGTACCTCCCGCCCTTCCCGACTTTGCCCTCGCCGCCGCTGCGAAGATCACTCGCGACGCCGACAATATCCAAAGCCCCGCCTCCGCCGACAGCTTCTCCAAGATGCTCAGCCGCTCGCACACCGGCTCGACGAGCCTCGCCCCCGACAGGCTACAGCCTCCGCCGGCCTCGGCGACGCATCCCAACATGTGGCAGTCGAGCGAGTCTGTCGTGCTGCACATGCAGATGCAGGAGATTGCCAACAAGAGGATATCCACCTTGGACTACATCCGCAAGGCGTATGTGCTCTCCATCTGTCTCTCTCATTATGTCTTAGCATGCTAACTGATATACGACAGCCACGAGGGCCGCGTGTACTGGTTTAACACTATCCTCTTTGACAAGCCCGACCTCCAGCGAATGCCATCCTTTGACCAACGGAAACTCGCCCGCCGCGCCACAAACTACCTCCTCCTCGGTCTCTCCCTCCCCACCATCGTCGACCTGTACGCCAACACACCCATCGAATTCCTCCGCAGTCTCAACAACCTATTACAAGAGTTCGAATCCTTTCAACAGCTTCACGGCGAGGGCGGCAGCTCCACGAGCTCACTGTCGCGTGCGCGCCTGCCGCAGATGTTCCGTCGCCAGGGCGGCAAGTCACGGCGCAGCGCGAGCGGCGCCAACGACATCGGCTACCCGGGCGACGACGGCAGCTCCGGAGGCATCGGATCCTCGTCGAGCGCGAGCGCGAGCGTCATGTCATTCGCGTCCAGCGACAACGACCTGCTCCCCGGCGAGGTCTACACACACCTCCTCACGCCGTCTCTTCCCTTCGAGCCGGACTTTTTCGAGACCTTTGCGACGCTGTGCGAGGTGCTCATCGACGTGTACACAAAGGTGCTGACGCTGGTGCCCACACCGAGTCAGACGACGGCCCCCGTGGCGGAGCTGTTCGCAAAGGCGGACGCCAAGGTGCGCAAGATCATTGTGCAGGGCGTCGTCAAGGAGTTCGAGGACAGCAGCAGGGCGCACATCAAGACGGAAGTTGCTAATATCGGCAAGGTTGTGCTTGGTGGACTAATGTGACGGACGATATACTGATCATGTCTGGTATGACTTGCATTTTATACGGAGTTATTGTGGGATGGCTTTTATGAGACATGGTAGAGGTCGGCGCAGGGAAGGAACTCGACGTCGGGACTTCACATATACCACATTTTTTTGATGTTGTTATTGCTACCTATATACCTATGACCTGGAGCAGAGATACAAAGACCAACTAATCCAAACCACCGATACAAAGATACGAAAAAAGAAAAAGTTCATCAGATACCATAACGCATATTTTTGTCGTCACATTGGCGGACCCTAAGGCCTCTCACCGTCAGTGCTTGACTCTATATTGGTGATCATCATCGAACTTAGAAAAACAGCTTCCCGCTGGTCCTTGGGAGCATCATAGACGGGGAGACTTCCCACGAAGTCCAGAATGTAGGTGTCTAGCCCTGGGCGGACCAGACAAGAATCCGTAAAGGTTGGTTTGAGCCCTCCTCGCACCAAGAATAAGCCCCATCGAGTAATCCCGTCCCCGAAAGGACGAGCAATCGCATAACTCTCGATCTCGACGAAAGGTCCTCCGACCGACCCTTGAATTCGCCCGGCAAGCGACCTCCCCGCGCGGCCACCCCGTCATCAAAGGGCCCTCTCGTCCCGACCAAGAACACACCATCCCCGGATCCCAGGCGCGGACTCATATCTTCGTCCATTGGGGGCCCGGAACCCGGGAGACGGGGTCTCAAGACGGGTACAGAGGACCGCGGCGATGTAGCGACGGGGCAGGGCGGAGGGGGAGAGCCATTACGTCCGGGCGCAGGTCTTGGAGGTCAGCCGCTGTGCTTCTATGGCGGCGCGTTTCCGCGGCGTTTCTGCTCCCACCCCCGAAAGGGCAGAAGTAACGTGTGTCCGGGGACTTTCTCCCAAAGCCTGAGGCTGGCTCGCGAAGAGCCGAGACGGTTTTGAGGCCGTCTCCGTTTGTAAGCTTCGATAGCGATTTGTCGGACGAGGAGGGTTGTGGAAGAAAGGAGAGAAAGAAAAAGCTAGAAACGCGAGTTCGAGATTTTTTTTATACGGTTCGAAGGGGAAAAAAAAATCATTGGTGGGGCTGCCGTGGCTTCAGTGGAACCCGTGTGGCTTTAGCATTGCAGCTACCCAGGCACAAAGACCCGTGGACGGGCAGGCACCCAGCCTTGGGGCTTTGCGGCCAATGGGAGGGCGGTATCACTTTTCGCATCGCGACTGCCTTCTTGCCTGGGCTGGAACCTTTGGAAGATTCACCTCACCTTTGGATCTCAACCCGCCAGCTATTTGAAGGTGAGGCCAACCTCAACAAACCTCCTGCGTCCCGAATTCCTCTCCCTTCGACACGACTGCAGGTCCACACTCGACAACCTCTCACCACCGCGCGAAGAAATAACTTTCTCTCCTGTATCCCTCCCCATCGAACCAACGTCACAATGTCGGGCCTCTTTGGCAGCGCGGCCGCGTCGACACCGAGCAACACGGTCGGCGACCTGAAGCAGGACGTCGCGCTCAACAATCCTCCCGAGGACTCCATTTCCGACCTCGCCTTCTCACCCAACCAGAACCAGTCCAGCGACTTCCTGGCCGTTGCAAGTTGGGACAAGAAGGTCAGGATTTACGAGATTGCAGCAAACGGTAGCAGCGAGGGAAGACACGCCTACGAGCACGATGGCCCTGTTCTGAACTGTGACTTCTCCAAGGTACGTCCCTTTGAATTGTCTTCTCTTTGTGTCGCGTAAACGGCACAGCGGCTAACAAACCCATTAGGACGGCACAAAAGTCATGTCTGGTGGCGCCGACAAGGCCGTCAAGGTCTGCGATCTGGGCAGCCAGCAGACGATCAAGATCGGCGAGCACGACCAGCCGGTCAAGTGCGTCCGTTTCTTCGACTCGGCCAACGGCAACATGGCCGTCTCCGGCTCCTGGGACAAGTCCGTCAAGTACTGGGACATGCGCTCTCCCACCCCGGCCGCGACCCTGCCCTGCCAGGAGCGCGTCTACTCGATCGACGTCCGCAACGACCTCCTCGTCATCGGCACCGCCGACCGCTACATCAACGTCGTGGACCTCAAGAACCCGACCAAGTTCTACAAGACGCTGCAGAGCCCCCTCAAGTGGCAGACGCGTGTCGTGAGCTGTTTTACGGACGGCGCCGGATTTGCTATTGGCAGTATCGAGGGCCGTTGCGCAATTCAGTATGTCGAGGACAAGGATGCTAGGTACGTCTTTCTTCAGTCCCGCATACCCGAAAACCAAAACTAACCACCGCGGACAGCTCCAACTTTTCTTTCAAGTGCCACCGCGACCCTCCCTCGAACAACGTCACCAACGTATACGCGGTCAACGACATCTCCTTCCACCCCGTCCACGGCACCTTCAGCACCGCCGGATCCGACGGAACCTTCCACTTCTGGGACAAGGACGCCAAACACAGACTCAAGGGCTACCCCAACGTGGGCGGCAGCATCACGGCCACGACGTTCAACAAGAACGGCTCCATCTTCGCGTACGGCATCAGCTACGACTGGGCCAAGGGCTTCCAGCATAACACGCAGCAATACCCCATCAAGGTGATGCTTCACCCGATCCAGGCGGACGAGTGCAAGCCGCGTCCGACCATGAAGAAGCGGTGAACGAGCAGGGGTAGAGAATGGAAGCGATGAATATGTTTGGAGGATTGCGTCTGGATGTGTGGGTCGATAGAGAAAGCCAGGTTAGATGGATATTCTGGGGAAAGGCGCGAGAGCTCGGAGCCGTTCTGCTCTGCGCATTTGTAAGAGTTCAAGGGATTTTCGCGCTGCCAACGTATGACGGACGGGCAGGCAGCGAGCAGCGTTTTGAAAATCGCGTTAGGTAGACTTCACGCAATGGAGTGTTAGGCACAGGGCGATACCACACAAATTGGCAATCAAAAGTTACATAATAATCATAGCACGACACACACACAACGATAGTCAAAGCTGGAAGCGCAAGAGTGTTGTTAGATCTGCGAAAGATCCAATTCTGAGTCGTAGAATTTTCATCATGCTTCTCGTACCCAGTGATGTCCATCTGTCTCCCTTAGATGTCTCCCCCCTCCCATGAAAGTGCTATTAAAAAACAATGTATCCAAAAGACCGGTCGCGTCGGCTTGCCAAGCAAGCAACTCAAAGATGACAAATGAAACAAATCCAACCGCTGTGCTCTGTAAACTCTCACATCGTGACCATCTCACACTCTCCAATTTTTTATTCCAGCTCTCACCACCTAGTAGGCGGGTTTCCTCCCGACGACGTCGTCGACCAGACCCTTCCACAGATCCCTCAGGCCGGGCTGGTGCGCGTCCTCGGCGGCGGCCTCGCTCTCGTGCGCCCACTTCAGCTCGACGCCGTCCACCCCAAAACCCTCGACCTCGGTGAGGGCGGCGGCGGTGGTGACGTTATCCGGGTTGGCGGCGATGATGGAGATCTCGGGCTTGGAGAGGGGGAGGTCCGTGGTCGTCTGCTCGTAGAGGGACTGGTGCTTGGTGGTGAAGGAGTCCGGGAGGAGGGGCATGCGCATGCCGGCGAACTCGTTGCGCGGGGCGGGCTCGTAGGACATGGGGAGGGTGGTGAAGTCCATTGAGGCGATGGCGGGTGATGAGGAGTTGGCGGAGGAGGAGGAGAAGGTCTGCATTTGGCGGTGGGCGGAGGAGGACGTTCTTGTGGGTTGGGGGGTTGGGCGGTGGGTTGTTGTGAGGGAGCGGGCGGACTTTGAGGGCATCGTGTTAGTCGGTGCTGGCTCTTGTTTGAGGAGGAGGATGAGGATGATGGTGGACTTACGTCGTGCTCGTATGCGGTGCGGTTCTTGAGGAGCTCCGCGTACTTTGGCATCAGGACGGCGCCTTGGTTGACGTTGTAGTGGGACTCGAGGAGGCCGGAGGAGCGGGTTGCGGTTGCGGCCGAGTTGATGGAGCGGGCGAGCTTCGCGACGGGGGCGGTGATGCGCGACATTGTGATGTGTGTGTATGTAGGTAGCTGATTACCGGAATCTGCCGGTGGTTTGTTACGAAGTCGACGAACGTTGGTCTTCGATATGTGCGAAGATGTAGATGGACGCGGACGGATGGATGAGAGAGTAGGTTTGACGGCGGGAGGATGGAGGTACTGAGTGAGGAGAGGGGGAGTTGCACGGCAGATATACGCACGGAGGGAGGAGGTAGAGCTTCACACTGATGGAACTGGCACACGCATAGGCACACACACACGCAACGACAGACACACCGCAGCTCTCAGTCGCACACACCCCTGGGCTGGAACTTGGATGGGATGGGGGCACGATGAGATGTGGACGGAGTGGATGGATGGGACGGGATGAGATGGGAACGGGGAGTCGCAGCAATAGCAGCGGCGCCAGTGAGTTCCAGTTGGTAAGAATGTGTGTTTAAGGGTGTCCCGGCAAAGTAGAGCTACTTGGTAGAAACTCGAGGCGGGCAGTTGGAGTAGTCGAAGAGATACATTGCTGAGACGGGGGGAGGATACTTGGGTGCGGGTGGTTGAGCGAGAGGAGGTGGATGTACCCGGAGGTCCGGCGACGGCGGCCGGGTGAGGTGCCGGGAGTGGGTGAGGTGAGGTACCTCAGCTACAAGACACCCCTGCCCAGCATTAGAAATCTGAAGGGCCATCTTACAGCGGTAGCTCAAGAGCCCTGTAATTGTTGGGGGAGGATCCAATCAGATCAGCAGGGGACTTTTCCTTGGTCGGTGGGGGATGTACGTGTCGGCGGTGGTGATGTACATTCTTGTTAATGCACGCCATCTGGAGTCGTGTGTTATGCTCTACAAAATGTATCCGCACGAAGAAAGTGAGTATCGAGTACGGATAGTCCGCCCGAATGCAATTTGTTTGAACTCGAATAGAGTCGATGGCTGCTGTGGCTACTTTACTGGCGAACAGCTGGCGAGCAGTTTACTATGTCACTCGATCTAAAAGTAACTGTTAGTAAAAAGGTGGCACTCAAAGAGAGAGTTGACAGAGTTAGAAACAGAAAACGCCCGATCGATGCGGGCGCGTGAGCTGAGGACGGGAGGGGAATGGTGCGGTTCTGGTTTCTGGTGGCATGGCATGGCATTGCCGCGACCGCCATGCTGTTATCCTGGATCTGGATTCGCGCGGCTTGGGACGTGGACCGACTCTGTGTCTTCCGTTGCTTGATTCTCTGCATCTCGCAATTGAAGAATACAGATGGAACGGTTTCCGGTTGCAGCACCGAGAGTCTGAGTTTGGTGGGGACGAGAAACAGATTTGGCGGTGTTGATCTCTCACTGTGAAAAACCAGCGGTCAGGCAAGAGTTGTCAGGACTCAGGACTCAGGACTCAGGACTCAGGTGTCAGGCCAAGGTCAGGACCGTCAGGTCGGTCGGGACACGGGCTGGGGTTGAAGCACTCTTCCTGAGTGTGACCCTGCCAAGGCGGGATTTAGTGCCTGCGTTGTCATAGCGGGTGTGTGTGTGTGAGTGACGGACGAGTAATGACAACCATCTGAGGGTGAGAGAGAGACCGCAAGTGTGCTGAGTCTAATTTAGTGCTGCCAACTGCCTGCAAACCGGGTGGCCTGCCGGTGTCAGATTGGCTGTTCTTCTGCCATTCTCAGATTATCAATCGTGAAAAATGAGAGATAGCCAGCCATTGCTGACATGGACGGACGGGCGGCCGAGAGACAACAGCGAACATCAGACAGAGACATTCCAGCGTCTGTCGGTCGTGGTCAGCGATAAGAAACGGGCAAACGAGACCCTCAACAGAAAGTGACTTCTTCGACGGTATCCGTATCCGTACGTGACTTGGTGACTCTGGCAGATGAGCAAACGGTAGCCGGGATCGGCCCCTGATAATTGCATGAGCAAGTGTACGTGGTCGTTTGCTATTCTCGGTCGTCTTCTTGGTGATCTCAGGGATGTCCTATGCTTGTTGAGCTGAGGCTTCAGAGGCTGTGCAGACCGTTCTTCGCTGGACGACTCCAATCTCCAGCAACTTCCAAGGTTGAACTGACAGCTCCGGCCGGGGGAAGTCGAGGCGAGCAGGAACAAAAATACGGTGGAGGTAAGTAATGTCACCGACAGGGAACTGACGACGGGAGAAAGCAAAAAAAAGCTTCGAGACGTTGAGGAGCTTGGGCCACCGTTGCGGGTCCGGTACATGCGCCCTGCTTCCCGTCTCCACCACACTTTTTCTGTCCTCCATCCTCTTCCATCTTCCTCCTTCTCACAGCTTTTTTGGGTTCCAACTTGCGCACTACTGAGCTCACCTCACCTCACCCACGACACGCAACACGCCTACTATCCGAGGTGCTAAGGCGCGCCTGGTCGCCTGGTCTGTCACTTGAAGATTGTTGACCGAGACGCGCATTGGCGGCTCACAGCCCGTCCTCTTCTGTTCGTCACCATCCCTCGTCCCAGTGTGTCTGGTGCCAACTTAGCAGCCAGACGGGCGACACTTTCAATAGCGACTCGCCCTGGAATCAATCCCCCTTCGCCAGAACCAAAATGTCTGAGAAAGGCAGATGCTCCCCCTGCCCATCCAAGACATGCTGGGCGCTAGCATTCAAGCTCCCTGCGCCGCCTGCGACCCCATGATCGCTCGCCCCCGTCGGCTGGGCATGCCTCGATGGGGTTCCCGTTCCTGTCTGCCACGCATGTATCCGTACGAAGGAAGTACTTTGACATTGACACTGACATGTTCTGGAAGGGCGTCGCAATGAACTGCCACGACACCCATCATCTCTGGATCTCGAGGCAAACAGAAACAAGGTCCCCAGACGCTGGAGATTACCTTGTTTGCCAACCGATAAACCATAAAACCACTTTTGGCAGGCTGGCGGACAGGGCGAAGCGACAGGGTCCCGTGTCGGTCGAGGTACAAGCTGGAACTGGGGCTGGAGCTGGAGCTGAGCTTCCTCACCGCTTGGGGGTTGGTGTCTGGGGCTCGCTGCCGTTCGTCGAATCATTCTTGAATTGCGTCCCGCCTGATTGGCCACACACGCCTGGACGATCGGCGCATGGCCAGATCGTTGGGAACTCGAACGGGAATCCCTCCTGTTCGCCCTCTCCACCCAGACTCTCTCGACTGACGACTCGAGTCGACACCACGGGAGTACCGTTCCGACAACGACTCGAGACACACATCGACCGCGCCGTCGCTATAGCTAGCATACCAGCACGTAAGCGCGCCTCCACGACGGTTACACTGGCCGCACTTTTCTCGGAGTAAACGGCATTCCTCTCTCTGTTGTCACCCATCCATCGCCCTCCCTATTCACCGAGGGGTCTTATGCAGGCTACACTTCGGACGGCGTCTCGTCGTCGCTGTCCAGCTCCTCGAAACTCGGCGTTATCTTACCTCATGGAAACATCAGGGCCACAAAACGTTGGGGAACCATGGCACCGGTGACGACGAAAGGATGAAGCGCCGCCCGAAAGAGGGCCTCAACCCGTCCTGATACCCGCGCGACGCAGCACGCAGCACGCAAGAGAGAGAGAGATTCCCGCCGAAGTTCAAACCGTCCGTGGCCGTGGGGGTATGCTTCGGGCAGTTTCCCAGCTTCGGACACTTTCCCAGCGCCTGGGAACGGGAAAGACGCCAAAGCGAGTCTGTGCGAGGAGAGCACGACAGATCCCGAAAGAAAATTACACGACGTGAAAACGCCGCCCATCCAGTATTTTTAGCATTCCTAGCTCGGGACAAGGCCGTGCCACGATGGTCGGGGTTTTCCCGCGGATTAAACCGCACCGTAACACGTTCGAGGTATGGACGGGGTGGTGGTGGGCAGCCCTGCCGATGGAGCGGGATGTCGGTCGCTCGTCGTGGCTGGCAGGAAGACGCAGGGCCCGTCCGAACCCACGAGCGACTTCTATTAGGAGACATTGACAACGTAGCTGAACCCGGGTGGCTGATTCTGGCAGACGCCTCGCCTGCGTCCGGCCCAGACCCTCGATGCCATATGCGTAAACATGGTGTCGATGGGCGATTGAGGAGGCGCTCCAGAGTTGGGCAATCTAATTTGCCTTCATGTGCATGCATACTGTATGCGAATGCAATGTGTGTCTCCAAGAAGGCATGTACATGCGAGATGGAGATAAGGGGAGCTCTGTAAAAAGCAATATCCCATCCGGGCTGTTTGAGATTAGGACCCGAGGAATGCGTGACTGGCAACCAAAGGCGCGGATTCGAGTGTGAGGCGAATGAGAAGCTGTCGATTACGCCGCCTCACCGCTTATCCAAAGCCTCAGGTAGCTATCATTGGACTCCCTACACGCCTCTGGGGATATCAAACACCGAAGAGGGCTGCTGCAGGGTCATGATCTGTAATCCGTATCACCCCCGAAATCATTGGATTCGTAAGCTCGCGCGTGGGTTATGATCGTGGAGGGGCGTGAGACGGGCCGGCCCTGTATTCGGGGGGGGCATCGTTGGTTACACCATCGACGGCAACATCCTCCCTTCGACATTCGTCACACAAACGCCTCATACCCAACGGCCCAATCAAAGCCTTCACCCCGCCCACGCGAGAGACAAGACGATGAGTGAAAACGGCGACCACAGATCGGAGGTGGAGTTCGTGGGTGATCGAGAAACACCTCCTGGTCCTCGAAAGCAAGATTCGTCACCGATGTGATGTTCGGAGTTCGATCGTACCATCTGTGAACCGAATCCGAGGCGCGAAAATCACCAATACCAAACGGCGAGCTCGGTCTCCGAAGACATCTCCGCCGCCGGTGCCATGTTAGAGGAGCCCCGGTCCCTGGGGAAGGGGGGGAAGGAAACCGGCTCCGGCTTTTGTCCCGTTGTGCGTTGACGACATCCACTGGCCCCGACGTGTGGGTTTTTTGCCTGACGAAGCTGCCGGATCTGGGTTTTGGAGGCAATTTGTTTGACATCCCCTTGACGTGAACCACTTGGATGCTGTAAGGGTACTCGGTTAAGGGTTTGCCGTTCGATGGTCGTCCCTTTCTCGTAGGTAACCCTCGGCGTTCGTCTCGCCCATACCGGAGACCGAGGCCGAGATGTACTATCTCCCTGCCGTCAGGTTCGTCGTCCACGTACAGTCCTGAATCACGGATTTGCGAAGAACTGGAAACACCCCATCAGACTCGCCCCTGAATGCTCCATCGCAACATATCTCCAGGACTTGTCGAAGTCATCGATGCCCATCATCCACCACCGTGGCCGTTGCAGGTCCTCTCCCCTGAAAGCCCTCGCACTCTCAGGAATCGTCTCGGGCGACGACTCCAGATCCGTCCGCCCTAGCGCGAGATACATGATATCCAACGGCGCGAGCGGCCAGTTTACCGAATTCCCGAGAACCACCAGCAGCCTACGCTGCTCCGGCATCCCAGCAACCGCCGTGGCGATGGAGGAGATCAAGGGCACGAACGTCGCGTCGACGGACGTCTCGCGAAACGCCAGTTCCGGAACATCATCCTCGGCCTCCCTCGCCCCCATGACGGGGTAGAAGTCAGAGGCGTCAGAGTCCGCAGAATCGAGTTCAGGCCCCCGTATTCTCAACCGTCATACTTGGAAGATCGTCGAAGTCGCCCGTGTGGAGTCATCCTCCATCCGCGGTCGTCACGGACAGGTCAATCTGGAGCCCTCAGAGGCCGGGGCAGCGCAGCAGCAGGTCGCCGAACACCGCGGACGTCAGGACCAAAAGACGTCCTAGACGCAGCCTCTCGAGCGTGGGAAGCTGTAGCACCCGCCGAGGGAGCCTCCTTCCCCTTTTCCCGTACCCATCATGCGTGCTGACTCAAAGACTTTCGTTCGCTAGGTCGTTGTTCTCGGAGACGATGATCTCCAACTTCGTTAGCCTCGGAAACGTGGTGTTCGCCAGCGCGGCGCCGAGAGCCGCTCGAACGTGCTGAGATCAGATTGTCACGCCAAGCGGCGGTCGTAGGTCACGCGGGCCGGCGGCGTTAGGAAGTCCTACACCATCTTCATGGCCACGAGGACGACCACGACCACGACGGCGGAGGCGTCTGGGCTGAACGGGCGGCCGGTAGTTGCCTTCGAAAGAGAAAGGACTCGGACACGCACGCGACCTCCGGAAGCCTCCCGCGTGGGGCATCGATGCTGACTGTGCTGGTTCCGAAGCGGGTTTCGTAGACGAGGAAGCGGCGATCGCTCTGGGGATGTCTAGTCCCGCATATCTCTTCCATCTTCACGTTCGTGGGCGACGCGGTGGCGCTGATGGCCAGATTTGGTACCGTTGTCATAGGGTCTGGTCGAGAGAACGATGAAGAAATCGTGGATGGGGCTGTTGTACAAAACGGTGTTTTCTGCAGCGCCTGTCGCTGGTGCGCTGGATCTTTTTTGAAAGTGTTTGTGCTCGATTTCAGGGAGGACAATCTGGAGGTTGATCTAATGATAACTGGGCCGTCGTTCGGAGTGGTCTAGGCCCTTGTTGGTCAGCTTTGCGATGCGTTCGTGAGTTTCGGCTGATAACCTCGAAAGGGATGGCAGGGAAATCAAGATCGCCATATTGATGGTGTTGAAAATTGCGTGGTGACGAGAGGGAAGCGGGATCGCCTCCTCCAGAGTGCAGCAGTTGCGAACCAAATCAAGCTGACTGCGGCACAGCGATCAGGCAGTGTCCTGGAGTATCCGGTTGAGGCAGGCGAAAGTTCGAGTATGTCGAAAAGAGACTTAGCAGGATCATTATTGCATGTCATCCGTGCCTCGTGTCTTTCAAAACCATGTAACATCTCTCCAAGAGGTTCAGAGTAATTATGTGTTGTATTTAACAAAGTTTAGATCATGCATAAAAAGAAAGTTCTGCTCCTTCCGGATCAGTGTTGTAACATTTTGAACGAGAAGTTCACCCAGCTCAAATCGGCAGGACCTGACATCCAACACGGCTCTTTCCCTCGGCAGTCGAGCTCTTTATTTCCGTACCGCGAACATCGAATCTGTAGTAGAGGTCAGCAATTGATCCAGAATAATCAAACATCAGACACTGCATCGAGAGACCCCAAATTGGATCATACACCCAAGAAAGGACATTAGAACGCTCACGGCACATCTCAAAGGCTCGAGTGATGGGCTTGCGTGGAAACTGCGAATAGTAGAGGAAATTGAATCATGTGGAAGGGGAGTGAAGAGCGGCAGAAGAGAAGAATGTACTTACGGCTTTGAAGAGATGCCTAAACAGCTGAGGAAGCTGAGGGCTTGCGTACTTAGAGAAGGGAAGAAATCGTGGAAGTCGTCGAGGAGAATTCACGTTCTTGATACCTATGCCTTTTCAAAGTGGGACCGTCCGACCCTTCTGCCTAGGCAGGTACGTTCTTTGCCATCACCTCTTGAGGAGGCAAAATCTTGCATCGTGGCCATGGTCGCCTAGAAACATAATGATCTTGGAGGCTTTTCACGTTATTTCTGTATGATTGGCTACTGAGCGGCAGATATGAAAGTTGTCGTCCACGATCTTCTGCCCTTGATTGTTGTTGTTGATTCGGGTAGGTGGTGCAAGGCCGTCTGATGAAGTCAGAATACCTCAGGATAAATGATAGTCTTGCCTGGCTGCTCCGATAGCGAGGTGTTCGATGTCATGGATGCCAGGATACCTATTTCTGGGCCCTGGGCGACGCTCTCGTGAAAACGGACAATGCTCTTGTAAACAGCACTGCTGCACTGTGGGATATAGCAGTCAAGATAGATGAGCAACTCGGCGGAACAGGAAGGATTTCAGAGCAACGATGAGACATATACCAAGGCTATGAAGTTTAGCCTGACAGATCCGGACTCCTTCCCGTTCGGTGGGTATCAAGACTCGTCTATTCTTTGTTCTCTTCATCTCTTTTGAAGCCTGAATTTCATCTGTATTTCCAATACACCTAAGCTAACTCGCCCCTACCTGATGACCTGCGTGCCCTCGGCCGGCTCCAAGATCTTCCATTGGCAGCCGACGTTCTTATTCGAGTTGTTCTCCTGGAGGATCTTGATGATTTTGTCGGCGATCTCCTCAAAGTTGCTCGTGGCGAGGGCGAGGATGGTGGGGCCGGCGCCGGAGAGGCACACGCCGAGGAAGCCCGGCTGCGTGCTGGGGGACATGCTCTCGACGATCTGGCTCAGGCCGGGGATCAGGGTCTGGCGGTACGGCTGGTGGATCTTGTCCTGCATGGCGAGGTGGATGAGCTCAGGATCCGGCGGGGAGGTGCCGAGAGCGACGGGGAGGAGGGCTATTCTCTGCATGTTGAAGGTCTAGTTATGTGTCAGCCAGGAGCACCGGTGCAGCAGCAGAAGAGATTCGGGTAGGGACGTACGACGTCGGGTCGTGTGTAGTGAGGCGGCAGGACCTCGCGGGCGAGATGTGTGGGGACCTGGAAGTCGGGGATGATGGCGATGGCCTTGATCTCCTTGGCCCAGGGGAACTTGATGTGGTGGCCGATGCCGTGGGGCGGCTCCGGCGGGGTCTCGCCGGTGTCGACGCCGCCGGCCGGGGCCGGGAGGACCTCGCTGAGCGGGATCTCGATGCGCTGGACGTCCTCGGGCTTCAGGGGGCGGAGGTAGGTGCCGACGAAGCCGCCGTACAGCGAGGCGCCGACGTTGTCGGGGTGTCTCTCTGTCAGATGTCAGTGACGGCTCACATGGCAGAGTGTCAGCTACTCACCAATCATGAGACAAAAGTCGAATAACCTGTCGAGGCTGAGGTGGTCCAGGTGGCCGACCTCCTTGCCGAGCATGACGCCGGCGACGACGGCGGAACCGGAGCTGCCCAGGCCGCGGCCGAGGGGGATGGGGTTCTTGATGTGGACATGGGTCTCGACGGGGAACATGCGCTGGCCGTGGCAGCGCAGGACGTAGAGGGCGACGCGGGTGATGAGGTTCACGGAGGGGTCGAGGCTGATGTCGGCGGTGCCCTCGCCCTGGCCCTCGTAGGTGATGCGGCAGTTTAGGGGCTCGGAGGAGGTCTGGACGGAGCGGTCGATGGTGACGTGCAGCTCGAGGTAGATGGAGAGGGCGAGGCCGATGACGTCGAAGCCCGGGCCGATGTTGGCGGACGACGAGGGCGTCTTGATCACGAAAGTCTCCTTGGTCATGACGGGCAGGCGGTGTAAGTTGAGGAGGGGTGAGTGAGGAGGTGAGGAGTGAGGAGATGAGTCGACCTGGTCCCCTTCTAATTGGTGCACCTTACAAGTGCCTGGCGACAATTCGATTGAGGGAAGTGAGATATTTCGGTGAGGCAATGCCGTCTCGGTCTTTCCCGTCGCTGTATGAAATGAACGTCGAATCGCGTCTATTCTGTCGTTCGTGACTCAAAAAATTTGAGAGGCCCCGATGACGGAGGGAACGCGACGGCTGTCTCAGCGTCTCAGCGGCAGCTTTTGGCGGGGTGAAGCCCTATCGTTGAGTGCGGGGTGCTTCTGGCTGCTTTTCATTGGCCAATTCGCCCTGATTTACGGATACGGAACTCTTATCTTATCGTTCCCGTCTCGTCTGCGGCTGTCTCATCACATCACGCCATCTTTTCTCTCTGTTGCTAGAGTTTGGAATTCTCCTTACTGTTTGCCAATGACAATCGTCTCTGTCGACTTCATCTCATGCAATCGCATACTCTATGAGGAGAGATGAACAATTGGCAGGGCCCAAGCGTCCAAACTGCGAAAGGACCTCCACTCACAGCTTCTCATCAAAAATGGCAGCACCGAACTACGCTGCAGAGTCAATGAAGGAATCGAAATGCTGGCTGGGGCACTCTATGCACTTCATCTCACGATGGACGTGGATATCACAGACCACCGTCGATCTTTGAAGCCGTCCCCTCAACGCCCTCGATTCTTATCTCACACTCGTCCGAGGTCCCACGCTGTATCTCGACGATCGGCGTGAACCCGCTTCACTATCTGGACGTCACATTGATATATTCTCCCTTGAACTGACATCAAGTCAACTCGCATCTCCGCCTTTTTATATTGATGCCGCTCTCGAGCGAGCTCGTACTCGGTCGGGTTTCGACGTTAAACCCGGAGCTATTGATACGATCCCCCAGCATCTTCTCGGCTTCCCACGTCCGCTGCGCCTCGGATCGTCCAAGAAACAACCTCTTTCTGATGGCCAGCCGTCCCAAATCGCCCATCAGATCTCGTCTCCGCCGGAACCCGATGAGTTTCCGGAGGGATGCGATGGCTGATTCACCGCCTCCACGATTTCTACGTGGTCTACCGGAAACAGCGAAAAGCAAGCGGAGAGACAAACGACAAGACCTCGTGTTTCTGCCGAGCCAACCGCGAGCTCCACCGACCCATCAAACAGTGCCCGTCGGCAGGGCGGTTCGATGGAGAAGAAGGTTGTGGAAACCACGGAACTGCATACCGACGGACGCGACCGGAGCTGATCTCGCAGGTGCCACAACAACCTCTGCGGCCGACGTCCCCGAGTAGCTAGCTATTCTCAGCAGTAAGAAAAAAAAACATCACGACTTTTTTTGGAGGCTGAGGCCGCGCTAGGGCTCCCTCGCGTCGGGCTTACCGCGGAGGAGGGGGAGGAGGGAACACGGAGTTTTCTCAATCACCCGCAGAGGAAGTCGAAGAGTAAGACCCGGCGCGTCGATCACCGCGCTTGCGCGCTTGTAACGTTGCTCGACTGAGGCCAGCGTAAAGCGAGCCTGTTGCCTTCACCAGGTGTCCTTCTCGCCGTCGCGCGGAGCTAATCCATCGCCTTTTTTTGCGACGGCGTCTGATTGGTGTCATGCCCATGTTGTGGTCATGCAGCGGCATGCTTCTGGCAGCATCATTGGGGCTCGGCTTTAGGTGAGGTACGTCTGTCAACGTCCGCCACAACCGTAAGCCCACGACGCTTAGTCCTGCTTTGTTTTTTTTTATTCCCGTCCACAATATTGGGAACATTTACGCCTCATCCTTCCGAGCAGACCACTTGGAGACAACATGGAAGATTTCGAGCCTAACAAAACCCGGCGAGGTCGCATCCAACGCATGCGTTGGCGAAGAAACCGTCCCTGGGGCCCTAGGCGCAACACGAGGTATTCCGAGACCACCTGACGTTGCGTCCCGCTCCGGCTTTCTGTGGAGCAAAACAATTGTTTAAGGCGAGTAAGGTATTCATGCGGAAGCTCCGAAGAAAGTCGTTCGAGGCGGCAGAAAGGTAAAAAGCTGGGAGCATCTCTATCCGTCAACGAGAGATCGACAGACAGCCCGAAAAGAAACAAGACCCTGACTCGAAAAAGGATTCCCGTGCAGGTGATGTTGAAAATCGGTTGATGTCCCACCATCAATCAACAGCAGCCGGGGGAGGCTGGCAAATGGGGCATCAGAAAGTCGCATCGAACCAACGGACGGGCAGCCCACTTTGGCAACTAACCTCGACTGATCTTAGCCGGTGTTGATGGATGCTAAAAACAGACGGGATGACAGCCATCCGCCGCAGCTTGGGCAGTTTGAATACGAGGAATATCCGTAGAAGCACGCAGAGAGAGAGAAAATCCTCGGCTTACTGCTCCTATCTTGCGGGTCCCCCTCTCTAGTCTTTCCCCACAAACCAACAACAAAAACATCCCAGATCTGTGATCGGCGCTTTTCCTCACCTTTACCTCACCTTAGCCCGCCGCTGCCAGCGTAGCATCGCACCTTCAATACGAAGTGACGGAACCCTGGGGAAGCTTAGGCTCCTAAGCTACTTGCCCCCTCCGGCAGTCGTCCCATACGATGTGACATGCGGCATGGAGTCCCGCCAAGCCTTCGGTAGCAAGGGTCTTGTGCCGCTTCCATGTCACGACATGACGCTATTGCGGCCGGAGAGACCACAACGTCATGGTTCGCCCTCTTGGGATTCGTCTCTCCGCCTCGGGCTCGGTCTGGTGATGGAGCTGGATCCGTGAGGTAGCTTCTGCAGTTATGGGGCTGTGGAAGCGAGGGAGGGGGAGGAGGAGGAGGCTGATGGATGGATCTCGCAGTCTTCGAGATTCTATAAAGACGGACGAGTATTTCCATCATTCGACTGTTTTGTTCCTCATCCTCATCAAGTTTCTTCTCCAGCCTCCTCAACTACCAATCTCATCTTCACAAACCCAGCTCTCGAGCCTCATCCACACAACTCCACCTCCAAAAACCAACCCACCTACAACAGCCAAAATGCAGTTCTCCAACCTCCTCACCGTCCTCTCCTCCGTCGCCGCCGCCGCGGCCGTCTCCGTCTCCTTCGACACCGGCTACGACGACGGCTCCCGCTCCCTGACCGCCGTCTCCTGCTCCGACGGCGCCAACGGCCTCATCACCAAGTACGGCTGGCAAAACCAGGGCCAGGTCGCCAGATTCCCCTACATCGGCGGCGCCGACGCCATCGCCGGCTGGAACTCCCCCAACGTGAGTCTACTTGCCCTCCTCCTCCCTCTTCACGATCCCCTTCTAACAACAAGAACGCAGTGCGGCACCTGCTGGCAGCTCACCTACAACGGCAAGAGCATCAACGTCCTCGCCGTCGACCACGCCGGCTCCGGCTTCAACCTCGCCCTCGGCGCCATGAACGACCTCACCAACGGCCAGGCCAACCAGCTCGGCCGCATCGACGCCCAGGCCACCCAGGTCGCTCTCAGCGCCTGCGGTCTGTAAGCGACGACGACCTCGGGGTTTTTTACTTTTACGACATTAAAGCGTTAATTGGCATAATGAGTGTGGTAATCGAGGGGGAAACTCGACATTTGCATGGATTCGGCGCTCTTCAATCATTTGGCATAAGCATATCACGATACATTCCTTAGGACATAATAAAACATAATGAGACATGGCAATGTTGCCTCGTATATCTTTTGTCCTGCTTGCTGGTGACAAACGCCTCTTCCACTCGATCCAACTTAGTTGCATCAAAGCGACCACCTCGCGGGCAGTAGTCTCTACGGCTGAACCTGTTTTAACGTCTCGTAGAACGGCGTTCCAAGCCCAGTGACCGGATCCCAGCCTGACGTTGCTTCGAAGCCGGCCTCGGGGATGATGGGCGCCGGATCCCCCGTGTAGCTTTTACCAACACAGCCCCGATTCCGTCCGAGGCGAATGCTTCTCGTTTGTCAGCTCCTCTGAGATCAAAGTCGGTTTAAGAAGGGCCGCATACTCAACTAAACCTTTGGATCCCTCTCCGTATAGCCACGGATTGAGGAATCCGAGGTACGGCTTTCCGTCGAGCGCTCTTTCGTTGTTCAGGAGGGCTATAATGGCTGCAAATATAGGCGCTGCAGCACTGAGGGAAAGGCCGTCAGCACTTCACCACACAAAAATTACATCTCTGCTGTGATAACTTACTTCGTCCCGACGCCATCTTCGCGGTTTTCTAAATTATGGATGTACGGGAGATTCTTTCCGCCCTGTGCCGACACGTCCGGCACGGCCCGGCCCTCCGGGTTGAAGTAATCCCTCCCTCTGTCGCCGTTTCCTTTCAACCACTTCTCGACCTCCCTGTCTTGGTACTTGGGCCTCGGAAAATAGTCAGAGAAGCCGCCGCTGGAGGTGAACATGAAGCCGTCAACGTCCTCGTCGGCAGCTTCTTCCGGGTGCGTTTTGGTCGTTGCCGCCACGGCAGTTACCCACGGACAGGTCCTTCACAGCCGTCAGCGAGCCAACACGAGAAGAAGAAAAGGACACAGAGTTGGAAGTGCTTGCCCGAGCCATTGAGGCAGGTATTTTGTCTTCTGGCTGCCGTCGTTCGCTTGGCATGACATCCCGACCCCAAAACTGTTTTGCAGGTCTTCGTTAGTGACACACGTGAGGAGCGGGATTGTGTAGGGCGTGACTGACTTGCCGGATGCTGTGATTACGGAGACACCGCGCGTCCCGAGTTGCCCAAACATTCGACATACTTTCTGCGCGTAAGGCTTCGGGATGAGCTGCTCGTTCTCGCCGTACGCGATGGTGACCACCCTTGGCAGCTCCTCGTCGGGGAGCGAGAGGAGGTGCTGTGCGAATTCGAACCAGGGCTCGATCACATCCTGTACGTCGGTCAGTAGACGTGATGTCAATCCCAGCACAATGCACCGACATCATAGAGTCCATAGATAGTATCCGGTGCGCTGCGACTGAGGTCAGTAATCAACGAGGGTCTAGTTCCGGCGGGCGAGGGGGTCTTACTCTAGATCAGGAACCTTTGGTCCGTTGCCGCCCACGGAGTAGAATCTGATGGGGATGTGAGGGGCAAGACCGGCGACGAGCTGGACGTCGAGATTTGCTATGATTCCTTCATCGTCTCCCCGCATGTCTCCCCCGTTGATTATGGCTGCTGAAAAAGTTTTGAGTCTGAGCGGCCGGACGTAGCTGAGCATGTATGTCCATAGGCTCCTCAGTCCCGGCTTTTGACCCATGAAGCCCGCCACGCCGATGAATAACCCCGGCGCTGGCTCATCGGTGCTGTTCACGCCGTACAACTCTTTGACACGATGTGGGATCATGAGCTGGCTTTTGTTATCGGGCCTGGTAGTCGCATCGTCGCCGTATTTCTCCTTCCACGAGCTGCTGTCGGGCCCGAGCATCTGTGAGACGAAGTGTTCCTCGGGAAGAATATGGTCGTTGGTCTCTGGTTTCAAGGGGTGGATACACTGAATCATTGCAATGTGAGATACCAACTTCTCAGGGACGGTGTAGGAGTCTATGCTTGGAATGATGACGTCTCCGGGCAGCATGGAGAAGGACATGTCGGTGTCGAATAAGTTCTGCGCCGCGGAGTATTTCATGGGGACGCGAATCCAGTCGTAGCCCGTCGTCATCTCGCCCGTGGGCACACCGTTCATGTCGAGCCACTGCGCGACGGTCTCGAAGGAGGCATTGCTTGGCTTGGTGAGAGAAAGGGCCTCCTCTCGGGTGAGGTATTTGCCATAGCGCGGACTACCTGGCGTCGAGACATCGTAGAGGGTTCGTTCGAGGAGGTCTGGATCTTCGGGATGAAGAGTGAGGGCGATGATGGCTCTGTGGTCCGTCCCTGGTGAAGGCGTCGAGGTGGGCTTCTCCTCAGTTACGGTGTTAGTGGTTGTTGTACCCAACACTGCAGAGACAATCGACAGGAAAAGCAAGAAGCGCATTTTCACCGAGGGAAGAGACAGAGGAGGTGGTGTCGCCCGACATGAGAGGAAGTATAAGTGCGTTTGGTGAAGAAGTTGTACTTATCCAAGCTGCCATGCTCCTGTTCCACTAGTTCGGGACGATTTGTGCCACCCATCTTGTAAGAATCCCGCAACACAGAAGGACAGGTTAACGAGAGATACGCAGCAACCCGCCTTTGACATCTAATCAGAGCATGGGATCCTGCATATGAGGTTCTTCGAAGCGACTATCAACCGTCGAGACTCGGGTATAGTGACCATTTATCTAATCATCATTGGAACGTAGCTCGGGTGTGATATGCGGGAGGCAATATTCGACCTTGGCGGTACAACCGTATTGCAGCGTGTGGGACTATCACGCATGCAGGCTCCGTCTCCAATTACATTCCTGGTCACAATGTGCACTCGGAACTCCTAGCCTGAGATTGACAGCTTTTACTTGGAACGGAAGATTGTGGCCTCTTCCGCAATCTCCAGGTTCCATGCTAGGCCGGAGTGGGTCAAGGACCGAGTGTGAACCGGGTCCGAAGTGGATCCCGGAGCCGGGCGCCTGGAATGTCGGTGAAGAAACTCGGCATAATCTTGGTTCGAAACGAGTCCGAGCCCACATTTCATGCGGCGACTCGCGAGGGCTCGTGAATCCAAGAATGCCAATGGATGAGGGGCATCGGTGCCGTGGAGGCCTCTCCTCTTCGGGGCCTCCCTGGAGGTCAGGACTGGACGAGAGCTGCCGAGTCCTTCGTAGCGACCCCTATTCTGGTTTAGCCAGCACTTGCTGGCTAACGCAGCCTTGGGAATATTATCTTGATTCTTTCAGGGATGTTCCACTGGCAGAATTCATGTCTGAGAACCAAAGAGGAGAGATGTGATGGAAAGGTTGCCGATGTCTCAGGCATCATCCAGTCCAAAGACTGAGAACGAAGAGAGAAGCCTTCCTCTTAGGTGACGCCTCAGCAAGACGCCCACCCCTTGAAATGCAGAACAGCTTCATCAAATAAACTCCTAGTGGCATGAAGAATGGCTCTTGCCTGCAATGCAATGAAAAATAAGATGCACGTGAATGGAGGGGCAGAAATACGTACCCCTCACTTTTCTGCAGGCTGAGTGGGAGAGTGAGGTAAGATGCCTTCTTTTTTAGGAGGGGTACCTGGACCTAACCCCGCCTTGCAGGAAATTTTTCGAATTTCCCCCCCTTCCAGGCCTTCCAGGCGCCTTCAATTCGTTATCTTATCAGCTGGGGCGGGGCCAATCTCGAAATTTTCACGGCTGGTCCCCTAAAATTTTGTGTGGCAGTCGATTTTTTTTTCTCTGGTCGCGGTGTCATAGGCGGCTCGGGCATCAACAAAAACAACTGGCCGACACCCCGTCCGGTTTTTTTTTCTGGATAAAATTCGTCGCGTCGGGACCTCTTCCCTTTTCTTTCCTTGTCACCCCCTCCTTTCTTCTTCTTTCTTCTTGTCTTCCTTTTCTTTGCGCCGTTAAGTCGTGAGGACGAGACGACGAGAACATCAACAACTTCAAGATGGATAAAGGAAACTTGGTCCAGCTGCTCCAAGCGAGCCAGATTCGTAAGTTCCAATTCTTCTCCCCCCAGTTGTTGCCGGCCCTGTGCCACCCCGGTACCGAAACCCAGTCGAGCCAGCCTCTTCAATTTTTTCCGCGCCGTGGTCTTTTCGCTTCACGTCGTGTCTCTCGCCTATTTAAAATTTGCGTTTTCTTTTTTTCGCCAGAGAAAGACATTAAAACTCAAAAACTCGAACTTCTCGCTGACTTGCGCTCTCATCTCTACAGCCGACACCGAAAAGGTCAAGGCGGTCACGGCCGAGCTGCAGAAGAACTACTACTCCAAGCCCGAGTCCCTCCTCCTCTTGATTGAGGTCACCATCTCCCACGAGGATGCCTCCATCCGCCAGCTCGCCTCCGTGCAGGCTCTGCGCTTGACGCCTCGTCACTGGTCCGACCTGTCTGCCGACCAGAAGTCTCTTGCCAAGAAGCACCTCACCGAGAGCATTTTGAACGACCAGTCTCCCTCCTCCCGCCACTCCAAGTCGCGTCTCCTCGCTGCCGCCGTCGGCCTCGATCTCGAGGATGGCGAGGGTCAGGACTTCCTGCGCGAGCTGCTCGCTCTGAACACCTCCGACAACGTCGCCCACCGCGAGGTCGGCTCCTACATTCTCTTCGCTCTGCTCGAGAATGACCCTATCCCCTTCCACGAGCACGTCGGCCAGGTCCTGAGCTTGCTCCAGAAGACCGTCAACGACCCTGCCAGCGCCGATGTTCGCCTCAACGCTGCCAAGGCCGCTGGTGCCATTCTGGTTCTCGTTGACGTCGACGACGATGCCGAGAGCCTGAAGATCCTCCAGTCCATGGTCCAGCCCATGGTTGAGATCCTTAAGAGCGCCATTCAGAACGGTGCCGATGACCAGTACAACGACCTCTTCGAAGTTTTCCAGTCTTTCATGAGCTACGACTCGGCATTCCTGGCAACCTACCTGAAGGACATTATCCACTTCATGCTCGATCTTGCCGTCAACACCGAGGTCGAGGATGATGCTCGTTCCCAGGCTCTGGCTTTCCTCGGCCAGTGTGCCAGGTACCGCCGTATGAAGATCCAGGGCATGAAGGACATGGGAGCTCTCCTCATGGTCAAGAGCATGCAGATTGTTGCCGAGATCGACAACGATGCCGATGACGACGACAGCTCCCCCGCCAGAACCGCACTCAGCCTGATTGACCAGCTGGCCAGCGACTTGCCTCCCAAGCAGGTCATTGTTCCCCTGCTCGAGCAGTTCCCCAGCTTCGCCACGAACGCCAACGCCGGTCTCCGCAAGTCTGCCATCCTCTCTCTGGGCACCGCTGCCGAGGGTGCTCCCGACTTCGTCGCCACCCAGCTTCAGTCTGTGATGCCCCTCGTCCTGCAGCTCCTGAACGACCAGGACATCTCCGTTCGCCACGCCGCTCTCGTTGGTCTCATCCACTTGGCTGACGAGATGGCCGATGAGCTCGCTCCCCAACACGAGACTCTTATCAGCGCCCTCCTCACCAACCTCGAGGCCGCCGCTGGTTCCTCTGACAAGCAGAGCATCAGCATCATCCGTGCTGCCTGCGGTGCTCTGGACTCTCTCATCGGCGAGGGTCTTGACGAGCAGTTGATCAAGAACTACGGCCCCAAGCTCATTGCTCCCATGGGCAAGCTGCTCGGCCACGACGACTTCAGCGTCAAGTCCGCTGCCGCTGGCGCCATTGGTGCCATCGCTTCAGCTCTTGGTGGCGACGAGTTCAAGCCCTACTTCAAGGAGGTCATGGGCGCTCTTGGCCAGTACGTCAACATCAGCGGCAGTGAGGAGGCTCTTGCTCTCCGCTCTTCCGTTTGCGACTCCATGGGCCGCATCGCCGACGCCGTTGGCGCCCAAGAGTTCCAGCCCTACGTCATGGATCTCATGAAGGCCAGCGAGGAGGCTCTTGGCCTCGACAACGCCCGTCTCAAGGAGACCAGCTTCATCCTTTGGGCTTCCCTGTCCAAGGTCTACGGCAACGAGTTCGCTCACTTCCTCCCCGGTGTCTTCAAGGGTCTGTTCGACTGCCTCGAGCTCGACGAGGAAGAGATTTCTGTTCCTGGAGTGAAGCCCGAGGATCTCCCTGAGGGTCTGATCATGGCTGGAGGCAAGAAGCTGAAGATCAAGGCCCAGGAGGAGGACGACATGGAGGATGACGACGATGAGTGGGACGACATGGACGAGTTCTCTGGTGTCACTGCCCTGGCTCTCGAGCAAGAGATTGCTCTTGAGGTCCTCGGCGACGTCATCACCCACTCTTGCGGCCCCGACGCTATCAAGGAATACCTCGACCAGGCTGTTGAGCGCATCGCCGCTCTCTCCGAGCACCCTTACGATGGCGCTCGCAAGGCTTCCATCTCCACGCTCTGGCGCCTGTACGCTCGCGTCTGGCAGCTTTTCGAGGAGCAGACCGGCTCCAAGTGGGAGGCCGGTATTCCTCTCAAGCAGCAGCCCGATGCTGTTCTCATCGGCCTCGGCCAGATGGTTGTCAAGGCCACCCTCGCCACTTGGGCTGAAGACCCCGAACGGTATGTTTTTATCGATTTACATTTCTTCTTTCCCCGCCCTCAAAGGATGAGTAACACACGTTATACCCAGCTCACTCAGACGCACAATGTGCGGGTGCTGAGAACACGTTTGATCACGTCTGATCTATTGGGCAATCTCACAAAATTCATGGCAGATCTTTTTGTGATCGGATTCGCTAACATGTCTATAGTGGTGTCATCACCGAGATCAACCGCAACATTGCGGCCACCCTCAAGACCTGCGGCCCTGCCATCCTCACCCACGAGGACCTCCTCAAGGAGAGCTTCACCGTCCTCGGCTGCCTCATCACTCGCTCCCACCCCTGCCAGCAGGACCTTGGCGACGAGGAGGAGCAGGATGGCGAGGGATCTTCCGAGTTTGACTGGCTCGTTATCGACACCGCCATGGACGTCATCCTCGGCCTTGCTACTGCCCTCGGCGGCGACTTCGCCGAGATGTGGAAGGTCTTCGAGAAGCCCATTCTCAAGTTCGCCAGCTCCCAGGAGGGTCAAGAACGCTCGACCTCCGTCGGTGTCATTGCCGAGGTCATCAAGTACATGGGCAACGCCGTCACCCCCTTCACCGAGGGTCTCCTGCCCGTCCTGGCTCACCGCCTGAGCGACGAGGACCCCCTCGCCAAGTCCAACGCTGCCTACGCCATCGGCCAGCTCATCTTCAACTCTACCCAGACCGACAAGACCATCCCTCAATACCCCGCCATCCTGCAGAAGCTTGAGCCTCTGCTGAACATCCACGAGTCCCGCATGGTTGACAACGTCTCTGGCTGCATTTCCCGCATGATGATGGTCAACCCCAACCCCGAGTTTGTCGAGCGTGTCCTCCCCGCCGTTGTCGACGTCCTGCCTCTCAAGGAGGACTACGAGGAGAACGCTCCTATCTACCAGGCCCTCTTCAAGCTGTACGACCAGCAGAACCCCACTGTTCGGCAGCTTACCCCCAAGATCCTTCCCGTCCTTCAGTCCGTTCTCAGCCCTCCTGAGGACCAGCTGGATGACGAGACTAGGCAATTGGTGCAGAAGCTCGTCCAGGCGCTTCAGTAGACGTGTTTGATGGATTGATGGTGGTGCCCCCGAAAAATGGAAGGGCCGTTAATGAGTGATGAGTGGACGAGACCCCATTTCTTGATGTCTGTAGATAGAGGTTCATAGACTGCCAGGATGTATTCCCTGGATGATTCCCCGTGCTCTATCAAAAAGTTTCTTACTTGTTTACACAAACACTTGAACATATTGGCTTGTCGTGATAAGTACGTCTGGTGATTAAATGACTAAATGGTCGACCGGCCTAGATCTGGAACACACGAATTCTAGCAACTGCTTCGTCAATTATGTACACATAAATACTCTTAAAGACGCGCCCTCTCCCCCTCGCTCAACCTCTCCGCCCCTGCCCCGACCCTCAAAAGCGTCTCCTCCGCGAGCTCAGTCGAACTCCCCACGCCGGCAAGCCTCCACTGCGCCGGCGACTGAATCTCAAAGAACACCGAAGAATACACTTTGAAAGCCCTCACCGGCTTCCCACTCGTAACCACCTTGCCCAATAACTTCCACCCCGACGGCACGGCCCCCAACGGCGCCAGAAGCCCGTCAATGTAGGGGTTGTAATCAACCGTCATGGTATGTCTCTCCGAGTTGACAAAGTGCTTCGCCTGGAACGCCCTGAACGCCCGGATATCCTTCATCATGCCCTCCTCGTCCGGCAACCTCACCGTGCCCCCGAGCACCGCCGCGGCATACCGCGCCTGCGCCTCGATGATGGGCGCCGCCGGGCCGGCCACCTCCACCTGTCCCATCACGAACAGGTTCTTGGACCGCGGCGGGACGAGCGACTTGTACAAGTCCACGTGCGGCGCGGGGGCCTCCTCGCTCGCGATCGCGCCGGGGGGCAGGTACGGGTGGTCCGCGTGGTGGTAGCCGGTGCAGAGGACGACGGCGTCGGCGTCGACCGCGGTCCCGTCGTCGAGGAGGACGCCGGTCTCGGTGAAGGAGGCGACGTTGGAGCGGTGGAGGCCGAAGACGCCCGTCTGCAGCTTCTCGGTGAAGTCGCTTCGCACGGTGGGGTTCTGCTCCATGATGTGGTGCGACGGTTGCAGCACCTCCGGCTGCTTCCCCATGGCGTGGTCCAGGATCTTGTTGTATGCGAACGCTTGCACGCTGAAGGGGAGCCACGTCGCGCTGGATCGGCCTGGTTTCGCGGTGTCAGAATCCCGGAACACGTCCACGGGAATCTCAAAGACTTACTGTTCCATGCCTCCACCGGTTTGCCCAAGAGGAACCTGGGCAGCACCCAAGCACCACGCTTGTTGACGACCTTGAGCTCCTTGGCGAGAGGCCCGATCTCACAAGCCAGGTCGACAGCCGTGGACCCGAGCCCGACGATAACGACCTTCTTCCCTTCGAACCGCGTCGGCGTGCGGTAGTAGTGGCTATGAAGCACCTCGCCCTTGAACCGATCCTTCCCTTCGAGGTCGGGAATCCTGGGTTTGCTGCTCAACCCGCTGCCGCAAATCAGCGCATCGAAAACCAAAGCCTCCTCGCCGCCGCCGTCCTCCACATCGCCGCTGCGGACGCGGACTTCCCAGCCGCCCTCCTTGGTCGGCGCGCACCCCACCACAGTCGTGCGGAACCGAACGTGCTTCTCCAGGTCAAAGTGCTTCGCGTACTCCTTAATGTACCGCAAGTGCAGCTCGTGGGAGTAGTAAATCGGGTACCGCGCCGGGTCGATGGGGAAATCGCTGAAGCCCGTCGTGTCGCGGCACGAGTTCAGGATGACGCCGTTGTAGATTGAAGAGTGCGTGTCGGGTCCCGGGTTCGGCTCGTAGAGCCACTGTCCGCCGACGGCGCCTCCGCGCTCGAAGCACTGCACCGAGAAGCCCGCGGCGAGACATTCCTTGATGGCCACGAGGCCGCTGGGGCCTGGAACGCCGAGTCAGAAGACAGCTCGTGTAGTGCTAGTGAAGAATTTACCTGCGCCGACGATGGCGACACGTTTACTCGGTGACGACATGTTTCGATGTGGATTGACAACGAGGCAGCAGCATCAGGATTCGCAGGAAGCAACGAGAACAGAAAAAAATCCGATAGTGGGCGCTTGGGTTTATTGTATGGTTACTAACTCCATGCAAACCTTCCTAACTTAGACCGGAAATCATCAACCCCCCCCCTTTCTTTCACCAAAGTCCCATTCCTTATAATGTTGCCTGCTGGTTGTGGAATTAATTGCTGACGGGCGCTCACCACAGCCAATCTTAATCCCCAGCAAGCGCCCATAACCCACGCAACAAAGAGGTGGTCAGCAGCCCGTTCGAACCAGCTGCTGATGCAGAGAGAATCCTCTGGCAACGATAAAACAGGTGATTTGGCCGTGGCCGGTATGTGGGCCCTCAAACTTGAAGGTTCATCATCCCTGTTCAATGTTGAGTAGTATTACGGCAAATCTGCTCCGTCCCTGCCGCGGAAGGATGGTGAGATAGATGAGACTGTGGTCTGGAGACGTTCCTGCTGCAGAGATGACTGTTAGGTATGTCGACGAAAGAGCCAGAAGAAGTTATGATCCGATGTGAAAAAGCGGAATCCTTCAAGACAGCCGGGTGCCAGGCCGGGCCTCCACAGGTCGGGGTGGGTCGGATGCGGGTCACATGTCCCACCTTCGGGCCGGTAAAACGGGACTGCGCCGGCGACGGACTTGTCTTTCAATTCTTTCCGCTACCGAGCCGCATTCACTTGGTCATTAAGCAATTGTCGCTTAGTCCCATCAATTTATTGTGAGTATACCGCTCGTCTCCCAAAATTCCGCTGATCACGACATGTACAAGAAGGCGTCACAGAGCTTCCGAAGCACGCAGAGATGTATCTGCGGTAGTAATGAGTACATCATATCATTCTTATTTTCTTATTGAAAGGCCTTGAATGAAGAATATGTGCAAATTAAACAAATCGGGCGGCAGCTGTATCAGTACTCGAGCCTCAAGGAGTCAAGAAACCAATGGTCAAGAAGTCTACGACGACGAGATTTGCCAGCCCTAAACACCTATTCCCGCCGGCCACATGTACGCGGCGCAATGTTACCGATTAACGTTCTTGATCCTTCTCTCGGCCCCCATCTTCTGGCTCTATCCCTTTCGGCTCTCCGAACACCTTCTCCAGCACGTTACGAACACGCTTGTTTCTAATCGTTAAAGTATTCCAGGAGCCGTCTTTCCGAGAGAATCCCCCAAACCAACACCAACCGGTTCCCCTTACATACTGAACCCGTCCGGAGACCATCCAAAGCCACGGCCCACTAGTACCAGAATCGGCAGACTCGGCAAGCCCACGCTTCCGCAAACCGCAAATACGAAGTCATTCACCATCAAAACGGCCCGCCGGTGAGAGTGGCATATTCCGGGACGGGCGCTGAGTGCCGTGGCCAGTCCAAACTCTCACCCGCTCATCGACCCGAACGAACACCTCACGGACGACGCCCCCTGACTGAAGCACATTGACAAGGACCTGACATCACCGTTTTCTTTTTCGAGAGGCGAAAGGGCACAGCACAACATACGCATCGCATATCATGCGTATGCAAGCCCTCACTCAGGCACAGGCGGAGCTAGCGCAGCTTATCTCTCCCGAATTTGCCGTTGCAACCGCCTTTTTTCGCCCAGTGTCTAAGACAATCGACCCCCGCCCACGCTCGACGCTTTCTTTTCCCACCCTTTGTCTTCTCCTCATCGTCTTTTGGTACTGCTCAGATAAGTCAATCGGAGAAGGGAAAAGGAACGACCGCCAATGCAGCGCAAATTGCCCAAGTGGCCTCCCCAAATTTAGACGAACCGACGAATTAGAGATGAGACCAACGCCGAGACAGGCTATTAATGTGCCACTCCCCTCCCCCCAAAATCGCCCGGGCGAGCACGGCAGTGCCGAGAAACCGCAGAAGAACGAGGAAGGAGAAACCCAGTCTCGTGTACGGATGCTCGGCGCAGCTAGTTGCGAGAAAAGAAATGCGTATTCTCTCCGAGTCGCTTCGACGTGTGCGCATGCAGAAGGTGAAATGAAAGTATGGTGCTAAGGCGACGCGGAAAACACAAAATTCGTTAATGCACAACGCGCACGACGCGCTGCGGTGTGCGTGTGTTACGATTTGCCCCTCATCTTGCCCCCCCTCTCGACGACGCGTTGACTTACAGCCGGAAGCAAGGAGCGAGTGGTCGACGTTCTAGCTCGTACGAAAGAGTTCCCTGGGTCCGATGGATGGGCGCAGTCGCGTGGTGTCACGGCATTGGGGTAGGACATTGCGAGACTTGAAGATTTGTGCTGCGTGGATGAGCTTCGCGATATGAGGAGGCGAAATGTCCAACGTCCGCGATAACTGACGCCTCGGGAGATTTAAGTGGAAATTTTGTTGAGGGCAAGATAATTCATATTGATTGCATGATGCGCTAAGCTGTGAGACAAAATTGTGATGTGCAATGCAGACTAGAAGAAAAGAGGACATGCATGAAAGGTCACGACGGTGTCAGGGCACGAGGAGTGGAATTGGTGCTGGTGTAGATAACATTATCGATTGAATGATTACCGCATCTTTTGAGAATATATAACAGTCAGGAAATACAAGAAGATTTTATCCAGTGATGCTCTCGCGAATGGACAGGTAAAAGAAAAAAGAAATGAGAGACGTGCCTGATGTTGTCATCAATCCGTGTGCACGCATCATGCCGCCGGCGCCGTACCCTTCCTCTAAGCACCTCCGTGTAACATTACATCGCCTCGCTATTTGTGCGCCGTAAAACGTTTTTTTCTTTCTTTCCAAGTCATGCAGATCTTGAGCGGGAAATATCTGGTTCATCTTTTCAGGCGTAGTTGACGTACTCCTGCGGCGTCACGGGCCAGGCGTCGACTCCGTCCTGGATCACAACAGCCATTCCTCCCATGATGTGGTTCTGGATGTGGCAGTGAAGCAACCAGGCGCCCGGGTTGTCGACGAGGTACCGCACAACCATCCATGTCGGGTCGTCAACTGCGTTCGGGGTAGCGAATCCATCTCTGCGGGGAGGGTCGACGAAGTTCCAGGCCGAAGGGTTGGCGGAAGCGGCTTCCTCGATGGAGTTCCATGTGAAGTTTCCGGTGCCGGAGGCCAGGAGGAACATCTTGTTGCCGTGCTTGTGGATGGGGTGAGGCGGCTGAGGCGGGTTGCCGGCCTGGAAGACCATGTCGACCCAGGTGTTGTTCTGGGTGGAGAGGACGGTGGGATCCTGCTCGTTGATCTGGACGTTGAAGAGGACGGGCTGGTCGTTCTCGTAGTCGGCCGGGAGGAGGAGGGTGTTGTTCAGGGCCCAGTAGTACGAGCCGCCCTCGGTGCGCATCTCGAACTTGTGCATGGCCTGAGCCTGGCGGGGGATCGCGATGGGCGGGTAGGGCTTGGCGTTGGCCTGGCGGAAGACGCGGACAGACTGGGAGACGGGCTTTCCGTTGTCGCGAACCCAAGGAGTCGAGTCGACGATCTGGGGCTCGGGCTTGCCCTTCTCACGCCATTGAAGCTTAGCAACACCGCTGAGCATCTGGGTGGCGATGACGCTGGAGGCGCGGATCGTGTAGTCGCCCTGCTGCTTGTACTTGACGAGGACGGAGTAGCGGTCGCCGTTGGCGACGGGAATAGCCTCGACTTCTTGAGGAGTAACGTAGGCACCGTCCATGGCGTAAACCCACATGGTGTGGTCGTCGATAGAGAACATGGCGGTGTGAAGGTGGTAAGCACCGACGAGGTCGAACGCAACCCACTGCTCACTATCACAGTTGCTCTTCTGGATCTTGAAGGTCTCAACACCACCATCGCTAGGTTGGCACCCGTCAAAAACACCTGGGGGAATCTTGCTCAGGTCACCCTGGCCACGGGCGATGACGGCAGCGGGAATGCAGCTACGGGATGTCAGCAAAGTCAATTAAGGTTGCTGGGGGGTGGCTTACGCCTTGTCAGTCATGCGGGCACCATCAACGTTGTCAAGAACATCCTGGCGCTCCGGAGTCATCAGGGCGTCAATCTCCTCGGGGCTGCGGCAGATGACGCTGCCCTTTCCGTTGAAGAGAAATGAGTCGTAGCAAGAGAATTGGATGTTGGCGGCGGCAGACAAGTCGTGAGTCTCTTCCGAGATCATGTGACGGTGGTCGGCTAGGAGAAGAGTATTCACGTTCTTCTCGGCTTTCTCCATGGCATGGATAGCGGCACCGTCACTGGAAATGAGGCTGAAAGGCTTCTGGTGGGAGGCGGCGGGGTGAATGGTGATGCCTCCGTAGAGACCGTCCTCAATGAGGCCCTCGTAGTGTGCGTGGTACCAGTAGGCGCCATATTGCGTAGCCTTCCACTTATACTCGAAGCTCTTTCCAGGCTGAATGGGACGTTGGGTGAGGCCGGGAACACCATCAGACCAGGGGGTATTCAACATCTCAATACCTGTGTCTTGGTCAGTCTTCATTGGTACCATGCCATCGATGAACTGCTGCTTACCGTGGTAATGGACGGTAGTAGGGTACGGCAGGTTGTTGTTGACCTTCACGGTAACATCATCGCCCTCGTTGAGCTCCAACCTCGGTGCGGCAAACTTCCCGTTCACCAGAATCATCTTCCTCGCAAACCCATCTGGGGAGGCCGTTTCCCACGAAAGATTCAACTCGAAACTGCGAGACTCGGCAACGGCACCCAGTGCCAGAGCCAGGGTCGGAAGAATATAGCGTAAGACTGACATCTTGACAGCTGTAAGAGAAAAGAACAGGAATGAGTGAGTGGATAGGATCTAAGACTAGGATCCAGGAAAGGATAATGTGCTGGTGTCCTCTCAACGGTTTTGCACCGGAGCAGGCGAGGACGATCATGATATATAGGAAAGAGAGACATCGCCTGCATCTAGTCCGACCGGCAGTACATGACAAGGGTGTGCGATATGCCGTCTACCGTGGCGCGGTGCTCGCTCTGGGAGGAATCCGAGGAAGCTCGAGGTCACCCCGGCCGCGGTGGACAGGAAAGGGTGCAGAGCGGGTGCCAACCCAACCGCAGATCCGTGTAGTCTCTTTCCAAGACTTACAGCCTAAGCCGTACGGCCAATGAGCTCGAGTAATTTTGGTCTTGTAGCTCGCGGGAGGTGTGCATTCTGGGTCAAAGCTGTGAACACTCACCCACTCGTAGCCACGTTGGAGATTCATCGGTGTGGGCATCATGATGCGGGCTCTAGCTGCTCATGTCTCTGCTTCCCCAATCTCTCTTTGACTTCCCGGAAAGCTGACCACAGCTGGCCATAGGCCCGTGTGTCTCCTGCAGATGCAGGGTAGGGGGGCATTCGAGCTGTCTCTCCAGAGACGTGGAGGATGCGAGGATGCAGCGGCTGAACTAGATGATGTCAGCAGAATAACAAAGTATGTTGGCGAGGGAAAAAGCAAAAAACAACAAGAGGCAGAGACTATTAGACGCGGTCGCGAGCCAAACACCCATTCGCCTCTAAGAGTCCCAGAATAAAACAAAAGTCGAGCCGGCGATCATTTCGATATTGAATCGGCCTCCGAGTATCCGTAGATAGTGTGTGTTGTAAGTCCACAACGGCTGCCGGTCCCAATGACCGGGCCAGGTACGGTGAAAAGAACCAAACAGACACAAAGGCGAAGAAAAAGCATCGGATGCCAAGCAGGGGTTTGAACACTACCAAGATCAGGCGGCGTCCGGCTCCTTTCTGGGTGTGAACACAGTTTGGAGGGTCTGGCGCAGCGCCAACGCAGCCCGCCCGCGCCGCTATGCCGGTTGCAATTTGCAAGGAGCCCCGAATATCGCCATGGTCAGACAAGTGGCTTGAGCTGGCTAGCTGTCGTTAAGATTCATCGGGCACTCGCACCGTCGTAGTATGACAGTGGTCGAGTCGTGGATAAAATGAGAGAGAGAGGCCTGTCAACCAATCCCCGGTTTGCTTGTGCGTCTCCGCGACCATCAAGATAGCTCATGCCGAGTCGCTCAAGCGCCACACCATAACGCTCCTCCTGAACCATGAGCTAACCATTCGAAAGTCCATGCACTTTTGCACAATATGCATCGGTGTTCCGTACTTCTCTATTTGTGTCCGTAATGTCAAGTTCGCCAGCAGCGAATACATGATGCTTCGATTCTGGTGGTGTATCAGTCCAGCAAATCTTGGTTTTGCTGCCAAATCCACGTCTCTGACTCTGTGGCGCACGTCGGCCAGACGCCGTCTATGAGCCATCCGCCGCCACCCAGAAGAATCTCCGGCTATTCACCGCGAAACAGGCGTTGCGGCTTGTGTAGCCCGTTTTCGAGACAATTTGGAAGAAGGAAGCCGTTGATAGCTCGCGGGTGGCGAGCGAGGGAGGCGCTCGTAGACACGCCTCGTTCCGAGCCATCAGAAGCACAGTTGAGACAACTAGGTCTTCACTGCAGGTAGCCTCGTTCCCACAAGCTTCGATATTATGTGAAGGTTGTGCGAGGTGTGGCCTGATGTGTCCGTTGACCAGAATCAATCCGTATCATCTCCAAGCTTATGGGATTAAAGGCCAGGCACTTCGACGACTACTGCGTCACCATGTACCTAGACCATTGGTAAAACGGCGTTTGCAGCGCAAGTGAAGGGTATTCTTCCTCCAATGGCTGAGCCGCCGCATCAGGTGGCCTCTCTCCTGTACTCAGCATACCGGCCTCGTACATGATGCGGCCGATAATAGTTCTGTCTGGACTCTGGACGAAGTTGTCACGGTCCTCGTGTTGTACATGCCGCTCGCCGGCAACGCACATGGCTGTGTAGCACCAGCAGTCTGGTTCGCGCAGAGAACAATGTAGAGCTCATCCGATCAGAGATACGCCCGTCTTCTTCTCGATGTCTTGAGGTGACGCGTTCCATGCGCAGCAATACGCCCTCAGATGGAGGCATCGTTTGATATCAACGAGGCGTTCGTTATACAAAACTTTCCAAGACTTGGCTGCCTAGCAAGTTGAGAAGGCTTAGAACAGAGTGTTAAAAGGATCTCAAAGTGTTAGAAACCAACTGGTCGCAGCCAGCTCAGCCAATATTGGCTGTTGAGGAGTTATCGAAGCGAGAGATGTTGCGCACTTGGCGTATGCGACTCATCACCGGAGCACTTGGGGATTGCGTTGAAAAGCATCAAGTGAGTCCTGCATGCGCCTCAGCCATCAGCCTCCGGAAAAGAACTCTCAGCTGGCCACTGACCCAAGGCTGTCACAGGCCCTTCTGGATGACCTGGTACCTCGGCTGTCCAAGACAAGCCCATAGCCTGACGGCGAAGCAAAGAAAAGTGCCAAGAAGAAAGTCCTGTCCGCTTGGTCATCGAGTTTGCGTGTCCATTGATATCGTAGATTTGCACAGCATCTCGGAATGTGGCGCGCAAAACAATGGCTCGATCTGTCGGAGGTGATTGGCTTGGCACCTCACGTCTGCTTCGGCCTTCAGGAACCAGGCACCACATGCCCTTCTCTGCAGAGAGCATCCCAGCGTACATAAACAGGGCTGGAGGGTCTTCCGTGTGTCCACCGCCTCGCGTCAGCTCAAAAAAAAACGTCGGGCTGGAGTGGCGTTGGCTCCCGCTGACAGACTGTGCGCCCGGAGGGAGCCGCCAGGCGACATCGTGAGCGATCAGAATGTGGGGGTGAATTGCCTCTATCGTGTGTTTCGTTCATGAGGTTGTTCCAAGTTCGCACAACCCATCTTTGGGAAAAGGGCCAACTTCTCATACGCGAATGAGCGGTATAAGCCAGGAGCCTCGTAATCCCTCCGGCCAAGATTGCTGTTCCGCCACCACCGAAAGCATATATGACCAAGACAGGGCACGAGTCTCCTTGGCAATCCTGCCAATACCTACCAAGATCCCTTCGAAAGGTGGCATGCACGAAAGAGGTCCTTTCAGAGCATCCAGCCGAGTGTCTGCCGAAGGTTGCAGGCTTGGGGATTCTAGGATGCTTGCGCACCGACAAAATGCACTCCTCGATGGTTAGGGCGTTTGAGTCCTGGCCCGCTTCAGCTTTAGCGCAGCGGGTAAGTACTAGTGCAGCTGGAATTCCTGAAGACCATGAGCGTCCGTGATACTTCTGTATGCGTCGCCGTCCATGTGTCCATAGACATAGGCAGGACCAATAAGGCTATATCCCCGCGATGACTCGCGGACGACGAAGGGGACGTGGCCGCCAGAGAAGATGACAGCCAGATCTCCCGGACGAGTATCCCTTGGCCCGAGGCCGGGCGCTCCGCCGGCAGTGCTGAGAACGAAAGCGCGATGACCGTACACCTTCCAGACCCGTCGATATGGCCAAGAAGCCGAAGCGACTGAGTCGCCTTGCGCATCATCGGGCGGTGGTTTTGCAGCTCCGGTCAATACGTGGTATCCCTGTAGATGTCCGTCTTCCGGCTTCGCGCGTTCCACGAGGCCCATATCAGCAATTGGAATCCTCCATAGGTTCGGCATGATATCTTGCCGCTTATGGTCATCTTCGATATGAGAGGTGACAAGATCTTCAAGCTCCAAGAGCCAATCCTTACATCTGTCGACGTACGAAGGTGAGTTCACGGCAGTGTCCAGGGTACTGCCAATGCCTTTTATATGACCGACAAGGACGCCTGAAAGACGAATACTTGGGTCGTCGAAAGTAGCATCGAGTGTCGCAGGCACCCAAGCAGTTCCATTGGATGCGTTGTACTTGTGCGAGCCGGAGTTGAAACCGCCTATCGTGGCTATCATCTTCGCAGTCCAGTCCACAGTCCAACTCGGAGTGGCGCCAGAAAGGGGTGTCGGTCGACGATAGGACATGATATCTGGTCCATGGTCTTCCACCAAAACTTTCGTAACGAAGAACAGTAACTTCTCCAAAGTCATATTCTTCGAATAGTCGACCGGTATCCTGGCTCTGTCCTTCTCACTCAGTAAACCAAGGAGTCCGTAAACCCGGTCTCGAGGGTCCGTCGACTGTATGGCACCACCGAAAGCCGATAAAAATACGGCATCATAGAGTGATGTGCTCTGTGTGCCGCCATCCTTGCTGCTGCTGCCCTGAGTAAAGTGGGCGATCTTGAAGTATACCTCGTTCAGCACGTCGTAAACCTGCTTATACTTCGGGTCGGTGTCGACGTAGAGTATCATCCATTCGAAAGCACTCCAAGCGCTATGGATGTCGCTCCAGTCCTTCGCGTGGTCACCAACCATGACGTATGCTTCCTTGGCGAGCAAAGCCTCCTGTATGACCCAAACTCGTGTCCACCAAGGACGTTGAAACAGGGTATGGATGTGAGTAAAGTTGAAGCTGGTCCCCGAACACTCAAGTATAGTCTTGACAAAAGCTTGGCAGATCGAAGGCCCATAGTCAGGTCGAGTTTTCAAATCCTTGAGTGTACTACCCAGGAGACTGAGTTGATGGAGAGCGTCGACACTGGCGTCATCTTCGGGTCCAAGCCAGATGAGTACTCGGCGGGCGCTGCTGTAGATCCTACCCATAAGCTGGACCTGATGTGCCTTCTCCGTGTCGTCGGTTTGATTAATGCACAGCGCGTCGACCCAGAGCTTTCCGAGTTGAGGCTTTTCGAACTTGGCCAATCGTTCAAGGCCATCGTAGAGATTTCGGGTAACGTTGACCTCTTGGCCATCAAGCAGGATCGGACGGGGTTGGGCAGGATCTCCCCAGACGTACGACAATGCCGTGAAGTCGGTATCGCTGCCTACGGCCTTGTGAGTGATGGAGCAACTGATGCGTTCCTGCGCTGTATCATAGGCGTTGATTTCCAGGAGCCGAATATCCCGCCTGCTGTCTTGCAGGGGCTGATACGTGAAGGGCATCGTAAGACGGGATGTAGTCTGGAAGATTCGCCGTTTCGGCTGCCAGTCAGAAGGCAGCTTTGGCGTTCTTGTCAGTCTGCTTATGACCGCAGCCAATAATAATGACCATCCACGAGGGGCAGCTTCTCCGGCGGTACTTGCCCTAACTACCTTAGCTGCTATTGGTCCGTTCACGCTGCCGATTAGGTCTCCAGCAGTGACCGTCAGACTCATTCGCGATGTTTTTCGTGATCCGAAACGTCGAAGAGTGTCTCTCATAAGCCATGAATACGTTGTCAGCGCCAGTTGGCACACAATGGTGTACTCACAAACGAGCTCGAGGTCCGTTGAGTTAGCAACGGTACGGATACCAGGCCGGGCCTTCGCATGTTGTAAGGCCAATACCACGACTTTCAAACCCGCAAGAGCCACCACGTCATGATGTTGTAGATGGAAGAAGCTCCCGGCTGCGTCCGCCCCAATTTATGCGCGCCGTAGACAGTACGTACCAGTCAGTCTCTTCCTTCCCTTGACAGTAATGCTGTACTGTTCTCAAACACCAAATTCATCCCATGATGCTTAGCATGAGCGTTTCGTTGGCAAGTTTCCTGCACATTCCGCCTACACCTAGAGTAGCTTATTACACACCCCATAATAAATAAAATGGCATTCATGAAGATTCACGTCTTCTTTTGTACCGGCTATGGATCAGTAAGATAAAGATGGCTTAGACATACGGCGCGGCACCCCGTGATACCTCATCGCCGGGGACTCGTCCAACTATCCGGTACGGACGCCGCCGGGTAAACTGATATCGTGCCCGCCGCCGCTCATCCGTATCATCCGACATCAACTCCCGGCCTCAGTGCCGACTTCCGGCCCCACACGGCCCCCAGAATCTAGAAACGTCACCATCAACCCTCCATTACCGTTACACTTCCAGAACATCAGTCCGTCATAAACCCCGCCCATAAAGTCTTTTTGTCCTCTTCCTCTCTTCCCCATCACAAAGTCCGGAAACCTCCTCAGCACACGCAATAGCAGAAAAGAAAACCTACAACATCGAGACTACTTTTACAAAGCAGGCCACAATGCCCTTCCCATCAAAAACAGCCCTCGTAACAGGCGCGACCTCCGGAATCGGCCTCGCCCTGGCCGAGCGCCTCATCGCGAACAACACCTTCGTGATAGCCGTAGGCCGCCGTCGAGACCGCCTCGCCGACCTCGTCGCCGCCCACGGCCCGGACAAGGTCGCCGCGGAGCCCTACGACGTCACGGACCTCGCCGGCATGGCGGAATGGGTCAAGAGGTGAGTCCATCCCCATCTCCATCCCGGGTCGTATGCCAACATGATCAATATCACAAACCACACCACCACGGACTACGCAGATACAGTTCCAGGAAACGCACCCCAAATAAGGTAGCTGATACTGATGGTCTTCCAGGATAACGACGACCTACCCGACCCTAGACACGGTAATCCTCAACGCGGGAGTCCAACACTCCGTAGACTTCACGAACCCGTCCTCCATCTCCCTCCCCAACGCCACCACAGAGCTGACCGTGAACTACCTCGCGCCCCTGCACCTGATAACCCACTTCCTCCCCCATCTCCAATCCCTCCCCTCATCCACTTCAACCTCCTCCAAGCCCCGGGGCCACATCATCCTCGTCTCCTCCGGCCTCGCCCTCGTCCCCATCCCCCGCTGCCCGAACTACTGCGCCACAAAGTCCGCCCTGCACTCCCTCGCCTGGACCCTCCGCGCCCAGCTCGCCGGCCACGACGCCTCGTCCCACATCCGCGTCATCGAGGTCGTGCCGCCCGCCGTCCGGACGGAGCTGCACAGCCTGCAGCCGGACCTCGTGGCCGCGGGGCAGGCGAGCTTCGGGATGCCGCTGGACGAGTTTACCGAGGAGACGTGGACGGCGCTCGAGAGGGGTGATTTGGACGAGATCATCGTGGGGCCTGGCAAGAACTTCGCGCCTGTCGAATTCGAGCGGAGGAAGGCTTTTGAGAAAATGGCCGAGGCATTCAAGAAGGGTCCCAAAGCCTAGTTTGCGTATCACTCGTATCTCACTTAGCACGTCACTGAACAACTGAAACGCATTATGGCATACAATCTGTATTTCAGCCAAACACTATACTAACTACATTCCCGCCCCGTCAGCCGCCATCATCATCATCGTTCGGACTTTCCAGTCCTAGGCGACGAAACAGCTGCGAAGTCGCGCTTGTTTTTTTGTGATCTTGTAGAGGATTTGCACGAGAATTGTTAAGAGGAAACAAAAGCCAAGTGTCTCTCACTCGAGCTTGATCCACTCCGTCTCAGGAAGTTTGACCAAGCCCAGTCGTGAAGAAACCGAAGTTCCATGTAAGAATGGGAGCCAAGCGTGGCCAACTCTTTTCATAACCCCTTTTCCCCCTATGGTATATCTTTCTCGCACCATAAAACCAAGGCCGCGGGAGCCTTCCAGGTGTTGCCCGTCCAAAGCCGAGCGAACAAGATCAATAAGACGTTCGAAACCTCGACGACTTGGCTAAGAATGTAAACGAAGTGAAAATGAATTTGTAGTCAACCAAGCCTCGAATGCTGGAAAGAAAGAGCCGCCAAACCCCTTGAATAGAACAACATATGATTCGTGAGAAAGCGCGCCTGACCATCCAACCCATCGTTTAATCCTGCCATCCAAAGGGCTGAGGATCAACCCGCCCTTGTGCAGGTCGTCAAAAGGAAAGGACATAGATGGGGCGCATAGTCGTCGTAACGTCCAGGTACCAACAAGTCTACGCCAGAATACCACTCTTTCTCTTCTCGGCACTGGTCAGGACCAGCATCGGCGCCTTGCGCTGGCCGTCCGTCACCTCAATCCCAGCTCGCTGAGCCGAGTTCTTGAAGACACTGGCGAAGCTGTTCTCTCCGCTGTCGGCGCTGCTGACACTGTCCACGCTCTTGCGAGCTCTCTGGCGGGAGCTTGGACGGTCGGAGCCAATAGCTCCCCAGCTGCCGTTGGTGGAGGTTCTTGAGCTGGGGAAAGAGCAGTCGACGTCACCGGCCAAGCTGCCGGATCCGCTGCGGCCAGAGTCAGACTCGTTGTCGGTGATCGGGGTGCTTGACTCCTCCTCAGCGCTCTCAGAAACAGGGCTCATGCTTCCGCTGGAGCTGCCGGTTCCCTTCCTGCGCTCACGTCCCGCACGAACCAAGTTGTGCACGGCGGAACGGCGGGTTCTGGTGGCAAAGTTCTTGCTTCCCTCGTGCTTGGCGGTAGGCTTGGCCTTCAGTTCCTCGATAGAGGGGGGTCCACGAGGTTGACGGACGGGGTGCTCGCCAGCACGTCCCTGACCGGGTCCGTAGCCGCCAGACAGAGGAGTGAGCGGGAAAGAAGCCGTCTTAGGACCGGCGGACTTGGGAGGCTCTTGAGAAGGCGAGAGGGCGGCTTGGTTGTTAGCGTTGAGCGCCAGAGACATGACCTTCTTGTGGCCACGACGGAAGGCGTTGGCCGACGGGGGAGGAAGAGGAGTCACCTCAGAGGGAGACTCGTAGCGCTTGGGGGGAGTGGTGGTGCGGAACGGGGTGGCGTGGTTCTCAGGGGGAGGGGACACCTGAACGCGAGGGGCTGCCTGCTGCTGCTGCTGCTGCTGTTGCTGTTGCTGGAGGGCGGCGTAGATCTGAGCGAGCTGAACCTGCTGATCATTCTGGCCCTGGTCCACGTAGTAGCCCTGCTGGCGTGTGACGGGATCGTAGTACGTGTAGACCTGCTGCTGCTGCTGCTGCTGTTGCTGCATGCCGCCCAACATGGACTGCTGGAGGCTTTGGAGCTGTTGCTGCTGCTGGTACATGGCAAGCTGTTGCTGCTGGATTTGCTGCTGGGCACCCTGCAAGTTGAGACCCGAAAACTGCTGAGCGGCGGCCTGCACACTCAGGAGCTGCTGCTGGAGGCGTTGCTGCTGCTGAGCGAGATACATGTTGGTGGCCACCAACTGTGCGTACAGGCTGGGGTCCATCTGCTCCTGGTCATCGATGACGATCTCAGGAGGGGCCAAAACCTGCTCGGTGGTGTACTGGCTCATGTAGGCCTGCTGGGCCTGCTGCTGCTGTTGCTGGAGTTGCTGCTGCTGCAATTGCTGAGCCTGCAATTGAGCCTGCTGAGCCTGCTGCTGGTGCTGGCCGTAGCGGGGGAGTGCGGTCTTGGGGCCGTTGTACGAGTTGTTTTGGGCCTGAGCGTAGGCGTTGTTGGCGGTCGCGTTCCTAGCAAACGACTGGGTGGTAGGCGAGGGGGCGCCGTTGGCACCAGCGGGGAAGTTGGTAGCAGTGGAAGACTTGGGGGCGGTTCTAAGACCCGCAAGCAGGTGAGATCTGCTGGTGCGAGGAGTGGGGACGCCGTCGGCGACGTTGCTGGCGGGAGTGGCGTTGGAGAGGGACAGAGGCTTGACGGGACCGCCGCGGCGAGAGGCAAGACCTCCGCTGGGCATGGCCAGGCCGTTGGCCGAGGAAAAGTTGTTGGAGTTCATTTGAGCGAGACCGCCTGCGTCCATTGCTCAGACGGGGTATCGATGAGCTGGCGGAAGTGCCGGATGTGAACGAGTTCTCAAACTCGAAAAAAAGGTGTCAAAGAATGTATGGTAGCCTTGCAAGCAGCTGGGGCGACCGGGTCGAATTACAAGAAGGATAGTTTGCGGTGGAATGCGCAACGCTGGGCGTCAGATATTATGGTACTCGAGTTTTGCGGGAAGAGGTGTTGACAGAGATGTAATCGACCGATCCAAAGCGGATTCCGGAGCTAGTCCAGGAAACAGGCAGCGAATGGGTGTCGGCGGAGTTGTCGGGGTGAAAGAAGTTGCCAAAAAGTCGAGATCCAAAAATCGACGGTGTTGTTTTGGATGATTCGAGGTGATGTGTGATGCGTTGTCGAGAATTAGATGTTCGGGTATCGAGCGTCTCTGGGGGTCAGGGAAGAAAAGATCGTGGTGACGAAGGAGTGGGCGACAGGATGTTGTCGAAGGAAGGAGTCAACCAACGGCGCTGAGTGTGTCGGATTGAAAAACTTGGCAACGGAAGTGGTTGTGGTCTAGGGAAGGCGGGGACCACAAAGGAAGATTTTCTTTGTCGAGTCGAAATCGAAATCGAAAGCGCAGGGCCGGGTCGAAATCGAGCGGGAAAGTCGGAGCGACAAGAATTGCCACAGACGGACAGATGAATATCTCTGAGTGGAAAAGAGAGTGCTTGACAGCTGTGAGCCTGCTGTTTTCTGTGGTTCCGATGGAGGCGCTGGTGAAGATTACGAAGTTTTTTCTGTAGTATCTGACGATGAAAAAAAGGGTGCAAGTCGAAGTAAAGTACAGTCGATTAAAAAGTGTTTCTTTGGTGAGTTTGGGCGATGATGCAGATGCAGATTGCGACAGTGGTTTGTGAGAGTGACCCTTTCGATTGTGGGCAGTGATGGTGGTTGTGTGGCTGCTGAAGAAGTGCGAGTGCGTTTGTGGTGTTGCGAAAGTGCGATGCGATCGGTCGGTTGTGTGTCCAGTGTGTGTTTGGTGAGCGAAGCCTTCCAGAACCCGTGAAGAATTTTTTGCTGGTTGGAAAAACGATGCGAGACGGATCTCAAGAGAATGCGAGTTTGGTAATCTTTTTTACTTTTTTTCTTTTCCTGAATTTTCCTTCTAAAAAGACGACGATGACGAACAAATCGCAGACCAGAGCGGCGGAGGGGGAAAGAGGAGGGGGAGAAGGGTTGAAGGAGGGAGAAAAAAAAGGAAGGGCGGTGTGTGTGCTAAAGAGAGGAAAGAGCGAAAGAAGAAGCAGAAGGGGGCCAAGCAGCGAATGGACGACAGATATGGAGATGGAGTGAAAGGTGGACGTGGACCGGCGGCAGGAGCAGCGCGTTCAGTGAGGTAGGTCGGTCGGTACCTTCCTCAGACAGCAGAGCAGGATGAACTCACTCAGGGCAAGAGGGCAGGAGGGCAGGAGGCAGTGACAAGGGGCAGGAGAAAGCCAGAGACTGTGAGCGGGCACCAGGTGCATCCAGGGGAGCCCGAAAAGAAGTGGGGAGACAGGGCCCAGGTCCTGCCAGGTGCACCCAACTTTGCCAACCCAAGGCGAACCTGACCAGTCAGAATGAGGAGAGCGGCGACAACAGAGACCAATGGGAGGGCCGGGAGGCGAAAGAAAAAGACGTGGACTGGCAGACAGGGATCTTTCAGATGGTCCCACTCCCGTCTGCCGCCATCAGATGTCCCCACCGACTGCCTGAGGTACGTACCACCGACTCACTGACCTTTCTGGATCTGCCCTGCACCTTCCTGCCCTGAGAAAAGGCCAACCGGGACATGAACCTGGAAAGAACGAGAAGCCCAGGGCTCCCACTTTGGACCTTCCGTTGAGATCAGGAAAGCCGGCCGTCACCTGTCTGTCAAAAGCTTGGAATATGGATATTCTATCAAAAATCGAAAACCGAATCAAGAGAGACTCGGCATTGGCATTGGCCTTGACCTTGACCTTGCGGCAGCGACAACACCTAGGGTGCCAATCACGGCCGCCACGATTGTGACCCAATCAAAGAATGCGATCCGGTGGGAAGAGGCATGGCCAGGGATGATGCTCTCGCCTCTGACTGACGAACGAGAGCCAACCAACTGGCTGATGTTCTTGACAAAGGATAAAGACTCGACGAAGCAAAAGCTGCCAGTCTGTATCCGTCCATACCTCGCGGATAACTCGATGAGGTAGATCTTCCTCACTGGCCAGCCATGTGTGACTCCTGATGCTTGATGGTGTTGCTCATCCATCGATGCTCAGTTCGCCTTCACCACACTACTGCTTCCCTAATGCAGCTAGTCAGTGTGATTGCCTGAAGCCTCCTCGGCCAATCACCGGCTGCTCTGTCTGGCTTGGGAAGCTGCTGCTGCCGGCTGGAAGGCGTGACTCGACTGAGGTGGAAGGCAAACCTCGCTCGTCTTGGTTGGAGATGTACGATGTACCTTCTCGCGCTTCCTATCCGCCGTCACCTGCACGAGAAGCTGCAGCTCACTGCTTGGGTTTGTTGCTGCTACCTTACCATACTGCTGCTGCTCCCTTAAGATCTAGCTAACCAAAATGCTAGATGCTGCCACAATTGCTGCTGCGCCGCCTGTGCTGGTGCACAGCTCCTGCATCGGATCAGTGCTATGCAGATGCAGCGCATCCAAGACAACAACACCTGCTGGTGTGGTGTGCTGGGTGCTGGGCTCGCCCTCACAAGCTCACGCCAGATCAACTTCATCCGTCGCCCCTAGCTCCCCTCCCCCTCCCCTGGCACTCAGACTCGCGACCATCACGGATACGTCCAAGACCAAACACTCTTCATCATCACAAACGCAACCGCCTCTACTTTCTCATCCGTGGTGGCCTCACGGGAACTTCACAAACAACACGATACATCTCACAGGGTCATTGCAAATGCTTCCAATGACTCCTTCTCACCAACCCTGCAACAGAGCACGACCAAGCATGCCACCCCTGCAGCATCAACGAACAAGTTACAACCGTCTCATCGTGACACTGCTCCAACTTACAACATCAGCTCCCTCAGGCCAGCACCTCACTTCAAGTCGCTTCAGCAAAGCCCAAAGTACACCATGCATGGCCGTTTTCAGGGGCCAAACTCTCGCAAGAGCCCGGATCGCTGACCATCCATCACCGCCACCACCACCACCACCACCACCACCAAAATACACCATCACCAATTACCGCCGCCGCCGCCGGTGTTGGCCTGGTCGCTGGCCTTCGTTCGTTCTCGCTTTGACTACGCAGCGACATCGAACATGCTTCCATTACTCCATCTGGCCATCTTTACGATACCGACCATATGGCACTCCTTCGCCATAGCATAACATCGCGACCCAGCACCCGTCCTTCCATCCGCCAAACCCTTTTCTATTTCCGTCGTGATCAACATGGAGCTCGCCCACACGGCAACCCACCGCACCTCGACGACCAATTGCGACGGCCCCTGCTGCTAAAGACGGCCTCGGGAGGAGCCCCCATCGGCTCCCTTCCAGACGTCCGTTCGTGCTCCGTCCCGTCAGGACAGCACTCAGGAGGTAGTTCATCAATCAGCAACAGTATCACCAATCAGTCAAACGCTGCCAAGGCTCCTCTTCTACCACTGCAATAGAACCCGAATCTGGGGTCCTGGGGTCCTGCCGATGATGCGAGCCATGGTCAACGTCTGCGGCAACGAGACCCGATCGGGGTCTGCGTGCACGCTACGGATACTATCTACGGATACTCCAATTCGAGGACTCGGCGCCGGGGACAGAGAACTTGTCATGGTCTACCATACCGCCGAAACCGAGAATTATCGTGAACATGGCTGGTCATGGCTCGCCTGCTCTTATCCACTGATGAGGCGAGCATGGAGAACAGCCAACGTCCCAGGCGATTCCAGACGAATCGCACGGAGCCGCCCACATCAGTCAGGAACCAAGAACACGTACTGCATCGCCGCACACAGGACGACAGCTCACTTCAGCAGGCGAGCGGCGGCCATGGCACCAACAGCACGGCTTCGACACCTCCATCTCCATGGCAAGGCTTTGACTTCAGTTGAGGGCTTTGACCCTTCCAGGGGTTCTCCCGCACGCCACACGATACTCCCACAGATGCCGCATTTCTCACGCCAAGGCTTCCCGACTCAACGGTAGTTCATCATTTCTTTCCAAAGGCAAAGCAATGCAATCTGTCCTTCCGTCGCCCTCCATCCGCTTTTGCCTGGCGTCCTCCACACATCTTGTTCTCCCGGTCATCCCGCTCGTTTCCGTAAAACGAGGCGGCATAAAGTATCGTACTGGCCGCATTTGCTCTCTGGGGCTTGCCTGCAGATGGGATCCTCGGGCTAAGCGATATCAGCTGTTCTCACGTCTCGCTTCCAGCATCTCCCCAACTTACCAACAGCCAAAACTGTTTCCCATCCTCGAAGCTCAGAGAGCTTGTTTCACTTCAGTCGATAGCACGGTACCTGACCTCGGCCAGCCCTTACACTCTTCTCAACTGCCTGGCCTCCACATGCCGAGGTTCCTCTCCATCAAACGACCCCTCAGCCCCCCAAGAATAGCACTTGCCACTAGCAGCTGTGGTGACACAAGTCTCCCACTTCCCACCTGCACTCGTCATTCCACAAGACCGCCTTTGAGCAGTTCAAACGGCACGGGAAGCTTCGGCGGTCGAGGCCCCCAATCAACCTGACGATCTCCTCAGAATGATGCGTTCCTAACAGGTGGACATCTCCTCCAGCCCAGTCCGGTTCTCTCAAGGAGCCTGATGTGCGGCGACCCAATCAATCACTCAATGCGGAACGCGCTCGTAGACCATCTGAGGCCCGAAGGCCGTTTTGAGCACTCACCCTCCGTGTCCCGCGCGGACGAAGGCTACGACAGCGGACAAAGAGACGGACAATGGCGGCGATGGACACATGGGTCAACGAACTGGATGGATACGAGCTTGCGTCCCTCGCACCCCCAGGATCTTCTACGGAGACTTTCTCTGGCACCGCCTCTCA